CCCCTATACCCAAATTTGACGATCGATTTGCACGTCAGAACCGCTACGAGCCTCCACCAGAGTTTCCTCTGGCTTCACCCTATTCAGGCATAGTTCACCATCTTTCGGGTCCCAACAGTAATGCTTGCTCAGCCTTTTCATAAAAAGACCGTCACTTTCATTACGCGCTGGGGTTTAACACCCATACACTCGCACTACCGTTAGACTCCTTGGTCCGTGTTTCAAGACGGGTGCGAAAATAGGCCCAGGAGACCGTGGCCCAAAGAATATTTACTTCAAACCGCAGCCTCTTATTCCTATCATCGCCTTCCCCTCCAACAATTTCACACGCTATTTCACTCTCTTTTCAAAGTGCTTTTCATCTTTCCATCACTGTACTTGTTCGCTATCGGTCTCCCAGCAATATTTAGCCTTAGATGGAGTTTACCACCTATTAGAGCTGCATTCCCAAACAACTCGACTCGCTCTGAAGTAGCACATTAGACAAAGATTACGGGGCTATCACCCTCTTTGGCGCTCTGTTCCAAGAGACTTGACATCATAGTCTAACCACTTCAATTACAACTCGCTTACGCGATTTCAAATTGAGCTTTTGCCGCTTCACTCGCCGTTACTAAGGCAATCCCTGTTGGTTTCTTTTCCTCCGCTTATTGATATGCTTAAGTTCAGCGGGTAGTCTTGCTTGATATGAGGTAAAAAGTAATTAATAAACTATGCGTACTTGTCGCAAATTTAGTTTTTGAAAAAGCCAAAGCAAATTCATATTAATTACCCTCATACAAGCATGCCCATACGGGCGCCATGTGCGTTCAAGAATTGATGATTCACTGCAATACACATCACTTATCGCAATTTGCTGCGCTCTTCATCGATCTGGGAACCAAGAGATCCGTTGTTGGAGGTTTTCTTAGTTTAAATTTTCTTAATAAATATTTTTAAATAATAAACAATGTAACTCAACCAAAGTTCCACAAAATAATAAAAATTATTCTTATGAATGATCCTTCCGCAGGTTCACCTACGGAAACCTTGTTACGACTTTTACTTCCTCTAAATGACCAAGTTTGTCTATCTTTGAGCATATGAAATAGGTCGCCCCATATCAAAAGCTCTCCGAAACCCTCACTAAGCCATTCAATCGGTAGTAGCGACGGGCGGTGTGTACAAAGGGCAGGGACGTAATCAACGCAAGCTGATGACTTGCGCTTACTAGGAATTCCTCGTTCAAGAGCAATAATTGCAAGGCTCTATCCCCAGCACGACCCGGTTTATAAGATTTCCCGTGTTGCTAAACAAAGGATCTTGTTGACCGAGTCAGTGTAGCGCGCGTGCGGCCCAGAACGTCTAAGGGCATCACAGACCTGTTATTGCCTCGCTTCCTCTGATTTGCATCAGCTGTCCGAGTAGACGGTTCCGCTACAAAATGTAACTTCCCCAACTGCTCGCCAAAATCTCGTCCGTTATCGCAATTAAGCAGACAAATCACTCCACCAACTAAGAACGGCCATGCACCACCACCCACAAAATCATGAAAGAGCTCTCAATCTGTCAATCCTCATTGTGTCTGGACCTGGTGAGTTTCCCCGTGTTGAGTCAAATTAAGCCGCAGGCTCCACTCCTGGTGGTGCCCTTCCGTCAATTCCTTTAAGTTTCAGCCTTGCGACCATACTCCCCCCAGAACCAACTGCTTTCGCTCGAGCGGAGAATAGATTTCATAGTCCATCCTCCGCTCTATCGGCATAGTTTACTGTTAAGACTACGACGGTATCTGATCGTCTTCGATCCCCTAACTTTCGTTCTTGATTAATGAAGACATCCTTGGCAAATGCTTTCGCACTAGTTAGTCTTTAGCAAATCCAAGAATTTCACCTCTAGCTGCTAAATACTGATGCCCCCGACTGTCCCTGTTAATCAATTACGAGGTTCCCACAAAAGAAACTTCGTCCTTCTGTTATTCCATGCTAACGTATTCAATGACTGCTTTAAGCGCTCTAATTTTCTCAAAGTAACTGGTCTGCAACAAGTACAGACCTAGGTTCAGGAAACCTCAATTAAGAAGCTCCATCCCCCGAATATCAACTACGAGCTTTTTAACTGCAACAAATTTAATATACACTAGATGAGCTGGAATTACCGCGGCTGCTGGCACCAGACTTGCCCTCATCTTGCTCCTCGTTAACCTATTTATCGTGTTCTCATTCCAATTACAAGACCAAAGGCCCCGTATCGTTATTTATTGTCACTACCTCCCCGAATTGGGATTGGGTAATTTGCGCGCCTGCTGCCTTCCTTGGATGTGGTAGCCGTTTCTCAGGCTCCCTCTCCGGAATCGAACCCTAATTCCCCGTTACCCGTTACTGCCATGGTACGCCAATACCGTGCCATCTAGCTGATAGGGCAGAAATTTGAATGAAGCGTCAAAACGATCTGAAGTTATTGTGATTCATATCTAATAAAGCCTAGAAGCAAGTATTAGCTCTAGAATTACCACGGTTATCCTAATGGTATTATCTTCAAATAAACTATAACTGATTTAATGAGCCATTCGCAGTTTCACTGTATAACGCTTATACTTAGACATGCATGGCTTAATCTTTGAGACAAGCATATGACTACTGGCAGGATCAACCAGATAACTATTTAAAAAAAAATGGAATTTTTTTTCAAATTGTTAATTTTAGGCCTCCTTACGCTGTAGATTCGGATATCTGCAAATTAGCTAGAAATTGACTTTTGTCATTGACTAACAATCCACTTAACCCATTTTTGCCTGAAAAGTTCAGGACTTTCTTGTTTGCCAACTTGAAGACTGAGTCCCCACTGCCAGCGTGGTTCAAGATAAATGCTACAAATTTAAACTGTTGTCCAGATTCAAAAAGCCACACCATCGTAATGATGCGCACAATTCAAACCTACAGTTAAGTTCGGCATTAAACCTCTAGAAAAACTCAAATCAAAAAAAATTTTTCAGAAATCATTTTTTTCATCTGATTACTCAAATTCATTTTTTCATTCTGAACTTTTTTTTTTTTTTTGTTCTTCATATAGGAGACAAAACCTTAACCTACCAACAATTTTGGTAATCTTCAACTTTTTATTAGATTCTAAAATGCAATAGCTGGTTTTTTTTTTTTTAAATCACAACATACCGTTGTAAATGGTAGGTAACCAAACTAATTTTTGCTACCCCTGATCACGTGATACTTACCCCAACCTAATTCCCTTCCCCATTATAAATTTTAGGTCACTTCTCAACCTAAATTTTACTGCACTCATCACATGATCTCTCTAATTATTTTCCGTTATAAAATTTACTTCAACCCTAACATAATTTTTAAAACATAAAGTCACATGACTTTTCTTCAACAACACTTTTATTTATTATTTTTCCCCTTTTTTCTTTTTTTGTTATTTGTTTATTTAGAAATCTATATTTTTCCAATATAATATATTATTTTTGATTAATTTTAATACTTAAATCCTATCTTCCTCTAATATTTTTTTTCAATTTTCTTCTTCAATTTCAACTTTTACTAACACATCCATTAAACAGCTCCCCTAACAACTTATTTATGAGCTTTGTGTCTAACCTTCATCTCAATACAACTTCTCATACTTATTTTCTACAAATTTTCCCAACACACCCAAAATACCCTAACCCTGATGGTTTTCTTAATTTGGAAATCAACTTTATATCATATCTCAACATTTACCCAAGATACTTCCATATCAAATATACTCATTTAAATCGTTTTTAATTTATATTATTTCTACTTATTTATTACTTTTTTCAATTTTTTAATTTTTCAATTTTTTCAATTTTTTTTCATTTTTCCATTAAACCCTATTATATATATGACATGACCATATGTATAAAGAAATATATATTCAAGATATTAATATTAAGACGTTGCTGTTGTTGTTGTTTTCTTTAATATACAAAATAGGTACATGCATGCATCCCATCATCGGAAAAAAAAAAAAAAAAAAAAAAATTAAAATAAAAAAAAATTATTTTTTTGCCAAGTGTTTGGTAACCACCATCACTCTACCACAAATATATAAAGGGCCTTTTCCCCCTCGACTTTTTTTTTTTTTTTTTTCTCTCTTTCTTTCTCCTTATCCATTGTCCTCTCTACCCCCGCCTCTTCACTCTTTTCCTCCCACCATTTGTAGACAGCGCACTTTTTATGACTTTTAAAACTCTTTAAAATCATTTTTTCCCCCAACCACTATTACAATTAACTACTATATTTAATGGTTTTAAAGATAAAAGTCTAAATTTTTCGCTCGGGGCCTGCCGGCCCCTCGTAAAAAAAAAGAGGAAGAGAGAGGGGAGAGGAGGAAAAAAAAAAAGAGAAAAAAAAGAAAAAGAACATAAACATAAACATAAGCAAATGAACTTGAACATTTTTTTTAACATTTTGAAAAAGATTTGGAGTTGCCAGTTTATTTAAAAATCGAGCTTTGCTCGATTTTAGGCCGTAGGCCTTTTTCGTTCGTGTGCTTTATATAGAACAATGATTCTATAATATATAAGAACGGCCATATCATGCAGGTTCAAGGCTTCCCGTCCGATCAGCCCTATTTAAGCTGCATTGAGCTGGGAGTAGTACTGCGGTGGGAGACCACGCGGGAACGCCCGGTGCTGTTCTTTTTTTTAAAATTTCAAAAATCAACTTTTTGCATTTTTTTAGCAAAATAATACCTTTAAAATGTTCAGCAAAGCACCCCAATCACACTAGTATATTTTATTTTTGAATTGAGTGTTGGGTTTACAATTTATGACTATCTTTAGGACTTGTAAATTAGAATGATCACGTGTGTTTTAGGTTACAGTTAAGCTAAATTTTAGTTTTGTGTTCACGTGATCGTGTCAATTATCTATTCACCACCATAGATATATATATATATATATATATATATATCAACGACGACGACAGAAAAAAAAAATTTTTTTATTTTTTATTTTTTATTTTTTTTTTCAAAACCTTCTCAAAATGAAAGTATGATCCTGTTTATATATATTTTTATTTTTTTACTTAACAAATTTTATATATTTTGGAATATTTTTTTCATTTTTTAAAAAAAATCATCTCTATACGCAGTGGTTAGGGATAAGTATATATAGTATGTGTTGACTATAAAAAAAAATATTTTTTTTTTTTTTTGCCTATACTAACTGGAAAATAAAAATAAAAATTTCTCTCTTTTTTTTTTTTTCTTCAGTTTTTTTTTTTTATATGTATGTATGTATGTATGTATATATATATATATATCAAAAAAAAAATTTTTTTTCCTTCCCCATATTATAAAAATTCCTCTAAAAAAATCAGTCAAATATACATTTGTCACGTGATTACTAATACTTTTTATTAAATATAATGAATGAACCATCATAAAAAAATATATATATATATTTTTTTTGTTAGTTTTTAAATCATTTTGAAAAATCATTAAAACTTCTGGTTATTTTCCTATTTTTCCTATTTTTTTTCATTTTTAAATCGATTTTTTATTGTATTATTATTTTGAAAAAATACTATATTCCGCAGAGGTTAGGGTATTTTAACATAGAGATGAGAAAAAAATAAATAAATAAACTATACTTTACATTTCTGTTATAAATTACCACAATCATTTAAAAAAAATACAGTAGTAAAACCATAATAAATCATAACCAAAGTCACGTGACTTTCCAACCTAAGCATTAAAAAACTTTTTCATCTTTTTTTCTATTTAAAAAAAAATAAAAAGAAAGATAAAAATGTTGGAATATATGTTATGGTACTATCGTGTATTTCAACATTATCCCATAATATTTTTTTTTCCCAATTACACTCTTTACATTGTTACATTATTCACTAGCAACTACTAGCCCATTACCATTGGAGTTACAAATGTTAAATCAAGACTCCTATTGCTAAAGAAAATTTTTCAAGATGCTCTTTTAAATTTTCTTCATTACAGAAACCTTTCTTGTTTTCTTTCTCTTCTTTTCCCCTTTCCTAAATTTACGCAAACTGTTTTATTAAATACTCTTCAGCTTTCAGCTTATCAATCGTATTTACTTATTAACTCTTGCTTTTGGTATGATAGCGAACTTTTATTTTTTTATTATTTTATTATTTTATCATTTATATAATTCTTATATATACTTTTAAATTTCCCAAAACTGTTTTATTAAATCTCCTTGGCTTTCAGCTTATCAATCGTATTTACTTATTAACTCTTGCTTTTAGTCTTCTCGCTATGTCTAATCACGGAAACACTACAGGAGTCAATGAAGGATCCTCATCCTTCAGTCAGCCAGCACTGGAAGTTCTGTTGCCCACTCAACATCTGAGACCCACTAAAAGAACAACCCCAGCTCTTATGGACATTCGCCGATCTCCTGTTCATCGTCAAATTGACCCGCTGCCCGTTCTGGATTTACCGTTAGACAATTAACCATTGCCAAATACCAGTTTGTTCCGAAGGATGTGAAGCTGAATTAAAAGTCTTAGCAGACTTGACAGCTTACATTAGAAACTCAAACTTCAAAGCTAGTCCTCCCCCATCTCAAAACCGGTAGCTCCTGCCGTATTCCTGAGGAGCCAGCCACTTGGCTCCGCCTACCGGCATGTAAACGACGATTTTCTGGCTGACCAGCCCGTTCCAGCGCAGATTTTAATCTGCAAATTTAGATGCCTCTTCCTACTCCCGCCCACCTCAGCCATTCTGGCAGACCGATTTGCTGACGTCGTATTTTGTACTAGCTCGGTGGTGGCCCGTACAAGTTCCGCCGCCGCCAAAACCAGTTGATTGCTGGCAGGATTATTTGTGCTTGTAGCAGTACCTTGAGTGTCACCTAAAACTTGCGGCACCCCGACATCTCTCGCAGGAGCTTCCTCCAACTTAGTAGAGGAATCCATTGTTGGAATATATGTCATGGTACTATCGTGTATTTCAACATTATCCCATAATATTTTTTTCCCAATTACACTCTTTACATTGTTACGTTATTCACTAGCAACTACTAGCCCCTTACTATTGGAGTTACAATAATTGTTACAATCAAGACTCCCTATTGCTAAAGAAAATTTTTCAAGATGCTCTTTTAAATTTTCTTCATTACAGAAACCTTTCTTGTTTTCTTTCTCCTCTTTTTCTCGCTACTCTAAATTTACGCAAAACTGTTTTTATTAAATACTCTTTCAGCTTTCAGCTTATCAATCGTATTTACTTATTAACTCTTGCTTTTAGGTATGATAGCGAACTTTTATTATTTTATTATTTTATTATTTTATTATTTTTATCATTTATATAATTCTTATATACACTCTAAATTTACGCAAAACTGTTTTTATTAAATACTCTTTCAGCTTTCAGCTTATCAATCGTATTTACTTATTAACTCTTGCTTTTAGTCTTCTCCGCTATGTCTAATCACGGAAACACTACAGGAGTCAATGAAGGACCCTCATCCTTCGAGTCAGCCAGCACTGGAAGTTCTGTTGCCCACTCAACATCTGAGACCCATTCAAAGAACAACGCCAGCTCTTATGAGACATTCGCCGATCTCCCTGTTCATCGTCAAATTGATCTCGCTGACCGTTCTGGATTTACCGTTAGACAATTAACCATTGCCAACATACCAGTTTGTTCCGAAGGATGTGAAGCTGAATTAAAAGTCTTAGCAGACTTGACAGCTTACATTAGAAACTCAAACTTCAAAGCTAGTCCTCCCCCATCTCAAAATCCATGACAACGTCGCTAGACGAAGATTCAGAATCTGATGAGTCTTCCAATTCGTCGAAACCCAGTATATGTTCCACAGACCCATCCATGTCTTCATCATTGGTTTCTGAGTCAACCGCATCCTGATTGTCACCACCAGATTGGCTCGCGGTTTCAACAGCTGAAGCCTCACGGATAAGTTCAGCAGTTCCAGACAGCGCAAGATCCACACTGTCATCCTCATCCTAAATGTGTAGCTGTTTGGGAAGAGTCACCGGACTTGTTTGATGAGCCACCACTGAGGGCGACTGAGTTCCTGGAGCAAAGGCTTTCTGGAGCTTTACCATATGTTCAGAAAATGAATTTTCGTGAGAAAAATCTTCGTTAGTATCTTCGGAACCAGGGCGACCAGCTACGTTGGAGTTCACCGATCTCAAATCAGCATCATCAACAGCAGAATCTTCGAGCAATATATGGTCCTCAGACTGAAGTGTATCTTTGTCGTCAGCAACACTAATTGATTCATCTGCAACCAGCTCCACATCATCATCTTCCAACGGTTGAAAAGAGTTTTCAGTTATAGGTGTCGATGATGTAGAAGTAGAATCCTGGTCCTCCAATCTGCTGGATCTGTGGCTCCTTCCCTCAGAGCCCACATAAGTCCAGCCAAAGTTACCACCACCACCACCAGAGAGTGAAGTGGGAGAGTAGTCGTCAGAGTCAGATTCATCTTCACTTTCTGATTCATCAGTGGAAGAGTCACTGTAGTCAGGGTCACGATTTCCAACCTCACTGTAGTCAATGAGAATGTCACCCTCGTAAATTGGCTTTTCGCCAAAAAATTTAACGCCAGGCAAGACATGGTCACGAAAGTTGCCGTGTACACAGCGTCGAATGCGCTTGTTCCTCGTAATGCATAGAAAATTTTAGGATTTAACGGGTCGGGACCCAAATACAGAGCAGGCTCGCCCCGAGGCTGAAGGGGTCCCTTTGAGTTTCTGAGACTCAGATTTAATGACAAAACTAGGCAGCCAAATGTGTGCACTAGTGCTATAGGTGGTTTTCTGCCCGTAAAGGCTTCATAAGGTGATATACCGGCTTTATTAACTATGGAGAAATTATATACCTGCACAGCGTAGAGCCAGGCAGAGTCCCAGTAGATATTGGCCCAGAGTGTCGACTGCATCAAGGCTCTAGTAGATATCTCACGAAGTGTGCGGTGGGCACGCTCAATTTTTCCATTTTGTTGGTGTTCATCAGGAGCAGTTAAAATATGAATGACGCCCCAATCTGCCAAAAATTTTCCAAGTGTGCCAGAGATAAATTCACCACCATTGTCAGTAATAAGCTTGGTGGCCTTGCCGTCAGCAGCACGGCGAGCAGCTTTGGGCACAAACTGCTTAAAGAACTGGATAAGTTTCCCAGGAGCTTCATCCTTAGATTCCAGAGCAAAAGCATAGATGTAACCAGAAAATGCATCAATGATATTCAGCATGTACCTGGCCCCTGAAGAGGCAGGACCTATGGGACCGACGAGATCAGCATGAATCTGGGCTAACGGAGCCGTGGATTCAGAAGCTATATGCTTATCCGGAGAAGTGAACCGCTTAATGCTTCTTGACGTGCCACATATGACACAGTCCTTGATCAACTCTTCGTCACGCTTGGTCACCTCAAAGGGAGGATCAGCAAGCTTGGCTAAATGCTTCACCGAAGTCAAAGAGCAATGAGCAAACCGAACATGACAGTCAAGTGCCTGCGAATTCAACACGGCCTCCTTTGCAATAAATTTGAGAGACGGTGAGAGGACAGGAAGTCCCTTTCCAACAGCGAGAGCTGATTTATCAACCTTCCTCATAGCTTCTGGTCCTTGTCTGCAAATCTGATCCCAGTCAATTGAATTTCCTGAGAACTTGAAGGAGCCAGTTGAGGTACGATATTCCTAGTAAACTTTACCGGAACAATGTTGGCACAAATGTGAGACTTGGCATCTCTGGCACCACCAACCCTACCAACCTTTTCCTCACCAAAATAGGCCAGACAGTCCCCACTTGGGACCGTATGAAAAGAAACATCGTGCGTGCGCCAGACAGAATCAGAAAACAAATTGCTAGACCCAGCAGGAAAATAAAGTGCGTCAGCAATATGGCAAATATTGGTGCCACCGTCACCTTTTAATACAACAGCAATTTTACCTTCCCCTTCTAACACGATGTCGGAACCACCATAGGAGCTGATGGTTTTGGGGCTGCTGTATTTCTCATACGACACAAAGTAACTGTTGTCTGAGATAAGATGACCAGTAGCATTTCCAGAATCAAGAACATTTGGAAGATTTGTTTCACCCACAGAGGCGATTTGGTTGGCAGGTGGAAGAAAAGCAACTGGCGAATAATCACTGCTTCCGCCGTCATTATCAAATACGTCTTGGATAGCCCGAGCAACCGAGCAAAGAGTTTCAACATCGTCGCGAGCCACCTCAAGATATTCGGTAGCTTTCAAGGCAGCAACTCTGTTTTGACCATCAGAGTTCGACTTTCTAGCTTGCTTGTCTTCATTGTTGCGCCTCTTGTTGCTACCGGACCCCTTGGACCACTGCTTCCCCTTTTCCTTGCTTGGTATCAGAGTGGCCAGCTTTCTTCGAGGTTTCCTGCTTGGATTCCTGCTTGGGTTCTTGCTTGGGTTCCTGCTTTGGCACCACTTTTGTTGAACCGTCAATAATTCTTCGACCTTTTACGAAGGCTGCAGAAGTTGCTTCAACTAGCGCTGGGATTTCAACTGAATCACAGGGGCTCCATCCTCCAGATCTTGACTTGAAAATGTCGACAAACTTGGTAATCCCCCAGAGATGACTCTGAGGATCTTCGCGAGCAGCTGCTGAAACCTTGTTGTTATTCAGTACTGCTAAGATAAGGTCACGGTGAAAGGTGCCATCCGGGTTGTTAAAGAAATATTGCTCCACTACAGAGGCCCACTTGGAAGCTTCAGTAACAGTAGCTTGTATTTTGGTTTCAATTTCACTGCTGGTGAGCCCGGAGAAATAACTAGGACCTGGAACTCCTACTGAGATAGCTTGCGTCATCGCAAATACAATGTTAAGCTCAGGGCTTGGGGATATGCGCAAACCAATATGATTAAGACGTTGGTAAAATGAGAGCACTCGCCCCAGGTCGGCGGGCTCTAGGATTTCGGGATCTATACGGGCCATTCTTTTTCCTGGTTCAAATAGGACCCCCATGGCTTCTTCCCGCACAGACGCCGAATCCATAGGTGGAGTTTTTAGAAACTCGGGCGACGTGTCCCACCGGGCCTGTTCAGCTGCAGCCAGGTTAGCTGCAGGCGTGGTTTTTAAAATGTAAGCCTTGAGTAGTTCATCAAGGGCCCTCTCAAACCTGATACCATAACCAAGCTGAAGGGCAGTATGGCCAACAATTGGCTTATAGATATAGTTGTTCCAAAAACTCCGGCCGCAGCTGTTAATTTGCCCAATAAGACCGTATATCCAAAAATCCAATTCACTTTTGTAGAGGAATTGTTTGAAATTTGGCGCTTGAGAAGCGTCAAAGGAGCTCATTTTTGGGATGGGGGAGGACTAGCTTTGAAGTTTGAGTTTCTAATGTAAGCTGTCAAGTCTGCTAAGACTTTTAATTCAGCTTCACATCCTTCGGAACAAACTGGTATGTTGGCAATGGTTAATTGTCTAACGGTAAATCCAGAACGGTCAGCGAGATCAATTTGACGATGAACAGGGAGATCGGCGAATGTCTCATAAGAGCTGGCGTTGTTCTTTGAATGGGTCTCAGATGTTGAGTGGGCAACAGAACTTCCAGTGCTGGCTGACTCGAAGGATGAGGGTCCTTCATTGACTCCTGTAGTGTTTCCGTGATTAGACATGGCGGAGAAGACTAAAAGCAAGAGTTAATAAGTAAATACGATTGATAAGCTGAAAGCTGAAAGAGTATTTAATAAAAACAGTTTTGCGTAAATTTAGAGTATATATAAGAATTATATAAAATGATAAAAATAATAAAATAATAAAATAATAAAATAATAAAATAATAAAAGTTCGCTATCATACCTAAAAGCAAGAGTTAATAAGTAAATACGATTGATAAGCTGAAAGCTGAAAGAGTATTTAATAAAAACAGTTTTGCGTAAATTTAGAGTAGCGAGAAAAAAAGAAGGGAAAGAAAACAAGAAAGGTTTCTGTAATGAAGAAAATTTAAAAGAGCATCTTGAAAAATTTTCTTTAGCAATAGGGAGTCTTGATTGTAACAATTATTGTAACTCCAATGGTAATGGGCTAGTAGTTGCTAGTGAATAATGTAACAATGTAAAGAGTGTAATTGGAAAAAAAAAATTATTATGGGATAATGTTGAAATACACGATAGTACCATGACATATATTCCAACACAGTTTTGCGTAAATTTAGAGTATATATAAGAATTATATAAAATGATAAAAATAATAAAATAATAAAATAATAAAAGTTCGCTATCATACCTAAAAGCAAGAGTTAATAAGTAAATACGATTGATAAGCTGAAAGCTGAAAGAGTATTTAATAAAAACAGTTTTGCGTAAATTTAGAGTAGCGAGAAAAAGAAGAGAAAGAAAACAAGAAAGGTTTCTGTAATGAAGAAAATTTAAAAGAGCATCTTGAAAATTTTCTTTAGCAATAGGGAGTCTTGATTGTAACAATTATTGTAACCCAATGGTAATGGGCCAGTAGTTGCTAGTGAATAATGTAACAATGTAAAGAGTGTAATTGGGAAAAAAAAAATATTATGGGATAATGTTGAAATACACGATAGTACCATGACATATATTCCAACAACTGAGCTACCCCCAGCGCCCTCCTCTGAGAGGCTGTTGCTGGGAGCTGGTGGTTCTGATACTGTTACTACTGCTGCATCTGGAAGTGGCAGTGAACTGAGAGACACTGATGTGAATGATCGCCCACGCTTACCGCCTGCACCATCTACTCAGAGGCTCCTGCTAGAGTATGGGCGAGCAGGGGACGCTACAAGCTTTGGGGACAATGCAAGCGACGTGCAGCACAGCTCCGTGCAACAAAATCGACATATGCTACTTCCGGCTCCACCTTCGAGACGGTTGTTGTTGGCAGCTCCTCCTTCTTCTTCTGAACATGATTCGCAAACTGCTGGGCAAGTAGCTGTTCGACAAGCAAGCCAACACTCTGCTCCGGCAGAAGCCCAACAGCCTCTTGCTGATACTGAAAGAATTACTAGGTCTGCTGCGGGTGCTGCGGGTGCTGCGGGTGCTGCGGGTGCTGCGAGTGCTGCGAAAGTGCCTGCTCCGTCGTCCAGACACCGTCATCGAGAAGCTTCTCGGGACACAGTTGTTGTTAACAAAAGATTGGCTGATTTGATTGAGCAAAATGGCTATTATGTTCCTAACAGTGCACTTCAGCGGCTGGCGCGAAAAGAAAATTCTTCATTAATTTTAAATCGCACAAATTTAATTACCCGGCCTACTGATAACCTTCCACTAGTAAGTGGCGCGGCTTTGAAAAATAAAATTTTCTCCACCACCACACAATCTAAAAATTTTTCTTCGGCTACTAATTTATTACAGAAAGTATCCTCAGAAAATTCGACTTCAAGCTCTTCACCAAGATTGGAAAATGAAGCCACGAATGATTCTCCTACAACACCTTCTACTCCTGCTTCTTTGTCCTCGGAATCATCTGCACATTCGGTGCCAGTGGTTACTTCGCCAACCTCCTCTGCTGTGACGTCTCCCACATTAGAAAGCTCTTCTTCTCGTCGTGATCATCAAACCACTCCTCCCTCGTCTTCGAATCGCATGCTGTCAATAGCACAACGCAATATCTTACGCAGCGCGGCTGAAGCCATCTCAAGAATCGACTTAGGAGCTTTAAGAAATCTGCGAAAAGAAATCGCTCTGCAAGCCCAACCACTACAGCATCGGGCTTACTTTGGGGCTCTCGCTCCTCTGATCGGCACAGTGATAAACTGAAACTCTCGAACTCTGAGTCAGCTTTGGACTCGGAACCTAGGGTCACTGCTACATGGCTTGCCACCTCGTGAGCGTTCAACACTGAGAGCCTCACACGGCCACCTCCAGGGTACACCGGATCTTAGATTCAACCCCACTCCCGATGCAGTTCCTTTCTTTCTCACACTCACTCGGCAACACACAATGTCCCTACTACTTCAACATCAGTGGATGAAGACTCAGTCGTTAGCACTGACTCGCCGTCCCACTCTCCCGCCTCCACACCCGAAATTGAAGTTGAGGCTACAAGCGATGAAATCTTAACCGCAGCACCCTACAATTCTGACTCCCAGGGCTCATCAGAACACTTAGCTGACGGCATTGATTTCTTACATGAAACTTTTGTTTCTTCGCCTGCTGATGATGAAATTATTTTTGTTGATGAATCGGCAAGCCCATCAGGAGATCCGTCTGCCGGGGCTGCCGACGATGTCATTGGCATTGGCTGCATCTACTCGAACTCTGAAGAACCAACTGTGAAAGCCCGCATGGCGTCTGGAAGACTTGACACACTCAACGCTATTAACATTAAGCTTCCAATTTTGAGAAATGACATCAAAGTGTCAGAATCTAGCAAACCAGGTCTCTACTTTACGGCTCCTGATGTGGAGAATGTTAGAGCTCTTATCAGCGACAGAGATTGGGCCGATCTTAAGGATCGCCCTGCCTTCATTCGATTTCCGAATGTGGGAGTGGCGCTGCTCGACCCTGGCAAGAAGCTAAAAAGGGACCCACGGTCACTTGAGGAAGCCAACAACAGAGAAGATAAGCGCTTCTGGTTTGATGCGGCCTATTCGGAATTTGCTGCCATTGATGGAAATCATGTCTACCAAGTTGTGCCCCTCCCGGCGGGTCGCAAAGCCCTTGGCACCAAATGGGTGCTGAAGAAGAAACTCAACACGGATGGTTCAATTGACAAGTACAAGGCTCGTCTTGTTGTTCAGGGGTTTCGTCAGAAGTTTGGTGTTGACTATGTTGACACCTTTGCGCCAGTGATGAGATTCAGCACTGTTCGTCTCATTTTCGCCCTAAGTGCGGCGAAGAACTGCGAGATGCACCACGTCGATGTTAAAAATGCTTTCTTGAATGGAGATCTAGAAGAAGACATCTATGTCAAGCCACCAACAGGAATTGACCATAATACCCCTCCTGGCATGGTCTGGAAGCTGAATAAAAGCTTATATGGACTGAAGCAAGCCCCTCTGTGTTGGAACAAGAAGCTTGTTGACAAGTTGGAAGCACTAGGTTACAAAGCTGCCAAGAAAGAACCCTGTCTCTTTTACAAGATTAATGGCAAAGACTTCAGTATTATAGGTCTTTATGTTGACGACATCTTAACGGCGTCAAATGTACCGGGAGAATTCGAGCGTTTTTTCAAGGGCCTATCTGGTTACTTTGCCATCAAAGATGAAGGTGGTGTTAACAAATTCTTGGGAATCAGAGTCCAGGACTCCGACAGGACAATATCTCTGGATCTGGAACATTATATTGCTGACATGATTGAGGTTTTCAAATTGAGTAATCAAACAGCTAAGTCGATACCGTTGCCCAAGAAACATGGCCTTGATTTCCCACAGGGCCTCGATGCTCGTCCAGCTAACCAATCGCTGTATCGCAGCATTCTTGGCAAGCTACAGTTTGCTGCACAGACGGCCCGTCCGGACATTGCCTACGCTACAGGCAAGCTTGCTCAGTATGCGAGTGACCCTAGAGCTATTCATATGGATAGAGCATATCATGTTCTGAGCTACCTCAAAGGCACCAAGGACCTGGCAATTGTCTATCACAAAAATGTACCAGGGGCCTCTCCGCGGCTTCTGAGAGGCTGGTCAGATGCCGATTGGGCAAACGATCCCGACAGGAAGTCTATCTCAGGCTTTGCATTCTCTCATGGTCCCTCAACCTTCTCTTGAAGTCGGCCAAACAGAAGTTGACAGCAACTTCCACAACCGAGGCTGAGCTGATTGCCGCTTTCTCTGCCACGTGTGAGGCAGTTTACTTCCGAGATCTTTTGGAAGAACTTGGTGAATCTCAACCAACGACTGTCATCATGGAGGACAACAAAGGTGTCCTGGATCTCATGAAGGACAGCAAACATCACGAGCGGACTAAACATATTGATACCAAGTACATGCGCACCAGAGACCATGTCAAAGCCGGCGATACCCGTCTTGAAGCTGTTACTTCAGCAGATAATGTGGCAGACATTTTTACCAAAGCTCTGGCTAAGCCGCAGTTTTTATATTTGAGGAATCTTCTGGGTATGAGTACCCGTCCTCAAGTTGAGGGGAAATGGACTTGATGCAGTGCTCGTCTCGTCAAATAATACCTCCATCGTTACACCGCAGTCATTTTTGAAGACTCGACGACGCAAAGATCAAGAGATTGAATCTTGATAACGGGCTATTGTTGCAGGGGGCTGTTGGAATATATGTCATGGTACTATCGTGTATTTCAACATTATCCCATAATATTTTTTTTTCCCAATTACACTCTCTACATTGTTACATTATTCACTAGCAACTACTAGCCCATTACCATTGGAGTTACAATAATTGTTACAATCAAGACTCCCTATTGCTAAAGAAAATTTTCAAGATGCTCTTTTAAATTTTCTTCATTACAGAAACCTTTCTTGTTTTTCTTTCTCTTCTTTTCTCGCTACTCTAAATTTACGCAAAACTGTTTTTATTAAATACTCCTTCAGCTTTCAGCTTATCAATCGTATTTACTTATTAACTCTTGCTTTTAGGTATGATAGCGAACTTTTATTATTTTATTATTTTATTATTTTTATCATTTATATAATTCTTATATACACTCTAAATTTACGCAAAACTGTTTTTATTAAATACTCCTTCAGCTTTCAGCTTATCAATCGTATTTACTTATTAACTCTTGCTTTTAGTCTTCTCCGCTATGTCTAATCACGGAAACACTACAGGAGTCAATGAAGGACCCTCATCCTTCGAGTCAGCCAGCACTGGAAGTTCTGTTGCCCACTCAACATCTGAGACCCATTCAAAGAACAACGCCAGCTCTTATGAGACATTCGCCGATCTCCTGTTCATCGTCAAATTGATCTCGCTGACCGTTCTGGATTTACCGTTAGACAATTAACCATTGCCAACATACCAGTTTGTTCCGAAGGATGTGAAGCTGAATTAAAAGTCTTAGCAGACTTGACAGCTTACATTAGAAACTCAAACTTCAAAGCTAGTCCTCCCCCATCCCAAAAGGTTTTATTATCTTGACCAAGTAGAATTTGCTTACAATTCCGCACCACAGTCTACTATTAAGACATCTCCATTTGTCGCTGATCTTGGCTTTCTACCTCGCCAACCTGCAATGATCCGTCCACCATCGGATGCTCGTACACCCTCAAATGTGGAAAGTCTACAAGTCAAACTGAAAGCTATTCTGTTACGTACTCAAGAGTACATGAGTTTCTCACAGTTGAGTCAACAACGACAAGCTGACAAGCATCGTCGTCCTGTGGAAATTAAAGTTGGTGATTCTGTTCTTATCCACCACACTAGTTTTCAGAGCCCTAGCAATAGGATGCTGCCACTTTTCGTCGGTCCATACACCGCCGTTAAAGCAATTGGGGAGGAAATGCGTTTGAATTGGATTTACCCACTACTGTTAAGAACAACCGTGTTTTTAATGTTTCGAAATTACGCAAATATGTCAAATCTGATGAATACCCTGCTGAGATTAGACCTACTGAGGATTATGTTAAGAAGAACTTGAACCGCATTGCTAGCGTAGCCGCTATGCAAAATGGTCTTGTCTATCTACAGTTCACAGATAGCCTACCTGGACATTGCGTCGCCATTTCAACAAGTTTTGGAATACTATGCCTGCCGAAAAAGGATACCATTATTCAAAGCTTACATGGTTAGAATCAAAGCTCGGGACGAGCCTTTATGAAAGGAGGGAAAGTTGTAAAAGATTAACAAGCAACAACCAAGACAAATAATTATAAATGTCTTAAAGATCAAACTTGCAATCAACCAAGACAAATAATTATAAATGCTTAAAGATCAAACATGCAATCAAAATAAATAATTATCGATAAATGCTTGAGGATAAAAATACATTAATCTAGATTAAGATTAAGAAGTGATTAAGAAGGAATTATTAAAGAGAATCGCTTGAATATATATAGTCATATATTTCCATAAGTTTTTATCAGTATCTAAAAGATATTTACATCAATACAATAAGTTTTATATTAAACTATTAGCTTGGTTCTTTCTTTGGACAATCCGACTTTACTCTCATACGATAACTCCATTACACAATAAATAATAAGAGGCCGTGTGGTCTAGTCCACCTGTGTCAAAAAGCGGAAAGTCACATGATAAATCCAAGGAATTAAAAATTGGCCGCTTTTGTAATCCGGGTTTTACCCGTACCCTGAATATGCATAGACACGATTTAGGCGATTTTAATCAAAAAAATAAAAATGAAAATGGATAAGAAACAAACTAATTGATTTTTCTTATCTTTTCATTAAAGGTTCGGACCATTAACGACCAAAAATCTACAATATCTTTTCCAGTATTTTCATAGCTGCAATTTTAATCAAAATGAGTTTAGTAGGTTCAATTGCAAATGATGATTCTTCCGAGCACAATGAAAGCATTGTTGAGATTACTGGGAAGAAGAAGAATTTAATTTAGTCCACACCTTGAACTTGAACAACAGAACGAGAGAGGCCAATCATATGAACTTAGATGAAGAGACTGAGGTGATTTCTGGCAGACTACATATTGTTATGGACAATCTGAGGACTTGTTTTTATAGAGCGGAGCAAGATGGGTTTTCAGAAATAAATTATGACCTTTATTTATCTCATAAAAGGCTTTTGCAAGAATCGGATGCATTAATTGACAAAATAATCATCCAAGATAAAGTCAAAGAAAGGCCATTGGCTAACAAAATTTTCTTTTAAAACATTCTGCTAGAGCTCTCAATGCCACTTTTCGTTTTGATCGTCTCGAAATACTGGAACTTCTTACGCTTTTGGACCTCACAGAGTTCAGAAATAAGCACAAAACAAAAATCGCAACCCAAGAAGGCATACTACTGTGTTTGTCTAGGTTTTCTAATTTCATGTCATATAGATATCTTTCAGAAGTGTGGGGACGGCCTCCTTCAACAATCAACCATATTGTAAATGATTTTATTGACTGTTTATACAATAATTATGGCATGCTGTTGGATTTCGAAAAAAATCCTTTCCTTACCTTTTGAGATGGGGGAGGACTAGCTTTGAAGTTTGAGTTTCTAATGTAAGCTGTCAAGTCTGCTAAGACTTTTAATTCAGCTTCACATCCTTCGGAACAAACTGGTATGTTGGCAATGGTTAATTGTCTAACGGTAAATCCAGAACGGTCAGCGAGATCAATTTGACGATGAACAGGGAGATCGGCGAATGTCTCATAAGAGCTGGCGTTGTTCTTTGAATGGGTCTCAGATGTTGAGTGGGCAACAGAACTTCCAGTGCTGGCTGACTCGAAGGATGAGGGTCCTTCATTGACTCCTGTAGTGTTTCCGTGATTAGACATGGCGGAGAAGACTAAAAGCAAGAGTTAATAAGTAAATACGATTGATAAGCTGAAAGCTGAAAGAGTATTTAATAAAAACAGTTTTGCGTAAATTTAGAGTATATATAAGAATTATATAAAATGATAAAAATAATAAAATAATAAAATAATAAAATAATAAAATAATAAAAGTTCGCTATCATACCTAAAAGCAAGAGTTAATAAGTAAATACGATTGATAAGCTGAAAGCTGAAAGAGTATTTAATAAAAACAGTTTTGCGTAAATTTAGAGTAGCGAGAAAAAGAAGGAAAGAAAACAAGAAAGGTTTCTGTAATGAAGAAAATTTAAAAGAGCATCTTGAAAAATTTTCTTTAGCAATAGGGAGTCTTGATTGTAACAATTATTGTAACTCCAATGGTAATGGGCTAGTAGTTGCTAGTGAATAATGTAACAATGTAAAGAGTGTAATTGGAAAAAAAAAATTATTATGGGATAATGTTGAAATACACGATAGTACCATGACATATATTCCAACACAGTTTTGCGTAAATTTAGAGTATATATAAGAATTATATAAAATGATAAAAATAATAAAATAATAAAATAATAAAAGTTCGCTATCATACCTAAAAGCAAGAGTTAATAAGTAAATACGATTGATAAGCTGAAAGCTGAAAGAGTATTTAATAAAAACAGTTTTGCGTAAATTTAGAGTAGCGAGAAAAAGAAGAGAAAGAAAACAAGAAAGGTTTCTGTAATGAAGAAAATTTAAAAGAGCATCTTGAAAATTTTCTTTAGCAATAGGGAGTCTTGATTGTAACAATTATTGTAACTCCAATGGTAATGGGCTAGTAGTTGCTAGTGAATAATGTAACAATGTAAAGAGTGTAATTGGGAAAAAAAATATTATGGGATAATGTTGAAATACACGATAGTACCATGACATATATTCCAACAACCGGAGCTACCCCCAGCGCCCTCCTCTGAGAGGCTGTTGCTGGGAGCTGGTGGTTCTGATACTGTTACTACTGCTGCATCTGGAAGTGGCAGTGAACTGAGAGACACTGATGTGAATGATCGCCCACGCTTACCGCCTGCACCATCTACTCAGAGGCTCCTGCTAGAGTATGGGCGAGCAGGGGACGCTACAAGCTTTGGGGACAATGCAAGCGACGTGCAGCACAGCTCCGTGCAACAAAATCGACATATGCTACTTCCGGCTCCACCTTCGAGACGGTTGTTGTTGGCAGCTCCTCCTTCTTCTTCTGAACATGATTCGCAAACTGCTGGGCAAGTAGCTGTTCGACAAGCAAGCCAACACTCTGCTCCGGCAGAAGCCCAACAGCCTCTTGCTGATACTGAAAGAATTACTAGGTCTGCTGCGGGTGCTGCGGGTGCTGCGGGTGCTGCAGGTGCTGCGAGTGCTGCGAAAGTGCCTGCTCCGTCGTCCAGACACCGTCATCGAGAAGCTTCTCGGGACACAGTTGTTGTTAACAAAAGATTGGCTGATTTGATTGAGCAAAATGGCTATTATGTTCCTAACAGTGCACTTCAGCGGCTGGCGCGAAAAGAAAATTCTTCATTAATTTTAAATCGCACAAATTTAATTACCCGGCCTACTGATAACCTTCCACTGGTAAGTGGCGCGGCTTTGAAAATAAAATTTTCTCCACCACCACACAATCTAAAATTTTTCTTCGGCTACTAATTTATTACAGAAAGTATCCTCAGAAAATTCGACTTCAAGCTCTTCACCAAGATTGGAAAATGAAGCCACGAATGATTCTCCTACAACACCTTCTACTCCTGCTTCTTTGTCCTCGGAATCATCTGCACATTCGGTGCCAGTGGTTACTTCGCCAACCTCCTCTGCTGTGACGTCTCCCACATTAGAAAGCTCTTCTTCTCGTCGTGATCATCAAACCACTCCTCCCTCGTCTTCGAATCGCATGCTGTCAATAGCACAACGCAATATCTTACGCAGCGCGGCTGAAGCCATCTCAAGAATCGACTTAGGAGCTTTAAGAAATCTGCGAAAAAGAAATCGCTCTGCAAGCCCAACCACTACAGCATCGGGCTTACTTTGGGGCTCTCGCTCCTCTGATCGGCACAGTGATAAACTGAAACTCTCGAACTCTGAGTCAGCTTTGGACTCGGAACCTAGGTCACTGCTACATGGCTTGCCACCTCGTGAGCGTTCAACACTGAGAGCCTCACACGGCCACCTCCAGGGTACACCGGATCTTAGATTCAACCCCTCCCGATGCAGTTCCCTTTCTTTCTCACACTCACTCGGCAACACACAATGTCCCTACTACTTCAACATCAGTGGATGAAGACTCAGTCGTTAGCACTGACTCGCCGTCCCACTCTCCCGCCTCCACACCCGAAATTGAAGTTGAGGCTACAAGCGATGAAATCTTAACCGCAGCACCCTACAATTCTGACTCCCAGGGCTCATCAGAACACTTAGCTGACGGCATTGATTTCTTACATGAAACTTTTGTTTCTTCGCCTGCTGATGATGAAATTATTTTTGTTGATGAATCGGCAAGCCCATCAGGAGATCCGTCTGCCGGGGCTGCCGACGATGTCATTGGCATTGGCTGCATCTACTCGAACTCTGAAGAACCAACTGTGAAAGCCCGCATGGCGTCTGGAAGACTTGACACACTCAACGCTATTAACATTAAGCTTCCAATTTTGAGAAATGACATCAAAGTGTCAGAATCTAGCAAACCAGGTCTCTACTTTACGGCTCCTGATGTGGAGAATGTTAGAGCTCTTATCAGCGACAGAGATTGGGCCGATCTTAAGGATCGCCCTGCCTTCATTCGATTTCCGAATGTGGGAGTGGCGCTGCTCGACCCTGGCAAGAAGCTAAAAGGGACCCACGGTCACTTGAGGAAGCCAACAACAGAAGATAAGCGCTTCTGGTTTGATGCGGCCTATTCGGAATTTGCTGCCATTGATGGAAATCATGTCTACCAAGTTGTGCCCCCGGCGGGTCGCAAAGCCCTTGGCACCAAATGGGTGCTGAAGAAGAAACTCAACACGGATGGTTCAATTGACAAGTACAAGGCTCGTCTTGTTGTTCAGGGGTTTCGTCAGAAGTTTGGTGTTGACTATGTTGACACCTTTGCGCCAGTGATGAGATTCAGCACTGTTCGTCTCATTTTCGCCCTAAGTGCGGCGAAGAACTGCGAGATGCACCACGTCGATGTTAAAAATGCTTTCTTGAATGGAGATCTAGAAGAAGACATCTATGTCAAGCCACCAACAGGAATTGACCATAATACCCCTCCTGGCATGGTCTGGAAGCTGAATAAAAGCTTATATGGACTGGAAGCAAGCCCCTCTGTGTTGGAACAAGAAGCTTGTTGACAAGTTGGAAGCACTAGGTTACAAAGCTGCCAAGAAAGAACCCTGTCTCTTTTACAAGATTAATGGCAAAGACTTCAGTATTATAGGTCTTTATGTTGACGACATCTTAACGGCGTCAAATGTACCGGGAGAATTCGAGCGTTTTTTCAAGGGCCTATCTGGTTACTTTGCCATCAAAGATGAAGGTGGTGTTAACAAATTCTTGGGAATCAGAGTCCAGGACTCCGACAGGACAATATCTCTGGATCTGGAACATTATATATTGCTGACATGATTGAGGTTTTCAAATTGAGTAATCAAACAGCTAAGTCGATACCGTTGCCCAAGAAACATGGCCTTGATTTCCCACAGGGCCTCGATGCTCGTCCAGCTAACCAATCGCTGTATCGCAGCATTCTTGGCAAGCTACAGTTTGCTGCACAGACGGCCCGTCCGGACATTGCCTACGCTACAGGCAAGCTTGCTCAGTATGCGAGTGACCCTAGAGCTATTCATATGGATAGAGCATATCATGTTCTGAGCTACCTCAAAGGCACCAAGGACCTGGCAATTGTCTATCACAAAAATGTACCAGGGGCCTCTCCGCGGCTTCTGAGAGGCTGGTCAGATGCCGATTGGGCAAACGATCCCGACAGGAAGTCTATCTCAGGCTTTGCATTCTCTCATGGTCCCTCAACCTTCTCTTGGAAGTCGGCCAAACAGAAGTTGACAGCAACTTCCACAACCGAGGCTGAGCTGATTGCCGCTTTCTCTGCCACGTGTGAGGCAGTTTACTTCCGAGATCTTTTGGAAGAACTTGGTGAATCTCAACCAACGACTGTCATCATGGAGGACAACAAAGGTGTCCTGGATCTCATGAAGGACAGCAAACATCACGAGCGGACTAAACATATTGATACCAAGTACATGCGCACCAGAGACCATGTCAAAGCCGGCGATACCCGTCTTGAAGCTGTTACTTCAGCAGATAATGTGGCAGACATTTTTACCAAAGCTCTGGCTAAGCCGCAGTTTTTATATTTGAGGAATCTTCTGGGTATGAGTACCCGTCCTCAAGTTGGGGGAAATGGACTTGATGCAGTGCTCGTCTCGTCAAATAATACCTCCATCGTTACACCGCAGTCATTTTTTGAAGACTCGACGACGCAAAGATCAAGAGATTGAATCTTGATAACGGGCTATTGTTGCAGGGGGGCTGTTGGAATATATGTCATGGTACTATCGTGTATTTCAACATTATCCCATAATATTTTTTTTTTCCCAATTACACTCTCTACATTGTTACATTATTCACTAGCAACTACTAGCCCATTACCATTGGAGTTACAATAATTGTTACAATCAAGACTCCCTATTGCTAAAGAAAATTTTCAAGATGCTCTTTTAAATTTTCTTCATTACAGAAACCTTTCTTGTTTTTCTTTCTCTTCTTTTTCTCGCTACTCTAAATTTACGCAAAACTGTTTTTATTAAATACTCCTTCAGCTTTCAGCTTATCAATCGTATTTACTTATTAACTCTTGCTTTTAGGTATGATAGCGAACTTTTATTATTTTATTATTTTATTATTTTTATCATTTATATAATTCTTATATACACTCTAAATTTACGCAAAACTGTTTTTATTAAATACTCCTTCAGCTTTCAGCTTATCAATCGTATTTACTTATTAACTCTTGCTTTTAGTCTTCTCCGCTATGTCTAATCACGGAAACACTACAGGAGTCAATGAAGGACCCTCATCCTTCGAGTCAGCCAGCACTGGAAGTTCTGTTGCCCACTCAACATCTGAGACCCATTCAAAGAACAACGCCAGCTCTTATGAGACATTCGCCGATCTCCCTGTTCATCGTCAAATTGATCTCGCTGACCGTTCTGGATTTACCGTTAGACAATTAACCATTGCCAACATACCAGTTTGTTCCGAAGGATGTGAAGCTGAATTAAAAGTCTTAGCAGACTTGACAGCTTACATTAGAAACTCAAACTTCAAAGCTAGTCCTCCCCCATCCCAAAAGGTTTTATTATCTTGACCAAGTAGAATTTGCTTACAATTCCGCACCACAGTCTACTATTAAGACATCTCCATTTGTCGCTGATCTTGGCTTTCTACCTCGCCAACCTGCAATGATCCGTCCACCATCGGATGCTCGTACACCCTCAAATGTGGAAAGTCTACAAGTCAAACTGAAAGCTATTCTGTTACGTACTCAAGAGTACATGAGTTTCTCACAGTTGAGTCAACAACGACAAGCTGACAAGCATCGTCGTCCTGTGGAAATTAAAGTTGGTGATTCTGTTCTTATCCACCACACTAGTTTTCAGAGCCCTAGCAATAGGATGCTGCCACTTTTCGTCGGTCCATACACCGCCGTTAAAGCAATTGGGGGAGGAAATGCGTTTGAATTGGATTTACCCACTACTGTTAAGAACAACCGTGTTTTTAATGTTTCGAAATTACGCAAATATGTCAAATCTGATGAATACCCTGCTGAGATTAGACCTACTGAGGATTATGTTAAGAAGAACTTGAACCGCATTGCTAGCGTAGCCGCTATGCAAAATGGTCTTGTCTATCTACAGTTCACAGATAGCCTACCTGGACATTGCGTCGCCATTTCAACAAGTTTTTGGAATACTATGCCTGCCGAAAAAAGGATACCATTATTCAAAGCTTACATGGTTAGAATCAAAGCTCGGGACGAGCCTTTATGAAAGGAGGGAAAGTTGTAAAAGATTAACAAGCAACAACCAAGACAAATAATTATAAATGTCTTAAAGATCAAACTTGCAATCAACCAAGACAAATAATTATAAATGCTTAAAGATCAAACATGCAATCAAAATAAATAATTATCGATAAATGCTTGAGGATAAAAATACATTAATCTAGATTAAGATTAAGAAGTGATTAAGAAGGAATTATTAAAGAGAATCGCTTGAATATATATAGTCATATATTTCCATAAGTTTTTATCAGTATCTAAAAGATATTTACATCAATACAATAAGTTTTATATTAAACTATTAGCTTGGTTCTTTCTTTGGACAATCCGACTTTACTCTCATACGATAACTCCATTACACAATAAATAATAAGAGGCCGTGTGGTCTAGTCCACCTGTGTCAAAGAAGCGGAAAGTCACATGATAAATCCGCGAATTAAAATTGGCCGCTTTTGTAATCCGGGTTTTACCCGTACCCTGAATATGCATAGACACGATTTAGGCGATTTTAATCAAAAAATAAAAATGAAAATGGATAAGAAACAAACTAATTGATTTTTCTTATCTTTTCATTAAAGGTTCGGACCATTAACGACCAAAATCTACAATATCTTTTCCAGTATTTTCATAGCTGCAATTTTAATCAAAATGAGTTTAGTAGGTTCAATTGCAAATGATGATTCTTCCGAGCACAATGAAAGCATTGTTGAGATTACTGGGGAAGAAGAAGAATTTAATTTAGTCCACACCTTGAACTTGAACAACAGAACGAGAGAGGCCAATCATATGAACTTAGATGAAGAGACTGAGGTGATTTCTGGCAGACTACATATTGTTATGGACAATCTGAGGACTTGTTTTTATAGAGCGGAGCAAGATGGGTTTTCAGAAATAAATTATGACCTTTATTTATCTCATAAAAGGCTTTTGCAAGAATCGGATGCATTAATTGACAAAATAATCATCCAAGATAAAGTCAAAGAAAGGCCATTGGCTAACAAAAATTTTCTTTTAAAACATTCTGCTAGAGCTCTCAATGCCACTTTTCGTTTTGATCGTCTCGAAATACTGGAACTTCTTACGCTTTTGGACCTCACAGAGTTCAGAAATAAGCACAAAACAAAAATCGCAACCCAAGAAGGCATACTACTGTGTTTGTCTAGGTTTTCTAATTTCATGTCATATAGATATCTTTCAGAAGTGTGGGGACGGCCTCCTTCAACAATCAACCATATTGTAAATGATTTTATTGACTGTTTATACAATAATTATGGCATGCTGTTGGATTTCGAAAAAAATCCTTTCCTTACCTTTTGAGATGGGGGAGGACTAGCTTTGAAGTTTGAGTTTCTAATGTAAGCTGTCAAGTCTGCTAAGACTTTTAATTCAGCTTCACATCCTTCGGAACAAACTGGCACGTTGGCAATGGTTAATTGTCTAACGGTAAATCCAGAACGGTCAGCGAGATCAATTTGACGATGAACAGGGAGATCGGCGAATGTCTCATAAGAGCTGGCGTTGTTCTTTGAATGGGTCTCAGATGTTGAGTGGGCAACAGAACTTCCAGTGCTGGCTGACTCGAAGGATGAGGGTCCTTCATTGACTCCTGTAGTGTTTCCGTGATTAGACATAGCGGAGAAGACTAAAAGCAAGAGTTAATAAGTAAATACGATTGATAAGCTGAAAGCTGAAAGAGTATTTAATAAAAAACAGTTTTGCGTAAATTTAGAGTATATATAAGAATTATATAAAATGATAAAAATAATAAAATAATAAAATAATAAAAGTTCGCTATCATACCTAAAAGCAAGAGTTAATAAGTAAATACGATTGATAAGCTGAAAGCTGAAAGAGTATTTAATAAAAACAGTTTTGCGTAAATTTAGAGTAGCGAGAAAAAGAAGAGAAAGAAAACAAAGAAAGGTTTCTGTAATGAAGAAAATTTAAAAGAGCATCTTGAAAAATTTTCTTTAGCAATAGGGAGTCTTGATTGTAACAATTATTGTAACTCCAATGGTAATGGGCTAGTAGTTGCTAGTGAATAATGTAACAATGTAAAGAGTGTAATTGGGAAAAAAAAATATTATGGGATAATGTTGAAATACACGATAGTACCATGACATATATTCCAACAGCCCCCCTGCAACAATAGCCCGTTATCAAGATTCAATCTCTTGATCTTTGCGTCGTCGAGTCTTCGAAAATGACTGCGGCGTAACGATGGAGGTATTATTTGACGAGACGAGCACTGCATCAAGTCCATTTCCCCCCTCAACTTGAGGACGGGTACTCATACCCAGAAGATTCCTCAAATATAAAAACTGCGGCTTAGCCAGAGCTTTGGTAAAAATGTCTGCCACATTATCTGCTGAAGCAACAGCTTCAAGACGGGTATCGCCGGCTTTGACATGGTTTCTGGTGCGCATGTACTTGGTATCAATGTGTTTAGTCCGCTCGTGATGTTTGCTGTCCTTCATGAGATCCAGGACACCTTTGTTGTCCTCCATGATGACAGTCGTTGGTTGAGATTCACCAAGTTCTTCCAAAAGATCTCGGAAGTAAACTGCCTCACACGTGGCAGAGAAAGCGGCAATCAGCTCAGCCTCGGTTGTGGAAGTTGCTGTCAACTTCTGTTTGGCCGACTTCCAAGAAGAAGGTTGAGGGACCATGAGAGAATGCAAAGCCTGAGATAGACTTCCTGTCGGGATCGTTTGCCCAATCGGCATCTGACCAGCCTCTCAGAAGCCGCGGAGAGGCCCTGGTACATTTTGTGATAGACAATTGCCAGGTCCTTGGTGCCTTTGAGGTAGCTCAGAACATGATATGCTCTATCCATATGAATAGCTCTAGGGTCACTCGCATACTGAGCAAGCTTGCCTGTAGCGTAGGCAATGTCCGGACGGGCCGTCTGTGCAGCAAACTGTAGCTTGCCAAGAATGCTGCGATACAGCGATTGGTTAGCTGGACGAGCATCGAGGCCCTGTGGGAAATCAAGGCCATGTTTCTTGGGCAACGGTATCGACTTAGCTGTTTGATTACTCAATTTGAAAACCTCAATCATGTCAGCAATATAATGTTCCAGATCCAGAGATATTGTCCTGTCGGAGTCCTGGACTCTGATTCCCAAGAATTTGTTAACACCACCTTCATCTTTGATGGCAAAGTAACCAGATAGGCCCTTGAAAAAACGCTCGAATTCTCCCGGTACATTTGACGCCGTTAAGATGTCGTCAACATAAAGACCTATAATACTGAAGTCTTTGCCATTAATCTTGTAAAGAGACAGGGTTCTTTCTTGGCAGCTTTGTAACCTAGTGCTTCCAACTTGTCAACAAGCTTCTTGTTCCAACACAGAGGGGCTTGCTTCAGTCCATATAAGCTTTTATTCAGCTTCCAGACCATGCCAGGAGGGGTATTATGGTCAATTCCTGTTGGTGGCTTGACATAGATGTCTTCTTCTAGATCTCCATTCAAGAAAGCATTTTTAACATCGACGTGGTGCATCTCGCAGTTCTTCGCCGCACTTAGGGCGAAAATGAGACGAACAGTGCTGAATCTCATCACTGGCGCAAAGGTGTCAACATAGTCAACACCAAACTTCTGACGAAACCCCTGAACAACAAGACGAGCCTTGTACTTGTCAATTGAACCATCCGTGTTGAGTTTCTTCTTCAGCACCCATTTGGTGCCAAGGGCTTTGCGACCCGCCGGGAGAGGCACAACTTGGTAGACATGATTTCCATCAATGGCAGCAAATTCCGAATAGGCCGCATCAAACCAGAAGCGCTTATCTTCTCTGTTGTTGGCTTCCGCAAGTGACCGTGGGTCCCTTTTAGCTTCTTGCCAGGGTCGAGCAGCGCCATCCCACATTCGGAAATCGAATGAAGGCAGGGCGATCCTTAAGATCGGCCCAATCTCTGTCGCTGATGAGAGCTCTAACATTCTCCACATCAGGAGCCGTAAAGTAGAGACCTGGTTTGCTAGATTCTGACACTTTGATGTCATTTCTTAAAATTGGAAGCTTAATGTTAATAGCGTTGAGTGTGTCAAGTCTTCCAGACGCCATGCGGGCTTTCACAGTTGGTTCTTCAGAGTTCGAGTAGATGCAGCCAATGCCAATGACATCGTCGGCAGCCCCGGCAGACGGATCTCCTGATGGGCTTGCCGATTCATCAACAAAAATAATTTCATCATCAGCAGGCGAAGAAACAAAAGTTTCATGTAAGAAATCAATGCCGTCAGCTAAGTGTTCTGATGAGCCCTGGGAGTCAGAATTGTAGGGTGCTGCGGTTAAGATTTCATCGCTTGTAGCCTCAACTTCAATTTCGGGTGTGGAGGCGGGAGAGTGGGACGGCGAGTCAGTGCTAACGACTGAGTCTTCATCCACTGATGTTGAAGTAGTAGGGACATTGTGTGTTGCCGAGTGAGTGTGAGAAAGAAAGGGAACTGCATCGGGAGTGGGGTTGAATCTAAGATCCGGTGTACCCTGGAGGTGGCCGTGTGAGGCTCTCAGTGTTGAACGCTCACGAGGTGGCAAGCCATGTAGCAGTGACCCAGGTTCCGAGTCCAAAGCTGACTCAGAGTTCGAGAGTTTCAGTTTATCACTGTGCCGATCAGAGGAGCGAGAGCCCCAAAGTAAGCCCGATGCTGTAGTGGTTGGGCTTGCAGAGCGATTTCTTTTTTCGCAGATTTCTTTAAAGCTCCTAAGTCGATTCTTGAGATGGCTTCAGCCGCGCTGCGTAAGATATTGCGTTGTGCTATTGACAGCATGCGATTCGAAGACGAGGGAGGAGTGGTTTGATGATCACGACGAGAAGAAGAGCTTTCTAATGTGGGAGACGTCACAGCAGAGGAGGTTGGCGAAGTAAACCACTGGCACCGAATGTGCAGATGATTCCGAGGACAAAGAAGCAGGAGTAGAAGGTGTTGTAGGAGAATCATTCGTGGCTTCATTTTCCAATCTTGGTGAAGAGCTTGAAGTCGAATTTTCTGAGGATACTTTCTGTAATAAATTAGTAGCCGAAGAAAAATTTTTAGATTGTGTGGTGGTGGAGAAAATTTTATTTTTCAAAGCCGCGCCACTTACTAGTGGAAGGTTATCAGTAGGCCGGGTAATTAGATTTGTGCGATTTAGAATTAATGAAGAATTTTCTTTTCGCGCCAGCCGCTGAAGTGCACTGTTAGGAACATAATAGCCATTTTGCTCAATCAAATCAGCCAATCTTTTGTTAACAACAACTGTGTCCCGAGAAGCTTCTCGATGACGGTGTCTGGACGACGGAGCAGGCACTTTCGCAGCACTCGCAGCACCCGCAGCACCCGCAGCACCCGCAGCACCCGCAGCAGACCTAGTAATTCTTTCAGTATCAGCAAGAGGCTGTTGGGCTTCTGCCGGAGCAGAGTGTTGGCTTGCTTGTCGAACAGCTACTTGCCCAGCAGTTTGCGAATCATGTTCAGAAGAAGAAGGAGGAGCTGCCAACAACAACCGTCTCGAAGGTGGAGCCGGAAGTAGCATATGTCGATTTTGTTGCACGGAGCTGTGCTGCACGTCGCTTGCATTGTCCCCAAAGCTTGTAGCGTCCCCTGCTCGCCCATACTCTAGCAGGAGCCTCTGAGTAGATGGTGCAGGCGGTAAGCGTGGGCGATCATTCTCAGCAGTGTCTCTCAGTTCACTGCCACTTCCAGATGCAGCAGTAGTAACAGTATCAGAACCACCAGCTCCCAGCAACAGCCTCTCAGAGGAGGGCGCTGGGGGTAGCTCCGGTAGCTCCTGCCGTATACCTGAGGAGCCAGCCACTTGGCTCCGCCTACCGGCATGTAAACGACGATTTTCTGGCTGACCAGCCCGTTCCAGCGCAGATTTTAATCTCGCTAAATTTAGATGCCTCTTCCTACTACCGCCCACCTCAGCCATTCTGGCAGACCGATTTGCTGACGTCGTATTTTGTACTAGCTCGGTGGTGGCCCGTACAAGTTCCGCCGCCGCCAAAACCAGTTGATTGCTGGCAGGATTATTTGTGCTTGTAGCAGTACCTTGAGTGTCACCTAAAACTTGCGGCACCCCGACATCTCTCGCAGGAGCTTCCTCCAACTTAGTAGAGGAATCCATGACAACGTCGCTAGACGAAAATTCAGAATCTGATGAGTCTTCCAATTCGTCGAAACCCAGTATATGTTCCACAGACCCATCCATGTCTTCATCATTGGTTTCTGAGTCAACCGCATCCTGATTGTCACCACAAGATTGGTTCGCGGTTTCAACAGCTGAAGCCTCACGGATAAGTTCAGCAGTTCCAGACAGCGCAAGATCCACACTGTCATCCTCATCCAAAATGTGTAGCTGTTTGGGAAGAGTCACCGGACTTGTTTGATGAGCCACCACTGAGGGCGACTGAGTTCCTGGAGCAAAGGCTTTCTGGAGCTTTACCATATGTTCAGAAAATGAATTTTCGTGAGAAAAATCTTCGTTAGTATCTTCGGAACCAGGGCGACCAGCTACGTTGGAGTTCACCGATCTCAAATCAGCATCATCAACAGCAGAATCTTCGAGCAATATATGATCCTCAGACTGAAGTGTATCTTTGTCGTCAGCAACACTAATTGATTCATCTGCAACCAGCTCCACATCAACATCTTCCAACGGTTGAAAAGAGTTTACAGTTATAGGTGTCGATGATGTAGAAGTAGAATCCTGGTCCTCCAATCTGCTGGATCTGTGGCTCCTTCCCTCAGAGCCCACATAAGTCCAGCCAAAGTTACCACCACCACCACCAGAGAGTGAAGTGGGAGAGTAGTCGTCAGAGTCAGATTCATCTTCACTTTTCTGATTCATCAGTGGAAGAGTCACTGTAGTCAGGGTCACGATTTCCAACCTCACTGTAGTCAATGAGAATGTCACCCTCGTAAATTGGCTTTTCGCCAAAAAATTTAACGCCAGGCAAGACATGGTCACGAAAGTTGCCGTGTACACAGCGCCGAATGCGCTTGTTCTTCGTAATGCATAGAAAATTCTTAGGATTTAACGGGTCGGGACCCAAATACAGAGCAGGCTCGCCCCGAGGCTGAAGGGTCCCTTTGAGTTTCTGAGACTCAGATTTAATGACAAAACTAGGCAGCCAAATGTGTGCACTAGTGCTATAGGTGGTTTTCTGCCCGTAAAGGCTTCATAAGGTGATATACCGGCTTTATTAACTATGGAGAAATTATATACCTGCACAGCGTAGAGCCAGGCAGAGTCCCAGTAGATATTGGCCCAGAGTGTCGACTGCATCAAGGCTCTAGTAGATATCTCACGAAGTGTGCGGTGGGCACGCTCAATTTTTCCATTTTGTTGGTGTTCATCAGGAGCAGTTAAAATATGAATGACGCCCCAATCTGCCAAAAATTTTCCAAGTGTGCCAGAGATAAATTCACCACCATTGTCAGTAATAAGCTTGGTGGCCTTGCCGTCAGCAGCACGGCGAGCAGCTTTGGGCACAAACTGCTTAAAGAACTGGATAAGTTTCCCAGGAGCTTCATCCTTAGATTCCAGAGCAAAAGCATAGATGTAACCAGAAAATGCATCAATGATATTCAGCATGTACCTGGCCCCTGAAGAGGCAGGACCTATGGGACCGACGAGATCAGCATGAATCTGGGCTAACGGAGCCGTGGATTCAGAAGCTATATGCTTATCCGGAGAAGTGAACCGCTTAATGCTTCTTGACGTGCCACATATGACACAGTCCTTGATCAACTCTTCGTCACGCTTGGTCACCTCAAAGGGAGGATCAGCAAGCTTGGCTAAATGCTTCACCGAAGTCAAAGAGCAATGAGCAAACCGAACATGACAGTCAAGTGCCTGCGAATTCAACACGGCCTCCTTTGCAATAAATTTGAGAGACGGTGAGAGGACAGGAAGTCCCTTTCCAACAGCGAGAGCTGATTTATCAACCTTCCTCATAGCTTCTGGTCCTTGTCTGCAAATCTGATCCCAGTCAATTGAATTTCCTGAGAACTTGAAGGAGCCAGTTGGAGGTACGATATTCCTAGTAAACTTTACCGGAACAATGTTGGCACAAATGTGAGACTTGGCATCTCTGGCACCACCAACCCTACCAACCTTTTCCTCACCAAAATAGGCCAGACAGTCCCCACTTGGGACCGTATGAAAAGAAACATCGTGCGTGCGCCAGACAGAATCAGAAAACAAATTGCTAGACCCAGCAGGAAAATAAAGTGCGTCAGCAATATGGCAAATATTGGTGCCACCGTCACCTTTTAATACAACAGCAATTTTACCTTCCCCTTCTAACACGATGTCGGAACCACCATAGGAGCTGATGGTTTTGGGGCTGCTGTATTTCTCATACGACACAAAGTAACTGTTGTCTGAGATAAGATGACCAGTAGCATTTCCAGAATCAAGAACATTTGGAAGATTTGTTTCACCCACAGAGGCGATTTGGTTGGCAGGTGGAAGAAAAGCAACTGGCGAATAATCACTGCTTCCGCCGTCATTATCAAATACGTCTTGATAGCCCGAGCAACCGAGCAAAGAGTTTCAACATCGTCGCGAGCCACCTCAAGATATTCGGTAGCTTTCAAGGCAGCAACTCTGTTTTGACCATCAGAGTTCGACTTTCTAGCTTGCTTGTCTTCATTGTTGCGCCTCTTGTTGCCACCGGACCCCTTGGACCACTGCTTCCCTTTTCCTTGCTTGGTATCAGAGTGGCCAGCTTTCTTCGAGGTTTCCTGCTTGGATTCCTGCTTGGGTTCTTGCTTGGGTTCCTGCTTTGGCACCACTTTTGTTGAACCGTCAATAATTCTTCGACCTTTTACGAAGGCTGCAGAAGTTGCTTCAACTAGCGCTGGGATTTCAACTGAATCACAGGGCTCCATCCTCCAGATCTTGACTTGAAAATGTCGACAAACTTGGTAATCCCCAGAGATGACTCTGAGGATCTTCGCGAGCAGCTGCTGAAACCTTGTTGTTATTCAGTACTGCTAAGATAAGGTCACGATGAAAGGTGCCATCTGGGTTGTTAAAGAAATATTGCTCCACTACAGAGGCCCACTTGGAAGCTTCCAGTAACAGTAGCTTGTATTTTGGTTTCAATTTCACTGCTGGTGAGCCCGGAGAAATAACTAGGACCTGGAACTCCTACTGAGATAGCTTGCGTCATCGCAAATACAATGTTAAGCTCAGGGCTTGGGGATATGCGCAAACCAATATGATTAAGACGTTGGTAAAATGAGAGCACTCGCCCCAGGTCGGCGGGGGCTCTAGGATTTCAGGATCTATACGGGCCATTCTTTTTCCTGGTTCAAATAGGACCCCATGGCTTCTTCCCGCACAGACGCCGAATCCATAGGTGGAGTTTTTAGAAACTCGGGCGACGTGTCCCACCGGGCCTGTTCAGCTGCAGCCAGGTTAGCTGCAGGCGTGGTTTTTAAAATGTAAGCCTTGAGTAGTTCATCAAGGGCCCTCTCAAACCTGATACCGTAACCAAGCTGAAGGGCAGTATGGCCAACAATTGGCTTATAGATATAGTTGTTCCAAAAACTCCGGCCGCAGCTGTTAATTTGCCCAATAAGACCGTATATCCAAAAATCCAATTCACTTTTGTAGAGAAATTGTTTGAAATTTGGCGCTTGAGAAGCGTCAAAGGAGCTCATAACCTTTGAGATGGGGAGGACTAGCTTTGAAGTTTGAGTTTCTAATGTAAGCTGTCAAGTCTGCTAAGACTTTTAATTCAGCTTCACATCCTTCGGAACAAACTGGTATGTTGGCAATGGTTAATTGTCTAACGGTAAATCCAGAACGGTCAGCGAGATCAATTTGACGATGAACAGGAGATCGGCGAATGTCTCATAAGAGCTGGCGTTGTTCTTTGAATGGGTCTCAGATGTTGAGTGGGCAACAGAACTTCCAGTGCTGGCTGACTCGAAGGATGAGGGTCCTTCATTGACTCCTGTAGTGTTTCCGTGATTAGACATAGCGGAGAAGACTAAAAGCAAGAGTTAATAAGTAAATACGATTGATAAGCTGAAAGCTGAAAGAGTATTTAATAAAAAACAGTTTTGCGTAAATTTAGAGTATATATAAGAATTATATAAAATGATAAAAATAATAAAATAATAAAATAATAAAATAATAAAATAATAAAATAATAAAATAATAAAATAATAAAAGTTCGCTATCATACCTAAAAGCAAGAGTTAATAAGTAAATACGATTGATAAGCTGAAAGCTGAAAGAGTATTTAATAAAAAACAGTTTTGCGTAAATTTAGAGTAGCGAGAAAAGAAGTGAAGAAAACAAGAAAGGTTTCTGTAATGAAGAAAATTTAAAGAGCATCTTGAAAAATTTTCTTTAGCAATAGGGAGTCTTGATTGTAACAATTATTGTAACTCCAATGGTAATGGGCTAGTAGTTGCTAGTGAATAATGTAACAATGTAAAGAGTGTAATTGGGAAAAAAAATATTATGGGATAATGTTGAAATACACGATAGTACCATGACATATATTCCAACACTTTCGTGACCATGTCTTGCCTGGCGTTAAGTTTTTTGGCGAAAAGCCAATTTACGAGGGTGACATTCTCATTGACTACAGTGAGATTGGAAATCGTGACCCTGACTACAGTGACTCTTCCACTGATGAATCAGAAAGTGAAGATGAATCTGACTCTGACGACTACTCTCCCACTTCACTCTCTGGTGGTGGTGGTGGTGGTAACTTTGGCTGGACTTATGTGGGCTCTGAGGGAAGGAGCCACAGATCCAGCAGATTGGAGGACCAGGATTCTACTTCTACATCATCGACACCTATAACTGTAAACTCTTTTCAACCGTTGGAAGATGTTGATGTGGAGCTGGTTGCAGATGAATCAATTAGTGTTGCTGACGACAAAGATACACTTCAGTCTGAGGACCATATATTGCTCGAAGATTCTGCTGTTGATGATGCTGATTTGAGATCGGTGAACTCCAACGTAGCTGGTCGCCCTGGTTCCGAAGATACTAACGAAGATTTTTCTCACGAAAATTCATTTTCTGAACATATGGTAAAGCTCCAGAAAGCCTTTGCTCCAGGAACTCAGTCGCCCTCAGTGGTGGCTCATCAAACAAGTCCGGTGACTCTTCCCAAACAACTACACATTTTGGATGAGGATGACAGTGTGGATCTTGCGCTGTCTGGAACTGCTGAACTTACCCGCGAGGCTTCAGCTGTTGAAACCGCTAGCCAATCTGGTGATGACAATCAGGATGCGGTTGACTCAGAAACCAATGATGAAGACATGGATGGGTCTGTGGAACATATACTGGGTTTCGACGAATTGGAAGACTCATCAGATTCTGAATTTTCGTCTAGCGACGTTGTCATGGATTCCTCTACTAAGTTGGAGGAAGCTCCTGCGAGATGTCGGGGTGCCGCAAGATTTAGGTGACACTCAAGGTACTGCTACAAGCACAAATAATCCTGCCAGCAATCAACTGGTTTTGGCGGCGGCGGAACTTGTACGGGCCACCACCGAGCTAGTAGAAACTACGACGTCTGCAAATCGGTCTGCCAGAATGGCTGAGGCGGGCGGTAGTAGGAAGAGGCATCTAAATTTAGCGAGATTAAAATCTGCGCTGGAACGTGCTGGTCAGCCAGAAAATCGTCGTTTACATGCCGGTAGGCGGAGCCAAGTGGCTGGCTCCTCAGGTATACGGCAGGAGCTACCGGAGCTACCCCCAGCGCCCTCCTCTGAGAGGCTGTTGCTGGGAGCTGGTGGTTCTGATACTGTTACTACTGCTGCATCTGGAAGTGGCAGTGAACTGAGAGACACTGCTGAGAATGATCGCCCACGCTTACCGCCTGCACCATCTACTCAGAGGCTCCTGCTAGAGTATGGGCGAGCAGGGGATGCTACAAGCTTTGGGGACAATACAAGCGACGTGCGGCACAGCTCCGTGCAACAAAATCGACATATGCCACTTCCGGCTCCACCTTCGAGACGGTTGTTGTTGGCAGCTCCTCCTCCGTCTTCTTCTGAACATGATTCGCAAACTGCTGGGCAAGTAGTTGTTCGACAAACAAGCCAACACTCAGCTCCGGCAGAAGCCCAACAGCCTCTTGCTAATACTGGAAGAATTACTAGGTCTGCTGCGGGTACTGCGGGTGCTGCGGGTGCTGCGGGTGCTGCGAGAGTGCCTGCTCCGTCGTCCAGACACCGTCATCGAGAAGCCTCTCGGGACACAGTTGTTGTTAACAAAAGATTAGCTGATTTGATTGAGCAAAATGGCTATTATGTTCCTAACAGTGCACTTCAGCGGCTGGCGCGAAAAGAAAATTCTTCATTAATTCTAAATCGCACAAATCTAATTACCCGGCCTACTGATAACCTTCCACTAGTAAGTGGCGCGGCTTTGCAAAATAAAATTTTCTCCACCACCACGAAATCTAAAAAATTTTTCTTCGGCTACTAATTTATCACAGAAAGTAGTCTCAGAAAATTCGACTTCAAACTCCTCACCAAGATTGGAAAATGAAGCCTCAAATGGTTCTCCCACAACACCCTCTACCTCTGCTTCTTTGTCCTCGGAATCATCTGCACATTCGGAGCCAGTGGTTACATCACCAACCTCCTCTGCTGTGACGTCTCCCACATTAGAAAGTTCTTCTTCTCGTCGTGATCACCAAACCACTCCTCCCTCGTCATCGAATCGCATGCTGTCGATAGCACAACGCAATATCTTACGCAGTGCAGCTGAGGCCATCTCAAGAATCGACTAAGGAGCTTTTAAGAAATCTGCGAAAAAGAAATCGCTCTACAAGCCCAACCACTACAGCATCGGGCTTACTTTGGGGCTCTCGCTCTTCCGACCGGCACAGTGACAAACTGAAACTCTCGAACTCTGAGTCAGCTTTGGACTCGGAATCTAGGTCACTGCTGCATGGTCTGCCAGCTCGTGAGGGTTCAACACTGAGAGCCCCACACGGCCACCTCCAGGGTACACCGAATCTTAGATTCAACCCCACTCCCGATGCGGTTCCCTTTCTTTCTCACACTCACTCGGCAACACACAATGTCCCTGCTACGTCAGCATCAGTAGATGAGGACTCAGTCGTTAGCACTGACTCGCAGTCCCACTCTCCCGCCTCCACAACCGAAGCTGATGTTGAGGCTACAAGCGATGAAATCTCAATTGCAGCACCCTACAATTCTGACTCTCAGGGCTCATCAGAACACTTAGCTGACGGCATTGACTTCTTACATGAAACTTTTGTTTCTTCGCCTGCTGATGATGAAATTATTTTTTGTTGATGAATCGGCAAGCCCATCAGGAGATCCGTCTGCCGGGGCTGTCGACGATGTCATTGGCATTGGCTGCATCTACTCGAACTCTGAAGAACCAACTGTGAAAGCCCGCATGGCGTCTGGAAGACTTGACACACTCAGCGCTATTAACATTAAGCTTCCAATCTTGAGGAATGACATCAAAGTGTTAGAATCTAGCAAACCAGGTCTCTGCTTTACGGCTCCTGATGTGGAGAATGTTAGAGCTCTCATCAGCGACAGAGATTGGGCAGATCTTAAGGACCGTCCTGCCTTCATTCGATTTCCGAATGTGGGAGTGGCGCTGCTCGACCCTGGCAAGAAGCTAAAAGGGACCCACGGTCACTTGCGGAAGCCAACAACAGAGAAGATAAGCGCTTCTGGTTCGATGCGGCCTATTCGGAATTTGCTGCCATTGATGGCAATCATGTATACCAAGTTGTGCCCTCCCGGCGGGTCGCAAAGCACTTGGCACCAAATGGGTGCTGAAGAAGAAACTCAACACGGATGGTTCAATTGACAAGTACAAGGCTCGTCTTGTTGTTCAGGGGGTTTCGTCAAAAGTTTGGTGTTGACTATGTTGACACCTTTGCACCGGTAATGAGATTCAGCACTGTTCGTCTCATTTTCGCCCTGAGTGCGGCGAAGAACTGCGAAATGCACCACGTCGATGTTAAAAATGCTTTCTTGAATGGAGATCTAGAAGAAGACATCTATGTCAAGCCACCAACAGGAATTGACCATAATACCCCTCCTGGCATGGTCTGGAAGCTGAATAAAAGCTTATATGGACTGAAGCAAGCCCCTCTGTGTTGGAACAAGAAGCTTGTTGACAAGTTGGAAGCTCTAGGTTACAAAGCTGCCAAGAAAGAACCCTGTCTCTTTTACAAGATTAATGGCAAAGACTTCAGTATTATAGGTCTTTATGTTGACGACATCTTAACGGCGTCAAACGTACCGGGAGAATTCGAGCGGTTTTTCAAGGGCCTATCTGGTTACTTTGCCATCAAAGATGAAGGTGGTGTTAACAAATTCTGGGAATCAGAGTCCAAGACTCCGACAGGACAATATCTCTGGATCTGGAACATTATATTGCTGACATGATTGAGGTTTTCAAATTGAGTAATCAAACAGCTAAGTCGATACCGTTGCCCAAGAAACATGGCCTTGATTTCCCACAGGGCCTCGATGCTCGTCCAGCTAACCAATCGCTATATCGCAGCATTCTTGGCAAGCTACAGTTTGCTGCTCAGACGGCTCGTCCAGACATTGCCTATGCTACAGGCAAGCTTGCTCAGTATTCGAGTGACCCTAGAGCCATTCATATGGATAGAGCTTATCATGTTCTGAGCTACCTCAAAGGCACCAAGGACCTGGCAATTGTCTATCACAAAAATGTACCAGGCGCCTCTCCGCGGCTTCTGAGAGGCTGGTCAGATGCCGATTGGGCAAACGATCCTGACAGGAAGTCTATCTCAGGCTTTGCATTCTCTCACGGTCCTTCAACCTTCTCTTGGAAGTCGGCCAAACAGAAGCTGACAGCAACTTCCACAACCGAGGCTGAGCTGATTGCCGCTTTTGTTGAGCATGCAATGTTGTCGCAGACTAGTGCAGTTGATAATGCACGTGAGTTTGGGTGGGAAACTATGGTTGATAACCTATGTTTATTTTAGTTTTAGCCGCATTAGGTTTAAGCCCTTATGTGACTGTGGTTACCCTCCTTAATTTGTTACAAAGTTGAAGTGTAATACAAACCCACTCAACTTTGGGACAAACCCAAATGAAAAATTTTCACCACTGCAAATTTTTCTTTTCCTTGGGTATATAAGGAAGGTTTCTTCCCAACTTTTATAATTTTTCTTTTCCCTTTTCTTTCTTCTTATATAACTGTTTTATCTTATATATTTCAATATATACTTTTCTTGGATAATATTTTCTATTATTATCATGACTTCCCGTGTCACAGTTCAACAGGTTATGGGCCGCACTTCGGCTTATATTAATCTTACTTCCTCTGAAAAACTCACTCCTCTCAACTATCATGTCTGGGCTACCAAAATTCTTTTGGGTCTTCGTGCTATGAATAATGGTGTCCATCTTTATGTCGAAGCTGGTACTGTCAATCCAGCTGCCAATGAATCCCTTGAAGACCTCACCGCCTCGCTTGATACCGTCGTCCATGATGTCATCCTCAACAATATTTCTCCTGAGTTGATCGAACATGTTAATGATGTGGCCATTAGAGGCCGTGACCTCTGGCTTTACCTTCATCAGGAGTATAGTCAACTCCAACCCGCCGATGTCATCTCACTTATGAAATCCCTCTATGCTGGCAATATTGATGTTGGTCCAAAGTTTGTTTCTTCTGTTCGCTCTTATGTTGCTACCTGGCGTTCCATCTACCAATCATTGTCGCCTGATTCGGTCGTGGCCTTCAACGCTTTGGCTTCAATGGGTCCCAATTGTGAGCGCTTCATCCAGTATGCCTTGGAGCACCGCTTTGATAGTAACAACAATACTGACAACCTTTGATATTAACAACTTCATCCGAACACTGATAAATGGGCCAAGTTGTTGAAGATTACTGGCCCTCCAGCTACTCTTTCGACTGAAGCGTTCGTTGCTTCATCAAAGAAGTACAATAACAAATCTAAGGGTGATGGTATCAAATGTTTCCGTTGTAAGAGGCGTGGTCATACTTCCAACAATTGTCATGTCTCTTGGGAAGAGGTTCAGGCTGCTCGCCAAGATAATAAGGATGACAAGGAATCTAAGGAGGCTAAAACCTCAAGAGGTTGGTTTGCTGAGACTATTGATGAATTTTCTGAGATAGTTGATGATGATCCATTTGTGAGTTCCTTTTGTGTCCGAGACATCTGTTGTTTCTGAAAAGTTTGGTAACAGTTGTTCCGAGTCGTTTGATGATTTGGAATCCGAACTTTTTGATTCTTCTGAGCCGTGTGTCGGCGATGAAGATTGTTTTGTTAGTCAAGTTTCTGAGTATTGTTCAAACTCAGGACTTGATATTGATTCAGTTGGTAAACCGTTTGTTGGTTCCACTGATGATTCTTGTTTTATTTCTGAACCGTATGTCGGTTCTACTGTTGTTTGTTTGGAGTCTGAACCGTGTGTCAATTCAGCTCCTATTTGTTTTGATTCTGAATCGTTGGTCGATTCGGATATTGTTCCTTTTTGATTCTGAACCGTTGGTCGGTTCTTTCTTTTATTTTTGTTCTGATTCTAAACCGTTGGTCGGTTCTGATGATGATATTGTCTTACCTTGTTTTGATTTTTTGGTGGATTCAATTACTGAACCTTCTCCGCCTATTGTTAAACCTATTGTTACACCAAAATCCCGTTTTTCTCCATTCTTTTACTTATCTTTTGTTACCATCATGTTGTTTTCCTTTGATTTTAATTGTCGTCTGGCATCCTTTTTCAATCTTGGATTTAAGTCATTCAGTCCATCACGTTTTTGTTGCTGAATCTACTACTTCTGCTGAGGCCAACTTAGTTGTTGGGTCTGATTCTTTTGACTTTATCCATGATACCGGTGTTACCAGTCACATTTGCAATAACATCTCATATTTTTTTTTCTCTTCGTCCCACTTCGGCTACCATTCGTGGTCTTGGTTCTGCTACTGCTGAGGGGGTTGGCGACATTGTCGTTGATCTTCTTGGTAAAGATGACCAGCCTTGTGACCGCGTTGTTCTTCGAGATGTTTTATATGTTCCTAAGATTCCTCGCAATTTATTTGCTGCTCGTCGAGCTACTGCTGCTGGTGGTTGTCGGTTCATTCAAGACCTTAACCATATTTCTGCTGTCGAAAATGGCGAAACTCGAGTCCACGCCATTGCCATGGGTGACTTGTACTTTTGTCGTTTCCGAGTTGTTTTGCCTTCCAAGCCAGTCCATGAGGTGTTTGCTGTTGAGTCGTCTGCCAATCTTTGGCACAAGCGACTTGGTCACGCCAGTGTGGACGTTCTCAAGAAATTATCTAAGTCACTTTCTGTCAAGCCTACTCATTTTGAGGTTGTGGATAGTCATAAGTGTGACGCTTGTTTGGGTGGCAAAGCCACAGCATTGCCATTTAATGGTACCACAGAAAAGCTAGTCGTCCTTTGGAGTTATTTGTTTCTGATTTAAGCGGTCCTCATGTCGCTACCCCTGTGGGTCATCGTTATGTCTTAACCATTATGGATTATTATTCCAGGTACTCTTATGTGGAGTTGTTGGTTAGGAAAAGTGATGCAAGTCTTGCCATTCGTAACTTTATTGCTAGGTGTGAATCTTATTTTTCTGGTGATTCTGCTGGTGATCGAGTTGCATATTTTCATTCTGATAATGGCGGCGAATACATTTCCAAAGACCTGGAGCAGTTCTTTGTGTCTAAGGGTATCAAGCATACTTATACAGTTCCTCATACTCCTCAACAAAATGGTGTTGCTGAGCGATTGAATCGCACATTATTTGAGAAAGCCAAGTCTATGCTTTTATATGCTCATGCTCCTGAATACTTATGGGGTGAAGCTGTCAAGTCTGCTAATTATATTAGGAACCGTCTTCCTAGTCGTACCACTGGTGGTGTTGCACCTCTTCAACTTTGGACTGGTAAACCTCCTAGTTATCACCATATGAAAGTATTTGGTTGTCAAGCTACAGTTGTTCTTCCTGGTGCTAAAAGAGAATCTAAGTTAAGTTCAAATACTTAAGCTGGTGTTTTTGTTGGGTATTCCTTGGATCGTACAGCTTATCGAGTTCTTCTTGATTCAAGCATTGTTGAAGCCAGGAGTGTTTACTTTGATGAGTCCAAGTTTCCATTTATGAAAAGTGATAAGGACTTGTCTATTAATGGTACTGGTGTTGGGTTTAGTGTTGGTTCTGGTTCAGGGTCCATGTCAGGACCTTGTTTTGATTCTAAGGGGACTGGTTTAGGATCTAATGTTAGGTTAATTCTATTGCTAGTTCTGATTTAAGTTCTGGTTCTAGTTTTGGGTCTCATAGATCTTTACCAGCATCCTCATCTGGTTCTGGTTCTGGTTCTGGTTCTATTTGTGCTTTTACCGTCTCCGTCTCCGTCTTCTTCTCCGTCTCATTCTCCGTCGCCGCCTCCTTCTTCTTCTTCTTCTATTATTGTTCATAAGCCTCGTTCTGTTCGTCGCATTTTGTCTACACCTTCTGCTCCTCTTGAGTCTCCTACTCTTCCTTCTATTGCTTCAGTTCCATCTCTTCCTAGTTCTCCTATTCTTCCACCTTCAGATCATGATGTCTCTATCTCTCCTGACTCTAGTCCTATTATTTCTTCTTCGGAATATATTCCTTCACAATTAGACTTATCTGAAGCTGGTCCATCTATTAATGAATCTGATATTTCAGGTGATTCTGGGATCTCGCAACGAGGGGGTGATATTGGGTTTCAACCGTCTATCATTGCTTCGTCTCCCACTCCACCACCTTCTGTTGAATTGAAGTAGTGCCACTTAGTCAAGAATATCCTTCGTCTGATCTTGTTAATTCTCTTGACCAAGCTGGTGTTAGTGTTGTCACTAAGGATGATACTCAAGCTGTTTTGCCTAAATCTCGATCTCGTGTTGTTGCTGTTCGTTTACCTTCTATAACTCCTGCCAAACGCCCGAGTTCTGATGACATTGTTTCACCTCCTTCTAAACACCTTTGTGAAAATTCTTTGAAACAATCTCCAGTGTCTGCAACACCTGCAAAACGTCCAGCTGAAGAAGAGTGTATTTCTTATCGTCGTCTCAAATCTCCCGCTTTGAGTATGATGATGTGGCTTTACTTGTTTTTACAGATCCTAGTAGTTTTGAAGAAGCTATGTCCAGTGAAGAAGCTGAGTTTTGGCTTGAAGCCTGTGTTATTGAAATGTCGTCTCTTAAACGCAATGGTACTTGGGAATTGGTTGATCTCCCACCTGGTCGCAAGGCTATCAATAGCAAATGGGTATTTAAAGTTAAGCGCAAAGCTGACGGTTCAATTGAACGTTACAAAGCTCGTCTCGTGTGTATTGGATTTTCGCAAGTTGAAGGTATTGATTATACTGAAACTTTTGCCCCGTTGTTCGTTACGAGACTGTAAGGATTGTTCTTGCTATTGCTGCTCAGTTTGGGTTCCAGGTTCATCATATGGATGTCGAGACTGCATTTTTAATGGTGATCTCAAAGAAGATATTTATATGGAGACAACCTAAAGGCTTTGTTGTCAAAGGTCAGGAATCTAAAGTGTGTCATTTGAAGAAGTCTTTATATGGTTTAAAGCAAGCTCCTTTGTGTTGGAATGAGAAGATTCATGGTGCTCTTGTCAAACTTGGGTTTATTCGTAATGAAAGTGACTACGGTGTGTATACCAAAGGATCTGGGTCTACCATGGTCATTATTGCACTGTATGTTGATGATTTACTTATTTCTGGCAATTCTTCTGAAGTCATTGCCAAAACCAAGTCTTCTTTGTCATCTATGTTTAAGATGAAAGACTTGGGCCCAGTCGAGCAGTTCCTTGGCATGAGAGTTAAGCAGTCACCTTACCATATTACTGTGGATGTTTCGCGTTATATTTTTGATATGTTGGAAGAGTTTGGTATGCAGAATTGTTCAAGTGTCAAGACTCCTTTACCCACTCGTGATCTTTCTGATTTTTCCGAGTCTGACTCTGCTACCGATGCCTCCATGTATCGCAGTATTATTGGTAAGCTGATTTATGCTGCTAATTGTGCTCGTCCTGATCTTGCTGTTGCTGTTAGTTTTCTTTGTCGATATATGCAGAGTCCTAAGTCTATTCATATGGAAGCTGCTAAGCATACTCTTCGTTATCTTAAGGGTACTGCTGAACTTGGTCTTGAATATCGAGCTCAGAAAGTCTACAAGCTTGTTGGCTATAGTGATGCCGACTATGCTCAGGACAAAGCAGGACCGTAAGTCCTTTACTGGGTATGTTTTCATTCTGTCTGGTGGTCCCATTACTTGGGCCTGTCGAAAGCAAGTTAGTCCTGCATCGTCCAGCGTCGAGTCTGAGTATATGTCATTGTCTGATGCGTCTAAGGAATGCTTCTGGATTAATCAGTTGTTGTCTCTTTGCAAGATTCCTGTTCCGTTGCCAGTGACTATGTTTGAGGACAATCAGGGATGTATTGCTTTGGCTCAGAACCCAGTGTTTCATCGTCGTACCAAGCATATTGATGTTCGTTATCATGTTGTGCGTCACTATATTCGCAGTGGAGTAATTCATCTGGAGTATCTTGATACTCAAGTGATGTTGGCAGATATGTTCACTAAGAATCTTGGTCGTGTGAAGTTTGAGACATTAAGGGGACTACTTGGTATGAAGGCAGTAGGTGATTCTGCGACAAGGGGAGGTGTTGAGCATGCAATGTTGTCGCAGACTAGTGCAGTTGATAATGCACGTGAGTTTGGGTGGGAAACTATGGTTGATAACCTATGTGTATTTTAGTTTTAGCCGCATTAGGTTTAAGCCCTTATGTGACTGTGGTTACCCTCCTTAATTTGTTACAAAGTTGAAGTGTAATACAAACCCACTCAACTTTGGGACAAACCCAAATGAAAAATTTTCACCACTGCAAATTTTTCTTTTCCTTGGGTATATAAGGAAGGTTTCTTCCCAACTTTTATAATTTTTCTTTTCCTTTTTTCTTTCTTCTTATATAACTGTTTTATCTTATATATTTCAATATATACTTTTCTTGGATAATATTTTCTATTATTATCATGACTTCCCGTGTCACAGTTCAACAGCTTTTTCTGCCACGTGTGAGGCAGTTTACTTCGAGATCTTTTTGGAAGAACTTGGTGAATCTCAACCAACGACTGTCATCATGGAGGACAACAAAGGTGTCCTGATCTCATGAAGGACAGCAAACATCACGAGCGGACTAAACATATTGATACCAAGTACATGCGCACCAGAGACCATGTCAAAGCCGGCGATACCCGTCTTGAAGCTGTTACTTCAGCAGATAATGTGGCAGACATTTTTACCAAAGCTCTGGCTAAGCCGCAGTTTTTATATTTGAGGAATCTTCTGGGTATGAGTACCCGTCCTCAAGTTGAGGGGGAAATGGACTTGATGCAGTGCTCGTCTCGTCAAATAATACCTCCATCGTTACACCGCAGTCATTTTTGAAGACTCGACGACGCAAAGATCAAGAGATTGAATCTTGATAACGGGCTATTGTTGCAGGGGGGCTGTTGGAATATATGTCATGGTACTATCGTGTATTTCAACATTATCCCATAATATTTTTTTTTTCCCAATTACACTCTCTACATTGTTACATTATTCACTAGCAACTACTAGCCCATTACCATTGGAGTTAATAATTGTTACAATCAAGACTCCCTATTGCTAAAGAAAATTTTCAAGATGCTCTTTTAAATTTTCTTCATTACAGAAACCTTTCTTGTTTTTCTTTCTCTTCTTTTCTCGCTACTCTAAATTTACGCAAAACTGTTTTATTAAATACTCCTTCAGCTTTCAGCTTATCAATCGTATTTACTTATTAACTCTTGCTTTTAGGTATGATAGCGAACTTTTATTATTTTATTATTTTATTATTTTTATCATTTATATAATTCTTATATACACTCTAAATTTACGCAAAACTGTTTTTATTAAATACTCCTTCAGCTTTCAGCTTATCAATCGTATTTACTTATTAACTCTTGCTTTTAGTCTTCTCCGCTATGTCTAATCACGGAAACACTACAGGAGTCAATGAAGGACCCTCATCCTTCGAGTCAGCCAGCACTGGAAGTTCTGTTGCCCACTCAACATCTGAGACCCATTCAAAGAACAACGCCAGCTCTTATGAGACATTCGCCGATCTCCTGTTCATCGTCAAATTGATCTCGCTGACCGTTCTGGATTTACCGTTAGACAATTAACCATTGCCAACATACCAGTTTGTTCCGAAGGATGTGAAGTTGAATTAAAAGTCTTAGCAGACTTGACAGCTTACATTAGAAACTCAAACTTCAAAGCTAGTCCTCCCCCATCCCAAAAGGTTTTATTATCTTGACCAAGTAGAATTTGCTTACAATTCCGCACCACAGTCTACTATTAAGACATCTCCATTTGTCGCTGATCTTGGCTTTCTACCTCGCCAACCTGCAATGATCCGTCCACCATCGGATGCTCGTACACCCTCAAATGTGGAAAGTCTACAAGTCAAACTGAAAGCTATTCTGTTACGTACTCAAGAGTACATGAGTTTCTCACAGTTGAGTCAACAACGACAAGCTGACAAGCATCGTCGTCCTGTGGAAATTAAAGTTGGTGATTCTGTTCTTATCCACCACACTAGTTTTCAGAGCCCTAGCAATAGGATGCTGCCACTTTTCGTCGGTCCATACACCGCCGTTAAAGCAATTGGGGAGGAAATGCGTTTGAATTGGATTTACCCACTACTGTTAAGAACAACCGTGTTTTTAATGTTTCGAAATTACGCAAATATGTCAAATCTGATGAATACCCTGCTGAGATTAGACCTACTGAGGATTATGTTAAGAAGAACTTGAACTGCATTGCTAGCGTAGCCGCTATGCAAAATGGTCTTGTCTATCTACAGTTCACAGATAGCCTACCTGGACATTGCGTCGCCATTTCAACAAGTTTTTGGAATACTATGCCTGCCGAAAAAAGGATACCATTATTCAAAGCTTACATGGTTAGAATCAAAGCTCGGGACGAGCCTTTATGAAAGGAGGGAAAGTTGTAAAGATTAACAAGCAACAACCAAGACAAATAATTATAAATGTCTTAAAGATCAAACTTGCAATCAACCAAGACAAATAATTATAAATGCTTAAAGATCAAACATGCAATCAAAATAAATAATTATCGATAAATGCTTGAGGATAAAAATACATTAATCTAGATTAAGATTAAGAAGTGATTAAGAAGGAATTATTAAAGAGAATCGCTTGAATATATATAGTCATATATTTCCATAAGTTTTTATCAGTATCTAAAAAGATATTTACATCAATACAATAAGTTTTATATTAAACTATTAGCTTGGTTCTTTCTTTGGACAATCCGACTTTACTCTCATACGATAACCCATTACACAATAAATAATAAGAGGCCGTGTGGTCTAGTCCACCTGTGTCAAAGAAGCGGAAAGTCACATGATAAACCAAGGAATTAAAAATTGGCTGCTTTTTTGTAATCCGGGTTTTTACCCGTACCCTGAATATGCATAGACACGATTTAGGCGATTTTAATCAAAAAAATAAAATGAAAATGGATAAGAAACAAACTAATTGATTTTTCTTATCTTTTCATTAAAGGTTCGGACCATTAACGACCAAAAATCTACAATATCTTTTCCAGTATTTTCATAGCTGCAATTTTAATCAAAATGAGTTTAGTAGGTTCAATTGCAAATGATGATTCTTCCGAGCACAATGAAAGCATTGTTGAGATTACTGGGAAGAAGAAGAATTTAATTTAGTCCACACCTTGAACTTGAACAACAGAACGAGAGAGGCCAATCATATGAACTTAGATGAAGAGACTGAGGTGATTTCTGGCAGACTACATATTGTTATGGACAATCTGAGGACTTGTTTTTATAGAGCGGAGCAAGATGGGTTTTCAGAAATAAATTATGACCTTTATTTATCTCATAAAAGGCTTTTGCAAGAATCGGATGCATTAATTGACAAAATAATCATCCAAGATAAAGTCAAAGAAAGGCCATTGGCTAACAAAAAATTTTCTTTTTAAAACATTCTGCTAGAGCTCTCAATGCCACTTTTTCGTTTTGATCGTCTCGAAATACTGGAACTTCTTACGCTTTTGGACCTCACAGAGTTCAGAAATAAGCACAAAACAAAAATCGCAAACCCAAGAAGGCATACTACTGTGTTTGTCTAGGTTTTCTAATTTCATGTCATATAGATATCTTTCAGAAGTGTGGGGACGGCCTCCTTCAACAATCAACCATATTGTAAATGATTTTATTGACTGTTTATACAATAATTATGGCATGCTGTTGGATTTCGAAAAAATCCTTTCCTTACCTTTTGAGATGGGGAGGACTAGCTTTGAAGTTTGAGTTTCTAATGTAAGCCGTCAAGTCTGCTAAGACTTTTAATTCAGCTTCACATCCTTCGAACAAACTGGCACGTTGGCAATGGTTAATTGTCTAACGGTAAATCCAGAACGGTCAGCGAGATCAATTTGACGATGAACAGGAGATCGGCGAATGTCTCATAAGAGCTGGCGTTGTTCTTGAATGGGTCTCAGATGTTGAGTGGGCAACAGAACTTCCAGTGCTGGCTGACTCGAAGGATGAGGGTCCTTCATTGACTCCTGTAGTGTTTCCGTGATTAGACATAGCGGAGAAGACTAAAAGCAAGAGTTAATAAGTAAATACGATTGATAAGCTGAAAGCTGAAAGAGTATTTAATAAAAACAGTTTTGCGTAAATTTAGAGTATATATAAGAATTATATAAAATGATAAAAATAATAAAATAATAAAATAATAAAAGTTCGCTATCATACCTAAAAGCAAGAGTTAATAAGTAAATACGATTGATAAGCTGAAAGCTGAAAGAGTATTTAATAAAAACAGTTTTGCGTAAATTTAGAGTAGCGAGAAAAAGAAGAGAAAGAAAACAAGAAAGGTTTCTGTAATGAAGAAAATTTAAAAGAGCATCTTGAAAAATTTTCTTTAGCAATAGGAGTCTTGATTGTAAACAATTATTGTAACTCCAATGGTAATGGGCTAGTAGTTGCTAGTGAATAATGTAACAATGTAAAGAGTGTAATTGGGAAAAAAAAATATTATGGGATAATGTTGAAATACACGATAGTACCATGACATATATTCCAACAACCCCCCTGCAACAATAGCCCGTTATCAAGATTCAATCTCTTGATCTTTGCGTCGTCGAGTCTTCGAAAATGACTGCGGCGTAACGATGGAGGTATTATTTGACGAGACGAGCACTGCATCAAGTCCATTTCCCCTCAACTTGAGGACGGGTACTCATACCCAGAAGATTCCTCAAATATAAAACTGCGGCTTAGCCAGAGCTTTGGTAAAAATGTTCTGCCACATTATCTGCTGAAGCAACAGCTTCAAGACGGGTATCGCCGGCTTTGACATGGTTTCTGGTGCGCATGTACTTTGGTATCAATGTGTTTAGTCCGCTCGTGATGTTTGCTGTCCTTCATGAGATCCAGGACACCTTTGTTGTCCCTCCATGATGACAGTCGTTGGTTGAGATTCACCAAGTTCTTCCAAAAGATCTCGGAAGTAAACTGCCTCACACGTGGCAGAGAAAGCGGCAATCAGCTCAGCCTCGGTTGTGGAAGTTGCTGTCAACTTCTGTTTGGCCGACTTCCAAGAGAAGGTTGAGGGACCATGAGAGAATGCAAAGCCTGAGATAGACTTCCTGTCGGGATCGTTTGCCCAATCGGCATCTGACCAGCCTCTCAGAAGCCGCGGAGAGGCCCCTGGTACATTTTGTGATAGACAATTGCCAGGTCCTTGGTGCCTTTGAGGTAGCTCAGAACATGATATGCTCTATCCATATGAATAGCTCTAGGGTCACTCGCATACTGAGCAAGCTTGCCTGTAGCGTAGGCAATGTCCGGACGGGCCGTCTGTGCAGCAAACTGTAGCTTGCCAAGAATGCTGCGATACAGCGATTGGTTAGCTGGACGAGCATCGAGGCCCTGTGGGAAATCAAGGCCATGTTTCTTGGGCAACGGTATCGACTTAGCTGTTTGATTACTCAATTTGAAAACCTCAATCATGTCAGCAATATAATGTTCCAGATCCAGAGATATTGTCCTGTCGGAGTCCTGGACTCTGATTCCCAAGAATTTGTTAACACCACCTTCATCTTTGATGGCAAAGTAACCAGATAGGCCCTTGAAAAACGCTCGAATTCTCCCGGTACATTTGACGCCGTTAAGATGTCGTCAACATAAAGACCTATAATACTGAAGTCTTTGCCATTAATCTTGTAAAAGAGACAGGGTTCTTTCTTGGCAGCTTTGTAACCTAGTGCTTCCAACTTGTCAACAAGCTTCTTGTTCCAACACAGAGGGGCTTGCTTCAGTCCATATAAGCTTTTATTCAGCTTCCAGACCATGCCAGGAGGGGTATTATGGTCAATTCCTGTTGGTGGCTTGACATAGATGTCTTCTAGATCTCCATTCAAGAAAGCATTTTTAACATCGACGTGGTGCATCTCGCAGTTCTTCGCCGCACTTAGGGCGAAAATGAGACGAACAGTGCTGAATCTCATCACTGGCGCAAAGGTGTCAACATAGTCAACACCAAACTTCTGACGAAACCCCTGAACAACAAGACGAGCCTTGTAATTTGTCAATTGAACCATCCGTGTTGAGTTTCTTCTTCAGCACCCATTTGGTGCCAAGGGCTTTGCGACCCGCCGGGAGAGGCACAACTTGGTAGACATGATTTCCATCAATGGCAGCAAATTCCGAATAGGCCGCATCAAACCAGAAGCGCTTATCTTCTCTGTTGTTGGCTTCCGCAAGTGACCGTGGGTCCCTTTTTAGCTTCTTGCCAGGGTCGAGCAGCGCCACTCCCACATTCGGAAATCGAATGAAGGCAGGGCGATCCTTAAGATCGGCCCAATCTCTGTCGCTGATGAGAGCTCTAACATTCTCCACATCAGGAGCCGTAAAGTAGAGACCTGGTTTGCTAGATTCTGACACTTTGATGTCATTTCTTAAAATTGGAAGCTTAATGTTAATAGCGTTGAGTGTGTCAAGTCTTCCAGACGCCATGCGGGCTTTCACAGTTGGTTCTTCAGAGTTCGAGTAGATGCAGCCAATGCCAATGACATCGTCGGCAGCCCCGGCAGACGGATCTCCTGATGGGCTTGCCGATTCATCAACAAAAATAATTTCATCATCAGCAGGCGAAGAAACAAAGTTTCATGTAAGAAATCAATGCCGTCAGCTAAGTGTTCTGATGAGCCCTGGGAGTCAGAATTGTAGGGTGCTGCGGTTAAGATTTCATCGCTTGTAGCCTCAACTTCAATTTCGGGTGTGGAGGCGGGAGAGTGGGACGGCGAGTCAGTGCTAACGACTGAGTCTTCATCCACTGATGTTGAAGTAGTAGGGACATTGTGTGTTGCCGAGTGAGTGTGAGAAAGAAAGGAACTGCATCGGGAGTGGGGTTGAATCTAAGATCCGGTGTACCCTGAGGTGGCCGTGTGAGGCTCTCAGTGTTGAACGCTCACGAGGTGGCAAGCCATGTAGCAGTGACTCAGGTTCCGAGTCCAAAGCTGACTCAGAGTTCGAGAGTTTCAGTTTATCACTGTGCCGATCAGAGGAGCGAGAGCCCCAAAGCAAGCCCGATGCTGTAGTGGTTGGGCTTGCAGAGCGATTTCTTTTCGCAGATTTCTTAAAGCCCTAAGTCGATTCTTGAGATGGCTTCAGCCGCGCTGCGTAAGATATTGCGTTGTGCTATTGACAGCATGCGATTGGAAGACGAGGGAGGAGTGGTTTGATGATCACGACGAGAAGAAGAGCTTTAATGTGGGAGACGTCACAGCAGAGGAGGTTGGCGAAGTAACCACTGGCACCGAATGTGCAGATGATTCCGAGGACAAAGAAGCAGGAGTAGAAGGTGTTGTAGGAGAATCATTCGTGGCTTCCATTTTCCAATCTTGGTGAAGAGCTTGAAGTCGAATTTTCTGAGGATACTTTCTGTAATAAATTAGTAGCCGAAGAAAAATTTTAGATTGTGTGTGGTGGTGGAGAAAATTTTATTTTTCAAAGCCGCGCCACTTACTAGTGGAAGGTTATCAGTAGGCCGGGTAATTAGATTTGTGCGATTTAGAATTAATGAAGAATTTTCTTTTCGCGCCAGCCGCTGAAGTGCACTGTTAGGAACATAATAGCCATTTTGCTCAATCAAATCAGCCAATCTTTTGTTAACAACAACTGTGTCCCGAGAAGCTTCGATGACGGTGTCTGGACGACGGAGCAGGCACTTTCGCAGCACTCGCAGCACCCGCAGCACCCGCAGCACCCGCAGCACCCGCAGCAGACCTAGTAATTCTTTCAGTATCAGCAAGAGGTTGTTGGGCTTCTGCCGGAGCAGAGTGTTGGCTTGCTTGTCGAACAGCTACTTGCCCAGCAGTTTGCGAATCATGTTCAGAAGAAGAAGGAGGAGCTGCCAACAACAACCGTCTCGAAGGTGGAGCCGGAAGTAGCATATGTCGATTTTGTTGCACGGAGCTGTGCTGCACGTCGCTTGCATTGTCCCCAAAGCTTGTAGCGTCCCCTGCTCGCCCATACTCTAGCAGGAGCCTCTGAGTAGATGGTGCAGGCGGTAAGCGTGGGCGATCATTCTCAGCAGTGTCTCTCAGTTCACTGCCACTTCCAGATGCAGCAGTAGTAACAGTATCAGAACCACCAGCTCCCAGCAACAGCCTCTCAGAGGAGGGCGCTGGGGTAGCTCCGGTAGCTCCTGCCGTATACCTGAGGAGCCAGCCACTTGGCTCCGCCTACCGGCATGTAAACGACGATTTTCTGGCTGACCAGCCCGTTCCAGCGCAGATTTTAATCTCGCTAAATTTAGATGCCTCTTCCTACTACCGCCCACCTCAGCCATTCTGGCAGACCGATTTGCTGACGTCGTATTTTGTACTAGCTCGGTGGTGGCCCGTACAAGTTCCGCCGCCGCCAAAACCAGTTGATTGCTGGCAGGATTATTTGTGCTTGTAGCAGTACCTTGAGTGTCACCTAAAACTTGCGGCACCCCGACATCTCTCGCAGGAGCTTCCTCCAACTTAGTAGAGGAATCCATGACAACGTCGCTAGACGAAAATTCAGAATCTGATGAGTCTTCCAATTCGTCGAAACCCAGTATATGTTCCACAGACCCATCCATGTCTTCATCATTGGTTTCTGAGTCAACCGCATCCTGATTGTCACCACAAGATTGGTTCGCGGTTTCAACAGCTGAAGCCTCACGGATAAGTTCAGCAGTTCCAGACAGCGCAAGATCCACACTGTCATCCCTCATCCAAAATGTGTAGCTGTTTGGGAAGAGTCACCGGACTTGTTTGATGAGCCACCACTGAGGGCGACTGAGTTCCTGGAGCAAAGGCTTTCTGGAGCTTTTACCATATGTTCAGAAAATGAATTTTCGTGAGAAAAATCTTCGTTAGTATCTTCGGAACCAGGGCGACCAGCTACGTTGGAGTTCACCGATCTCAAATCAGCATCATCAACAGCAGAATCTTCGAGCAATATATGATCCTCAGACTGAAGTGTATCTTTGTCGTCAGCAACACTAATTGATTCATCTGCAACCAGCTCCACATCAACATCTTCCAACGGTTGAAAAGAGTTTACAGTTATAGGTGTCGATGATGTAGAAGTAGAATCCTGGTCCTCCAATCTGCTGGATCTGTGGCTCCTTCCCTCAGAGCCCACATAAGTCCAGCCAAAGTTACCACCACCACCACCAGAGAGTGAAGTGGGAGAGTAGTCGTCAGAGTCAGATTCATCTTCACTTTCTGATTCATCAGTGGAAGAGTCACTGTAGTCAGGGTCACGATTTCCAACCTCACTGTAGTCAATGAGAATGTCACCCTCGTAAATTGGCTTTTCGCCAAAAAAATTTAACGCCAGGCAAGACATGGTCACGAAAGTTGTTGTGTACACAGCGCCGAATGCGCTTGTTCTTCGTAATGCATAGAAAATTCTTAGGATTTAACGGGTCGGGACCCAAATACAGAGCAGGCTCGCCCCGAGGCTGAAGGGTCCCTTTGAGTTTCTGAGACTCAGATTTAATGACAAAAACTAGGCAGCCAAATGTGTGCACTAGTGCTATAGGTGGTTTTCTGCCCGTAAAGGCTTCATAAGGTGATATACCGGCTTTATTAACTATGGAGAAATTATATACCTGCACAGCGTAGAGCCAGGCAGAGTCCCAGTAGATATTGGCCCAGAGTGTCGACTGCATCAAGGCTCTAGTAGATATCTCACGAAGTGTGCGGTGGGCACGCTCAATTTTTCCATTTTGTTGGTGTTCATCAGGAGCAGTTAAAATATGAATGACGCCCCAATCTGCCAAAAATTTTCCAAGTGTGCCAGAGATAAATTCACCACCATTGTCAGTAATAAGCTTGGTGGCCTTGCCGTCAGCAGCACGGCGAGCAGCTTTGGGCACAAACTGCTTAAAGAACTGGATAAGTTTCCCAGGAGCTTCATCCTTAGATTCCAGAGCAAAAGCATAGATGTAACCAGAAAATGCATCAATGATATTCAGCATGTACCTGGCCCCTGAAGAGGCAGGACCTATGGGACCGACGAGATCAGCATGAATCTGGGCTAACGGAGCCGTGGATTCAGAAGCTATATGCTTATCCGGAGAAGTGAACCGCTTAATGCTTCTTGACGTGCCACATATGACACAGTCCTTGATCAACTCTTCGTCACGCTTGGTCACCTCAAAGGGAGGATCAGCAAGCTTGGCTAAATGCTTCACCGAAGTCAAAGAGCAATGAGCAAACCGAACATGACAGTCAAGTGCCTGCGAATTCAACACGGCCTCCTTTGCAATAAATTTGAGAGACGGTGAGAGGACAGGAAGTCCCTTTCCAACAGCGAGAGCTGATTTATCAACCTTCCTCATAGCTTCTGGTCCTTGTCTGCAAATCTGATCCCAGTCAATTGAATTTCCTGAGAACTTGAAGGAGCCAGTTGGAGGTACGATATTCCTAGTAAACTTTACCGGAACAATGTTGGCACAAATGTGAGACTTGGCATCTCTGGCACCACCAACCCTACCAACCTTTTCCTCACCAAAATAGGGCCAGACAGTCCCCACTTGGGACCGTATGAAAAGAAACATCGTGCGTGCGCCAGACAGAATCAGAAAACAAATTGCTAGACCCAGCAGGAAAATAAAGTGCGTCAGCAATATGGCAAATATTGGTGCCACCGTCACCTTTAATACAACAGCAATTTTACCTTCCCCTTCTAACACGATGTCGGAACCACCATAGGAGCTGATGGTTTTGGGGCTGCTGTATTTTCATACGACACAAAGTAACTGTTGTCTGAGATAAGATGACCAGTAGCATTTCCAGAATCAAGAACATTTGGAAGATTTGTTTCACCCACAGAGGCGATTTGGTTGGCAGGTGGAAGAAAAGCAACTGGCGAATAATCACTGCTTCCGCCGTCATTATCAAATACGTCTTGATAGCCCGAGCAACCGAGCAAAGAGTTTCAACATCGTCGCGAGCCACCTCAAGATATTCGGTAGCTTTCAAGGCAGCAACTCTGTTTTGACCATCAGAGTTCGACTTTCTAGCTTGCTTGTCTTCATTGTTGCGCCTCTTGTTGCCACGGACCCCTTGGACCACTGCTTCCCTTTTCCTTGCTTGGTATCAGAGTGGCCAGCTTTCTTCGAGGTTTCCTGCTTGATTCCTGCTTGGGTTCTTGCTTGGGTTCCTGCTTTGGCACCACTTTTGTTGAACCGTCAATAATTCTTCGACCTTTTACGAAGGCTGCAGAAGTTGCTTCAACTAGCGCTGGGATTTCAACTGAATCACAGGGGCTCCATCCTCCAGATCTTGACTTGAAAATGTCGACAAACTTGGTAATCCCCCAGAGATGACTCTGAGGATCTTCGCGAGCAGCTGCTGAAACCTTGTTGTTATTCAGTACTGCTAAGATAAGGTCACGATGAAAGGTGCCATCTGGGTTGTTAAAGAAATATTGCTCCACTACAGAGGCCCACTTGGAAGCTTCAGTAACAGTAGCTTGTATTTTGGTTTCAATTTCACTGCTGGTGAGCCCGGAGAAATAACTAGGACCTGGAACTCCTACTGAGATAGCTTGCGTCATCGCAAATACAATGTTAAGCTCAGGGCTTGGGGATATGCGCAAACCAATATGATTAAGACGTTGGTAAAATGAGAGCACTCGCCCCAGGTCGGCGGGCTCTAGGATTTCGGGATCTATACGGGCCATTCTTTTTCCTGGTTCAAATAGGACCCCATGGCTTCTTCCCGCACAGACGCCGAATCCATAGGTGGAGTTTTAGAAACTCGGGCGACGTGTCCCACCGGGCCTGTTCAGCTGCAGCCAGGTTAGCTGCAGGCGTGGTTTTAAAATGTAAGCCTTGAGTAGTTCATCAAGGGCCCTCTCAAACCTGATACCGTAACCAAGCTGAAGGGCAGTATGGCCAACAATTGGCTTATAGATATAGTTGTTCCAAAAACTCCGGCCGCAGCTGTTAATTTGCCCAATAAGACCGTATATCCAAAAATCCAATTCACTTTTGTAGAGAAATTGTTTGAAATTTGGCGCTTGAGAAGCGTCAAAGGAGCTCATAACCTTTGAGATGGGGAGGACTAGCTTTGAAGTTTGAGTTTCTAATGTAAGCTGTCAAGTCTGCTAAGACTTTTAATTCAGCTTCACATCCTTCGGAACAAACTGGTATGTTGGCAATGGTTAATTGTCTAACGGTAAATCCAGAACGGTCAGCGAGATCAATTTGACGATGAACAGGGAGATCGGCGAATGTCTCATAAGAGCTGGCGTTGTTCTTTGAATGGGTCTCAGATGTTGAGTGGGCAACAGAACTTCCAGTGCTGGCTGACTCGAAGGATGAGGGTCCTTCATTGACTCCTGTAGTGTTTCCGTGATTAGACATAGCGGAGAAGACTAAAAGCAAGAGTTAATAAGTAAATACGATTGATAAGCTGAAAGCTGAAAGAGTATTTAATAAAAACAGTTTTATGTAAATTTAGAGTATATATAAGAATTATATAAAATGATAAAAATAATAAAATAATAAAATAATAAAATAATAAAATAATAAAATAATAAAATAATAAAATAATAAAATAATAAAAGTTCGCTATCATACCTAAAAGCAAGAGTTAATAAGTAAATACGATTGATAAGCTGAAAGCTGAAAGAGTATTTAATAAAAACAGTTTTGCGTAAATTTAGAGAAGCGAGAAAAGAAGTGAAAGAAAACAAGAAAGGTTTCTGTAATGAAGAAAAATTTAAAAGAGCATCTTGAAAAATTTTCTTTAGCAATAGGGGAGTCTTGATTGTAACAATTATTGTAACCCAATGGTAATGGGCTAGTAGTTGCTAGTGAATAATGTAACAATGTAAAGAGTGTAATTGGGAAAAAAAAAATATTATGGGATAATGTTGAAATACACGATAGTACCATGACATATATTCCAACACTTTCGTGACCATGTCTTGCCTGGCGTTAAGTTTTTGGCGAAAAGCCAATTTACGAGGGTGACATTCTCATTGACTACAGTGAGATTGGAAATCGTGACCCTGACTACAGTGACTCTTCCACTGATGAATCAGAAAGTGAAGATGAATCTGACTCTGACGACTACTCTCCCACTTCACTCTCTGGTGGTGGTGGTGGTGGTAACTTTGGCTGGACTTATGTGGGCTCTGAGGGAAGGAGCCACAGATCCAGCAGATTGAGGACCAGGATTCTACTTCTACATCATCGACACCTATAACTGTAAACTCTTTTCAACCGTTGGAAGATGTTGATGTGGAGCTGGTTGCAGATGAATCAATTAGTGTTGCTGACGACAAAGATACACTTCAGTCTGAGGACCATATATTGCTCGAAGATTCTGCTGTTGATGATGCTGATTTGAGATCGGTGAACTCCAACGTAGCTGGTCGCCCTGGTTCCGAAGATACTAACGAAGATTTTTCTCACGAAAATTCATTTTCTGAACATATGGTAAAGCTCCAGAAAGCCTTTGCTCCAGGAACTCAGTCGCCCTCAGTGGTGGCTCATCAAACAAGTCCGGTGACTCTTCCCAAACAACTACACATTTTGGATGAGGATGACAGTGTGGATCTTGCGCTGTCTGGAACTGCTGAACTTACCCGCGAGGCTTCAGCTGTTGAAACCGCTAGCCAATCTGGTGATGACAATCAGGATGCGGTTGACTCAGAAACCAATGATGAAGACATGGATGGGTCTGTGGAACATATACTGGGTTTCGACGAATTGGAAGACTCATCAGATTCTGAATTTTCGTCTAGCGACGTTGTCATGGATTCCTCTACTAAGTTGGAGGAAGCTCCTGCGAGATGTCGGGGTGCCGCAAGATTTAGGTGACACTCAAGGTACTGCTACAAGCACAAATAATCCTGCCAGCAATCAACTGGTTTTGGCGGCGGCGGAACTTGTACGGGCCACCACCGAGCTAGTAGAAACTACGACGTCTGCAAATCGGTCTGCCAGAATGGCTGAGGCGGGCGGTAGTAGGAAGAGGCATCTAAATTTAGCGAGATTAAAATCTGCGCTGGAACGTGCTGGTCAGCCAGAAAATCGTCGTTTACATGCCGGTAGGCGGAGCCAAGTGGCTGGCTCCTCAGGTATACGGCAGGAGCTACTGAGCTACCCCAGCGCCCTCCTCTGAGAGGCTGTTGCTGGGAGCTGGTGGTTCTGATACTGTTACTACTGCTGCATCTGGAAGTGGCAGTGAACTGAGAGACACTGCTGAGAATGATCGCCCACGCTTACCGCCTGCACCATCTACTCAGAGGCTCCTGCTAGAGTATGGGCGAGCAGGGGATGCTACAAGCTTTGGGGACAATACAAGCGACGTGCGGCACAGCTCCGTGCAACAAAATCGACATATGCCACTTCCGGCTCCACCTTCGAGACGGTTGTTGTTGGCAGCTCCTCCTCCGTCTTCTTCTGAACATGATTCGCAAACTGCTGGGCAAGTAGTTGTTCGACAAACAAGCCAACACTCAGCTCCGGCAGAAGCCCAACAGCCTCTTGCTAATACTGGAAGAATTACTAGGTCTGCTGCGGGTACTGCGGGTGCTGCGGGTGCTGCGGGTGCTGCGAGAGTGCCTGCTCCGTCGTCCAGACACCGTCATCGAGAAGCCTCTCGGGACACAGTTGTTGTTAACAAAAGATTAGCTGATTTGATTGAGCAAAATGGCTATTATGTTCCTAACAGTGCACTTCAGCGGCTGGCGCGAAAAGAAAATTCTTCATTAATTCTAAATCGCACAAATCTAATTACCCGGCCTACTGATAACCTTCCACTAGTAAGTGGCGCGGCTTTGCAAAATAAAAATTTTCTCCACCACCACGAAATCTAAAAATTTTTCTTCGGCTACTAATTTATCACAGAAAGTAGTCTCAGAAAATTCGACTTCAAACTCCTCACCAAGATTGGAAAATGAAGCCTCAAATGGTTCTCCCACAACACCCTCTACCTCTGCTTCTTTGTCCTCGGAATCATCTGCACATTCGGAGCCAGTGGTTACATCACCAACCTCCTCTGCTGTGACGTCTCCCACATTAGAAAGTTCTTCTTCTCGTCGTGATCACCAAACCACTCCTCCCTCGTCATCGAATCGCATGCTGTCGATAGCACAACGCAATATCTTACGCAGTGCAGCTGAGGCCATCTCAAGAATCGACTAAGGAGCTTTAAGAAATCTGCGAAAAAGAAATCGCTCTACAAGCCCAACCACTACAGCATCGGGCTTACTTTGGGGCTCTCGCTCTTCCGACCGGCACAGTGACAAACTGAAACTCTCGAACTCTGAGTCAGCTTTGGACTCGGAATCTAGGTCACTGCTGCATGGTCTGCCAGCTCGTGAGGGTTCAACACTGAGAGCCCCACACGGCCACCTCCAGGGTACACCGAATCTTAGATTCAACCCCACTCCCGATGCGGTTCCCTTTCTTTCTCACACTCACTCGGCAACACACAATGTCCCTGCTACGTCAGCATCAGTAGATGAGGACTCAGTCGTTAGCACTGACTCGCAGTCCCACTCTCCCGCCTCCACAACCGAAGCTGATGTTGAGGCTACAAGCGATGAAATCTCAATTGCAGCACCCTACAATTCTGACTCTCAGGGCTCATCAGAACACTTAGCTGACGGCATTGACTTCTTTACATGAAACTTTTGTTTCTTCGCCTGCTGATGATGAAATTATTTTGTTGATGAATCGGCAAGCCCATCAGGAGATCCGTCTGCCGGGGCTGTCGACGATGTCATTGGCATTGGCTGCATCTACTCGAACTCTGAAGAACCAACTGTGAAAGCCCGCATGGCGTCTGGAAGACTTGACACACTCAGCGCTATTAACATTAAGCTTCCAATCTTGAGGAATGACATCAAAGTGTTAGAATCTAGCAAACCAGGTCTCTGCTTTACGGCTCCTGATGTGGAGAATGTTAGAGCTCTCATCAGCGACAGAGATTGGGCAGATCTTAAGGACCGTCCTGCCTTCATTCGATTTCCGAATGTGGGAGTGGCGCTGCTCGACCCTGGCAAGAAGCTAAAAAGGGACCCACGGTCACTTGCGGAAGCCAACAACAGAGAAGATAAGCGCTTCTGGTTCGATGCGGCCTATTCGGAATTTGCTGCCATTGATGGCAATCATGTATACCAAGTTGTGCCCTCCCGGCGGGTCGCAAAGCACTTGGCACCAAATGGGTGCTGAAGAAGAAACTCAACACGGATGGTTCAATTGACAAGTACAAGGCTCGTCTTGTTGTTCAGGGGTTTCGTCAAAAGTTTGGTGTTGACTATGTTGACACCTTTGCACCGGTAATGAGATTCAGCACTGTTCGTCTCATTTTCGCCCTGAGTGCGGCGAAGAACTGCGAAATGCACCACGTCGATGTTAAAAATGCTTTCTTGAATGGAGATCTAGAAGAAGACATCTATGTCAAGCCACCAACAGGAATTGACCATAATACCCCTCCTGGCATGGTCTGGAAGCTGAATAAAAGCTTATATGGACTGAAGCAAGCCCCTCTGTGTTGGAACAAGAAGCTTGTTGACAAGTTGGAAGCTCTAGGTTACAAAGCTGCCAAGAAAGAACCCTGTCTCTTTTACAAGATTAATGGCAAAGACTTCAGTATTATAGGTCTTTATGTTGACGACATCTTAACGGCGTCAAACGTACCGGGAGAATTCGAGCGGTTTTTCAAGGGCCTATCTGGTTACTTTGCCATCAAAGATGAAGGTGGTGTTAACAAATTCTTGGGAATCAGAGTCCAAGACTCCGACAGGACAATATCTCTGGATCTGGAACATTATATTGCTGACATGATTGAGGTTTTCAAATTGAGTAATCAAACAGCTAAGTCGATACCGTTGCCCAAGAAACATGGCCTTGATTTCCCACAGGGCCTCGATGCTCGTCCAGCTAACCAATCGCTATATCGCAGCATTCTTGGCAAGCTACAGTTTGCTGCTCAGACGGCTCGTCCAGACATTGCCTATGCTACAGGCAAGCTTGCTCAGTATTCGAGTGACCCTAGAGCCATTCATATGGATAGAGCTTATCATGTTCTGAGCTACCTCAAAGGCACCAAGGACCTGGCAATTGTCTATCACAAAAATGTACCAGGCGCCTCTCCGCGGCTTCTGAGAGGCTGGTCAGATGCCGATTGGGCAAACGATCCTGACAGGAAGTCTATCTCAGGCTTTGCATTCTCTCACGGTCCTTCAACCTTCTCTTGGAAGTCGGCCAAACAGAAGCTGACAGCAACTTCCACAACCGAGGCTGAGCTGATTGCCGCTTTTGTTGAGCATGCAATGTTGTCGCAGACTAGTGCAGTTGATAATGCACGTGAGTTTGGGTGGGAAACTATGGTTGATAACCTATGTTTATTTTAGTTTTAGCCGCATTAGGTTTAAGCCCTTATGTGACTGTGGTTACCCTCCTTAATTTGTTACAAAGTTGAAGTGTAATACAAACCCACTCAACTTTGGGACAAACCCAAATGAAAAATTTTCACCACTGCAAATTTTTCTTTTCCTTGGGTATATAAGGAAGGTTTCTTCCCCAACTTTTATAATTTTTCTTTTCCTTTTTCTTTCTTCTTATATAACTGTTTTATCTTATATATTTCAATATATACTTTTCTTGGATAATATTTTCTATTATTATCATGACTTCCCGTGTCACAGTTCAACAGGTTATGGGCCGCACTTCGGCTTATATTAATCTTACTTCCTCTGAAAAACTCACTCCTCTCAACTATCATGTCTGGGCTACCAAAATTCTTTTGGGTCTTCGTGCTATGAATAATGGTGTCCATCTTTATGTCGAAGCTGGTACTGTCAATCCAGCTGCCAATGAATCCCTTGAAGACCTCACCGCCTCGCTTGATACCGTCGTCCATGATGTCATCCTCAACAATATTTCTCCTGAGTTGATCGAACATGTTAATGATGTGGCCATTAGAGGCCGTGACCTCTGGCTTTACCTTCATCAGGAGTATAGTCAACTCCAACCCGCCGATGTCATCTCACTTATGAAATCCCTCTATGCTGGCAATATTGATGTTGGTCCAAAGTTTGTTTCTTCTGTTCGCTCTTATGTTGCTACCTGGCGTTCCATCTACCAATCATTGTCGCCTGATTCGGTCGTGGCCTTCAACGCTTTGGCTTCAATGGGTCCCAATTGTGAGCGCTTCATCCAGTATGCCTTGGAGCACCGCTTTGATAGTAACAACAATACTGACAACCTTGATATTAACAACTTCATCCGGAACACTGATAAATGGGCCAAGTTGTTGAAGATTACTGGCCCTCCAGCTACTCTTTCGACTGAAGCGTTCGTTGCTTCATCAAAGAAGTACAATAACAAATCTAAGGGTGATGGTATCAAATGTTTCCGTTGTAAGAGGCGTGGTCATACTTCCAACAATTGTCATGTCTCTTGGGAAGAGGTTCAGGCTGCTCGCCAAGATAATAAGGATGACAAGGAATCTAAGGAGGCTAAAACCTCAAGAGGTTGGTTTGCTGAGACTATTGATGAATTTTCTGAGATAGTTGATGATGATCCATTTGTGAGTTCCGCTTTTGTGTCCGAGACATCTGTTGTTTCTGAAAAGTTTGGTAACAGTTGTTCCGAGTCGTTTGATGATTTGGAATCCGAACTTTTTGATTCTTCTGAGCCGTGTGTCGGCGATGAAGATTGTTTTGTTAGTCAAGTTTCTGAGTATTGTTCAAACTCAGGACTTGATATTGATTCAGTTGGTAAACCGTTTGTTGGTTCCACTGATGATTCTTGTTTTATTTCTGAACCGTATGTCGGTTCTACTGTTGTTTGTTTGGAGTCTGAACCGTGTGTCAATTCAGCTCCTATTTGTTTTGATTCTGAATCGTTGGTCGATTCGGATATTGTTCCTTTTGATTCTGAACCGTTGGTCGGTTCTTCTTTTATTTTTTGTTCTGATTCTAAACCGTTGGTCGGTTCTGATGATGATATTGTCTTACCTTGTTTTGATTTTTTGGTGGATTCAATTACTGAACCTTCTCCGCCTATTGTTAAACCTATTGTTACACCAAAATCCCGTTTTTCTCCATTCTTTTACTTATCTTTTGTTACCATCATGTTGTTTTCCTTGATTTTAATTGTCGTCTGGCATCCTTTTTCAATCTTGGATTTAAGTCATTCAGTCCATCACGTTTTTGTTGCTGAATCTACTACTTCTGCTGAGGCCAACTTAGTTGTTGGGTCTGATTCTTTTGACTTTATCCATGATACCGGTGTTACCAGTCACATTTGCAATAACATCTCATATTTTTCTTCTCTTCGTCCCACTTCGGCTACCATTCGTGGTCTTGGTTCTGCTACTGCTGAGGGGGTTGGCGACATTGTCGTTGATCTTCTTGGTAAAGATGACCAGCCTTGTGACCGCGTTGTTCTTCGAGATGTTTTATATGTTCCTAAGATTCCTCGCAATTTATTTGCTGCTCGTCGAGCTACTGCTGGTGGTTGTCGGTTCATTCAAGACCTTAACCATATTTCTGCTGTCGAAAATGGCGAAACTCGAGTCCACGCCATTGCCATGGGTGACTTGTACTTTTGTCGTTTCCGAGTTGTTTTGCCTTCCAAGCCAGTCCATGAGGTGTTTGCTGTTGAGTCGTCTGCCAATCTTTGGCACAAGCGACTTGGTCACGCCAGTGTGGACGTTCTCAAGAAATTATCTAAGTCACTTTCTGTCAAGCCTACTCATTTTGAGGTTGTGGATAGTCATAAGTGTGACGCTTGCTTGGGTGGCAAAGCCACAGCATTGCCATTTAATGGTACCACAGAAAAAGCTAGTCGTCCTTTGGAGTTATTTGTTTCTGATTTAAGCGGTCCTCATGTCGCTACCCCTGTGGGTCATCGTTATGTCTTAACCATTATGGATTATTATTCCAGGTACTCTTATGTGGAGTTGTTGGTTAGGAAAAGTGATGCAAGTCTTGCCATTCGTAACTTTATTGCTAGGTGTGAATCTTATTTTTCTGGTGATTCTGCTGGTGATCGAGTTGCATATTTTCATTCTGATAATGGCGGCGAATACATTTCCAAAGACCTGGAGCAGTTCTTTGTGTCTAAGGGTATCAAGCATACTTATACAGTTCCTCATACTCCTCAACAAAATGGTGTTGCTGAGCGATTGAATCGCACATTATTTGAGAAAGCCAAGTCTATGCTTTTATATGCTCATGCTCCTGAATACTTATGGGGTGAAGCTGTCAAGTCTGCTAATTATATTAGGAACCGTCTTCCTAGTCGTACCACTGGTGGTGTTGCACCTCTTCAACTTTGGACTGGTAAACCTCCTAGTTATCACCATATGAAAGTATTTGGTTGTCAAGCTACAGTTGTTCTTCCTGGTGCTAAAAGAGAATCTAAGTTAAGTTCAAATACTTAAGCTGGTGTTTTTGTTGGGTATTCCTTGGATCGTACAGCTTATCGAGTTCTTCTTGATTCAAGCATTGTTGAAGCCAGGAGTGTTTACTTTGATGAGTCCAAGTTTCCATTTATGAAAAGTGATAAGGACTTGTCTATTAATGGTACTGGTGTTGGGTTTAGTGTTGGTTCTGGTTCAGGGTCCATGTCAGGACCTTGTTTTGATTCTAAGGGGACTGGTTTAGGATCTAATGTTAGGGTTAATTCTATTGCTAGTTCTGATTTAAGTTCTGGTTCTAGTTTTGGGTCTCATAGATCTTTACCAGCATCCCTCATCTGGTTCTGGTTCTGGTTCTGGTTCTATTTGTGCTTTACCGTCTCCGTCTCCGTCTTCTTCTCCGTCTCATTCTCCGTCGCCGCCTCCTTCTTCTTCTTCTTCTATTATTGTTCATAAGCCTCGTTCTGTTCGTCGCATTTTGTCTACACCTTCTGCTCCTCTTGAGTCTCCTACTCTTCCTTCTATTGCTTCAGTTCCATCTCTTCCTAGTTCTCCTATTCTTCCACCTTCAGATCATGATGTCTCTATCTCTCCTGACTCTAGTCCTATTATTTCTTCTTCGGAATATATTCCTTCACAATTAGACTTATCTGAAGCTGGTCCATCTATTAATGAATCTGATATTTCAGGTGATTCTGGGATCTCGCAACGAGGGGGTGATATTGGGTTTCAACCGTCTATCATTGCTTCGTCTCCCACTCCACCACCTTCTGTTGAATTGGAAGTAGTGCCACTTAGTCAAGAATATCCTTCGTCTGATCTTGTTAATTCTCTTGACCAAGCTGGTGTTAGTGTTGTCACTAAGGATGATACTCAAGCTGTTTTGCCTAAATCTCGATCTCGTGTTGTTGCTGTTCGTTTACCTTCTATAACTCCTGCCAAACGCCCGAGTTCTGATGACATTGTTTCACCTCCTTCTAAACACCTTTGTGAAAATTCTTTGAAACAATCTCCAGTGTCTGCAACACCTGCAAAACGTCCAGCTGAAGAAGAGTGTATTTCTTATCGTCGTCTCAAATCTCTCCGCTTTGAGTATGATGATGTGGCTTTTACTTGTTTTACAGATCCTAGTAGTTTTGAAGAAGCTATGTCTAGTGAAGAAGCTGAGTTTTGGCTTGAAGCCTGTGTTATTGAAATGTCGTCTCTTAAACGCAATGGTACTTGGGAATTGGTTGATCTCCCACCTGGTCGCAAGGCTATCAATAGCAAATGGGTATTTAAAGTTAAGCGCAAAGCTGACGGTTCAATTGAACGTTACAAAGCTCGTCTCGTGTGTATTGGATTTTCGCAAGTTGAAGGTATTGATTATACTGAAACTTTTGCTCCCGTTGTTCGTTACGAGACTGTAAGGATTGTTCTTGCTATTGCTGCTCAGTTTGGGTTCCAGGTTCATCATATGGATGTCGAGACTGCATTTCTTAATGGTGATCTCAAAGAAGATATTTATATGAGACAACCTAAAGGCTTTGTTGTCAAAGGTCAGGAATCTAAAGTGTGTCATTTGAAGAAGTCTTTATATGGTTTAAAGCAAGCTCCTTTGTGTTGGAATGAGAAGATTCATGGTGCTCTTGTCAAACTTGGGTTTATTCGTAATGAAAGTGACTACGGTGTGTATACCAAAGGATCTGGGTCTACCATGGTCATTATTGCACTGTATGTTGATGATTTACTTATTTCTGGCAATTCTTCTGAAGTCATTGCCAAAACCAAGTCTTCTTTGTCATCTATGTTTAAGATGAAAGACTTGGGCCCAGTCGAGCAGTTCCTTGGCATGAGAGTTAAGCAGTCACCTTACCATATTACTGTGGATGTTTCGCGTTATATTTTTGATATGTTGGAAGAGTTTGGTATGCAGAATTGTTCAAGTGTCAAGACTCCTTTACCCACTCGTGATCTTTCTGATTTTTCCGAGTCTGACTCTGCTACCGATGCCTCCATGTATCGCAGTATTATTGGTAAGCTGATTTATGCTGCTAATTGTGCTCGTCCTGATCTTGCTGTTGCTGTTAGTTTTCTTTGTCGATATATGCAGAGTCCTAAGTCTATTCATATGGAAGCTGCTAAGCATACTCTTCGTTATCTTAAGGGTACTGCTGAACTTGGTCTTGAATATCGAGCTCAGAAAGTCTACAAGCTTGTTGGCTATAGTGATGCCGACTATGCTCAGGACAAGCAGGACCGTAAGTCCTTTACTGGGTATGTTTTCATTCTGTCTGGTGGTCCCATTACTTGGGCCTGTCGAAAGCAAGTTAGTCCTGCATCGTCCAGCGTCGAGTCTGAGTATATGTCATTGTCTGATGCGTCTAAGGAATGCTTCTGGATTAATCAGTTGTTGTCTCTTTGCAAGATTCCTGTTCCGTTGCCAGTGACTATGTTTGAGGACAATCAGGGATGTATTGCTTTGGCTCAGAACCCAGTGTTTCATCGTCGTACCAAGCATATTGATGTTCGTTATCATGTTGTGCGTCACTATATTCGCAGTGGAGTAATTCATCTGGAGTATCTTGATACTCAAGTGATGTTGGCAGATATGTTCACTAAGAATCTTGGTCGTGTGAAGTTTGAGACATTAAGGGGACTACTTGGTATGAAGGCAGTAGGTGATTCTGCGACAAGGGGAGGTGTTGAGCATGCAATGTTGTCGCAGACTAGTGCAGTTGATAATGCACGTGAGTTTGGGTGGGAAACTATGGTTGATAACCTATGTGTATTTTAGTTTTAGCCGCATTAGGTTTAAGCCCTTATGTGACTGTGGTTACCCTCCTTAATTTGTTACAAAGTTGAAGTGTAATACAAACCCACTCAACTTTGGGACAACCCAAATGAAAAAATTTTCACCACTGCAAATTTTTCTTTTCCTTGGGTATATAAGGAAGGTTTCTTCCCCAACTTTTATAATTTTTCTTTTCCTTTTTCTTTCTTCTTATATAACTGTTTTATCTTATATATTTCAATATATACTTTTCTTGGATAATATTTTCTATTATTATCATGACTTCCCGTGTCACAGTTCAACAGCTTTTTCTGCCACGTGTGAGGCAGTTTACTTCCGAGATCTTTTGGAAGAACTTGGTGAATCTCAACCAACGACTGTCATCATGGAGGACAACAAAGGTGTCCTGGATCTCATGAAGGACAGCAAACATCACGAGCGGACTAAACATATTGATACCAAGTACATGCGCACCAGAGACCATGTCAAAGCCGGCGATACCCGTCTTGAAGCTGTTACTTCAGCAGATAATGTGGCAGACATTTTTACCAAAGCTCTGGCTAAGCCGCAGTTTTATATTTGAGGAATCTTCTGGGTATGAGTACCCGTCCTCAAGTTGAGGGGGGAAATGGACTTGATGCAGTGCTCGTCTCGTCAAATAATACCTCCATCGTTACGCCGCAGTCATTTTTGAAGACTCGACGACGCAAAGATCAAGAGATTGAATCTTGATAACGGGCTATTGTTGCAGGGGGGCTGTTGGAATATATGTCATGGTACTATCGTGTATTTCAACATTATCCCATAATATTTTTTTTTTCCCAATTACACTCTCTACATTGTTACATTATTCACTAGCAACTACTAGCCCATTACCATTGGAGTTACAATAATTGTTACAATCAAGACTCCCTATTGCTAAAGAAAATTTTCAAGATGCTCTTTTAAATTTTCTTCATTACAGAAACCTTTTCTTTTTTTTTTCTCTTTTTTTTCTCGCTACTCTAAATTTACGCAAAACTGTTTTTATTAAATACTCCTTCAGCTTTCAGCTTATCAATCGTATTTACTTATTAACTCTTGCTTTTAGGTATGATAGCGAACTTTTATTATTTTATTATTTTATTATTTTTATCATTTATATAATTCTTATATACACTCTAAATTTACGCAAAACTGTTTTTATTAAATACTCCTTCAGCTTTCAGCTTATCAATCGTATTTACTTATTAACTCTTGCTTTTAGTCTTCTCCGCTATGTCTAATCACGGAAACACTACAGGAGTCAATGAAGGACCCTCATCCTTCGAGTCAGCCAGCACTGGAAGTTCTGTTGCCCACTCAACATCTGAGACCCATTCAAAGAACAACGCCAGCTCTTATGAGACATTCGCCGATCTCCTGTTCATCGTCAAATTGATCTCGCTGACCGTTCTGGATTTACCGTTAGACAATTAACCATTGCCAACATACCAGTTTGTTCCGAAGGATGTGAAGCTGAATTAAAAGTCTTAGCAGACTTGACAGCTTACATTAGAAACTCAAACTTCAAAGCTAGTCCTCCCCCATCCCAAAAGGTTTTATTATCTTGACCAAGTAGAATTTGCTTACAATTCCGCACCACAGTCTACTATTAAGACATCTCCATTTGTCGCTGATCTTGGCTTTCTACCTCGCCAACCTGCAATGATCCGTCCACCATCGGATGCTCGTACACCCTCAAATGTGGAAAGTCTACAAGTCAAACTGAAAGCTATTCTGTTACGTACTCAAGAGTACATGAGTTTCTCACAGTTGAGTCAACAACGACAAGCTGACAAGCATCGTCGTCCTGTGGAAATTAAAGTTGGTGATTCTGTTCTTATCCACCACACTAGTTTTCAGAGCCCTAGCAATAGGATGTTGCCACTTTTCGTCGGTCCATACACCGCCGTTAAAGCAATTGGGGAGGAAATGCGTTTGAATTGGATTTACCCACTACTGTTAAGAACAACCGTGTTTTTAATGTTTCGAAATTACGCAAATATGTCAAATCTGATGAATACCCTGCTGAGATTAGACCTACTGAGGATTATGTTAAGAAGAACTTGAACCGCATTGCTAGCGTAGCCGCTATGCAAAATGGTCTTGTCTATCTACAGTTCACAGATAGCCTACCTGGACATTGCGTCGCCATTTCAACAAGTTTTTGGAATACTATGCCTGCCGAAAAAAGGATACCATTATTCAAAGCTTACATGGTTAGAATCAAAGCTCGGGACGAGCCTTTATGAAAGGAGGGAAAGTTGTAAAAGATTAACAAGCAACAACCAAGACAAATAATTATAAATGTCTTAAAGATCAAACTTGCAATCAACCAAGACAAATAATTATAAATGCTTAAAGATCAAACATGCAATCAAAATAAATAATTATCGATAAATGCTTGAGGATAAAAATACATTAATCTAGATTAAGATTAAGAAGTGATTAAGAAGGAATTATTAAAGAGAATCGCTTGAATATATATAGTCATATATTTCCATAAGTTTTTATCAGTATCTAAAAAGATATTTACATCAATACAATAAGTTTTATATTAAACTATTAGCTTGGTTCTTTCTTTGGACAATCCGACTTTACTCTCATACGATAACTCCATTACACAATAAATAATAAGAGGCCGTGTGGTCTAGTCCACCTGTGTCAAAGAAGCGGAAAGTCACATGATAAATCCGCGAATTAAAAATTGGCCGCTTTTGTAATCCGGGTTTTTACCCGTACCCTGAATATGCATAGACACGATTTAGGCGATTTTAATCAAAAAAAATAAAAATGAAAATGGATAAGAAACAAACTAATTGATTTTTCTTATCTTTTCATTAAAGGTTCGGACCATTAACGACCAAAAATCTACAATATCTTTTCCAGTATTTTCATAGCTGCAATTTTAATCAAAATGAGTTTAGTAGGTTCAATTGCAAATGATGATTCTTCCGAGCACAATGAAAGCATTGTTGAGATTACTGGGGAAGAAGAAGAATTTAATTTAGTCCACACCTTGAACTTGAACAACAGAACGAGAGAGGCCAATCATATGAACTTAGATGAAGAGACTGAGGTGATTTCTGGCAGACTACATATTGTTATGGACAATCTGAGGACTTGTTTTTATAGAGCGGAGCAAGATGGGTTTTCAGAAATAAATTATGACCTTTATTTATCTCATAAAAGGCTTTTGCAAGAATCGGATGCATTAATTGACAAAATAATCATCCAAGATAAAGTCAAAGAAAGGCCATTGGCTAACAAAATTTTTTCTTTTAAAACATTCTGCTAGAGCTCTCAATGCCACTTTTCGTTTTGATCGTCTCGAAATACTGGAACTTCTTACGCTTTTGGACCTCACAGAGTTCAGAAATAAGCACAAAACAAAAATCGCAAACCCAAGAAGGCATACTACTGTGTTTGTCTAGGTTTTCTAATTTCATGTCATATAGATATCTTTCAGAAGTGTGGGGACGGCCTCCTTCAACAATCAACCATATTGTAAATGATTTTATTGACTGTTTATACAATAATTATGGCATGCTGTTGGATTTCGAAAAAATCCTTTCCTTACCTTTTGAGATGGGGGAGGACTAGCTTTGAAGTTTGAGTTTCTAATGTAAGCTGTCAAGTCTGCTAAGACTTTTAATTCAGCTTCACATCCTTCGGAACAAACTGGCACGTTGGCAATGGTTAATTGTCTAACGGTAAATCCAGAACGGTCAGCGAGATCAATTTGACGATGAACAGGAGATCGGCGAATGTCTCATAAGAGCTGGCGTTGTTCTTTGAATGGGTCTCAGATGTTGAGTGGGCAACAGAACTTCCAGTGCTGGCTGACTCGAAGGATGAGGGTCCTTCATTGACTCCTGTAGTGTTTCCGTGATTAGACATAGCGGAGAAGACTAAAAGCAAGAGTTAATAAGTAAATACGATTGATAAGCTGAAAGCTGAAAGAGTATTTAATAAAAACAGTTTTGCGTAAATTTAGAGTATATATAAGAATTATATAAAATGATAAAAATAATAAAATAATAAAATAATAAAAGTTCGCTATCATACCTAAAAGCAAGAGTTAATAAGTAAATACGATTGATAAGCTGAAAGCTGAAAGAGTATTTAATAAAAACAGTTTTGCGTAAATTTAGAGTAGCGAGAAAAAGAAGAGAAAGAAAACAAGAAAGGTTTCTGTAATGAAGAAAATTTAAAAGAGCATCTTGAAAAATTTTCTTTAGCAATAGGGAGTCTTGATTGTAACAATTATTGTAACTCCAATGGTAATGGGCTAGTAGTTGCTAGTGAATAATGTAACAATGTAAAGAGTGTAATTGGAAAAAAAAAAAAAAAATATTATGGGATAATGTTGAAATACACGATAGTACCATGACATATATTCCAACAGCCCCCTGCAACAATAGCCCGTTATCAAGATTCAATCTCTTGATCTTTGCGTCGTCGAGTCTTCGAAAATGACTGCGGCGTAACGATGGAGGTATTATTTGACGAGACGAGCACTGCATCAAGTCCATTTCCCCCCTCAACTTGAGGACGGGTACTCATACCCAGAAGATTCCTCAAATATAAAAACTGCGGCTTAGCCAGAGCTTTGGTAAAAATGTCTGCCACATTATCTGCTGAAGCAACAGCTTCAAGACGGGTATCGCCGGCTTTGACATGGTTTCTGGTGCGCATGTACTTGGTATCAATGTGTTTAGTCCGCTCGTGATGTTTGCTGTCCTTCATGAGATCCAGGACACCTTTGTTGTCCTCCATGATGACAGTCGTTGGTTGAGATTCACCAAGTTCTTCCAAAAGATCTCGGAAGTAAACTGCCTCACACGTGGCAGAGAAAGCGGCAATCAGCTCAGCCTCGGTTGTGGAAGTTGCTGTCAACTTCTGTTTGGCCGACTTCCAAGAGAAGGTTGAGGGACCATGAGAGAATGCAAAGCCTGAGATAGACTTCCTGTCGGGATCGTTTGCCCAATCGGCATCTGACCAGCCTCTCAGAAGCCGCGGAGAGGCCCCTGGTACATTTTTGTGATAGACAATTGCCAGGTCCTTGGTGCCTTTGAGGTAGCTCAGAACATGATATGCTCTATCCATATGAATAGCTCTAGGGTCACTCGCATACTGAGCAAGCTTGCCTGTAGCGTAGGCAATGTCCGGACGGGCCGTCTGTGCAGCAAACTGTAGCTTGCCAAGAATGCTGCGATACAGCGATTGGTTAGCTGGACGAGCATCGAGGCCCTGTGGGAAATCAAGGCCATGTTTCTTGGGCAACGGTATCGACTTAGCTGTTTGATTACTCAATTTGAAAACCTCAATCATGTCAGCAATATAATGTTCCAGATCCAGAGATATTGTCCTGTCGGAGTCCTGGACTCTGATTCCCAAGAATTTGTTAACACCACCTTCATCTTTGATGGCAAAGTAACCAGATAGGCCCTTGAAAAACGCTCGAATTCTCCCGGTACATTTGACGCCGTTAAGATGTCGTCAACATAAAGACCTATAATACTGAAGTCTTTGCCATTAATCTTGTAAAGAGACAGGGTTCTTTCTTGGCAGCTTTGTAACCTAGTGCTTCCAACTTGTCAACAAGCTTCTTGTTCCAACACAGAGGGGCTTGCTTCAGTCCATATAAGCTTTTATTCAGCTTCCAGACCATGCCAGGAGGGGTATTATGGTCAATTCCTGTTGGTGGCTTGACATAGATGTCTTCTTCTAGATCTCCATTCAAGAAAGCATTTTTAACATCGACGTGGTGCATCTCGCAGTTCTTCGCCGCACTTAGGGCGAAAATGAGACGAACAGTGCTGAATCTCATCACTGGCGCAAAGGTGTCAACATAGTCAACACCAAACTTCTGACGAAACCCCTGAACAACAAGACGAGCCTTGTAATTTGTCAATTGAACCATCCGTGTTGAGTTTCTTCTTCAGCACCCATTTGGTGCCAAGGGCTTTGCGACCCGCCGGGAGAGGCACAACTTGGTAGACATGATTTCCATCAATGGCAGCAAATTCCGAATAGGCCGCATCAAACCAGAAGCGCTTATCTTCTCTGTTGTTGGCTTCCGCAAGTGACCGTGGGTCCCTTTTTAGCTTCTTGCCAGGGTCGAGCAGCGCCACTCCCACATTCGGAAATCGAATGAAGGCAGGGCGATCCTTAAGATCGGCCCAATCTCTGTCGCTGATGAGAGCTCTAACATTCTCCACATCAGGAGCCGTAAAGTAGAGACCTGGTTTGCTAGATTCTGACACTTTGATGTCATTTCTTAAAATTGGAAGCTTAATGTTAATAGCGTTGAGTGTGTCAAGTCTTCCAGACGCCATGCGGGCTTTCACAGTTGGTTCTTCAGAGTTCGAGTAGATGCAGCCAATGCCAATGACATCGTCGGCAGCCCCGGCAGACGGATCTCCTGATGGGCTTGCCGATTCATCAACAAAAATAATTTCATCATCAGCAGGCGAAGAAACAAAGTTTCATGTAAGAAATCAATGCCGTCAGCTAAGTGTTCTGATGAGCCCTGGGAGTCAGAATTGTAGGGTGCTGCGGTTAAGATTTCATCGCTTGTAGCCTCAACTTCAATTTCGGGTGTGGAGGCGGGAGAGTGGGACGGCGAGTCAGTGCTAACGACTGAGTCTTCATCCACTGATGTTGAAGTAGTAGGGACATTGTGTGTTGCCGAGTGAGTGTGAGAAAGAAAGGGAACTGCATCGGGAGTGGGGTTGAATCTAAGATCCGGTGTACCCTGGAGGTGGCCGTGTGAGGCTCTCAGTGTTGAACGCTCACGAGGTGGCAAGCCATGTAGCAGTGACCTAGGTTCCGAGTCCAAAGCTGACTCAGAGTTCGAGAGTTTCAGTTTATCACTGTGCCGATCAGAGGAGCGAGAGCCCCAAAGTAAGCCCGATGCTGTAGTGGTTGGGCTTGCAGAGCGATTTCTTTTTCGCAGATTTCTTAAAGCTCCTAAGTCGATTCTTGAGATGGCTTCAGCCGCGCTGCGTAAGATATTGCGTTGTGCTATTGACAGCATGCGATTCGAAGACGAGGGAGGAGTGGTTTGATGATCACGACGAGAAGAAGAGCTTTCTAATGTGGGAGACGTCACAGCAGAGGAGGTTGGCGAAGTAACCACTGGCACCGAATGTGCAGATGATTCCGAGGACAAAGAAGCAGGAGTAGAAGGTGTTGTAGGAGAATCATTCGTGGCTTCATTTTCCAATCTTGGTGAAGAGCTTGAAGTCGAATTTTCTGAGGATACTTTCTGTAATAAATTAGTAGCCGAAGAAAAATTTTTAGATTGTGTGGTGGTGGAGAAAATTTTATTTTTCAAAGCCGCGCCACTTACTAGTGGAAGGTTATCAGTAGGCCGGGTAATTAGATTTGTGCGATTTAGAATTAATGAAGAATTTTCTTTTCGCGCCAGCCGCTGAAGTGCACTGTTAGGAACATAATAGCCATTTTGCTCAATCAAATCAGCCAATCTTTTGTTAACAACAACTGTGTCCCGAGAAGCTTCTCGATGACGGTGTCTGGACGACGGAGCAGGCACTTTCGCAGCACTCGCAGCACCCGCAGCACCCGCAGCACCCGCAGCACCCGCAGCAGACCTAGTAATTCTTTCAGTATCAGCAAGAGGCTGTTGGGCTTCTGCCGGAGCAGAGTGTTGGCTTGCTTGTCGAACAGCTACTTGCCCAGCAGTTTGCGAATCATGTTCAGAAGAAGAAGGAGGAGCTGCCAACAACAACCGTCTCGAAGGTGGAGCCGGAAGTAGCATATGTCGATTTTGTTGCACGGAGCTGTGCTGCACGTCGCTTGCATTGTCCCCAAAGCTTGTAGCGTCCCCTGCTCGCCCATACTCTAGCAGGAGCCTCTGAGTAGATGGTGCAGGCGGTAAGCGTGGGCGATCATTCTCAGCAGTGTCTCTCAGTTCACTGCCACTTCCAGATGCAGCAGTAGTAACAGTATCAGAACCACCAGCTCCCAGCAACAGCCTCTCAGAGGAGGGCGCTGGGGTAGCTCCGGTAGCTCCTGCCGTATACCTGAGGAGCCAGCCACTTGGCTCCGCCTACCGGCATGTAAACGACGATTTTCTGGCTGACCAGCCCGTTCCAGCGCAGATTTTAATCTCGCTAAATTTAGATGCCTCTTCCTACTACCGCCCACCTCAGCCATTCTGGCAGACCGATTTGCTGACGTCGTATTTTGTACTAGCTCGGTGGTGGCCCGTACAAGTTCCGCCGCCGCCAAAACCAGTTGATTGCTGGCAGGATTATTTGTGCTTGTAGCAGTACCTTGAGTGTCACCTAAAACTTGCGGCACCCCGACATCTCTCGCAGGAGCTTCCTCCAACTTAGTAGAGGAATCCATGACAACGTCGCTAGACGAAAATTCAGAATCTGATGAGTCTTCCAATTCGTCGAAACCCAGTATATGTTCCACAGACCCATCCATGTCTTCATCATTGGTTTCTGAGTCAACCGCATCCTGATTGTCACCACAAGATTGGTTCGCGGTTTCAACAGCTGAAGCCTCACGGATAAGTTCAGCAGTTCCAGACAGCGCAAGATCCACACTGTCATCCCTCATCCAAAATGTGTAGCTGTTTGGGAAGAGTCACCGGACTTGTTTGATGAGCCACCACTGAGGGCGACTGAGTTCCTGGAGCAAAGGCTTTCTGGAGCTTTACCATATGTTCAGAAAATGAATTTTCGTGAGAAAAATCTTCGTTAGTATCTTCGGAACCAGGGCGACCAGCTACGTTGGAGTTCACCGATCTCAAATCAGCATCATCAACAGCAGAATCTTCGAGCAATATATGATCCTCAGACTGAAGTGTATCTTTGTCGTCAGCAACACTAATTGATTCATCTGCAACCAGCTCCACATCAACATCTTCCAACGGTTGAAAAGAGTTTACAGTTATAGGTGTCGATGATGTAGAAGTAGAATCCTGGTCCTCCAATCTGCTGGATCTGTGGCTCCTTCCCTCAGAGCCCACATAAGTCCAGCCAAAGTTACCACCACCACCACCAGAGAGTGAAGTGGGAGAGTAGTCGTCAGAGTCAGATTCATCTTCACTTTCTGATTCATCAGTGGAAGAGTCACTGTAGTCAGGGTCACGATTTCCAACCTCACTGTAGTCAATGAGAATGTCACCCTCGTAAATTGGCTTTTCGCCAAAAAATTTAACGCCAGGCAAGACATGGTCACGAAAGTTGCCGTGTACACAGCGCCGAATGCGCTTGTTCTTCGTAATGCATAGAAAATTCTTAGGATTTAACGGGTCGGGACCCAAATACAGAGCAGGCTCGCCCCGAGGCTGAAGGGTCCCTTTGAGTTTCTGAGACTCAGATTTAATGACAAAAACTAGGCAGCCAAATGTGTGCACTAGTGCTATAGGTGGTTTTCTGCCCGTAAAGGCTTCATAAGGTGATATACCGGCTTTATTAACTATGGAGAAATTATATACCTGCACAGCGTAGAGCCAGGCAGAGTCCCAGTAGATATTGGCCCAGAGTGTCGACTGCATCAAGGCTCTAGTAGATATCTCACGAAGTGTGCGGTGGGCACGCTCAATTTTTCCATTTTGTTGGTGTTCATCAGGAGCAGTTAAAATATGAATGACGCCCCAATCTGCCAAAAATTTTCCAAGTGTGCCAGAGATAAATTCACCACCATTGTCAGTAATAAGCTTGGTGGCCTTGCCGTCAGCAGCACGGCGAGCAGCTTTGGGCACAAACTGCTTAAAGAACTGGATAAGTTTCCCAGAGCTTCATCCTTAGATTCCAGAGCAAAAGCATAGATGTAACCAGAAAATGCATCAATGATATTCAGCATGTACCTGGCCCCTGAAGAGGCAGGACCTATGGGACCGACGAGATCAGCATGAATCTGGGCTAACGGAGCCGTGGATTCAGAAGCTATATGCTTATCCGGAGAAGTGAACCGCTTAATGCTTCTTGACGTGCCACATATGACACAGTCCTTGATCAACTCTTCGTCACGCTTGGTCACCTCAAAGGGAGGATCAGCAAGCTTGGCTAAATGCTTCACCGAAGTCAAAGAGCAATGAGCAAACCGAACATGACAGTCAAGTGCCTGCGAATTCAACACGGCCTCCTTTGCAATAAATTTGAGAGACGGTGAGAGGACAGGAAGTCCCTTTCCAACAGCGAGAGCTGATTTATCAACCTTCCTCATAGCTTCTGGTCCTTGTCTGCAAATCTGATCCCAGTCAATTGAATTTCCTGAGAACTTGAAGGAGCCAGTTGGAGGTACGATATTCCTAGTAAACTTTACCGGAACAATGTTGGCACAAATGTGAGACTTGGCATCTCTGGCACCACCAACCCTACCAACCTTTTCCTCACCAAAATAGGCCAGACAGTCCCCACTTGGGACCGTATGAAAAGAAACATCGTGCGTGCGCCAGACAGAATCAGAAAACAAATTGCTAGACCCAGCAGGAAAATAAAGTGCGTCAGCAATATGGCAAATATTGGTGCCACCGTCACCTTTTAATACAACAGCAATTTTACCTTCCCTTCTAACACGATGTCGGAACCACCATAGGAGCTGATGGTTTTGGGGCTGCTGTATTTCTCATACGACACAAAGTAACTGTTGTCTGAGATAAGATGACCAGTAGCATTTCCAGAATCAAGAACATTTGGAAGATTTGTTTCACCCACAGAGGCGATTTGGTTGGCAGGTGGAAGAAAAGCAACTGGCGAATAATCACTGCTTCCGCCGTCATTATCAAATACGTCTTGGATAGCCCGAGCAACCGAGCAAAGAGTTTCAACATCGTCGCGAGCCACCTCAAGATATTCGGTAGCTTTCAAGGCAGCAACTCTGTTTTGACCATCAGAGTTCGACTTTCTAGCTTGCTTGTCTTCATTGTTGCGCCTCTTGTTGCCACCGGACCCCTTGGACCACTGCTTCCCTTTTCCTTGCTTGGTATCAGAGTGGCCAGCTTTCTTCGAGGTTTCCTGCTTGGATTCCTGCTTGGGTTCTTGCTTGGGTTCCTGCTTTGGCACCACTTTTGTTGAACCGTCAATAATTCTTCGACCTTTTACGAAGGCTGCAGAAGTTGCTTCAACTAGCGCTGGGATTTCAACTGAATCACAGGGGCTCCATCCTCCAGATCTTGACTTGAAAATGTCGACAAACTTGGTAATCCCCCAGAGATGACTCTGAGGATCTTCGCGAGCAGCTGCTGAAACCTTGTTGTTATTCAGTACTGCTAAGATAAGGTCACGATGAAAGGTGCCATCTGGGTTGTTAAAGAAATATTGCTCCACTACAGAGGCCCACTTGGAAGCTTCAGTAACAGTAGCTTGTATTTTGGTTTCAATTTCACTGCTGGTGAGCCCGGAGAAATAACTAGGACCTGGAACTCCTACTGAGATAGCTTGCGTCATCGCAAATACAATGTTAAGCTCAGGGCTTGGGGATATGCGCAAACCAATATGATTAAGACGTTGGTAAAATGAGAGCACTCGCCCCAGGTCGGCGGGCTCTAGGATTTCGGGATCTATACGGGCCATTCTTTTTCCTGGTTCAAATAGGACCCCCATGGCTTCTTCCCGCACAGACGCCGAATCCATAGGTGGAGTTTTTAGAAACTCGGGCGACGTGTCCCACCGGGCCTGTTCAGCTGCAGCCAGGTTAGCTGCAGGCGTGGTTTTTAAAATGTAAGCCTTGAGTAGTTCATCAAGGGCCCTCTCAAACCTGATACCGTAACCAAGCTGAAGGGCAGTATGGCCAACAATTGGCTTATAGATATAGTTGTTCCAAAAACTCCGGCCGCAGCTGTTAATTTGCCCAATAAGACCGTATATCCAAAAATCCAATTCACTTTTGTAGAGAAATTGTTTGAAATTTGGCGCTTGAGAAGCGTCAAAGGAGCTCATAACCTTTTGAGATGGGGGAGGACTAGCTTTGAAGTTTGAGTTTCTAATGTAAGCTGTCAAGTCTGCTAAGACTTTTAATTCAGCTTCACATCCTTCGGAACAAACTGGTATGTTGGCAATGGTTAATTGTCTAACGGTAAATCCAGAACGGTCAGCGAGATCAATTTGACGATGAACAGGGAGATCGGCGAATGTCTCATAAGAGCTGGCGTTGTTCTTTGAATGGGTCTCAGATGTTGAGTGGGCAACAGAACTTCCAGTGCTGGCTGACTCGAAGGATGAGGGTCCTTCATTGACTCCTGTAGTGTTTCCGTGATTAGACATAGCGGAGAAGACTAAAAGCAAGAGTTAATAAGTAAATACGATTGATAAGCTGAAAGCTGAAAGAGTATTTAATAAAAAACAGTTTTGCGTAAATTTAGAGTATATATAAGAATTATATAAAATGATAAAAATAATAAAATAATAAAATAATAAAATAATAAAATAATAAAATAATAAAATAATAAAATAATAAAATAATAAAAGTTCGCTATCATACCTAAAAGCAAGAGTTAATAAGTAAATACGATTGATAAGCTGAAAGCTGAAAGAGTATTTAATAAAAAACAGTTTTGCGTAAATTTAGAGTAGCGAGAAAAAGAAGTGAAAGAAAACAAGAAAGGTTTCTGTAATGAAGAAAATTTAAAAGAGCATCTTGAAAAATTTTCTTTAGCAATAGGGAGTCTTGATTGTAACAATTATTGTAACTCCAATGGTAATGGGCTAGTAGTTGCTAGTGAATAATGTAACAATGTAAAGAGTGTAATTGGGAAAAAAAATATTATGGGATAATGTTGAAATACACGATAGTACCATGACATATATTCCAACACTTTCGTGACCATGTCTTGCCTGGCGTTAAGTTTTTTGGCGAAAAGCCAATTTACGAGGGTGACATTCTCATTGACTACAGTGAGATTGGAAATCGTGACCCTGACTACAGTGACTCTTCCACTGATGAATCAGAAAGTGAAGATGAATCTGACTCTGACGACTACTCTCCCACTTCACTCTCTGGTGGTGGTGGTGGTGGTAACTTTGGCTGGACTTATGTGGGCTCTGAGGGAAGGAGCCACAGATCCAGCAGATTGGAGGACCAGGATTCTACTTCTACATCATCGACACCTATAACTGTAAACTCTTTTCAACCGTTGGAAGATGTTGATGTGGAGCTGGTTGCAGATGAATCAATTAGTGTTGCTGACGACAAAGATACACTTCAGTCTGAGGACCATATATTGCTCGAAGATTCTGCTGTTGATGATGCTGATTTGAGATCGGTGAACTCCAACGTAGCTGGTCGCCCTGGTTCCGAAGATACTAACGAAGATTTTTCTCACGAAAATTCATTTTCTGAACATATGGTAAAGCTCCAGAAAGCCTTTGCTCCAGGAACTCAGTCGCCCTCAGTGGTGGCTCATCAAACAAGTCCGGTGACTCTTCCCAAACAACTACACATTTTGGATGAGGATGACAGTGTGGATCTTGCGCTGTCTGGAACTGCTGAACTTACCCGCGAGGCTTCAGCTGTTGAAACCGCTAGCCAATCTGGTGATGACAATCAGGATGCGGTTGACTCAGAAACCAATGATGAAGACATGGATGGGTCTGTGGAACATATACTGGGTTTCGACGAATTGGAAGACTCATCAGATTCTGAATTTTCGTCTAGCGACGTTGTCATGGATTCCTCTACTAAGTTGGAGGAAGCTCCTGCGAGAGATGTCGGGGTGCCGCAAGATTTAGGTGACACTCAAGGTACTGCTACAAGCACAAATAATCCTGCCAGCAATCAACTGGTTTTGGCGGCGGCGGAACTTGTACGGGCCACCACCGAGCTAGTAGAAACTACGACGTCTGCAAATCGGTCTGCCAGAATGGCTGAGGCGGGCGGTAGTAGGAAGAGGCATCTAAATTTAGCGAGATTAAAATCTGCGCTGGAACGTGCTGGTCAGCCAGAAAATCGTCGTTTACATGCCGGTAGGCGGAGCCAAGTGGCTGGCTCCTCAGGTATACGGCAGGAGCTACCGGAGCTACCCCAGCGCCCTCCTCTGAGAGGCTGTTGCTGGGAGCTGGTGGTTCTGATACTGTTACTACTGCTGCATCTGGAAGTGGCAGTGAACTGAGAGACACTGCTGAGAATGATCGCCCACGCTTACCGCCTGCACCATCTACTCAGAGGCTCCTGCTAGAGTATGGGCGAGCAGGGGATGCTACAAGCTTTGGGGACAATACAAGCGACGTGCGGCACAGCTCCGTGCAACAAAATCGACATATGCCACTTCCGGCTCCACCTTCGAGACGGTTGTTGTTGGCAGCTCCTCCTCCGTCTTCTTCTGAACATGATTCGCAAACTGCTGGGCAAGTAGTTGTTCGACAAACAAGCCAACACTCAGCTCCGGCAGAAGCCCAACAGCCTCTTGCTAATACTGGAAGAATTACTAGGTCTGCTGCGGGTACTGCGGGTGCTGCGGGTGCTGCGGGTGCTGCGAGAGTGCCTGCTCCGTCGTCCAGACACCGTCATCGAGAAGCCTCTCGGGACACAGTTGTTGTTAACAAAAGATTAGCTGATTTGATTGAGCAAAATGGCTATTATGTTCCTAACAGTGCACTTCAGCGGCTGGCGCGAAAAGAAAATTCTTCATTAATTCTAAATCGCACAAATCTAATTACCCGGCCTACTGATAACCTTCCACTAGTAAGTGGCGCGGCTTTGCAAAATAAAATTTTCTCCACCACCACGAAATCTAAAAATTTTTCTTCGGCTACTAATTTATCACAGAAAGTAGTCTCAGAAAATTCGACTTCAAACTCCTCACCAAGATTGGAAAATGAAGCCTCAAATGGTTCTCCCACAACACCCTCTACCTCTGCTTCTTTGTCCTCGGAATCATCTGCACATTCGGAGCCAGTGGTTACATCACCAACCTCCTCTGCTGTGACGTCTCCCACATTAGAAAGTTCTTCTTCTCGTCGTGATCACCAAACCACTCCTCCCTCGTCATCGAATCGCATGCTGTCGATAGCACAACGCAATATCTTACGCAGTGCAGCTGAGGCCATCTCAAGAATCGACTAAGGAGCTTTAAGAAATCTGCGAAAAGAAATCGCTCTACAAGCCCAACCACTACAGCATCGGGCTTACTTTGGGGCTCTCGCTCTTCCGACCGGCACAGTGACAAACTGAAACTCTCGAACTCTGAGTCAGCTTTGGACTCGGAATCTAGGTCACTGCTGCATGGTCTGCCAGCTCGTGAGGGTTCAACACTGAGAGCCCCACACGGCCACCTCCAGGGTACACCGAATCTTAGATTCAACCCCACTCCCGATGCGGTTCCCTTTCTTTCTCACACTCACTCGGCAACACACAATGTCCCTGCTACGTCAGCATCAGTAGATGAGGACTCAGTCGTTAGCACTGACTCGCAGTCCCACTCTCCCGCCTCCACAACCGAAGCTGATGTTGAGGCTACAAGCGATGAAATCTCAATTGCAGCACCCTACAATTCTGACTCTCAGGGCTCATCAGAACACTTAGCTGACGGCATTGACTTCTTACATGAAACTTTTGTTTCTTCGCCTGCTGATGATGAAATTATTTTTGTTGATGAATCGGCAAGCCCATCAGGAGATCCGTCTGCCGGGGCTGTCGACGATGTCATTGGCATTGGCTGCATCTACTCGAACTCTGAAGAACCAACTGTGAAAGCCCGCATGGCGTCTGGAAGACTTGACACACTCAGCGCTATTAACATTAAGCTTCCAATCTTGAGGAATGACATCAAAGTGTTAGAATCTAGCAAACCAGGTCTCTGCTTTACGGCTCCTGATGTGGAGAATGTTAGAGCTCTCATCAGCGACAGAGATTGGGCAGATCTTAAGGACCGTCCTGCCTTCATTCGATTTCCGAATGTGGGAGTGGCGCTGCTCGACCCTGGCAAGAAGCTAAAAAAGGGACCCACGGTCACTTGCGGAAGCCAACAACAGAGAAGATAAGCGCTTCTGGTTCGATGCGGCCTATTCGGAATTTGCTGCCATTGATGGCAATCATGTATACCAAGTTGTGCCCCTCCCGGCGGGTCGCAAAGCACTTGGCACCAAATGGGTGCTGAAGAAGAAACTCAACACGGATGGTTCAATTGACAAGTACAAGGCTCGTCTTGTTGTTCAGGGGTTTCGTCAAAAGTTTGGTGTTGACTATGTTGACACCTTTGCACCGGTAATGAGATTCAGCACTGTTCGTCTCATTTTCGCCCTGAGTGCGGCGAAGAACTGCGAAATGCACCACGTCGATGTTAAAAATGCTTTCTTGAATGGAGATCTAGAAGAAGACATCTATGTCAAGCCACCAACAGGAATTGACCATAATACCCCTCCTGGCATGGTCTGGAAGCTGAATAAAAGCTTATATGGACTGAAGCAAGCCCCTCTGTGTTGGAACAAGAAGCTTGTTGACAAGTTGGAAGCTCTAGGTTACAAAGCTGCCAAGAAAGAACCCTGTCTCTTTTACAAGATTAATGGCAAAGACTTCAGTATTATAGGTCTTTATGTTGACGACATCTTAACGGCGTCAAACGTACCGGGAGAATTCGAGCGGTTTTTCAAGGGCCTATCTGGTTACTTTGCCATCAAAGATGAAGGTGGTGTTAACAAATTCTTGGGAATCAGAGTCCAAGACTCCGACAGGACAATATCTCTGGATCTGGAACATTATATTGCTGACATGATTGAGGTTTTCAAATTGAGTAATCAAACAGCTAAGTCGATACCGTTGCCCAAGAAACATGGCCTTGATTTCCCACAGGGCCTCGATGCTCGTCCAGCTAACCAATCGCTATATCGCAGCATTCTTGGCAAGCTACAGTTTGCTGCTCAGACGGCTCGTCCAGACATTGCCTATGCTACAGGCAAGCTTGCTCAGTATTCGAGTGACCCTAGAGCCATTCATATGGATAGAGCTTATCATGTTCTGAGCTACCTCAAAGGCACCAAGGACCTGGCAATTGTCTATCACAAAAATGTACCAGGCGCCTCTCCGCGGCTTCTGAGAGGCTGGTCAGATGCCGATTGGGCAAACGATCCTGACAGGAAGTCTATCTCAGGCTTTGCATTCTCTCACGGTCCTTCAACCTTCTCTTGGAAGTCGGCCAAACAGAAGCTGACAGCAACTTCCACAACCGAGGCTGAGCTGATTGCCGCTTTTGTTGAGCATGCAATGTTGTCGCAGACTAGTGCAGTTGATAATGCACGTGAGTTTGGGTGGGAAACTATGGTTGATAACCTATGTTTATTTTAGTTTTAGCCGCATTAGGTTTAAGCCCTTATGTGACTGTGGTTACCCTCCTTAATTTGTTACAAAGTTGAAGTGTAATACAAACCCACTCAACTTTGGGACAACCCAAATGAAAAAATTTTCACCACTGCAAATTTTTCTTTTCCTTGGGTATATAAGGAAGGTTTCTTCCCCAACTTTTATAATTTTTTCTTTTCCTTTTTCTTTCTTCTTATATAACTGTTTTATCTTATATATTTCAATATATACTTTTCTTGGATAATATTTTCTATTATTATCATGACTTCCCGTGTCACAGTTCAACAGGTTATGGGCCGCACTTCGGCTTATATTAATCTTACTTCCTCTGAAAAACTCACTCCTCTCAACTATCATGTCTGGGCTACCAAAATTCTTTTGGGTCTTCGTGCTATGAATAATGGTGTCCATCTTTATGTCGAAGCTGGTACTGTCAATCCAGCTGCCAATGAATCCCTTGAAGACCTCACCGCCTCGCTTGATACCGTCGTCCATGATGTCATCCTCAACAATATTTCTCCTGAGTTGATCGAACATGTTAATGATGTGGCCATTAGAGGCCGTGACCTCTGGCTTTACCTTCATCAGGAGTATAGTCAACTCCAACCCGCCGATGTCATCTCACTTATGAAATCCCTCTATGCTGGCAATATTGATGTTGGTCCAAAGTTTGTTTCTTCTGTTCGCTCTTATGTTGCTACCTGGCGTTCCATCTACCAATCATTGTCGCCTGATTCGGTCGTGGCCTTCAACGCTTTGGCTTCAATGGGTCCCAATTGTGAGCGCTTCATCCAGTATGCCTTGGAGCACCGCTTTGATAGTAACAACAATACTGACAACCTTGATATTAACAACTTCATCCGAACACTGATAAATGGGCCAAGTTGTTGAAGATTACTGGCCCTCCAGCTACTCTTTCGACTGAAGCGTTCGTTGCTTCATCAAAGAAGTACAATAACAAATCTAAGGGTGATGGTATCAAATGTTTCCGTTGTAAGAGGCGTGGTCATACTTCCAACAATTGTCATGTCTCTTGGGAAGAGGTTCAGGCTGCTCGCCAAGATAATAAGGATGACAAGGAATCTAAGGAGGCTAAAACCTCAAGAGGTTGGTTTGCTGAGACTATTGATGAATTTTCTGAGATAGTTGATGATGATCCATTTGTGAGTTCCGCTTTTGTGTCCGAGACATCTGTTGTTTCTGAAAAGTTTGGTAACAGTTGTTCCGAGTCGTTTGATGATTTGGAATCCGAACTTTTTGATTCTTCTGAGCCGTGTGTCGGCGATGAAGATTGTTTTGTTAGTCAAGTTTCTGAGTATTGTTCAAACTCAGGACTTGATATTGATTCAGTTGGTAAACCGTTTGTTGGTTCCACTGATGATTCTTGTTTTATTTCTGAACCGTATGTCGGTTCTACTGTTGTTTGTTTGGAGTCTGAACCGTGTGTCAATTCAGCTCCTATTTGTTTTGATTCTGAATCGTTGGTCGATTCGGATATTGTTCCTTTTGATTCTGAACCGTTGGTCGGTTCTTCTTTTATTTTTTGTTCTGATTCTAAACCGTTGGTCGGTTCTGATGATGATATTGTCTTACCTTGTTTTGATTTTTTGGTGGATTCAATTACTGAACCTTCTCCGCCTATTGTTAAACCTATTGTTACACCAAAATCCCGTTTTTCTCCATTCTTTTACTTATCTTTTGTTACCATCATGTTGTTTTCCTTGATTTTAATTGTCGTCTGGCATCCTTTTTCAATCTTGGATTTAAGTCATTCAGTCCATCACGTTTTTGTTGCTGAATCTACTACTTCTGCTGAGGCCAACTTAGTTGTTGGGTCTGATTCTTTTGACTTTATCCATGATACCGGTGTTACCAGTCACATTTGCAATAACATCTCATATTTTTCTTCTCTTCGTCCCACTTCGGCTACCATTCGTGGTCTTGGTTCTGCTACTGCTGAGGGGGTTGGCGACATTGTCGTTGATCTTCTTGGTAAAGATGACCAGCCTTGTGACCGCGTTGTTCTTCGAGATGTTTTATATGTTCCTAAGATTCCTCGCAATTTATTTGCTGCTCGTCGAGCTACTGCTGGTGGTTGTCGGTTCATTCAAGACCTTAACCATATTTCTGCTGTCGAAAATGGCGAAACTCGAGTCCACGCCATTGCCATGGGTGACTTGTACTTTTGTCGTTTCCGAGTTGTTTTGCCTTCCAAGCCAGTCCATGAGGTGTTTGCTGTTGAGTCGTCTGCCAATCTTTGGCACAAGCGACTTGGTCACGCCAGTGTGGACGTTCTCAAGAAATTATCTAAAGTCACTTTCTGTCAAGCCTACTCATTTTGAGGTTGTGGATAGTCATAAGTGTGACGCTTGTTTGGGTGGCAAAGCCACAGCATTGCCATTTAATGGTACCACAGAAAAAAGCTAGTCGTCCTTTGGAGTTATTTGTTTCTGATTTAAGCGGTCCTCATGTCGCTACCCCTGTGGGTCATCGTTATGTCTTAACCATTATGGATTATTATTCCAGGTACTCTTATGTGGAGTTGTTGGTTAGGAAAAGTGATGCAAGTCTTGCCATTCGTAACTTTATTGCTAGGTGTGAATCTTATTTTTTCTGGTGATTCTGCTGGTGATCGAGTTGCATATTTTCATTCTGATAATGGCGGCGAATACATTTCCAAAGACCTGGAGCAGTTCTTTGTGTCTAAGGGTATCAAGCATACTTATACAGTTCCTCATACTCCTCAACAAAATGGTGTTGCTGAGCGATTGAATCGCACATTATTTGAGAAAGCCAAGTCTATGCTTTTATATGCTCATGCTCCTGAATACTTATGGGGTGAAGCTGTCAAGTCTGCTAATTATATTAGGAACCGTCTTCCTAGTCGTACCACTGGTGGTGTTGCACCTCTTCAACTTTGGACTGGTAAACCTCCTAGTTATCACCATATGAAAGTATTTGGTTGTCAAGCTACAGTTGTTCTTCCTGGTGCTAAAAGAGAATCTAAGTTAAGTTCAAATACTTAAGCTGGTGTTTTTGTTGGGTATTCCTTGGATCGTACAGCTTATCGAGTTCTTCTTGATTCAAGCATTGTTGAAGCCAGGAGTGTTTACTTTGATGAGTCCAAGTTTCCATTTATGAAAAGTGATAAGGACTTGTCTATTAATGGTACTGGTGTTGGGTTTAGTGTTGGTTCTGGTTCAGGGTCCATGTCAGGACCTTGTTTTGATTCTAAGGGGACTGGTTTAGGATCTAATGTTAGGGTTAATTCTATTGCTAGTTCTGATTTAAGTTCTGGTTCTAGTTTTGGGTCTCATAGATCTTTACCAGCATCCTCATCTGGTTCTGGTTCTGGTTCTGGTTCTATTTGTGCTTTACCGTCTCCGTCTCCGTCTTCTTCTCCGTCTCATTCTCCGTCGCCGCCTCCTTCTTCTTCTTCTTCTATTATTGTTCATAAGCCTCGTTCTGTTCGTCGCATTTTGTCTACACCTTCTGCTCCTCTTGAGTCTCCTACTCTTCCTTCTATTGCTTCAGTTCCATCTCTTCCTAGTTCTCCTATTCTTCCACCTTCAGATCATGATGTCTCTATCTCTCCTGACTCTAGTCCTATTATTTCTTCTTCGGAATATATTCCTTCACAATTAGACTTATCTGAAGCTGGTCCATCTATTAATGAATCTGATATTTCAGGTGATTCTGGGATCTCGCAACGAGGGGGTGATATTGGGTTTCAACCGTCTATCATTGCTTCGTCTCCCACTCCACCACCTTCTGTTGAATTGGAAGTAGTGCCACTTAGTCAAGAATATCCTTCGTCTGATCTTGTTAATTCTCTTGACCAAGCTGGTGTTAGTGTTGTCACTAAGGATGATACTCAAGCTGTTTTGCCTAAATCTCGATCTCGTGTTGTTGCTGTTCGTTTACCTTCTATAACTCCTGCCAAACGCCCGAGTTCTGATGACATTGTTTCACCTCCTTCTAAACACCTTTGTGAAAATTCTTTGAAACAATCTCCAGTGTCTGCAACACCTGCAAAACGTCCAGCTGAAGAAGAGTGTATTTCTTATCGTCGTCTCAAATCTCTCCGCTTTGAGTATGATGATGTGGCTTTACTTGTTTTTACAGATCCTAGTAGTTTTGAAGAAGCTATGTCTAGTGAAGAAGCTGAGTTTTGGCTTGAAGCCTGTGTTATTGAAATGTCGTCTCTTAAACGCAATGGTACTTGGGAATTGGTTGATCTCCCACCTGGTCGCAAGGCTATCAATAGCAAATGGGTATTTAAAGTTAAGCGCAAAGCTGACGGTTCAATTGAACGTTACAAAGCTCGTCTCGTGTGTATTGGATTTTCGCAAGTTGAAGGTATTGATTATACTGAAACTTTTGCTCCCGTTGTTCGTTACGAGACTGTAAGGATTGTTCTTGCTATTGCTGCTCAGTTTGGGTTCCAGGTTCATCATATGGATGTCGAGACTGCATTTCTTAATGGTGATCTCAAAGAAGATATTTATATGAGACAACCTAAAGGCTTTGTTGTCAAAGGTCAGGAATCTAAAGTGTGTCATTTGAAGAAGTCTTTATATGGTTTAAAGCAAGCTCCTTTGTGTTGGAATGAGAAGATTCATGGTGCTCTTGTCAAACTTGGGTTTATTCGTAATGAAAGTGACTACGGTGTGTATACCAAAGGATCTGGGTCTACCATGGTCATTATTGCACTGTATGTTGATGATTTACTTATTTCTGGCAATTCTTCTGAAGTCATTGCCAAAACCAAGTCTTCTTTGTCATCTATGTTTAAGATGAAAGACTTGGGCCCAGTCGAGCAGTTCCTTGGCATGAGAGTTAAGCAGTCACCTTACCATATTACTGTGGATGTTTCGCGTTATATTTTGATATGTTGGAAGAGTTTGGTATGCAGAATTGTTCAAGTGTCAAGACTCCTTTACCCACTCGTGATCTTTCTGATTTTTCCGAGTCTGACTCTGCTACCGATGCCTCCATGTATCGCAGTATTATTGGTAAGCTGATTTATGCTGCTAATTGTGCTCGTCCTGATCTTGCTGTTGCTGTTAGTTTTCTTTGTCGATATATGCAGAGTCCTAAGTCTATTCATATGGAAGCTGCTAAGCATACTCTTCGTTATCTTAAGGGTACTGCTGAACTTGGTCTTGAATATCGAGCTCAGAAAGTCTACAAGCTTGTTGGCTATAGTGATGCCGACTATGCTCAGGACAAGCAGGACCGTAAGTCCTTTACTGGGTATGTTTTCATTCTGTCTGGTGGTCCCATTACTTGGGCCTGTCGAAAGCAAGTTAGTCCTGCATCGTCCAGCGTCGAGTCTGAGTATATGTCATTGTCTGATGCGTCTAAGGAATGCTTCTGGATTAATCAGTTGTTGTCTCTTTGCAAGATTCCTGTTCCGTTGCCAGTGACTATGTTTGAGGACAATCAGGGATGTATTGCTTTGGCTCAGAACCCAGTGTTTCATCGTCGTACCAAGCATATTGATGTTCGTTATCATGTTGTGCGTCACTATATTCGCAGTGGAGTAATTCATCTGGAGTATCTTGATACTCAAGTGATGTTGGCAGATATGTTCACTAAGAATCTTGGTCGTGTGAAGTTTGAGACATTAAGGGGACTACTTGGTATGAAGGCAGTAGGTGATTCTGCGACAAGGGGAGGTGTTGAGCATGCAATGTTGTCGCAGACTAGTGCAGTTGATAATGCACGTGAGTTTGGGTGGGAAACTATGGTTGATAACCTATGTGTATTTTAGTTTTAGCCGCATTAGGTTTAAGCCCTTATGTGACTGTGGTTACCCTCCTTAATTTGTTACAAAGTTGAAGTGTAATACAAACCCACTCAACTTTGGGACAAACCCAAATGAAAAATTTTCACCACTGCAAATTTTTCTTTTCCTTGGGTATATAAGGAAGGTTTCTTCCCCAACTTTTATAATTTTTCTTTTCCTTTTTCTTTCTTCTTATATAACTGTTTTATCTTATATATTTCAATATATACTTTTCTTGGATAATATTTTCTATTATTATCATGACTTCCCGTGTCACAGTTCAACAGCTTTTTCTGCCACGTGTGAGGCAGTTTACTTCCGAGATCTTTTGGAAGAACTTGGTGAATCTCAACCAACGACTGTCATCATGGAGGACAACAAAGGTGTCCTGGATCTCATGAAGGACAGCAAACATCACGAGCGGACTAAACATATTGATACCAAGTACATGCGCACCAGAGACCATGTCAAAGCCGGCGATACCCGTCTTGAAGCTGTTACTTCAGCAGATAATGTGGCAGACATTTTTACCAAAGCTCTGGCTAAGCCGCAGTTTTTATATTTGAGGAATCTTCTGGGTATGAGTACCCGTCCTCAAGTTGAGGGGGGAAATGGACTTGATGCAGTGCTCGTCTCGTCAAATAATACCTCCATCGTTACACCGCAGTCATTTTTTGAAGACTCGACGACGCAAAGATCAAGAGATTGAATCTTGATAACGGGCTATTGTTGCAGGGGGGCTGTTGGAATATATGTCATGGTACTATCGTGTATTTCAACATTATCCCATAATATTTTTTTTTTCCCAATTACACTCTCTACATTGTTACATTATTCACTAGCAACTACTAGCCCATTACCATTGGAGTTACAATAATTGTTACAATCAAGACTCCCTATTGCTAAAGAAAATTTTCAAGATGCTCTTTTAAATTTTCTTCATTACAGAAACCTTTCTTGTTTTTCTTTCTCTTCTTTTTCTCGCTACTCTAAATTTACGCAAAACTGTTTTTATTAAATACTCCTTCAGCTTTCAGCTTATCAATCGTATTTACTTATTAACTCTTGCTTTTAGGTATGATAGCGAACTTTTATTATTTTATTATTTTATTATTTTTATCATTTATATAATTCTTATATACACTCTAAATTTACGCAAAACTGTTTTATTAAATACTCCTTCAGCTTTCAGCTTATCAATCGTATTTACTTATTAACTCTTGCTTTTAGTCTTCTCCGCTATGTCTAATCACGGAAACACTACAGGAGTCAATGAAGGACCCTCATCCTTCGAGTCAGCCAGCACTGGAAGTTCTGTTGCCCACTCAACATCTGAGACCCATTCAAAGAACAACGCCAGCTCTTATGAGACATTCGCCGATCTCCCTGTTCATCGTCAAATTGATCTCGCTGACCGTTCTGGATTTACCGTTAGACAATTAACCATTGCCAACATACCAGTTTGTTCCGAAGGATGTGAAGCTGAATTAAAAGTCTTAGCAGACTTGACAGCTTACATTAGAAACTCAAACTTCAAAGCTAGTCCTCCCCCATCCCAAAAGGTTTTATTATCTTGACCAAGTAGAATTTGCTTACAATTCCGCACCACAGTCTACTATTAAGACATCTCCATTTGTCGCTGATCTTGGCTTTCTACCTCGCCAACCTGCAATGATCCGTCCACCATCGGATGCTCGTACACCCTCAAATGTGGAAAGTCTACAAGTCAAACTGAAAGCTATTCTGTTACGTACTCAAGAGTACATGAGTTTCTCACAGTTGAGTCAACAACGACAAGCTGACAAGCATCGTCGTCCTGTGGAAATTAAAGTTGGTGATTCTGTTCTTATCCACCACACTAGTTTTCAGAGCCCTAGCAATAGGATGCTGCCACTTTTCGTCGGTCCATACACCGCCGTTAAAGCAATTGGGGGAGGAAATGCGTTTGAATTGGATTTACCCACTACTGTTAAGAACAACCGTGTTTTTAATGTTTCGAAATTACGCAAATATGTCAAATCTGATGAATACCCTGCTGAGATTAGACCTACTGAGGATTATGTTAAGAAGAACTTGAACCGCATTGCTAGCGTAGCCGCTATGCAAAATGGTCTTGTCTATCTACAGTTCACAGATAGCCTACCTGGACATTGCGTCGCCATTTCAACAAGTTTTTGGAATACTATGCCTGCCGAAAAAAGGATACCATTATTCAAAGCTTACATGGTTAGAATCAAAGCTCGGGACGAGCCTTTATGAAAGGAGGGAAAGTTGTAAAAGATTAACAAGCAACAACCAAGACAAATAATTATAAATGTCTTAAAGATCAAACTTGCAATCAACCAAGACAAATAATTATAAATGCTTAAAGATCAAACATGCAATCAAAATAAATAATTATCGATAAATGCTTGAGGATAAAAATACATTAATCTAGATTAAGATTAAGAAGTGATTAATGTTGAGCATGCAATGTTGTCGCAGACTAGTGCAGTTGATAATGCACGTGAGTTTGGGTGGGAAACTATGGTTGACAATCTATGTTTATTTTAGTTTTAGCCGCATTAGGTTTAAGCCCTTATGTGACTGTGGTTACCCTCCTTAATTTGTTACAAAGTTGAAGTGTAATACAAACCCACTCAACTTTGGGACAAACCCAAATGAAAAATTTTCACCACTGCAAATTTTTCTTTTCCTTGGGTATATAAGGAAGGTTTCTTCCCCAACTTTTATAATTTTTCTTTTCCTTTTTCTTTCTTCTTATATAACTGTTTTATCTTATATATTTCAATATATACTTTTCTTGGATAATATTTTCTATTATTATCATGACTTCCCGTGTCACAGTTCAACAGGTTATGGGCCGCACTTCGGCTTATATTAATCTTACTTCCTCTGAAAACTCCTCCTCTCAACTATCATGTCTGGGCTACCAAAATTCTTTTGGGTCTTCGTGCTATGAATAATGGTGTCCATCTTTATGTCGAAGCTGGTACTGTCAATCCAGCTGCTAATGAATCCCTCGAAGACCTCACCGCCTCGCTTGATACCGTCGTCCATGATGTCATCCTCAACAATATTTCTCCTGAGTTGATCGAACATGTTAATGATGTGGCCATTAGAGGCCGTGACCTCTGGCTTTATCTTCATCAGGAGTATAGTCAACTTCAACCCGCCGATGTCATCTCTCTTATGAAATCCCTCTATGCTGGCAATATTGATGTTGGTCCAAAGTTTGTTTCTTCTGTTCGTTCTTATGTTGCTACATGGCGTTCCATCTACCAATCATTGTCGCCTGATTCGGTTGTGGCCTTCAACGCTTTGGCCTCAATGGGTCCCAATTGTGAGCGCTTCATCCAGTACGCCTTGGAGCACCGCTTTGATAGTAACAATGCTGACAACCTTGATATCAACAACTTCATCCGGAACACTGATAAATGGGCCAAGTTGTTGAAGATTACTGGACCTCCAGCTACTCTTTCGACTGAAGCGTTCGTTGCTTCATCAAAGAAGTACAATAACAAATCTAAGGGTGATGGTATTAAATGTTTCCGTTGTAAGAGGCGTGGTCATACTTCCAACAATTGTCATGTCTCTTGGGAAGAGGTTCAGGCTGCTCGCCAAGATAATAAGGATGACAAGGAATCTAAGGAGGCTAAAACCTCAAGAGGTTGGTTTGCTGAGACTATTGATGAATTTTCTGAGATAGTTGATGATGATCCATTTGTGAGTTCCGCTTTTGTGTCCGAGACATCTGTTGTTTCTGAAAAGTTTGGTAACAGTTGCTCCGAGTCGTTTGATGATTTGGAATCCGAACTTTTTGATTCTTCTGAGCCGTGTGTCGGCGATGAAGATTGTTTTGTTGGTCAAGTTTCTGAGTATTGTTCAAACTCAGAACTTGATATTGATTCAGTTGGTAAACCGTTTGTTGGTTCCACTGATGATTCTTGTTTTATTTCTGAACCGTATGTCGGTTCTACTGTTGTTTGTTTGGAGTCTGAACCGTGTGTCAGTTCAGCTCCTATTTGTTTTGATTCTGAATCGTTGGTCGATTCGGATATTGTTCCTTTTGATTCTGAACCGTTGGTCGGTTCTTCTTTTATTTCTTGTTCTGATTCTAAACCGTTGGTCGGTTCTGATGATGATATTGTCTTACCTTCTTTTGATTTTTTGGTGGATTCAATTACTGAACCTTCTCCACTTATTGTTAAACCAATTGTTACACCAAAATCCCGTTTTTCTCCATTCTTTTACTTATCTTTTGTTACCATCATGTTGTTTTCCTTGATTTTAATTGTCGTCTGGCATCCTTCTTCAATCTTGGATTTAAGTCATTCAGTACATCACGTTTTTGTTGCTGAATCTACTACTTCTGCTGAGGCCAACTTAGTTGTTGGGTCTGATTCTTTTGACTTTATCCATGATACCGGTGCTACCAGTCACATTTGCAATAACATCTCATATTTTTTCTTCTCTTCGTCCCACTTCGGCTACCATTCGTGGTCTTGGTTCTGCTACTGCTGAGGGGGTTGGCGACATTGTCGTTGATCTTCTTGGTAAAGATGACCAGCCTTGTGACCGCGTTGTTCTTCGAGATGTTTTATATGTTCCTAAGATTCCTCGCAATTTATTTGCTGCTCGTCGAGCTACTGCTGGTGGTTGTAGGTTCATTCAAGACCTTAACCATATTTCTGCTGTTGAAAATGGCAAAACTCGAGTCCACGCCATTGCCATGGGTGACTTGTACTTTTGTCGTTTCCGAGTTGTTTTGCCTTCCAAGCCAGTCCATGAGGTGTTTGCTGTTGAGTCGTCTGCCAATCTTTGGCACAAGCGACTTGGTCACGCCAGTGTGGACGTTCTCAAGAAATTATCTAAGTCACTTTCTGTCAAGCCTACTCATTTTGAGGTTGTGGATAGTCATAAGTGTGACGCTTGCTTGGGTGGCAAAGCCACAGCATTGCCATTTAATGGTACCACAGAAAAAGCTAGTCGTCCTTTGGAATTATTTGTTTCTGATTTGAGCGGTCCTCATGTCGCTACCCCTGTGGGTCATCGTTATGTCTTAACCATTATGGATTATTATTCCAGGTACTCTTATGTGGAGTTGTTGGTTAGGAAAAGTGATGCAAGTCTTGCCATTCGTAACTTTATTGCTAGGTGTGAATCTTATTTTTCTGGTGATTCTGCTGGTGATCGAGTTGCATATTTTCATTCTGATAATGGCGGCGAATACATTTCCAAAGACCTGGAGCAGTTCTTTGTGTCTAAGGGTATCAAGCATACTTATACAGTTCCTCATACTCCTCAACAAAATGGTGTTGCTGAGCGATTGAATCGCACATTATTTGAGAAAGCCAAGTCTATGCTTTTATATGCTCATGCTCCTGAATACTTATGGGGTGAAGCTGTCAAGTCTGCTAATTATATTAGGAACCGTCTTCCTAGTCGTACCACTGGTGGTGTTGCACCTCTTCAACTTTGGACTGGTAAACCTCCTAGTTATCACCATATGAAAGTATTTGGTTGTCAAGCTACAGTTGTTCTTCCTGGTGCTAAAAGAGAATCTAAGTTAAGTTCAAATACTGAAGCTGGTGTTTTTGTTGGGTATTCTTTGGATCGTACAGCTTATCGAGTTCTTCTTGATTCAAGCATTGTTGAAGCCAGGAGTGTTTACTTTGATGAGTCCAAGTTTCCATTTATGAAAAGTGATAAGGACTTGTCTATTAATGGTACTGGTGTTGGGTTTAGTGTTGGTTCTGGTTCAGGGTCCATGTCAGGACCTTGTTTTGATTCTAAGGGGACTGGTTTAGGATCTAATGTTAGGGTTAATTCTATTGCTAGTTCTGATTTAAGTTCTGGTTCTAGTTTTGGGTCTCATAGATCTTTACCAGCATCCTCATCTGGTTCTGGTTCTGGTTCTGGTTCTGGTTCTGGTTCTATTTGTGCTTTACCGTCTCCGTCTCCGTCTTCTTCTCCGTCTCATTCTCCGTCGCCGCCTCCTTCTTCTTCTTCTTCTATTATTGTTCATAAGCCTCGTTCTGTTCGTCGCATTTTGTCTACACCTTCTGCTCCTCTTGAGTCTCCTACTCTTCCTTCTATTGCTTCAGTTCCATCTCTTCCTAGTTCTCCTATTCTTCCACCTTCAGATCATGATGTCTCTATCTCTCCTGACTCTAGTCCTATTATTTCTTCTTCGGAATATATTCCTTCACAATTAGACTTATCTGAAGCTGGTCCATCTATTAATGAATCTGATATTTCAGGTGATTCTGGGATCTCGCAACGAGGGGGTGATATTGGGTTTCAACCGTCTATCATTGCTTCGTCTCCCATTCCACCACCTTCTGTTGAATTGGAAGTAGTGCCACTTAGTCAAGAATCTCCTTCGTCTGATCTTGTTAATTCTCTTGACCAAGCTGGTGTTAGTGTTGTCACTAAGGATGATACTCAAGCTGTTTTGCCTAAATCTCGATCTCGTGTTGTTGCTGTTCGTTTACCTTCTATAACTCCTGCCAAACGCCCGAGTTCTGATGACATTGTTTCACCTCCTTCTAAACACCTTTGTGAAAATTCTTTGAAACAATCTCCAGTGTCTGCAACACCTGCAAAACGTCCAGCTGAAGAAGAGTGTATTTCTTATCGTCGTCTCAAATCTCTCCGCTTTGAGTATGATGATGTGGCTTTACTTGTTTTTACAGATCCTAGTAGTTTTGAAGAAGCTATGTCTAGTGAAGAAGCTGAGTTTTGGCTTGAAGCCTGTGTTATTGAAATGTCGTCTCTTAAACGCAATGGTACTTGGGAATTGGTTGATCTCCCACCTGGTCGCAAGGCTATCAATAGCAAATGGGTGTTTAAAGTTAAGCGCAAAGCTGACGGTTCAATTGAACGTTACAAAGCTCGTCTCGTGTGTATTGGATTTTCGCAAGTTGAAGGTATTGATTATACTGAAACTTTTGCTCCTGTTGTTCGTTACGAGACTGTGAGGATTGTTCTTGCTATTGCTGCTCAGTTTGGGTTCCAGGTTCATCATATGGATGTCGAGACTGCATTTCTTAATGGTGATCTCAAAGAAGATATTTATATGAGACAACCTAAAGGCTTTGTTGTCAAAGGTCAGGAATCTAAAGTGTGTCATTTGAAGAAGTCTTTGTATGGTTTAAAGCAAGCTCCTTTGTGTTGGAATGAGAAGATTCATGGTGCTCTTGTCAAACTTGGGTTTATTCGTAATGAAAGTGACTACGGCGTGTATACCAAAGGATCTGGGTCTACCATGGTCATTATTGCACTGTATGTTGATGATTTACTTATTTCTGGCAATTCTTCTGAAGTCATTGCCAAAACCAAGTCTTCTTTGTCATCTATGTTTAAGATGAAAGACTTGGGCCCAGTCGAGCAGTTCCTTGGCATGAGAGTTAAGCAGTCACCTTACCATATTACTGTGGATGTTTCGCGTTATATTTTTGATATGTTGGAAGAGTTTGGTATGCAGAACTGTTCAAGTGTCAAGACTCCTTTACCCACTCGTGATCTTTCTGATTTTTCCGAGTCTGACTCTGCTACCGATGCCTCCATGTATCGCAGTATTATTGGTAAGCTGATTTATGCTGCTAATTGTGCTCGTCCTGATCTTGCTGTTGCTGTTAGCTTTCTTTGTCGATATATGCAGAGTCCTAAGTCTATTCATATGGAAGCTGCTAAGCATACTCTTCGTTATCTTAAGGGTACTGCTGAACTTGGTCTTGAATATCGAGCTCAGAAAGTCTACAAGCTTGTTGGTTATAGTGATGCCGACTATGCACAGGACAAGCAGGACCGTAAGTCATTTACTGGGTATGTTTTCATTCTGTCTGGTGGTCCCATTACTTGGGCTTGTCGAAAGCAAGTTAGTCCTGCATCGTCCAGCGTCGAGTCTGAGTACATGTCATTGTCTGATGCGTCTAAGGAATGCTTCTGGATTAATCAGTTGTTGTCCCTTTGCAAGATTCCTGTTCCGTTGCCAGTGACTATGTTTGAGGACAATCAGGGATGTATTGCTTTGGCTCAGAACCCAGTGTTTCATCGTCGCACCAAGCATATTGATGTTCGGTATCATGTTGTGCGTCACTATATTCGCAGTGGAGTGATTCATCTGGAGTATCTTGATACTCAAGTGATGTTGGCAGATATGTTTACTAAGAATCTTGGTCGTGTGAAGTTTGAGACATTGAGGGGACTACTTGGTATGAAGGCAGTAGGTGATTCTGCGACAAGGGGAGGTGTTGAGCATGCAATGTTGTCGCAGACTAGTGCAGTTGATAATGCACGTGAGTTTGGGTGGGAAACTATGGTTGACAATCTATGTTTATTTTAGTTTTAGCCGCATTAGGTTTAAGCCCTTATGTGACTGTGGTTACCCTCCTTAATTTGTTACAAAGTTGAAGTGTAATACAAACCCACTCAACTTTGGGACAAACCCAAATGAAAAATTTTCACCACTGCAAATTTTTCTTTTCCTTGGGTATATAAGGAAGGTTTCTTCCCCAACTTTTATAATTTTTCTTTTCCTTTTTCTTTCTTCTTATATAACTGTTTTATCTTATATATTTCAATATATACTTTTCTTGGATAATATTTTCTATTATTATCATGACTTCCCGTGTCACAGTTCAACAATTAAGAAGGAATTATTAAAGAGAATCGCTTGAATATATATAGTCATATATTTCCATAAGTTTTTATCAGTATCTAAAAAGATATTTACATCAATACAATAAGTTTTATATTAAACTATTAGCTTGGTTCTTTCTTTGGACAATCCGACTTTACTCTCATACGATAACTCCATTACACAATAAATAATAAGAGGCCGTGTGGTCTAGTCCACCTGTGTCAAAGAAGCGGAAAGTCACATGATAAATCCGCGAATTAAAAATTGGCCGCTTTTGTAATCCGGGTTTTTACCCGTACCCTGAATATGCATAGACACGATTTAGGCGATTTTAATCAAAAAAAATAAAAATGAAAATGGATAAGAAACAAACTAATTGATTTTTCTTATCTTTTCATTAAAGGTTCGGACCATTAACGACCAAAAATCTACAATATCTTTTCCAGTATTTTCATAGCTGCAATTTTAATCAAAATGAGTTTAGTAGGTTCAATTGCAAATGATGATTCTTCCGAGCACAATGAAAGCATTGTTGAGATTACTGGGGAAGAAGAAGAATTTAATTTAGTCCACACCTTGAACTTGAACAACAGAACGAGAGAGGCCAATCATATGAACTTAGATGAAGAGACTGAGGTGATTTCTGGCAGACTACATATTGTTATGGACAATCTGAGGACTTGTTTTTATAGAGCGGAGCAAGATGGGTTTTCAGAAATAAATTATGACCTTTATTTATCTCATAAAAGGCTTTTGCAAGAATCGGATGCATTAATTGACAAAATAATCATCCAAGATAAAGTCAAAGAAAGGCCATTGGCTAACAAAAATTTTCTTTTAAAACATTCTGCTAGAGCTCTCAATGCCACTTTTCGTTTTGATCGTCTCGAAATACTGGAACTTCTTACGCTTTTGGACCTCACAGAGTTCAGAAATAAGCACAAAACAAAAATCGTGTTGAACTGTGACACGGGAAGTCATGATAATAATAGAAAATATTATCCAAGAAAAGTATATATTGAAATATATAAGATAAAACAGTTATATAAGAAGAAAGAAAAAGGAAAAGAAAAATTATAAAAGTTGGGGAAGAAACCTTCCTTAAATATCTGAGGGAAAGAAAAATTTGCAGTGGTGAAAATTTTTCATTTGGGTTTGTCCCAAAGTTGAGTGGGTTTGTATTACACTTCAACTTTGTAACAAATTAAGGAGGGTAACCACAGTCACATAAGGGCTTAAACCTAATGCGGCTAAAACTAAAATAAACATAGATTGTCAACCATAGTTTCCCACCCAAACTCACGTGCATTATCAACTGCACTAGTCTGCGACAACATTGCATGCTCAACACCTCCCCTTGTCGCAGAATCACCTACTGCCTTCATACCAAGTAGTCCCCCAATGTCTCAAACTTCACACGACCAAGATTCTTAGTAAACATATCTGCCAACATCACTTGAGTATCAAGATACTCCAGATGAATCACTCCACTGCGAATATAGTGACGGACAACATGATACCGAACATCAATATGCTTGGTGCGACGATGAAACACTGGGTTCTGAGCCAAAGCAATACATCCCTGATTGTCCTCAAACATAGTCACTGGCAACGGAACAGGAATCTTGCAAAGAGACAACAACTGATTAATCCAGAAGCATTCCTTAGACGCATCAGACAATGACATATACTCAGACTCGACGCTGGACGATGCAGGACTAACTTGCTTTCGACAAGCCCAAGTAATGGGACCACCAGACAGAATAAAACATACCCAGTAAAGGACTTACGGTCCTGCTTGTCCTGTGCATAATCGGCATCACTATAGCCAACAAGCTTGTAGACTTTCTGAGCTCGATATTCAAGACCAAGTTCAGCAGTACCCTTAAGATAACGAAGAGTATGCTTAGCAGCTTCCATATGAATAGACTTAGGACTCTGCATATATCGACAAAGAAAGCTAACAGCAACAGCAAGATCAGGACGAGCACAATTAGCAGCATAAATCAGCTTACCAATAATACTGCGATACATGGAGGCATCGGTAGCAGAGTCAGACTCGGAAAAATCAGAAAGATCACGAGTGGGTAAAGGAGTCTTGACACTTGAACAATTCTGCATACCAAACTCCTCCAACATGTCAAAAATATAACGTGAAACATCCACAGTAATATGATAAGGTGACTGCTTAACTCTCATGCCAAGGAACTGCTCGACTGGGCCCAAGTCTTTCATCTTAAACATAGATGACAAAGAAGACTTGGTTTTGGCAATGACTTCAGAAGAATTGCCAGAAATAAGTAAATCATCAACATACAGTGCAATAATGACCATGGTAGACCCAGATCCTTTGGTATACACACCGTAGTCACTTTCATTACGAATAAACCCAAGTTTGACAAGAGCACCATGAATCTTCTCATTCCAACACAAAGGAGCTTGCTTTAAACCATATAAAGACTTCTTCAAATGACACACTTTAGATTCCTGACCTTTGACAACAAAGCCTTTAGGTTGTCTCATATAAATATCTTCTTTGAGATCACCATTAAGAAATGCAGTCTCGACATCCATATGATGAACCTGGAACCCAAACTGAGCAGCAATAGCAAGAACAATCCTCACAGTCTCGTAACGAACAACGGGAGCAAAAGTTTCAGTATAATCAATACCTTCAACTTGCGAAAATCCAATACACACGAGACGAGCTTTGTAACGTTCAATTGAACCGTCAGCTTTGCGCTTAACTTTAAACACCCATTTGCTATTGATAGCCTTGCGACCAGGTGGGAGATCAACCAATTCCCAAGTACCATTGCGTTTAAGAGACGACATTTCAATAACACAGGCTTCAAGCCAAAACTCAGCTTCTTCACTAGACATAGCTTCTTCAAAACTACTAGGATCTGTAAAAACAAGTAAAGCCACATCATCATACTCAAAGCGGAGAGATTTGAGACGACGATAAGAAATACACTCTTCTTCAGCTGGACGTTTTGCAGGTGTTGCAGACACTGGAGATTGTTTCAAAGAATTTTCACAAAGGTGTTTAGAAGGAGGTGAAACAATGTCATCTGAACTCGGGCGTTTGGCAGGAGTTATAGAAGGTAAACGAACAGCAACAACACGAGATCGAGATTTAGGCAAAACAGCTTGAGTATCATCCTTAGTGACAACACTAACACCAGCTTGGTCAAGAGAATTAACAAGATCAGACGAAGGAGATTCTTGACTAAGTGGCACTACTTCCAACTCAACAAAAGGTGGTGGAGTGGGAGACGAAGCAATGATAGACGGTTGAAACCCAATATCACCCCTCGTTGCGAGATCCCAGAATCACCTGAAATATCAGATTCATTAATAGATGGACCAGCTTCAGATAAGTCTAATTGTGAAGGAATATATTCCGAAGAAGAAACAATTGGACTTGAGTCAGGAGAGATAGAGACATCATGATCTGAAGGTGGAAGAATAGGAGAACTAGGAAGAGATGGAACTGAAGCAATAGAAGGAAGAGTAGGAAGAGTAGGAGACTCAAGAGGAGCAGAAGGTGTAGACAAAATGCGACGAACAGAACGAGGCATATTAACAATAATAGAAGAAGAAGAAGAAGGAGGCGGCGACGGAGAATGAGACGGTGAAGAAGACGGAGACGGAGACGGTAAAGCACAAATAGAACCAGAACCAGAACCAGATGAGGATGCTGGTAAAGATCTATGAGACCCAAAACTAGAACCAGAACTTAAATCAGAACTAGCAATAGAATTAACCCTAACATTAGATCCTAAACCAGTCCCCTTAGAATCAAAACAAGGTCCTGACATGGACCCTGAACCAGAACCAACACTAAACCCAACACCAGTACCATTAATAGACAAGTCCTTATCACTTTTCATAAATGGAAACTTGGACTCATCAAAGTAAACACTCCTGGCTTCAACAATGCTTGAATCAAGAAGAACTCGATAAGCTGTACGATCCAAAGAATACCCAACAAAAACACCAGCTTCAGTATTTGAACTTAACTTAGATTCTCTTTTAGCACCAGGAAGAACAACTGTAGCTTGACAACCAAATACTTTCATATGATGATAACTAGGAGGTTTACCAGTCCAAAGTTGAAGAGGTGCAACACCACCAGTGGTACGACTAGGAAGACGGTTCCTAATATAATTAGCAGACTTGACAGCTTCACCCCATAAGTATTCAGGAGCATGAGCATATAAAAGCATAGACTTGGCTTTCTCAAATAATGTGCGATTCAATCGCTCAGCAACACCATTTTGTTGAGGAGTATGAGGAACTGTATAAGTATGCTTGATACCCTTAGACACAAAGAACTGCTCCAGGTCTTTGGAAATGTATTCGCCGCCATTATCAGAATGAAAATATGCAACTCGATCACCAGCAGAATCACCAGAAAAATAAGATTCACACCTAGCAATAAAGTTACGAATGGCAAGACTTGCATCACTTTTCCTAACCAACAACTCCACATAAGAGTACCTGGAATAATAATCCATAATGGTTAAGACATAACGATGACCCACAGGGGTAGCGACATGAGGACCGCTTAAATCAGAAACAAATAACTCCAAAGGACGACTAGCTTTTTCTGTGGTACCATTAAATGGCAATGCTGTGGCTTTGCCACCCAAGCAAGCGTCACACTTATGACTATCCACAACCTCAAAATGAGTAGGCTTGACAGAAAGTGACTTAGATAATTTCTTGAGAACGTCCACACTGGCGTGACCAAGTCGCTTGTGCCAAAGATTGGCAGACGACTCAACAGCAAACACCTCATGAACTGGCTTGGAAGGCAAAACAACTCGGAAACGACAAAAGTACAAGTCACCCATGGCAATGGCGTGGACTCGAGTTTTGCCATTTTCGACAGCAGAAATATGGTTAAGGTCTTGAATGAACCGACAACCACCAGCAGTAGCTCGACGAGCAGCAAATAAATTGCGAGGAATCTTAGGAACATATAAAACATCTCGAAGAACAACGCGGTCACAAGGCTGGTCATCTTTACCAAGAAGATCGACGACAATGTCGCCAACCCCCTCAGCAGTAGCAGAACCAAGACCACGAATGGTAGCCGAAGTGGGACGAAGAGAAGAAAAATATGAGATGTTATTGCAAATGTGACTGGTAGCACCGGTATCATGGATAAAGTCAAAAGAATCAGACCCAACAACTAAGTTGGCCTCAGCAGAAGTAGTAGATTCAGCAACAAAAACATGATGGACTGAATGACTTAAATCCAAGATTGAAGAAGGATGCCAGACGACAATTAAAATCAAGGAAAACAACATGATGGTAACAAAAGATAAGTAAAAGAATGGAGAAAAACGGGATTTTGGTGTAACAATAGGTTTAACAATAGGCGGAGAAGGTTCAGTAATTGAATCCACCAAAAAATCAAAAGAAGGTAAGACAATATCATCATCAGAACCGACCAACGGTTTAGAATCAGAACAAGAAATAAAAGAAGAACCGACCAACGGTTCAGAATCAAAAGGAACAATATCCGAATCGACCAACGATTCAGAATCAAAACAAATAGGAGCTGAACTGACACACGGTTCAGACTCCAAACAAACAACAGTAGAACCGACATACGGTTCAGAAATAAAACAAGAATCATCAGTGGAACCAACAAACGGTTTACCAACTGAATCAATATCAAGTCCTGAGTTTGAACAATACTCAGAAACTTGACCAACAAAACAATCTTCATCGCCGACACACGGCTCAGAAGAATCAAAAAGTTCGGATTCCAAATCATCAAACGACTCGGAGCAACTGTTACCAAACTTTTCAGAAACAACAGATGTCTCGGACACAAAAGCGGAACTCACAAATGGATCATCATCAACTATCTCAGAAAATTCATCAATAGTCTCAGCAAACCAACCTCTTGAGGTTTTAGCCTCCTTAGATTCCTTGTCATCCTTATTATCTTGGCGAGCAGCCTGAACCTCTTCCCAAGAGACATGACAATTGTTGGAAGTATGACCACGCCTCTTACAACGGAAACATTTGATACCATCACCCTTAGATTTGTTATTGTACTTCTTTGATGAAGCAACGAACGCTTCAGTCGAAAGAGTAGCTGGAGGTCCAGTAATCTTCAACAACTTGGCCCATTTATCAGTGTTCCGGATGAAGTTGTTAATATCAAGGTTGTCAGTATTGTTGTTACTATCAAAGCGGTGCTCCAAGGCGTACTGGATGAAGCGCTCACAATTGGGACCCATTGAGGCCAAAGCGTTGAAGGCCACAACCGAATCAGGCGACAATGATTGGTAGATGGAACGCCATGTAGCAACATATGAACGAACAGAAGAAACAAACTTTGGACCAACATCAATATTGCCAGCATAGAGGGATTTCATAAGAGAGATGACATCGGCGGGTTGGAGTTGACTATACTCCTGATGAAGGTAAAGCCAGAGGTCACGGCCTCTAATGGCCACATCATTAACATGTTCGATCAACTCAGGAGAAATATTGTTGAGGATGACATCATGGACGACGGTATCAAGCGAGGCGGTGAGGTCTTCAAGGGATTCATTGGCAGCTGGATTGACAGTACCAGCTTCGACATAAAGGTGGACACCATTATTCATAGCACGAAGACCCAAAAGAATTTTGGTAGCCCAGACATGATAGTTGAGAGGAGTGAGTTTTTTCAGAGGAAGTAAGATTAATATAAGCCGAAGTGCGGCCCATAACCTGTTGAACTGTGACACGGGAAGTCATGATAATAATAGAAAATATTATCCAAGAAAAGTATATATTGAAATATATAAGATAAAACAGTTATATAAGAAGAAAGAAAAAGGAAAAGAAAAATTATAAAAGTTGGGGAAGAAACCTTCCTTAAATATCTGAGGGAAAGAAAAATTTGCAGTGGTGAAAATTTTTCATTTGGGTTTGTCCCAAAGTTGAGTGGGTTTGTATTACACTTCAACTTTGTAACAAATTAAGGAGGGTAACCACAGTCACATAAGGGCTTAAACCTAATGCGGCTAAAACTAAAATAAACATAGATTGTCAACCATAGTTTCCCACCCAAACTCACGTGCATTATCAACTGCACTAGTCTGCGACAACATTGCATGCTCAACAAATCGCAACCCAAGAAGGCATACTACTGTGTTTGTCTAGGTTTTCTAATTTCATGTCATATAGATATCTTTCAGAAGTGTGGGGACGGCCTCCTTCAACAATCAACCATATTGTAAATGATTTTATTGACTGTTTATACAATAATTATGGCATGCTGTTGGATTTCGAAAAAAATCCTTTCCTTACCAAAGAAAGAATACGCTTCTACACTCAATGTATCAAAGAAAAAGGAGCAAAAGAAGAAAACGTTTTTTGTTTTATTGATGGAACGACTTACAGGATATCAAAACCTGGAAATAGGATGGAAAGCAACTGGTACAATGGACACAAACACATGCATACCTGCAATTATTTAGCTATTACAGCTCCAGATGGATTGGTTATTGGTCTATATGGCCCTTTTGCGGGTCATATAAATGACGAAGCAGCTGTTAAGGAAAGTCGTATTCTTACTACTCTCAAGTCACGCTATTCATTTGACGGCATCGATTATTGTGTTTATGGTGACATGGGATTCAAACGACAGCAGCAGTTATTGGCTGAATTTTTTCCTTCGAGTATTCACGACGACCCAACAAAAATCGCTTTGAATAAGTCTATGAAACCATTAAGAGTTTCTATTGAACAAGTATTTGGAAGTATAAAACAGTCATTTTCTGGAGGATTTTGTTTTAAGACGCAACAAGTAGGCAAAAATGATTTCCTGAGACCATTTTCAGTTGCTTGTTTGCTTCATAATTTTCGGGTCTGTATTCGCCAACGGTCAGCCGCTGGAGAGACGATTGGGGTCACTCCTCCAGTTTTACCGGATTATCTTAAATATGCCAATAGGCAGTTTCCATTTTAAATAAGGATTTTTTATATTAAAATTTATTATATGGGTAAGAAATATAAATAATTAATCATTTAATTTGTAAACATGTTCTCGCTTGAATAAAGTGAACTCTTTTGGTACAAAATGTATTATTTTTTCAGTCAAAATCTTCATAAAAGCTTTCCCCCATGTCGTACTTACTTCTCTCCAGATCTTTTAATCTAGCATCAATATTTTTTAAATAACCATGAATTTGCCTGTAGTGATTTGTTGTGCTATGTCTCAAACCTTTAAGTTCATCCTTAATCTCATCTATAGAATCCAAAATAAGTTTGGACGTACTGGTTTGACTATCCAAATAAGTACAGGAACCTTCAATAACATTCTGAACAGAATTCATATATTTATTATCGAGAAATTTATCATCATGCTGTTTAATGACTTTGCTTTGGTCCAATACAACCCTTGACTTCCCCTTTCGTTTCTCCAAAGCTTTACCTTTAGCAAAACCTGCTTTATTTGTAGAATGAGGATCATAGCCAATTATTTCAAGTTCCTTTTGATCTTTGGTGCTTGCAGTATTAGATTTATCGTAGACTGATGTAGGAAGACCCTGATGGCGATGGAGAACAGCTTCGATAGATGCTCTATCATCTAGTTGCCTGTTTTTAATCCATTCCTTTAAGGCATCTTTCGATTGAAAATGAGTGTTAGCATAAGACCAATTCTGGTAATGAAATGCTGCTAATAGTTTAAATTTCTCCAAACTTTCTCTGACTGATTCAATTTTAGAACTTGAACCTGGTAAAGCACGACTTAGAAAACGTGCGCTTATTTCACTATTTGTTTTCCCACTTTTTCCATCGAAACCATTTGGGACTTTAATTCGCTTCAACTCGTGCTGAAAGCTTTCCATTGCATTTTTGGCTGGAAATAGATAAGTGGGAGAAGCGTTGTATTTTTCATAAATTACTGTTGCAATCTTACGATGAACAAGCTCGATTAAGTCGTCTTTAGGAGGCAGAGTAAGGAGATAAGGATATTGACAAAATTGCTCAAAATAGACCAACTCGTACTCTAAGCATTTGATACCTTTAGGTTTTTTAGAGTCTAATATTTCTTCCAGACTAAGAACTCTACCAAATATACTGGCATTGATAGATTTTGGGATGGGGGAGGACTAGCTTTGAAGTTTGAGTTTCTAATGTAAGCTGTCAAGTCTGCTAAGACTTTTAATTCAGCTTCACATCCTTCGGAACAAACTGGTATGTTGGCAATGGTTAATTGTCTAACGGTAAATCCAGAACGGTCAGCGAGATCAATTTGACGATGAACAGGGAGATCGGCGAATGTCTCATAAGAGCTGGCGTTGTTCTTTGAATGGGTCTCAGATGTTGAGTGGGCAACAGAACTTCCAGTGCTGGCTGACTCGAAGGATGAGGGTCCTTCATTGACTCCTGTAGTGTTTCCGTGATTAGACATAGCGGAGAAGACTAAAAGCAAGAGTTAATAAGTAAATACGATTGATAAGCTGAAAGCTGAAGGAGTATTTAATAAAAACAGTTTTGCGTAAATTTAGAGTGTATATAAGAATTATATAAATGATAAAAATAATAAAATAATAAAATAATAAAAGTTCGCTATCATACCTAAAAGCAAGAGTTAATAAGTAAATACGATTGATAAGCTGAAAGCTGAAGGAGTATTTAATAAAAACAGTTTTGCGTAAATTTAGAGTAGCGAGAAAAAGAAGAGAAAGAAAACAAGAAAGGTTTCTGTAATGAAGAAAATTTAAAAGAGCATCTTGAAAAATTTTCTTTAGCAATAGGGAGTCTTGATTGTAACAATTATTGTAACTCCAATGGTAATGGGCTAGTAGTTGCTAGTGAATAATGTAACAATGTAAAGAGTGTAATTGGGAAAAAAAATATTATGGGATAATGTTGAAATACACGATAGTACCATGACATATATTCCAACAGATAGGAGGGTACATATCTGACAAAATATTGCGAATATCGTTTTTAGTCATATGCAAGACCTTGGTAGCCTCCCTTTGCGAATGGATAGAGTTTAAAATTGGTGCGATTGTCACTTTTGGAAGGATGGTTTCAAGCCGGGGAGTAAATTCAGTTGCTTGTTGGACCCCATTAAAGGTTTGCTGAGGCAACTCATTGTCGGCACTTACAGCTGAATCATCTAAACCATCAATATCTTTGTCATATCTCTTATCAGCAGGAACTTCGTTATCTGAAATGCTTGAATGGTTAGGGTCGTTATTATCAGGTTGGAGTTTTGGTGGAGATGGGGATCCAGCAAGTTCGTTGATAAGGTTGGAATCAGGTAACATTAAGGAGATAAATTAAAAATAAAAAAAAAATACGACTATAAAATTTAACAAATGAAGAATAAATTTAAAAAATAAAGAAAGAGAGTTGAAGGTGTTGTGGTTGTTGAAAATCGATATGAAAATGGAGTCTTAAAATATAAGAAAAATGGTTGTGGGTTGGGTTACTCTCAAAATGCTTGGGCCAAAAAATCTGGCCGAGTGGTTAAGCACCCTTTAAAAAAAACGCGTTACGAAAAAAAGGCGGATTTTGAGGAAAAAAAGTACACTTTCCTAATTGGGCTAAATCGAAAACGCGTTTTGGATTTTGACACAACTCCAGTAGTATGATACTCGCTTTGGGTTTAAATTGCGAGTGGTCCAGGGTTCAATTCCCTGTTCGGCCCTTATTATTTTTTTTAAATTTTTGAAACATCTCTGTATGTAGTGCATCTCATATATTTAGTAGTGTAGAAAATGCCTTCCATGTGGCATTTACTATGCAATACCGATGGTGCTAATTACTTTTTTAAGCTTCCCGCAAGCAAGGTAGTATTAAAGAATATTTTATCTTGGTGATAAGCCTATTTAGGAATTATATTAATAAGCATACATAATGAAATCTACACAGCTAATCGCAGCATTCAAATGCCTTTTTATGTGAAAGCCGTGTCCCCGGACTTGTGCCGTATGCGCCGCAGGCGAGCTTTTTTTGGACAATTCAAAAAAATCACTTTTTTTTTCAAATTTATATATATATAGATATAGATACTCATATAAAAAAATGTTAAAAATATTAAAAATATTAATAAAAAATTTTCTTTTCCTTAAAAAATTTTACTACATCTTCTTCTCTTTTTTTTTATCTATTCTTTTCATTATGGCCGACAGTCCAAGTTTGGGGCCTAACGAAAACGACCCTATTAAACAAGCCATTTTGGAAGTGGAAGCCGATGTTAAAAAAAACCAGATAGTTGCAAAGGATGCCGTAAAAAAAAGCGTTAAACATCTTCCAAATAATTGCGATGTTTTTGGTCGCAGTATCGATGCAAGAATCAATGCTACAAAAGGAATGGGCAAAAGCCCTGCTACGACAGTCAAATATACAGCCGTCATTTTGGCTTATTTCAAGTGGTGTCGCGTTACAACCGAAATCAACTCTCCCTATCCTGAAATCATCACACCTAGACGAACCCTCCTCTACATGGAGTGCGTTGTTGGTGTTGCTGACATTAGGGGGCGTACAAATGGGTTTGCTTCTTTTGAAGGTGCAGCCCCCGCTTTAAATCATCTTTACAATTTGCAAAAGTCTAAGCTTCTCTCCTACCCTGACTTGAAAGACCCCAAAGAACCTCCAGTTATTCAATGGCCTGAAAGACTTCGAAATTCTTCTATTGAAGATTATCTTAAAGGAAAAAGAGAAATTCAAAGCCGGATGGAGAGTTTGAATTTTGCCGACAAAGCGCGTGGCACAGTATCCGACGGTTATACAATTTTGTTTGTTTGTTTTTATTCAAGGGTTATAGAATTATATAACATCAGCATCTGCGCTATCCTTCTTGTCCATACTATATATCTTTTCATTTTAATAATAAACTTTTAATTTTGGCTTCAACATTGCATCTCCAACAGCCCGAAAATAAGTCCTGATGCCAGCTTACGAGGAACAGGGGGTTAAAAATAACCAAACCTTCCCAACCCTCTTGCATTTTCGTTTTTCATCCTTTTTAATCATATAGTCTCTATCATCTTTCGCCAACATGACGGTTATACAATAGCAGAACTTGTGAAAATGTCTGAGCATTTAATGAAATCCAAAAGTTTCAACGTTCTTTTTGCAGCCTTAGGAAGCCATGCATTGATGGTGAGAGGTGATAACATGCGTGGGTTCGAGCTTTCCGACCTGGTTCTCCAAGACTTGACAGATTCAGACATTGGGAAAAAAACCTCCATTTATTTCGTCAATCGCCATAGTAAAAAAAACAGAACAGGACGTGTTGAATACACTGGAAGTTTACGTCACAAAAACCCGTTTCTTTGCAGCCATCTTGCTTTAGCTCTTAATTTTTTTGGGCGCTTTCATATTGGTAACAGCCGGAGTGTGGAGGCTCCTATTGACTTTTCTTCTTCTCATTTTTGGTATAGAATCAAGCTTTTTCGAGGAACTACTCCATCTAGGTCTTACACCCCCAACCATCACGAAAGCCTTATTTCAAAACTTTTGAAAGATTGCAATATCATCTCAAAAAAAATTACCCACATTTTTCGAGGGTCCTCATTTTGAGATGGGGGAGGACTAGCTTTGAAGTTTGAGTTTCTAATGTAAGCTGTCAAGTCTGCTAAGACTTTTAATTCAGCTTCACATGCTTCGGAACAAACTGGTATGTTGGCAATGATTAATTATCTAACGGTAAATCCAGAACGTTCAGCTAGATCAATTTGACGATGAACAGGGAGATCGGCGAATGTCTCATAAGAGCTGGCGTTGTTCTTTGAATGGGTCTCAGATGTTGAGTGGGCAACAGAACTTCCAGTGCTGGCTGACTCGAAGGATGAGGGTCCTTCATTGACTCCTGTAGTGTTTCCGTTATTAGACATAGCGGAGAAGACTAAAAGCAAGAGTTAATAAGTAAATACGATTGATAAGCTGAAAGCTGAAAGAGTATTTAATAAAAACAGTTTTGCGTAAATTTAGAGTAGCGAGAAAAAGAAGAGAAAGAAAACAAGAAAGGTTTCTGTAATGAAGAAAATTTAAAAGAGCATCTTGAAAAATTTTCTTTAGCAATAGGAAGTCTTGATTGTAACAATTATTGTAACTCCAATGGTAATGGGCTAGTAGTTGCTAGTGAATAATGTAACAATGTAAAGAGTGTAATTGGGAAAAAAAAATATTATGAGATAATGTTGAAATACACGATAGTACCATGACATATATTCCAACACTGGCGACAAACGATTTTGACGTGTTGATACTTGGAGGAAAGAACGATGATGCTCACTTGACGAATAAGTTTGATGCATTGATACTTAGAAAAAAGAAAGATGATGCTCACTTAAATAAGTTGACGCGTTGATACTGAGAAGAACGAACAATGATGCTCGCTTGAAGGACAAGCTTGAGGCATTATAATACTAAGAGGAACTAATGATGCTCGCTTGAAGAACAAGCTTGAAGCGTTGTAACTTGGAAGAACTAATGATGATGCTCGCTTGACGAACAAGCTTGACGCGTTACTACAGAGAAGAACTAATGATGATGCTCGCTTGACGAACAAGCTTGAGGCATTGCTCCCAAGCTATATATATATATATAATTCTGTAATTTATAATTTAATTTAAGGATTTTTTAAAAAATTTCAAAAATTTCAAAAATTCTAAATTTATTATATGCGGTGAATTAAACATTTAAATTTGCTCATTTAACCAGGTGGTTGTGCTTATTTAACCAGGTGTCTGTGCTTATTTGACCACAGAAAATATTAAATTTACCAGGTGGTTGTGTTAAATAAAAAAAATGTTTATTAAGCAATTTTTATAGTGGGGGAAAAAATAAATTTACCACGTCTATTTGTTTAGTAAACCACCACTTTACTAGGGGAAAAAGTGCGAAAAATCCCAAAGGTGTAGTAACCAGATCACCATATGTTATTTTATTTTACTCTACAGTAACCACTTATGGAACTACAAAAATATTCACCAAAATAAAAATTTAAATTAAATTAAGCTCTCTACCCATCTATAAATTGTTGAACTGTGACACGGGAAATCATGATAATAATAGAAAATATTATCCAAGAAAAGTATATATTGAAATATATAAGATAAAACAGTTATATAAGAAGAAAGAAAAAGGAAAAGAAAAATTATAAAAGTTGGGGAAGAAACCTTCCTTAAATATCTGAGGGAAAGAAAAATTTGCAGTGGTGAAAATTTTTCATTTGGGTTTGTCCCAAAGTTGAGTGGGTATGTATTACACTTCAACTTTGTAACAAATTAAGGAGGGTAACCACAGTCACATAAGGGCTTAAACCTAATGCGGCTGTAACTAAAATAAACATAGGTTATCAACCATAGTTTCCCACCCAAACTCACGTGCATTATCAACTGCACTAGTCTGCGACAACATTGCATGCTCAACACCTCCCCTTGTCGCAGAATCACCTACTGCCTTCATACCAAGTAGTCCCCTCAATGTCTCAAACTTCACACGACCAAGATTCTTAGTGAACATATCTGCCAACATCACTTGAGTATCAAGATACTCCAGATGAATCACTCCACTGCGAATATAGTGACGCACAACATGATAACGAACATCAATATGCTTGGTGCGACGATGAAACACTGGGTTCTGAGCCAAAGCAATACATCCCTGATTTTCCTCAAACATAGTCACTGGCAACGGAACAGGAATCTTGCAAAGGGACAACAACTGATTAATCCAGAAGCATTCCTTAGACGCATCAGACAATGACATGTACTCAGACTCGACGCTGGACGATGCAGGACTAACTTGCTTTTTCGGCAAGCCCAAGTAATGGGACCACCAGACAGAATAAAACATACCCAGTAAAGGACTTACGGTCCTGCTTGTCCTGTGCATAGTCGGCATCACTATAGCCAACAAGCTTGTAGACTTTCTGAGCTCGATATTCAAGACCAAGTTCAGCAGTACCCTTAAGATAACGAAGAGTATGCTTAGCAGCTTCCATATGAATAGACTTAGGATTCTGCATATATCGACAAAGAAAGCTAACAGCAACAGCAAGATCAGGACGAGCACAATTAGCAGCATAAATCAGCTTACCAATAATACTGCGATACATGGAGGCATCGGTAGCAGAGTCAGACTCGGAAAAATCAGAAAGATCACGAGTGGGTAAAGGAGTCTTGACACTTGAACAATTCTGCATACCAAACTCCTCCAACACGTCAAAAATATAACGTGAAACATCCACAGTAATATGGTAAGGTGACTGCTTAACTCTCATGCCAAGGAACTGCTCGACTGGGCCCAAGTCTTTCATCTTAAACATAGATGACAAAGAAGACTTGGTTTTGGCAATGACTTCAGGAGAATTGCCAGAAATAAGTAAATCATCAACATACAGTGCAATAATAACCATGGTAGACCCAGATCCTTTGGTATACACACCGTAGTCACTTTCATTACGAATAAACCCAAGTTTGACAAGAGCACCATGAATCTTCTCATTCCTGTTGAGCATGCAATGTTGTCGCAGACTAGTGCAGTTGATAATGCACGTGAGTTTGGGTGGGAAACTATGGTTGACAATCTATGTTTATTTTAGTTTTAGCCGCATTAGGTTTAAGCCCTTATGTGACTGTGGTTACCCTCCTTAATTTGTTACAAAGTTGAAGTGTAATACAAACCCACTCAACTTTGGGACAAACCCAAATGAAAAATTTTCACCACTGCAAATTTTTCTTTCCCTCAGATATTTAAGGAAGGTTTCTTCCCCAACTTTTATAATTTTTCTTTTCCTTTTTCTTTCTTCTTATATAACTGTTTTATCTTATATATTTCAATATATACTTTTCTTGGATAATATTTTCTATCACCTTGCCAATTGTGCCCTAACAAAATGTAATCCTTATTAAGCATTTCACAAACTCTTAATAACGATTTCCTCTTCATTTTCAACACGTTAATAACCAAAACACAAACTCTTATTAAGCATTTGCACAACCCTTCATTAAAAATGTCCTAAATGCATGATTCTTATTTTTTAAAAATATTTTACAAATACTACAACACTTTATTGACAATACTATATCATTTTATTGACAATCGTAAGGGCTAATATTAGAATGAAAGTGGTTTAAAAAATTTTATAACGATGGAACTTTGGGGTACAAATTTGTATATATAAGTACTAATTAACTACCATTTTATCATTAAAAGTATGGTTGTGGCTGACTAATTTTAAAAAAATTAAGATTTATAAATTAAGGGCTTGTGTTTTCCTTAATAACGTGTTGTGAAATGGTTAATAAGAAAAGTCGATTTTGGGATTTCAAGTAAATTTTTTGTTTTTGTCAATTTTGTATGGTAAAAAATATTTTTGTTAGGGCACAATTGGCAAGGTGTATTATTATCATGACTTCCCGTGTCACAGTTCAACAGGTTATGGGCCGCACTTCGGCTTATATTAATCTTACTGTTGAGCATGCAATGTTGTCGCAGACTAGTGCAGTTGATAATGCACGTTGTTGAGCATGCAATGTTGTCGCAGACTAGTGCAGTTGATAATGCACGTGAGTTTGGGTGGGAAACTATGGTTGATAACCTATGTTTATTTTAGTTACAGCCGCATGAGGTTTAAGCCCTTATGTGACTGTGGTTACCCTCCTTAATTTGTTACAAAGTTGAAGTGTAATACAAACCCACTCAACTTTGGGACAAACCCAAATGAAAAATTTTCACCACTGCAAATTTTTCTTTCCCTCAGATATTTAAGGAAGGTTTCTTCCCCAACTTTTATAATTTTTCTTTTCCTTTTTCTTTCTTCTTATATAACTGTTTTATCTTATATATTTCAATATATACTTTTCTTGGATAATATTTTCTATTATTATCATGACTTCCCGTGTCACAGTTCAACAGGTTATGGGCCGCACTTCGGCTTATATTAATCTTACTTCCTCTGAAAAACTCACTCCTCTCAACTATCATGTCTGGGCTACCAAAATTCTTTTGGGTCTTCGTGCTATGAATAATGGTGTCCACCTTTATGTCGAAGCTGGTACTGTCAATCCAGCTGCCAATGAATCCCTTGAAGACCTCACCGCCTCGCTTGATACCGTCGTCCATGATGTCATCCTCAACAATATTTCTCCTGAGTTGATCGAACATGTTAATGATGTGGCCATTAGAGGCCGTGACCTCTGGCTTTACCTTCATCAGGAGTATAGTCAACTCCAACCCGCCGATGTCATCTCACTTATGAAATCCCTCTATGCTGGCAATATTGATGTTGGTCCAAAGTTTGTTTCTTCTGTTCGTTCATATGTTGCTACCTGGCGTTCCATCTACCAATCATTGTCGCCTGATTCGGTCGTGGCCTTCAACGCTTTGGCTTCAATGGGTCCCAATTGTGAGCGCTTCATCCAGTATGCCTTGGAGCACCGCTTTGATAGTAACAACAATACTGACAACCTTGATATTAACAACTTCATCCGGAACACTGATAAATGGGCCAAGTTGTTGAAGATTACTGGACCCCCTGCTACTCTTTCGACTGAAGCGTTCGTTGCTTCATCAAAGAAGTACAATAACAAATCTAAGGGTGATGGTATCAAATGTTTCCGTTGTAAGAGGCGTGGTCATACTTCCAACAATTGTCATGTCTCTTGGGAAGAGGTTCAGGCTGCTCGCCAAGATAATAAGGATGACAAGGAATCTAAGGAGGCTAAAACCTCAAGAGGTTGGTTTGCTGAGACTATTGATGAATTTTCTGAGATAGTTGATGATGATCCATTTGTGAGTTCCGCTTTTGTGTCCGAGACATCTATTGTTTCTGAAAAGTTTGGTAACAGTTGCTCCGAGTCGTTTGATGATTTGGAATCCGAACTTTTTGATTCTTCTGAGCCGTGTGTCGGCGATGAAGATTGTTTTGTTGGTCAAGTTTCTGAGTATTGTTCAAACTCAGGACTTGATATTGATTCAGTTGGTAAACCGTTTGTTGGTTCCACTGATGATTCTTGTTTTATTTCTGAACCGTATGTCGGTTCTACTGTTGTTTGTTTGGAGTCTGAACCGTGTGTCAGTTCAGCTCCTATTTGTTTTGATTCTGAATCGTTGGTCGATTCGGATATTGTTCCTTTTGATTCTGAACCGTTGGTCGGTTCTTCTTTTATTTTTTGTTCTGATTCTAAACCGTTGGTCGGTTCTGATGATGATATTGCCTTACCTTCTTTTGATTTTTTGGTGGATTCAATTACTGAACCTTCTCCGCCTATTGTTAAACCTATTGTTACACCAAAATCCCGTTTTTCTCCATTATTTTACTTATCTTTTGTTACCATCATGTTGTTTTCCTTGATTTTAATTGTCGTCTGGCATCCTTCTTCAATCTTGAATTTAAGTCATTCAGTCCATCACGTTTTTGTTGCTGAATCTACTACTTCTGCTGAGGCCAACTTAGTTGTTGGGTCTGATTCTTTTGACTTTATCCATGATACCGGTGCTACCAGTCACATTTGCAATAACATCTCATATTTTTCTTCTCTTCGTCCCACTTCGGCTACCATTCGTGGTCTTGGTTCTGCTACTGCTGAGGGGGTTGGCGACATTGTCGTTGATCTTCTTGGTAAAGATGACCAGCCTTGTGACCGCGTTGTTCTTCGAGATGTTTTATATGTTCCTAAGATTCCTCGCAATTTATTTGCTGCTCGTCGAGCTACTGCTGGTGGTTGTCGGTTCATTCAAGACCTTAACCATATTTCTGCTGTCGAAAATGGCAAAACTCGAGTCCACGCCATTGCCATGGGTGACTTGTACTTTTGTCGTTTCCGAGTTGTTTTGCCTTCCAAGCCTGTCCATGAGGTGTTTGCTGTTGAGTCGTCTGCCAATCTTTGGCACAAGCGACTTGGTCACGCCAGTGTGGACGTTCTCAAGAAATTATCTAAGTCACTTTCTGTCAAGCCTACTCATTTTGAGGTTGTGGATAGTCATAAGTGTGACGCTTGCTTGGGTGGCAAAGCCACAGCATTGCCATTTAATGGTACCACGGAAAAAGCTAGTCGTCCTTTGGAGTTATTTGTTTCTGATTTAAGCGGTCCTCATGTCGCTACCCCTGTGGGTCATCGTTATGTCTTAACCATTATGGATTATTATTCCAGGTACTCTTATGTGGAGTTGTTGGTTAGGAAAAGTGATGCAAGTCTTGCCATTCGTAACTTTATTGCTAGGTGTGAATCTTATTTTTCTGGTGATTCTGCTGGTGATCGAGTTGCATATTTTCATTCTGATAATGGCGGCGAATACATTTCCAAAGACCTGGAGCAGTTCTTTGTGTCTAAGGGTATCAAGCATACTTATACAGTTCCTCATACTCCTCAACAAAATGGTGTTGCTGAGCGATTGAATCGCACATTATTTGAGAAAGCCAAGTCTATGCTTTTATATGCTCATGCTCCTGAATACTTATGGGGTGAAGCTGTCAAGTCTGCTAATTATATTAGGAACCGTCTTCCTAGTCGTACCACTGGTGGTGTTGCACCTCTTCAACTTTGGACTGGTAAACCTCCTAGTTATCATCATATGAAAGTATTTGGTTGTCAAGCTACAGTTGTTCTTCCTGGTGCTAAAAGAGAATCTAAGTTAAGTTCAAATACTGAAGCTGGTGTTTTTGTTGGGTATTCTTTGGATCGTACAGCTTATCGAGTTCTTCTTGATTCAAGCATTGTTGAAGCCAGGAGTGTTTACTTTGATGAGTCCAAGTTTCCATTTATGAAAAGTGATAAGGACTTGTCTATTAATGCTACTGGTGTTGGGTTTAGTGTTGGTTCTGGTTCAGGGTCCATGTCAGGACCTTGTTTTGATTCTAAGGGGACTGGTTTAGGATCTAATGTTAGGGTTAATTCTATTGCTAGTTCTGATTCAAGTTCTGGTTCTAGTTTTGGGTCTCATAGATCTTTACCAGCATCCTCATCTGGTTCTGGTTCTGGTTCTGGTTCTGGTTCTATTTGTGCTTTACCGTCTCCGTCTCCGTCTTCTTCTCCGTCTCATTCTCCGTCGCTTTCTTCTTCTTCTTCTTCTATTATCGTTCATAAGCCTCGTTCTGTTCGTCGCATTTTGTCTACACCTTCTGCTCCTCTTGAGTCTCCTACTCTTCCTACTCTTCCTTCTATTCCTTCTGTTCCATCTCTTCCTAGTTCTCCTATTCTTCCACCTTCAGATCATGAAGTCTCTATCTCTCCTGACTCAAGTCCTATTGTTTCTTCTTCGGAATATATTCCTTCACAATTAGACTTATCTGAAGCTGGTCCATCTATTAATGAATCTAATATTTCAGGTGATTCTGGGATCTCGCAACGAGGGGGTGATATTGGGTTTCAACCGTCTATCATTGCTTCGTCTCCCACTCCACCACCTTCTGTTGAATTGGAAGTAGTGCCACTTAGTCAAGAATCTCCTTCGCCTGATCTTGTTAATTCTCTTGACCAAGCTGGTGTTAGTGTTGTCACTAAGGATGATACTCAAGCTGTTTTGCCTAAATCTCGATCTCGTGTTGTTGCTGTTCGTTTACCTTCTATAACTCCTGCCAAACGCCCGAGTTCTGATGACATTGTTTCACCCCCTTCTAAACACCTTTGTGAAAATTCTTTGAAACAATCTCCAGTGTCTGCAACACCTGCAAAACGTCCAGCTGAAGAAGAGTGTATTTCTTATCGTCGTCTCAAATCTCTCCGCTTTGAGTATGATGATGTGGCTTTACTTGTTTTACAGATCCTAGTAGTTTTGAAGAAGCTATGTCTAGTGAAGAAGCTGAGTTTTGGCTTGAAGCCTGTGTTATTGAAATGTCGTCTCTTAAACGCAATGGTACTTGGGAATTGGTTGATCTCCCACCTGGTCGCAAGGCTATCAATAGCAAATGGGTGTTTAAAGTTAAGCGCAAAGCTGACGGTTCAATTGAACGTTACAAAGCTCGTCTCGTGTGTATTGGATTTTCGCAAGTTGAAGGTATTGATTATACTGAAACTTTTGCTCCCGTTGTTCGTTACGAGACTGTGAGGATTGTTCTTGCTATTGCTGCTCAGTTTGGGTTCCAGGTTCATCATATGGATGTCGAGACTGCATTTCTTAATGGTGATCTCAAAGAAGATATTTATATGAGACAACCTAAAGGCTTTGTTGTCAAAGGTCAGGAATCTAAAGTGTGTCATTTGAAGAAGTCTTTATATGGTTTAAAGCAAGCTCCTTTGTGTTGGAATGAGAAGATTCATGGTGCTCTTGTCAAACTTGGGTTTATTCGTAATGAAAGTGACTACGGTGTGTATACCAAAGGATCTGGGTCTACCATGGTCATTATTGCACTGTATGTTGATGATTTACTTATTTCTGGCAATTCTTCTGAAGTCATTGCCAAAACCAAGTCTTCTTTGTCATCTATGTTTAAGATGAAAGACTTGGGCCCAGTCGAGCAGTTCCTTGGCATGAGAGTTAAGCAGTCACCTTACCATATTACTGTGGATGTTTCACGTTATATTTTTGACGTGTTGGAGGAGTTTGGTATGCAGAATTGTTCAAGTGTCAAGACTCCTTTACCCACTCGTGATCTTTCTGATTTTTCCGAGTCTGACTCTGCTACCGATGCCTCCATGTATCGCAGTATTATTGGTAAGCTGATTTATGCTGCTAATTGTGCTCGTCCTGATCTTGCTGTTGCTGTTAGCTTTCTTTGTCGATATATGCAGAGTCCTAAGTCTATTCATATGGAAGCTGCTAAGCATACTCTTCGTTATCTTAAGGGTACTGCTGAACTTGGTCTTGAATATCGAGCTCAGAAAGTCTACAAGCTTGTTGGCTATAGTGATGCCGATTATGCACAGGACAAGCAGGACCGTAAGTCCTTTACTGGGTATGTTTTATTCTGTCTGGTGGTCCCATTACTTGGGCTTGTCGAAAGCAAGTTAGTCCTGCATCGTCCAGCGTCGAGTCTGAGTATATGTCATTGTCTGATGCGTCTAAGGAATGCTTCTGGATTAATCAGTTGTTGTCTCTTTGCAAGATTCCTATTCCGTTGCCAGTGACTATGTTTGAGGACAATCAGGGATGTATTGCTTTGGCTCAGAACCCAGTGTTTCATCGTCGCACCAAGCATATTGATGTTCGGTATCATGTTGTCCGTCACTATATTCGCAGTGGAGTGATTCATCTGGAGTATCTTGATACTCAAGTGATGTTGGCAGATATGTTTACTAAGAATCTTGGTCGTGTGAAGTTTGAGACATTGAGGGGACTACTTGGTATGAAGGCAGTAGGTGATTCTGCGACAAGGGGAGGTGTTGAGCATGCAATGTTGTCGCAGACTAGTGCAGTTGATAATGCACGTGAGTTTGGGTGGGAAACTATGGTTGACAATCTATGTTTATTTTAGTTTTAGCCGCATTAGGTTTAAGCCCTTATGTGACTGTGGTTACCCTCCTTAATTTGTTACAAAGTTGAAGTGTAATACAAACCCACTCAACTTTGGGACAAACCCAAATGAAAAATTTTCACCACTGCAAATTTTTCTTTCCCTCAGATATTTAAGGAAGGTTTCTTCCCCAACTTTTATAATTTTTTCTTTTCCTTTTTCTTTCTTCTTATATAACTGTTTTATCTTATATATTTCAATATATACTTTTCTTGGATAATATTTTCTATTATTATCATGACTTCCCGTGTCACAGTTCAACACTTACTTCCTCTGAAAAACTCACTCCTCTCAACTATCATGTCTGGGCTACCAAAATTCTTTTGGGTCTTCGTGCTATGAATAATGGTGTCCATCTTTATGTCGAAGCTGGTACTGTCAATCCAGCTGCTAATGAATCCCTCGAAGACCTCACCGCCTCGCTTGATACCGTCGTCCATGATGTCATCCTCAACAACATTTCTCCTGAGTTGATCGAACATGTTAATGATGTGGCCATTAGAGGCCGTGACCTCTGGCTTTATCTTCATCAGGAGTATAGTCAACTTCAACCCGCCGATGTCATCTCACTTATGAAATCCCTCTATGCTGGCAATATTGATGTTGGTCCAAAGTTTGTTTCTTCTGTTCGTTCATATGTTGCTACATGGCGTTCCATCTACCAATCATTGTCGCCTGATTCGGTTGTGGCCTTCAACGCTTTGGCCTCAATGGGTCCCAATTGTGAGCGCTTCATCCAGTACGCCTTGGAGCACCGCTTTGATAGTAACAACAATACTGACAACCTTGATATCAACAACTTCATCCGGAACACTGATAAATGGGCCAAGTTGTTGAAGATTACTGGACCTCCTGCTACTCTTTCGATTGAAGCGTTCGTTGCTTCATCAAAGAAGTACAATAACAAATCTAAGGGTGATGGTATTAAATGTTTCCGTTGTAAGAGGCGTGGTCATACTTCCAACAATTGTCATGTCTCTTGGGAAGAGGTTCAGGCTGCTCGCCAAGATAATAAGGATGACAAGGAATCTAAGGAGGCTAAAACCTCAAGAGGTTGGTTTGCTGAGACTATTGATGAATTTTCTTAGATAGTTGATGATGATCCATTTGTGAGTTCCGCTTTTGTGTCCGAGACATCTGTTGTTTCTGAAAAGTTTGGTAACAGTTGCTCCGAGTCGTTTGATGATTTGGAATCCGAACTTTTTGATTCTTCTGAGCCGTGTGTCGGCGATGAAGATTGTTTTGTTGGTCAAGTTTCTGAGTATTGTTCAAACTCAGGACTTGATATTGATTCAGTTGGTAAACCGTTTGTTGGTTCCACTGATGATTCTTGTTTTAATTCTGAACCGTATGTCGGTTCTACTGTTGTTTGTTTGGAGTCTGAACCGTGTGTCAGTTCAGCTCCTATTTGTTTTGATTCTGAATCGTTGGTCGATTCGGATGTTGTTCCTTTTGATTCTGAACCGTTGGTCGGTTCTTCTTTTATTTTTTGTTCTGATTCTAAACCGTTGGTCGATTCTGATGATGATATTGCCTTACCTTCTTTTGATTTTTTGGTGGATTCAATTACTGAACCTTCTCCACCTATTGTTAAACCAATTGTTACACCAAAATCCCGTTTTTCTCCATTCTTTTACTTATCTTTTGTTACCATCATGTTGTTTTCCTTGATTTTAATTGTCGTCTGGCATCCTTCTTCAATCTCGGATTTAAGTCATTCAGTACATCACGTTTTTGTTGCTGAATCTACTACTTCTGCTGAGGCCAACTTAGTTGTTGGGTCTGATTCTTTTGACTTTATCCATGATACCGGTGCTTGTTGAGCATGCAATGTTGTCGCAGACTAGTGCAGTTGATATAATGCACGTGAGTTTGGGTGGGAAACTATGGTTGATAACCTATGTTTATTTTAGTTTTAGCCGCATTAGGTTTAAGCCCTTATGTGACTGTGGTTACCCTCCTTAATTTGTTACAAAGTTGAAGTGTAATACAAACCCACTCAACTTTGGGACAAACCCAAATGAAAAATTTTCACCACTGCAAATTTTTCTTTTCCTTGGGTATATAAGGAAGGTTTCTTCCCCAACTTTTATAATTTTTCTTTTCCTTTTTCTTTCTTCTTATATAACTGTTTTATCTTATATATTTCAATATATACTTTTCTTGGATAATATTTTCTATTATTATCATGACTTCCCGTGTCACAGTTCAACAGGTTATGGGCCGCACTTCGGCTTATATTAATCTTACTTCCTCTGAAAAACTCACTCCTCTCAACTATCATGTCTGGGCTACCAAAATTCTTTTGGGTCTTCGTGCTATGAATAATGGTGTCCATCTTTATGTCGAAGCTGGTACTGTCAATCCAGCTGCTAATGAATCCCTCAAAGACCTCACCGCCTCGCTTGACACCGTCGTCCATGATGTCATCCTCAACAATATTTCTCCTGAGTTGATCGAACATGTTAATGATGTGGCCATTAGAGGCCGTGACCTCTGGCTTTATCTTCATCAGGAGTATAGTCAACTTCAACCCGCCGATGTCATCTCTCTTATGAAATCCCTCTATGCTGGCAATATTGATGTTGGTCCAAAGTTTGTTTCTTCTGTTCGCTCTTATGTTGCTACGTGGCGTTCCATCTACCAATCATTGTCGCCTGATTCGGTTGTGGCCTTCAACGCTTTGGCCTCAATGGGTCCCAACTGTGAGCGCTTCATCCAGTATGCCTTGGAGCACCGCTTTGATAGTAACAACAATACTGACAACCTTGATATCAATAACTTTATCCGGAACACTGATAAATGGGCCAAGTTGTTGAAGATTACTGGACCCCCTGCTACTCTTTCGACTGAAGCGTTCGTTGCTTCATCAAAGAAGTACAATAACAAATCTAAGGGTGATGGTATCAAATGTTTTCGTTGTAAGAGGCGTGGTCATACTTCCAACAATTGTCATGTCTCTTGGGAAGAGGTTCAGGCTGCTCGCCAAGATAATAAGGATGACAAGGAATCTAAAGAGGCTAAAACCTCAAGAGGTTGGTTTGCTGAGACTATTGATGAATTTTCTGAGATAGTTGATGATGATCCATTTGTGAGTTCCGCTTTTGTGTCCGAGACATCTGTTGTTTCTGAAAAGTTTGGTAACAGTTGCTCCGAGTCGTTTGATGATTTGGAATCCGAACTTTTTGATTCTTCTGAGCCGTGTGTCGGCGATGAAGATTGTTTTGTTGGTCAAGCTTCTGAGTATTGTTCAAACTCAGGACTTGATATTGATTCAGTTGGTAAACCGTTTGTTGGTTCCACTGATGATTCTTGTTTTATTTCTGAACCGTATGTCGGTTCTACTGTTGTTTGTTTGGAGTCTGAACCGTGTGTCAGTTCAGCTCCTATTTGTTTTGATTCTGAATCGTTGGTCGATTCGGATATTGTTTTCTTTGATTCTGAACCGTTGGTCGGTTCTTCTTTTATTTCTTGTTCTGATTCTAAACCGTTGGTCGGTTCTGATGATGATATTGTCTTACCTTCTTTTGATTTTTTGGTGGATTCAATTACTGAACCTTCTCCGCCTATTGTTAAACCTATTGTTACACCAAAATCCCGTTTTTCCATTCTTTTACTTATCTTTTGTTACCATCATGTTGTTTTCCTTGATTTTAATTGTCGTCTGGCATCCTTCTTCAATCTTGAATTTAAGTCATTCAGTCCATCACGTTTTTGTTGCTGAATCTACTACTTCTGCTGAGGCCAACTTAGTTGTTGGGTCTGATTCTTTTGACTTTATCCATGATACCGGTGCTACCAGTCACATTTGCAATAACATCTCATATTTTCTTCTCTTCGTCCCACTTCGGCTACCATTCGTGGTCTTGGTTCTGCTACTGCTGGGGGTTGGCGACATTGTCGTTGATCTTCTTGGTAAAGATGACCAGCCTTGTGACCGCGTTGTTCTTCGAGATGTTTTATATGTTCCTAAGATTCCTCGCAATTTATTTGCTGCTCGTCGAGCTACTGCTGGTGGTTGTCGGTTCATTCAAGACCTTAACCATATTTCTGCTGTCGAAAATGGCAAAACTCGAGTCCACGCCATTGCCATGGGTGACTTGTACTTTTGTCGTTTCCGAGTTGTTTTGCCTTCCAAGCCAGTCCATGAGGTGTTTGCTGTTGAGTCGTCTGCCAATCTTTGGCACAAGCGACTTGGTCACGCCAGTGTGGACGTTCTCAAGAAATTATCTAAGTCACTTTCTGTCAAGCCTACTCATTTTGAGGTTGTGGATAGTCATAAGTGTGACGCTTGCTTGGGTGGCAAAGCCACAGCATTGCCATTTAATGGTACCACTGAAAAAGCTAGTCGCCCATTGGAATTATTTGTTTCTGATTTGAGCGGTCCTCATGTCGCTACCCCTGTGGGTCATCGTTATGTCTTAACTATTATGGATTATTATTCCAGGTACTCTTATGTGGAGTTGTTGGTTAGGAAAAGTGATGCAAGTCTTGCCATTCGTAACTTTATTGCTAGGTGTGAATCTTATTTTTCTGGTGATTCTGCTGGTGATCGAGTTGCATATTTTCATTCTGATAATGGCGGCGAATACATTTCCAAAGACCTGGAGCAGTTCTTTGTGTCTAAGGGTATCAAGCATACTTATACAGTTCCTCATACTCCTCAGCAAAATGGTGTTGCTGAGCGATTGAATCGCACATTATTTGAGAAAGCCAAGTCTATGCTTTTATATGCTCATGCTCCTGAGTATTTATGGGGTGAAGCTGTCAAGTCTGCTAATTATATTAGGAACCGTCTTCCTAGTCGTACCACTGGTGGTGTTGCACCTCTTCAACTTTGGACTGGTAAACCTCCTAGTTATCATCATATGAAAGTATTTGGTTGTCAAGCTACAGTTGTTCTTCCTGGTGCTAAAAGAGAATCTAAGTTAAGTTCAAATACTGAAGCTGGTGTTTTTGTTGGGTATTCTTTGGATCGTACAGCTTATCGAGTTCTTCTTGATTCAAGCATTGTTGAAGCCAGGAGTGTTTACTTTGATGAGTCCAAGTTTCCATTTATGAAAAGTGATAAGGACTTGTCTATTAATGGTACTGGTGTTGGGTTTAGTGTTGGTTCTGGTTCAGGGTCCATGTCAGGACCTTGTTTTGATTCTAAGGGGACTGGTTTGGGATCTAATGTTAGGGTTAATTCTATTGCTAGTTCTGATTCAAGTTCTGGTTCTAGTTTTGGGTCTCATAGATCTTTACCAGCATCCTCATCTGGTTCTGGTTCTGGTTCTATCTGTGCTTTACCGTCTCATTCTCCGTCGCCTTCTTCTTCTTCTTCTTCTATTATTGTTCATAAGCCTCGTTCTGTTCGTCGCATTTTGTCTACACCTTCTGCTCCTCTTGAGTCTCCTACTCTTCCTACTCTTCCTTCTATTCCTTCTGTTCCATCTCTTCCTAGTTCCCCTATTCTTCCACCTTCAGATCATGATGTCTCTATCTCTCCTGACTCTAGTCCTATTATTTCTTCTTCGGAATATATTCCTTCACAATTAGACTTATCTGAAGCTAGTCCATCTATTAATGAATCTGATATTTCTGGTGATTCTGGGATCTCGCAACGAGGGGGTGATATTGGGTTTCAACCGTCTATCATTGCTTCGTCTCCCATTCCACCACCTTCTGTTGAATTGGAAGTAGTGCCACTTAGTCAAGAATCTCCTTCGTCTGATCTTGTTAATTCTCTTGACCAAGCTGGTGTTAGTGTTGTCACTAAGGATGATACTCAAGCTGTTTTGCCTAAATCTCGATCTCGTGTTGTTGCTGTTCGTTTACCTTCTATAACTCCTGCCAAATGTTGAACTGTGACACGGGAAGTCATGATAATAATAGAAAATATTATCCAAGAAAAGTATATATTGAAATATATAAGATAAAACAGTTGTATAAGAAGAAAGAAAAAGGAAAAGAAAAATTATAAAAGTTGGGGAAGAAACCTTCCTTATATACCCAAGGAAACGAAAAATTTGCAGTGGTGAAAATTTTTCATTTGGGTTTGTCCCAAAGTTGAGTGGGTTTGTATTACACTTCAACTTTGTAACAAATTAAGGAGGGTAACCACAGTCACATAAGGGCTTAAACCTAATGCGGCTAAAACTAAAATAAACATAGGTTATCAACCATAGTTTCCCACCCAAACTCACGTGCATTATCAACTGCACTAGTCTGCGACAACATTGCATGCTCAACACCTCCCCTTGTCGCAGAATCACCTACTGCCTTCATACCAAGTAGTCCCCTCAATGTCTCAAACTTCACACGACCAAGATTCTTAGTAAACATATCTGCCAACATCACTTGAGTATCAAGATACTCCAGATGAATCACTCCACTGCGAATATAGTGACGCACAACATGATACCGAACATCAATATGCTTGGTGCGACGATGAAACACTGGGTTCTGAGCCAAAGCAATACATCCCTGATTGTCCTCAAACATAGTCACTGGCAACGGAACAGGAATCTTGCAAAGAGACAACAACTGATTAATCCAGAAGCATTCCTTAGACGCATCAGACAATGACATGTACTCAGACTCGACGCTGGACGATGCAGGACTAACTTGCTTTCGACAAGCCCAAGTAATGGGACCACCAGACAGAATAAAAACATACCCAGTAAAGGACTTACGGTCCTGCTTGTCCTGTGCATAATCGGCATCACTATAGCCAACAAGCTTGTAGACTTTCTGAGCTCGATATTCAAGACCAAGTTCAGCAGTACCCTTAAGATAACGAAGAGTATGCTTAGCAGCTTCCATATGAATAGACTTAGGACTCTGCATATATCGACAAAGAAAGCTAACAGCAACAGCAAGATCAGGACGAGCACAATTAGCAGCATAAATCAGCTTACCAATAATACTGCGATACATGGAGGCATCGGTAGCAGAGTCAGACTCGGAAAAATCAGAAAGATCACGAGTGGGTAAAGGAGTCTTGACACTTGAACAATTCTGCATACCAAACTCCTCCAACATATCAAAAATATAACGTGAAACATCCACAGTAATATGGTAAGGTGACTGCTTAACTCTCATGCCAAGGAACTGCTCGACTGGGCCCAAGTCTTTCATCTTAAACATAGATGACAAAGAAGACTTGGTTTTGGCAATGACCTCAGAAGAATTGCCAGAAATAAGTAAATCATCAACATACAGTGCAATAATGACCATGGTAGACCCAGATCCTTTGGTATACACACCGTAGTCACTTTCATTACGAATAAACCCAAGTTTGACAAGAGCACCATGAATCTTCTCATTCCAACACAAAGGAGCTTGCTTTTAAACCATATAAAGACTTCTTCAAATGACACACTTTAGATTCCTGACCTTTGACAACAAAGCCTTTAGGTTGTCTCATATAAATATCTTCTTTGAGATCACCATTAAGAAATGCAGTCTCGACATCCATATGATGAACCTGAAACCCAAACTGAGCAGCAATAGCAAGAACAATCCTCACAGTCTCGTAACGAACAACGGGAGCAAAAGTTTCAGTATAATCAATACCTTCAACTTGCGAAAATCCAATACACACGAGACGGGCTTTGTAACGTTCAATTGAACCGTCAGCTTTGCGCTTAACTTTAAACACCCATTTGCTATTGATAGCCTTGCGACCAGGTGGGAGATCAACCAATTCCCAAGTACCATTGCGTTTAAGAGACGACATTTCAATAACACAGGCTTCAAGCCAAAACTCAGCTTCTTCACTAGACATAGCTTCTTCAAAACTACTAGGATCTGTAAAAACAAGTAAAGCCACATCATCATACTCAAAGCGGAGAGATTTGAGACGACGATAAGAAATACACTCTTCTTCAGCTGGACGTTTTGCAGGTGTTGCAGACACTGGAGATTGTTTCAAAGAATTTTCACAAAGGTGTTTAGAAGGAGGTGAAACAATGTCATCAGAACTCGGGCGTTTGGCAGGAGTTATAGAAGGTAAACGAACAGCAACAACACGAGATCGAGATTTAGGCAAAACAGCTTGAGTATCATCCTTAGTGACAACACTAACACCAGCTTGGTCAAGAGAATTAACAAGATCAGACGAAGGAGATTCTTGACTAAGTGGCACTACTTCCAATTCAACAGAAGGTGGTGGAGTGGGAGACGAAGCAATGATAGACGGTTGAAACCCAATATCACCCCCTCGTTGCGAGATCCCAGAATCACCTGAAATATCAGATTCATTAATAGATGGACCAGCTTCAGATAAGTCTAATTGTGAAGGAATATATTCCGAAGAAGAAATAATAGGACTAGAGTCAGGAGAGATAGAGACTTCATGATCTGAAGGTGGAAGAATAGGAGAACTAGGAAGAGATGGAACAGAAGGAATAGAAGGAAGAGTAGGAGACTCAAGAGGAGCAGAAGGTGTAGACAAAATGCGACGAACAGAACGAGGCTTATGAACAATAATAGAAGAAGAAGAAGAAGGAGGCGGCGACGGAGAATGAGACGGAGAAGAAGACGGAGACGGAGACGGTAAAGCACACATAGAACCAGAACCAGAACCAGAACCAGATGAGGATGCTGGTAAAGATCTATGAGACCCAAAACTAGAACCAGAACTTAAATCAGAACTAGCAATAGAATTAACCCTAACATTAGATCCTAAACCAGTCCCCTTAGAATCAAAACAAGGTCCTGACATGGACCCTGAACCAGAACCAACACTAAACCCAACACCAGTACCATTAATAGACAAGTCCTTATCACTTTTCATAAATGGAAACTTGGACTCATCAAAGTAAACACTCCTGGCTTCAACAATGCTTGAATCAAGAAGAACTCGATAAGCTGTACGATCCAAAGAATACCCAACAAAAACACCAGCTTCAGTATTTGAACTTAACTTAGATTCTCTTTTAGCACCAGGAAGAACAACTGTAGCTTGACAACCAAATACTTTCATATGGTGATAACTAGGAGGTTTACCAGTCCAAAGTTGAAGAGGTGCAACACCACCAGTGGTACGACTAGGAAGACGGTTCCTAATATAATTAGCAGACTTGACAGCTTCACCCCATAAATACTCAGGAGCATGAGCATATAAAAGCATAGACTTGGCTTTCTCAAATAATGTGCGATTCAATCGCTCAGCAACACCATTTTGTTGAGGAGTATGAGGAACTGTATAAGTATGCTTGATACCCTTAGACACAAAGAACTGCTCCAGGTCTTTGGAAATGTATTCGCCGCCATTATCGGAATGAAAATATGCAACTCGATCACCAGCAGAATCACCAGAAAAATAAGATTCACACCTAGCAATAAAGTTACGAATGGCAAGACTTGCATCACTTTTCCTAACCAACAACTCCACATAAGAGTACCTGGAATAATAATCCATAATGGTTAAGACATAACGATGACCCACAGGGGTAGCGACATGAGGACCGCTCAAATCAGAAACAAATAATTCCAAAGGACGACTAGCTTTTTCTGTGGTACCATTAAATGGCAATGCTGTGGCTTTGCCACCCAAGCAAGCGTCACACTTATGACTATCCACAACCTCAAAATGAGTAGGCTTGACAGAAAGTGACTTAGATAATTTCTTGAGAACGTCCACACTGGCGTGACCAAGTCGCTTGTGCCAAAGATTGGCAGACGACTCAACAGCAAACACCTCATGGACAGGCTTGGAAGGCAAAACAACTCGGAAACGACAAAAGTACAAGTCACCCATGGCAATGGCGTGGACTCGAGTTTTGCCATTTTCAACAGCAGAAATATGGTTAAGGTCTTGAATGAACCGACAACCACCAGCAGTAGCTCGACGAGCAGCAAATAAATTGCGAGGAATCTTAGGAACATATAAAACATCTCGAAGAACAACGCGGTCACAAGGCTGGTCATCTTTACCAAGAAGATCAACGACAATGTCGCCAACCCCCTCAGCAGTAGCAGAACCAAGACCACGAATGGTAGCCGAAGTGGGACGAAGAGAAGAAAAATATGAGATGTTATTGCAAATGTGACTGGTAGCACCGGTATCATGGATAAAGTCAAAAGAATCAGTCCCAACAACTAAGTTGGCCTCAGCAGAAGTAGTAGATTCAGCAACAAAAACGTGATGTACTGAATGACTTAAATCCAAGATTGAAGAAGGATGCCAGACGACAATTAAAATCAAGGAAAACAACATGATGGTAACAAAAGATAAGTAAAAGAATGGAGAAAAACGGGATTTTGGTGTAACAATTGGTTTAACAATGGGTGGAGAAGGTTCAGTAATTGAATCCACCAAAAAATCAAAAGAAGGTAAGGCAATATCATCATCAGAACCGACCAACGGTTTAGAATCAGAACAAAAATAAAAGAAGAACCGACCAACGGTTCAGAATCAGAACAAGAAATAAAAGAAGAACCGACCAACGGTTCAGAATCAAAAGGAACAATATCCGAATCGACCAACGATTCAGAATCAAAACAAATAGGAGCTGAACTGACACACGGTTCAGACTCCAAACAAACAACAGTAGAACCGACATACGGTTCAGAAATAAAACAAGAATCATCAGTGGAACCAACAAACGGTTTACCAACTGAATCAATATCAAGTCCTGAGTTTGAACAATACTCAGAAACTTGACCAACAAAACAATCTTCATCGCCGACACACGGCTCAGAAGAATCAAAAAGTTCGGATTCCAAATCATCAAACGACTCGGAGCAACTGTTACCAAACTTTTCAGAAACAACAGATGTCTCGGACACAAAAGCGGAACTCACAAATGGATCATCATCAACTATCTCAGAAAATTCATCAATAGTCTCAGCAAACCAACCTCTTGAGGTTTTAGCCTCCTTAGATTCCTTGTCATCCTTATTATCTTGGCGAGCAGCCTGAACCTCTTCCCAAGAGACATGACAATTGTTGGAAGTATGACCACGCCTCTTACAACGGAAACATTTAATACCATCACCCTTAGATTTGTTATTGTACTTCTTTGATGAAGCAACGAACGCTTCAGTCGAAAGAGTAGCTGGAGGTCCAGTAATCTTCAACAACTTGGCCCATTTATCAGTGTTCCGGATGAAGTTGTTAATATCAAGGTTGTCAGTATTGTTGTTACTATCAAAGCGGTGCTCCAAGGCATACTGGATGAAGCGCTCACAATTGGGACCCATTGAAGCCAAAGCGTTGAAGGCCACGACCGAATCAGGCGACAATGATTGGTAGATGGAACGCCAGGTAGCAACATAAGAGCGAACAGAAGAAACAAACTTTGGACCAACATCAATATTGCCAGCATAGAGGGATTTCATAAGTGAGATGACATCGGCGGGTTGGAGTTGACTATACTCCTGATGAAGGTAAAGCCAGAGGTCACGGCCTCTAATGGCCACATCATTAACATGTTCGATCAACTCAGGAGAAATATTGTTGAGGATGACATCATGGACGACGGTATCAAGCGAGGCGGTGAGGTCTTCAAGGGATTCATTGGCAGCTGGATTGACAGTACCAGCTTCGACATAAAGGTGGACACCATTATTCATAGCACGAAGACCCAAAAGAATTTTGGTAGCCCAGACATGATAGTTGAGAGGAGTGAGTTTTTCAGAGGAAGTAAGATTAATATAAGCCGAAGTGCGGCCCATAACCTGTTGAACTGTGACACGGGAAGTCATGATAATAATAGAAAATATTATCCAAGAAAAGTATATATTGAAATATATAAGATAAAACAGTTGTATAAGAAGAAAGAAAAAGGAAAAGAAAAATTATAAAAGTTGGGGAAGAAACCTTCCTTATATACCCAAGGAAACGAAAAATTTGCAGTGGTGAAAATTTTTCATTTGGGTTTGTCCCAAAGTTGAGTGGGTTTGTATTACACTTCAACTTTGTAACAAATTAAGGAGGGTAACCACAGTCACATAAGGGCTTAAACCTAATGCGGCTAAAACTAAAATAAACATAGGTTATCAACCATAGTTTCCCACCCAAACTCACGTGCATTATCAACTGCACTAGTCTGCGACAACATTGCATGCTCAACACCAAACGCCCGAGTTCTGATGACATTGTTTCACCTCCTTCTAAACATCTTTGTGAAAATTCTTTGAAACAATCTCCATTGTCTGCAACACCTGCAAAACGTCCAGCTGAAGAAGAGTGTATTTCTTATCGTCGTCTCAAATCTCTCCGCTTTGAGTATGATGATGTGGCTTTACTTGTTTTTACAGATCCTAGTAGTTTTGAAGAAGCTATGTCTAGTGAAGAAGCTGAGTTTTGGCTTGAAGCCTGTGTTATTGAAATGTCGTCTCTTAAACGCAATGGTACTTGGGAATTGGTTGATCTCCCACCTGGTCGCAAGGCTATCAATAGCAAATGGGTGTTTAAAGTTAAGCGCAAAGCTGACGGTTCAATTGAACGTTACAAAGCTCGTCTCGTGTGTATTGGATTTTCGCAAGTTGAAGGTATTGATTATACTGAAACTTTTGCTCCCGTTGTTCGTTACGAGACTGTGAGGATTGTTCTTGCTATTGCTGCTCAGTTTGGGTTCCAGGTTCATCATATGGATGTCGAGACTGCATTTCTTAATGGTGATCTCAAAGAAGATATTTATATGAGACAACCTAAAGGCTTTGTTGTCAAAGGTCAGGAATCTAAAGTGTGTCATTTGAAGAAGTCTTTATATGGTTTAAAGCAAGCTCCTTTGTGTTGGAATGAGAAGATTCATGGTGCTCTTGTCAAACTTGGGTTTATTCGTAATGAAAGTGACTACGGTGTGTATACCAAAGGATCTGGGTCTACCATGGTTATTATTGCACTGTATGTTGATGATTTACTTATTTCTGGCAATTCTTCTGAGGTCATTGCCAAAACCAAGTCTTCTTTGTCATCTATGTTGAACTGTGACACGGGATGTCATGATAATAATAGAAAATATTATCCAAGAAAAGTATATATTGAAATATATAAGATAAAACAGTTATATAAGAAGAAAGAAAAAGGAAAAGAAAAATTATAAAAGTTGGGGAAGAAACCTTCCTTATATACCCAAGGAAAAGAAAAATTTGTAGTGGTGAAAATTTTTCATTTGGGTTTGTCCCAAAGTTGAGTGGGTTTGTATTACACTTCAACTTTGTAACAAATTAAGGAGGGTAACCACAGTCACATAAGGGCTTAAACCTAATGCGGCTAAAACTAAAATAAACATAGATTGTCAACCATAGTTTCCCACCCAAACTCACGTGCATTATCAACTGCACTAGTCTGCGACAACATTGCATGCTCAACAAAACTGGGCATATAACATCTCTAACTTCGATAACACGAGAGAGTGGTGAAAAAAATTTTGAAGGCTCACGATCAAAGTCTTTATTGTCAATATAATAACCAATAATCGAATAGCCACTATTATTATCACTGCTTCCAAAAAATTGCAGTTTGTGGAACTATTCACGGAGAATCCATGAGGATTTGGAAGAGAGTACGGAACTATGTAGCTATTTATACTATTTTGGAGTTGGTTACTGAGGTCCGGGTAACTTAGGGTAGATTAGGTCACGGCCTCAGGGAAACCCTACTCCAGACACACCCCCCGGTTCGGAGCCTTTGGGTGACGGATCCGAAGGTTGTTTTTGTAGATTTGATGCAGAGGGATGGGAGAGGGGAGATATGAAAAAATCGCATTTTGAAAGGATTCTCATGATCTCAGCAGCTGGCATGCGCTTTGTGAGAATGTCAGCGGGATTGTCTTTGCCTGAGATATGATTCAACCTAAAAATTTTTCTGCTATGATTGTCTCTGAGATAATTGATTCGGTTAAGAAAATGTAATTCATAGTCAACTTGCTTCAAAGAGCAAACCACTTGGATGAGGGGATTGTTATCACAGAATGCGTCTATCATAACGTCTTTGTATCCTAGTTCCTGCAATGTCGGAAGAATGGCTAAAGTTCGGCGAACTCCATCGTGGAGTGCAACAAGTTCAGCCTCATAGACACTCGAGATTGTAGCAGCTTTGATGGTGTAGCTGCGCGACGTTAAAACATTTCCATCGAGTAGAATAATGTAGCCAGCAAACGGTGGGTGGTGTTTAGCGTTAAGGTCGTCGGAAGCTCTAGTATTGAAAGAAGCATCCGTGAAGATCTGTAATCTCGAGTTAGATCCAGTGACTGGTTTGGTGGTTCTATACGCTGAGTTCCTAGTTGTGTAAATATATTTGAGTGCTTGGATAGCTTGGTTCAGCGATTGAAAGGTTGGAGCATGGTTAAAACGGCTTAAATAGGTGCCTGTAAACTGTAAATCAAACCTGGTTTTTGATGCAATGTATTGGATGACTCCCACGATTTGGCGATAAAGTGTAGGATCAATTGGGAGTGAATCCAAGTTAGCCTGTTTAAGATTGGTATGGACGTCAGAGCTTTGGTCGTTGAAATCAGTTGTCAGCGGGTGCGTGGCGCCTTGTTTGATAGTGGATTGTAATTTGATATCAAACTGTTTAATCCTTTCCAGGAAATAATCTGCGGTTGATAGTGTAATGCTATCCGACGGGTAATCGAGCTCGAAACCGATGTAGCGGGCCGGATTGATTTGCCGTTTGAGCACAAATTTATGACCTATAGTGTGTTCAATGGTCTGTGTGGTGTTAGACGAAACTAAAAAATCATCAACATGACTTATGCAGGATGTACTGGGATCGTTGTGGTGTAGAAAAAGGCACGAGTCGGCACGGGAAATCCTGAAGTCAGGTGCAAGCTGAGCGCGAGCGAAAAGATAGAAGCCCATGGGACTGTCCTTTAAGCCATAGACCTGTTTCCGTATAGTAACGTAATGTTGTGAAAAGAAAGCGTCAAAACCTTTTGGAGTCTTCAACCGATAAAATTTTCCATTAGAAACGGGTGTATTTAGGAAAGCACCTTTAACGTCAAAAGCAGTGAGGAACTTCCTGTCATTTTTAATATGCGCAGCTAGAAATGCCATCACAGTAGTTTGTTTAACAACAGGGGACGTAGCAGTGACTTTGTTTGATTTAAGTTCCTCGGGTGATATGATGATCAGTCTAGCTTTGTATGTGCCATCAGGCTTAATCACAAAAATCCAGAACGATGCCAAGAAAGTCACCTCACTTTCGGTGGGAATGAAAGGTGCGAAAGCGTCAGCGTCGAGAAAGGTCTGAACTTCCTTCCGAATCGCCTCCACCCATTTGGGGATTTTCATTGCCTCGGCAAACGATTTGGGTGCTGTCGGGGAGCTGGTCAAGGGTGGTTGTTCTGTGACGAAAGAGTTGAGTGTGTGGATCTTCCTGGGACGGCCAGGCTTATCACCAAAAGGGAAAGGAGGTCTTGTTGGTGAAGGTAAATCGTTAACAATTGGATGCCACTCGAATTTGTCGAGTTGTTTAAAATCGTTGGTGGAGACATCTTCGCCTGTTGTGACTAAGCGGAAAATTTTGAGATGTGTAATTCTATCAGTTGTAAGATAAATTGCAGGTGCCAGTTCATTTGTTTTGGCATTGTGAATTAAGCAATCTTCAAGAAAAGAGGGGAAGGTGTGATCTTTTGTGACAGTGGAGAAATATGAGTCGTAAGGTGTATTCCCTTTGGAAATATTTTCATGTGGAACTGAATTATAAATTGTTGTGGCATGTGCAGTGGCCTCTGTGAAAAAATTTTCTGCCATGGTAGGAGACAGATGTGCAGTGATAGCCGCGCGTACTCTACCCAAGGATTGTATTACGCGTTCTGCACTTCCGTTATACTGTTTGATGCCGGTCGGAGCCGGCTGATAGGATGTGGCAGGATTGATGAGTTGGGTGTTGAACTGTGACACGGGAAGTCATGATAATAATAGAAAATATTATCCAAGAAAAGTATATATTGAAATATATAAGATAAAACAGTTATATAAGAAGAAAGAAAAAGGAAAAGAAAAATTATAAAAGTTGGGAAAGAAACCTTCCTTATATACCCAAGGAAAAGAAAAATTTGCAGTGGTGAAAATTTTTCATTTGGGTTTGTCCCAAAGTTGAGTGGGTTTGTATTACACTTCAACTTTGTAACAAATTAAGGAGGGTAACCACAGTCACATAAGGGCTTAAACCTAATGCGGCTAAAACTAAAATAAACATAGGTTATCAACCATAGTTTCCCACCCAAACTCACGTGCATTATCAACTGCACTAGTCTGCGACAACATTGCATGCTCAACACCTCCCCTTGTCGCAGAATCACCTACTGCCTTCATACCAAGTAGTCCCCTTAATGTCTCAAACTTCACACGACCAAGATTCTTAGTGAACATATCTGCCAACATCACTTGAGTATCAAGATACTCCAGATGAATTACTCCACTGCGAATATAGTGACGCACAACATGATAACGAACATCAATATGCTTGGTACGACGATGAAACACTGGGTTCTGAGCCAAAGCAATACATCCCTGATTGTCCTCAAACATAGTCACTGGCAACGGAACAGGAATCTTGCAAAGAGACAACAACTGATTAATCCAGAAGCATTCCTTAGACGCATCAGACAATGACATATACTCAGACTCGACGCTGGACGATGCAGGACTAACTTTTTCGACAGGCCCAAGTAATGGGACCACCAGACAGAATGAAAACATACCCAGTAAAGGACTTACGGTCCTGCTTGTCCTGAGCATAGTCGGCATCACTATAGCCAACAAGCTTGTAGACTTTCTGAGCTCGATATTCAAGACCAAGTTCAGCAGTACCCTTAAGATAACGAAGAGTATGCTTAGCAGCTTCCATATGAATAGACTTAGGACTCTGCATATATCGACAAAGAAAGCTAACAGCAACAGCAAGATCAGGACGAGCACAATTAGCAGCATAAATCAGCTTACCAATAATACTGCGATACATGGAGGCATCGGTAGCAGAGTCAGACTCGGAAAAATCAGAAAGATCACGAGTGGGTAAAGGAGTCTTGACACTTGAACAATTCTGCATACCAAACTCTTCCAACATATCAAAAATATAACGCGAAACATCCACAGTAATATGGTAAGGTGACTGCTTAACTCTCATGCCAAGGAACTGCTCGACTGGGCCCAAGTCTTTCATCTTAAACATAGATGACAAAGAAGACTTGGTTTTGGCAATGACTTCAGAAGAATTGCCAGAAATAAGTAAATCATCAACATACAGTGCAATAATGACCATGGTAGACCCAGATCCTTTGGTATACACACCGTAGTCACTTTCATTACGAATAAACCCAAGTTTGACAAGAGCACCATGAATCTTCTCATTCCAACACAAAGGAGCTTGCTTTTAAACCATATAAAGACTTCTTCAAATGACACACTTTAGATTCCTGACCTTTGACAACAAAGCCTTTAGGTTGTCTCATATAAATATCTTCTTTGAGATCACCATTAAGAAATGCAGTCTCGACATCCATATGATGAACCTGGAACCCAAACTGAGCAGCAATAGCAAGAACAATCCTTACAGTCTCGTAACGAACAACGGGAGCAAAAGTTTCAGTATAATCAATACCTTCAACTTGCGAAAATCCAATACACACGAGACGAGCTTTGTAACGTTCAATTGAACCGTCAGCTTTGCGCTTAACTTTAAATACCCATTTGCTATTGATAGCCTTGCGACCAGGTGGGAGATCAACCAATTCCCAAGTACCATTGCGTTTAAGAGACGACATTTCAATAACACAGGCTTCAAGCCAAAACTCAGCTTCTTCACTAGACATAGCTTCTTCAAAACTACTAGGATCTGTAAAAACAAGTAAAGCCACATCATCATAGTCAAAGCGGAGAGATTTGAGACGACGATAAGAAATACACTCTTCTTCAGCTGGACGTTTTGCAGGTGTTGCAGACACTGGAGATTGTTTCAAAGAATTTTCACAAAGGTGTTTAGAAGGAGGTGAAACAATGTCATCAGAACTCGGGCGTTTGGCAGGAGTTATAGAAGGTAAACGAACAGCAACAACACGAGATCGAGATTTAGGCAAAACAGCTTGAGTATCATCCTTAGTGACAACACTAACACCAGCTTGGTCAAGAGAATTAACAAGATCAGACGAAGGAGATTCTTGACTAAGTGGCACTACTTCCAATTCAACAGAAGGTGGTGGGTGGGAGACGAAGCAATGATAGACGGTTGAAACCCAATATCACCCCCTCGTTGCGAGATCCCAGAATCACCTGAAATATCAGATTCATTAATAGATGGACCAGTTTCAGATAAGTCTAATTGTGAAGGAATATATTCCGAAGAAGAAATAATAGGACTAGAGTCAGGAGAGATAGAGACATCATGATCTGAAGGTGGAAGAATAGGAGAACTAGGAAGAGATGGAACAGAAGCAATAGAAGGAAGAGTAGGAGACTCAAGAGGAGCAGAAGGTGTAGACAAAATGCGACGAACAGAACGAGGCTTATGAACAATAATAGAAGAAGAAGAAGAAGAAGGAGGCGGCGACGGAGAATGAGACGGAGAAGAAGACGGAGACGGAGACGGTAAAGCACAAATAGAACCAGAACCAGAACCAGATGAGGATGCTGGTAAAGATCTATGAGACCCAAAACTAGAACCAGAACTTAAATCAGAACTAGCAATAGAATTAACCCTAACATTAGATCCTAAACCAGTCCCCTTAGAATCAAAACAAGGTCCTGACATGGACCCTGAACCAGAACCAACACTAAACCCAACACCAGTACCATTAATAGACAAGTCCTTATCACTTTTCATGAATGGAAACTTGGACTCATCAAAGTAAACACTCCTGGCTTCAACAATGCTTGAATCAAGAAGAACTCGATAAGCTGTACGATCCAAAGAATACCCAACAAAAACACCAGCTTCAGTATTTGAACTTAACTTAGATTCTCTTTTAGCACCAGGAAGAACAACTGTAGCTTGACAACCAAATACTTTCATATGGTGATAACTAGGAGGTTTACCAGTCCAAAGTTGAAGAGGTGCAACACCACCAGTGGTACGACTAGGAAGACGGTTCCTAATATAATTAGCAGACTTGACAGCTTCACCCCATAAGTATTCAGGAGCATGAGCATATAAAAGCATAGACTTGGCTTTCTCAAATAATGTGCGATTCAATCGCTCAGCAACACCATTTTGTTGAGGAGTATGAGGAACTGTATAAGTATGCTTGATACCCTTAGACACAAAGAACTGCTCCAGGTCTTTGGAAATGTATTCGCCGCCATTATCAGAATGAAAATATGCAACTCGATCACCAGCAGAATCACCAGAAAAATAAGATTCACACCTAGCAATAAAATTACGAATGGCAAGACTTGCATCACTTTTCCTGGCCAGCAACTCCACATAAGAATACCTGGAATAATAATCCATAATGGTTAAGACATAACGATGACCCACAGGGGTAGCGACATGAGGACCGCTCAAATCAGAAACAAATAATTCCAAAGGACGACTAGCTTTTTCTGTGGTACCATTAAATGGCAATGCTGTGGCTTTGCCACCCAAGCAAGCGTCACACTTATGACTATCCACAACCTCAAAATGAGTAGGCTTGACAGAAAGTGACTTAGATAATTTCTTGAGAACGTCCACACTGGCGTGACCAAGTCGCTTGTGCCAAAGATTGGCAGACGACTCAACAGCAAACACCTCATGAACTGGCTTGGAAGGCAAAACAACTCGGAAACGACAAAAGTACAAGTTGTTGAACTGTGACACGGGAAGTCATGATAATAATAGAAAATATTATCCAAGAAAAGTATATATTGAAATATATAAGATAAAACAGTTATATAAGAAGAAAGAAAAAGGAAAAGAAAAATTATAAAAGTTGGGGAAGAAACCTTCCTTAAATATCTGAGGGAAAGAAAAATTTGCAGTGGTGAAAATTTTTCATTTGGGTTTGTCCCAAAGTTGAGTGGGTTTGTATTACACTTCAACTTTGTAACAAATTAAGGAGGGTAACCACAGTCACATAAGGGCTTAAACCTAATGCGGCTAAAACTAAAATAAACATAGATTGTCAACCATAGTTTCCCACCCAAACTCACGTGCATTATCAACTGCACTAGTCTGCGACAACATTGCATGCTCAACACAAGTCACCCATGGCAATGGCGTGGACTCGAGTTTTGCCATTTTCAACAGCAGAAATATGGTTAAGGTCTTGAATGAACCGACAACCACCAGCAGTAGCTCGACGAGCAGCAAATAAATTGCGAGGAATCTTAGGAACATATAAAACATCTCGAAGAACAACGCGGTCACAAGGCTGGTCATCTTTACCAAGAAGATCAACGACAATGTCGCCAACCCCCTCAGCAGTAGCAGAACCAAGACCACGAATGGTAGCCGAAGTGGGACGAAGAGAAGAAAAATATGAGATGTTATTGCAAATGTGACTGGTAGCACCGGTATCATGGATAAAGTCAAAAGAATCAGACCCAACAACTAAGTTGGCCTCAGCAGAAGTAGTAGATTCAGCAACAAAAACGTGATGGACTGAATGACTTAAATCCAAGATTGAAAAAGGATGCCAGACGACAATTAAAATCAAGGAAAACAACATGATGGTAACAAAAAGATAAGTAAAAGAATGGAGAAAAACGGGATTTTTGGTGTAACAATAGGTTTAACAATAGGCGGAGAAGGTTCAGTAATTGAATCCACCAAAAAATCAAAAGAAGGTAAGACAATATCATCATCAGAACCGACCAACGGTTTAGAATCAGAACAAGAAATAAAAGAAGAACCGACCAACGGTTCATAATCAAAAGGAACAATATCCGAATCGACCAACGATTCAGAATCAAAACAAATAGGAGCTGAACTGACACACGGTTCAGACTCCAAACAAACAACAGTAGAACCGACATACGGTTCAGAAATAAAACAAGAATCATCAGTGGAACCAACAAACGGTTTACCAACTGAATCAATATCAAGTCCTGAGTTTGAACAATACTCAGAAACTTGACCAACAAAACAATCTTCATCGCCGACACACGGCTCAGAAGAATCAAAAGTTCGGATTCCAAATCATCAAACGACTCGGAGCAACTGTTACCAAACTTTTCAGAAACAACAGATGTCTCGGACACAAAAGCGGAACTCACAAATGGATCATCATCAACTATCTCAGAAAATTCATCAATAGTCTCAGCAAACCAACCTCTTGAGGTTTTAGCCTCCTTAGATTCCTTGTCATCCTTATTATCTTGGCGAGCAGCCTGAACCTCTTCCCAAGAGACATGACAATTGTTGGAAGTATGACCACGCCTCTTACAACGGAAACATTTGATACCATCACCCTTAGATTTGTTATTGTACTTCTTTGATGAAGCAACGAACGCTTCAGTCGAAAGAGTAGCTGGAGGGCCAGTAATCTTCAACAACTTGGCCCATTTATCAGTGTTCCGGATGAAGTTGTTAATATCAAGGTTGTCAGTATTGTTGTTACTATCAAAGCGGTGCTCCAAGGCATACTGGATGAAGCGCTCACAATTGGGACCCATTGAAGCCAAAGCGTTGAAGGCCACGACCGAATCAGGCGACAATGATTGGTAGATGGAACGCCATGTAGCAACATAAGAGCGAACAGAAGAAACAAACTTTGGACCAACATCAATATTGCCAGCATAGAGGGATTTCATAAGTGAGATGACATCGGCGGGTTGGAGTTGACTATACTCCTGATGAAGGTAAAGCCAGAGGTCACGGCCTCTAATGGCCACATCATTAACATGTTCGATCAACTCAGGAGAAATATTGTTGAGGATGACATCATGGACGACGGTATCAAGCGAGGCGGTGAGGTCTTCAAGGGATTCATTGGCAGCTGGATTGACAGTACCAGCTTCGACATAAAGATGGACACCATTATTCATAGCACGAAGACCCAAAAGAATTTTGGTAGCCCAGACATGATAGTTGAGAGGAGTGAGTTTTTCAGAGGAAGTAAGATTAATATAAGCCGAAGTGCGGCCCATAACCTGTTGAACTGTGACACGGGAAGTCATGATAATAATAGAAAATATTATCCAAGAAAAGTATATATTGAAATATATAAGATAAAACAGTTATATAAGAAGAAAGAAAAAGGAAAAGAAAAATTATAAAAGTTGGGGAAGAAACCTTCCTTATATACCCAAGGAAAAGAAAAATTTGCAGTGGTGAAAATTTTTCATTTGGGTTTGTCCCAAAGTTGAGTGGGTTTGTATTACACTTCAACTTTGTAACAAATTAAGGAGGGTAACCACAGTCACATAAGGGCTTAAACCTAATGCGGCTAAAACTAAAATAAACATAGGTTATCAACCATAGTTTCCCACCCAAACTCACGTGCATTATCAACTGCACTAGTCTGCGACAACATTGCATGCTCAACATTGGGTAAGTTTTGAGAACTCAGTACCGCGGTCGGTGCGAATAACTTTAATGATCTGACCGAGTCGGTGTTGTTCGTTAGATAGGTACGCCCAGGTGCGTTCAGTGATGTCCTTTTTATTGATGGAGGTGAATGTATGAAGAAACTTAGTTGAATGATCGAGTATGACAGTAACCCAGTACTTTTTATTGTTGATGGTGTAGGGCCCAGCAGAGTCAAGGTGAATTGTGTCAAGTGGATTCTTGGCTATGTGTGTTGCTGGCTTTCTATATGAAACTGTTTTATAGTTTAAAGCCTTGCAAATCGTGCAGTGTTTGATTTCGTCTTCTATTTTTGGTGAGATGGAAATTCCTAGTTGCCGTAGACGTTTGGCGGAAAGGTGCCCAAGTACATTGTGTACAGATAAGTTCTTGTTTATGGTGAGGTAATCTTTAATCTTTGAAAAATCGGCAGATCTTATTGTGTGTGGAGAGGTGTCGTTCCGCAAAGCCAATGACCCTTCTAAGCGATAGCAGTAGGCTGTAAGAATCTTGGTTTGAGTTGGTGGGAAAATTAGTGTGGATTTAGGAGCAAACAGAACAGAATAACCAGAGTCATTAAGTTGTCGGACAGAAATTAAGTTGGAATAATTAGGGTCACGTGAGTAGAGTGTCTTAAGACGGAGGTTATTGTCACCAATTTTGAGATCAAGAAATCCATGGCCATCAACATATGCAAGGTCACCGCTAGCAGTGCGGAAAGGTATTTTATTTGAAACTATATCTGTAAGATTAATGTTTGAGTTGACGACTGAATGTGTCACACCGGAGTCTAGGATTCCGAATTCCTATTGTTGGGAATCAAGGGGAAGAGAGGAAAGTTCTCCTGCGAGGGGAGTATCATCATCGGATACAACTTCCTCTTCAGCGTCTTCTTCCAACACGGCAAAGGAATTGATCGAGTGGTCGACAGCCTGACGAGTGTTGAACTGTGACACGGGAAGTCATGATAATAATAGAAAATATTATCCAAGAAAAGTATATATTGAAATATATAAGATAAAACAGTTATATAAGAAGAAAGAAAAAGGAAAAGAAAAATTATAAAAGTTGGGGAAGAAACCTTCCTTAAATATCTGAGGGAAAGAAAAATTTGCAGTGGTGAAAATTTTTCATTTGGGTTTGTCCCAAAGTTGAGTGGGTTTGTATTACACTTCAACTTTGTAACAAATTAAGGAGGGTAACCACAGTCACATAAGGGCTTAAACCTAATGCGGCTAAAACTAAAATAAACATAGGTTATCAACCATAGTTTCCCACCCAAACTCACGTGCATTATCAACTGCACTAGTCTGCGACAACATTGCATGCTCAACAACGAGATCTTCTAATCAATTCTTGAGCAGCCTTAGATCCCCTTCTAGGAAATGATTGGTCATGGTTGCGTGCATTCGGTGTACCATCGCTATTGAATGCACATTGGTTAGCTGCATGGTGGTAACCACACCAATCACAGTGGGGGTAAGTACCGTTGTACTGTCGTGAGAACTTCTTGGCTTTGTTAGGTTGGGTAGCAAAGGCAGCATTAACTTGAGATTTGTCTGTGAGAGGAACTGAAGGAGCTGGTGTTGGAGCAAATTTATTACCAGCCTTGTTATTGGATGTAGTACGGAATGAGGGGTTTATGCCTCTGGCAGCTTTGTCGGCGGCAGGAGAGGAGAACATACTTTGCTTAACTTCAGCCTTTGCAAGAACAGCCAGATTGACCATAGGCGTGGATAAGCCATTATTTTGAGTGAATTCAGTATCTCTGGTTGCTGTGGAACATTTAGCCCACTTTTCAATGAGAAGATCAAGGTGATTAATTGTGGTGATCGGGATGTTACGCATTTCATCCAGTAGATCCCTGAACGCTGGTTCAATTAAGGGATTCTGAATCTTTGAGAAGTACTTGACATAAATTGTAGGTGGAAAACTAGTATAGAAACAAGTATTAAAACGGATCATATGGGAATTTTTGAATGCCTCAATAGATTTCTTAACCTCTGGTTTATCAGAATCAGCTGGGTCGTTAGGGTCAAAATCAAAAGCGGAGAAGTAAGATTTGAAAATTGTACGATAATCATGGAGGACTGCTATAAGAGGTTCGGGGCGAGGTTCCCAAGAGTGGTACTGTTCAATTGAACTAAAGAAAACTTCTGTATGAACTTTTCGGGAATCATCGGAATTGGGAAAAAGTTGAGCAAATGAAAGAGCTGGAAGTGAAATAGCTGTAGTTTTCCCATTTGTTGTTCTGACCAAGTGGAAATAGTTTTGGTAATTAAACCTCTGTCCAATAGCTGAGATAAAAGACCTCTGAAAGAAAAAATTGTACAAAGGTTGGTAGCCGTCTGGGACACATAGCAACTGGACAGCCTTGTCCTTAGTGTATTTCCAGAGTTCTTCAGGTGTGTCACAGTGAGGAGCATCTAGGGCAGCTTCAATGAAACCGCTCATGGGGTGAAAGTCAACCGCTGTTGCCAATAGGTTCTTGTAAACCCGAGGGTTGAATTGGGTGGTTTTGTTGGTTAAAGTCAATTTGGTAGTGAATTCCTTGCTGATCTGTTTTGCAAGATTGAGAGCATCTTGTTGTGCCAAGGCGTAAGCTATAACGCTTGGATCAGTTGGATATCCTGGGGTAACGGTACCAGGGACGACAAATTGAGCCATTGTGAATGCCAATGTGTATTGTCGTCAAGGTAGCTTAAGCTTTGTAGAGAGATATGAGCTTTTAACCTGTGGAACTATTCACGGAGAATCCATGAGGATTTGGAAGAGAGTACGGAACTATGTAGCTATTTATACTATTTTGGAGTTGGTTACTGAGGTCCGGGTAACTTAGGGTAGATTAGGTCACGGCCTCAGGGAAACCCTACTCCAGACACAGTTTGTAATTGCGAGGCTTCACAACACCAATTTGAAATTCCTTTACCACAGCAAACTTGGTGGGAATTCCTGGACCCAAAGAGTCAATTTCAACAATATCTTCAATCATTACATGACTAGAAGAGTTGTTTTTATTTTTGATCCGTGCATACTTGTTAATGTACGCAGAAAGGTCTCTTTGAAAAAAAAGGATCCTTTTGTAAAACTTAGCCTTAATATTATGGGATCCACCACAAGCTTCCAGACTTCGCTCATCATTTTCAAGATATTTCATGATCATTTCAGTAACTTCAATTTGCCTTGTTATTTCTAGCTCAGTTTGTGGCTTAGATTTGAGGTTCCTAGGCAACTTGGCACCAATTGAAAATTCGCATACTGATCCGGAAAGACTGTTAAGTATTGATTGATAAATATAACGATTGGAAAGAGTAAGATGAGGGGCCTTTCCGTATTTTATGTTGAACTGTGACACGGGAAGTCATGATAATAATAGAAAATATTATCCAAGAAAAGTATATATTGAAATATATAAGATAAAACAGTTATATAAGAAGAAAGAAAAAGGAAAAGAAAAATTATAAAAGTTGGGGAAGAAACCTTCCTTAAATATCTGAGGGAAAGAAAAATTTGCAGTGGTGAAAATTTTTCATTTGGGTTTGTCCCAAAGTTGAGTGGGTTTGTATTACACTTCAACTTTGCAACAAATTAAGGAGGGTAACCACAGTCACATAAGGGCTTAAACCTCATGCGGCTGTAACTAAAATAAACATAGGTTATCAACCATAGTTTCCCACCCAAACTCACGTGCATTATCAACTGCACTAGTCTGCGACAACATTGCATGCTCAACAGCAGAATCACCTACTGCCTTCATACCAAGTAGTCCCCTTAATGTCTCAAACTTCACACGACCAAGATTCTTAGTAAACATATCTGCCAACATCACTTGAGTATCAAGATACTCCAGATGAATCACTCCACTGCGAATATAGTGACGCACAACATGATAACGAACATCAATATGCTTGGTGCGACGATGAAACACTGGGTTCTGAGCCAAAGCAATACATCCCTGATTGTCCTCAAACATAGTCACTGGCAAAGGAATAGGAATCTTGCAAAGAGACAACAACTGATTAATCCAGAAGCATTACTTAGACGCATCAGACAATGACATGTACTCAGACTCGACGCTGGACGATGCAGGACTAACTTGCTTTCGACAAGCCCAAGTAATGGGACCACCAGACAGAATGAAAACATACCCAGTAAATGACTTACGGTCCTGCTTGTCCTGTGCATAGTCGGCATCACTATAACCAACAAGCTTGTAGACTTTCTGAGCTCGATATTCAAGACCAAGTTCAGCAGTACCCTTAAGATAACGAAGAGTATGCTTAGCAGCTTCCATATGAATAGACTTAGGACTCTGCATATATCGACAAAGAAAGCTAACAGCAACAGCAAGATCAGGACGAGCACAATTAGCAGCATAAATCAGCTTTCCAATAATACTGCGATACATGGAGGCATCGGTAGCAGAGTCAGACTCGGAAAAGTCAGAAAGATCACGAGTGGGTAAAGGAGTCTTAACACTTGAACAATTCTGCATACCAAACTCTTCCAACATATCAAAAATATAACGCGAAACATCCACAGTAATATGGTAAGGTGACAGCTTAACTCTCATGCCAAGGAACTGCTCGACTGGGCCCAAGTCTTTCATCTTAAACATAGATGAAAGACTTGGTTTTGGCAATGACTTCAGAAGAATTGCCAGAAATAAGTAAATCATCAACATACAGTGCAATAATGACCATGGTAGACCCAGATCCTTTAGTATAAACACCGTAGTCACTTTCATTACGAATAAACCCAAGTTTGACAAGAGCACCATGAATCTTCTCATTCCAACACAAAGGAGCTTGCTTTAAACCATATAAAGACTTCTTCAAATGACACACTTTAGATTCCTGACCTTTGACAACAAAGCCTTTAGGTTGTCTCATATAAATATCTTCTTTGAGATCACCATTAAGAAATGCAGTCTCGACATCCATATGATGAACCTGGAACCCAAACTGAGCAGCAATAGCAAGAACAATCCTCACAGTCTCGTAACGAACAACGGGAGCAAAAGTTTCAGTATAATCAATACCTTCAACTTGCGAAAATCCAATACACACGAGACGAGCTTTGTAACGTTCAATTGAACCGTCAGCTTTGCGCTTAACTTTAAATACCCATTTGCTATTGATAGCCTTGCGACCAGGTGGGAGATCAACCAATTCCCAAGTACCATTGCGTTTAAGAGACGACATTTCAATAACACAGGCTTCAAGCCAAAACTCAGCTTCTTCACTAGACATAGCTTCTTCAAAACTACTAGGATCTGTAAAAACAAGTAAAGCCACATCATCATAGTCAAAGCGGAGAGATTTGAGACGACGATAAGAAATACACTCTTCTTCAGCTGGACGTTTTGCAGGTGTTGCAGACACTGGAGATTGTTTCAAAGAATTTTCACAAAGGTGTTTAGAAGGAGGTGAAACAATGTCATCAGAACTCGGGCGTTTGGCAGGAGTTATAGAAGGTAAACGAACAGCAACAACACGAGATCGAGATTTAGGCAAAACAGCTTGAGTATCATCCTTAGTGACAACACTAACACCAGCTTGGTCAAGAGAATTAACAAGATCAGACGAAGGAGATTCTTGACTAAGTGGCACTACTTCCAATTCAACAGAAGGTGGTGGAGTGGGAGACGAAGCAATGATAGACGGTTGAAACCCAATATCACCCCTCGTTGCGAGATCCCAGAATCACCTGAAATATCAGATTCATTAATAGATGGACCAGTTTCAGATAAGTCTAATTGTGAAGGAATATATTCCGAAGAAGAAATAATAGGACTAGAGTCAGGAGAGATAGAGACATCATGATCTGAAGGTGGAAGAATAGGAGAACTAGGAAGAGATGGAACAGAAGCAATAGAAGGAAGAGTAGGAGACTCAAGAGGAGCAGAAGGTGTAGACAAAATGCGACGAACAGAACGAGGCTTATGAACAATAATAGAAGAAGAAGAAGAAGAAGGAGGCGGCGACGGAGAATGAGACGGAGAAGAAGACGGAGACGGAGACGGTAAAGCACAAATAGAACCAGAACCAGAACCAGATGAGGATGCTGGTAAAGATCTATGAGACCCAAAACTAGAACCAGAACTTAAATCAGAACTAGCAATAGAATTAACCTAACATTAGATCCTAAACCAGTCCCCTTAGAATCAAAACAAGGTCCTGACATGGACCCTGAACCAGAACCAACACTAAACCCAACACCAGTAGCATTAATAGACAAGTCCTTATCACTTTTCATAAATGGAAACTTGGACTCATCAAAGTAAACACTCCTGGCTTCAACAATGCTTGAATCAAGAAGAACTCGATAAGCTGTACGATCCAAAGAATACCCAACAAAACACCAGCTTCAGTATTTGAACTTAACTTAGATTCTCTTTTAGCACCAGGAAGAACAACTGTAGCTTGACAACCAAATACTTTCATATGGTGATAACTAGGAGGTTTACCAGTCCAAAGTTGAAGAGGTGCAACACCACCAGTGGTACGACTAGGAAGACGGTTCCTAATATAATTAGCAGACTTGACAGCTTCACCCCATAAGTATTCAGGAGCATGAGCATATAAAAGCATAGACTTGGCTTTCTCAAATAATGTGCGATTCAATCGCTCAGCAACACCATTTTGTTGAGGAGTATGAGGAACTGTATAAGTATGCTTGATACCCTTAGACACAAAGAACTGCTCCAGGTCTTTGGAAATGTATTCGCCGCCATTATCAGAATGAAAATATGCAACTCGATCACCAGCAGAATCACCAGAAAAATAAGATTCACACCTAGCAATAAAATTACGAATGGCAAGACTTGCATCACTTTTCCTGGCCAGCAACTCCACATAAGAATACCTGGAATAATAATCCATAATGGTTAAGACATAACGATGACCCACAGGGGTAGCGACATGAGGACCGCTCAAATCAGAAACAAATAATTCCAAAGGACGACTAGCTTTTTCTGTGGTACCATTAAATGGCAATGCTGTGGCTTTGCCACCCAAGCAAGCGTCACACTTATGACTATCCACAACCTCAAAATGAGTAGGCTTGACAGAAAGTGACTTAGATAATTTCTTGAGAACGTCCACACTGGCGTGACCAAGTCGCTTGTGCCAAAGATTGGCAGACGACTCAACAGCAAACACCTCATGAACTGGCTTGGAAGGCAAAACAACTCGGAAACGACAAAAGTACAAGTCACCCATGGCAATGGCGTGGACTCGAGTTTTGCCATTTTCAACAGCAGAAATATGGTTAAGGTCTTGAATGAACCGACAACCACCAGCAGTAGCTCGACGAGCAGCAAATAAATTGCGAGGAATCTTAGGAACATATAAAACATCTCGAAGAACAACGCGGTCACAAGGCTGGTCATCTTTACCAAGAAGATCAACGACAATGTCGCCAACCCCTCAGCAGTAGCAGAACCAAGACCACGAATGGTAGCCGAAGTGGGACGAAGAGAAGAAAAATATGAGATGTTATTGCAAATGTGACTGGTAGCACCGGTATCATGGATAAAGTCAAAGAATCAGACCCAACAACTAAGTTGGCCTCAGCAGAAGTAGTAGATTCAGCAACAAAAACGTGATGGACTGAATGACTTAAATCCAAGATTGAAAAAGGATGCCAGACGACAATTAAAATCAAGGAAAACAACATGATGGTAACAAAAGATAAGTAAAAGAATGGAGAAAAACGGGATTTTGGTGTAACAATAGGTTTAACAATAGGCGGAGAAGGTTCAGTAATTGAATCCACCAAAAAATCAAAAGAAGGTAAGACAATATCATCATCAGAACCGACCAACGGTTTAGAATCAGAACAAGAAATAAAAGAAGAACCGACCAACGGTTCATAATCAAAAGGAACAATATCCGAATCGACCAACGATTCAGAATCAAAACAAATAGGAGCTGAACTGACACACGGTTCAGACTCCAAACAAACAACAGTAGAACCGACATACGGTTCAGAAATAAAACAAGAATCATCAGTGGAACCAACAAACGGTTTACCAACTGAATCAATATCAAGTCCTGAGTTTGAACAATACTCAGAAACTTGACCAACAAAACAATCTTCATCGCCGACACACGGCTCAGAAGAATCAAAAAGTTCGGATTCCAAATCATCAAACGACTCGGAGCAACTGTTACCAAACTTTTTCAGAAACAACAGATGTCTCGGACACAAAAGCGGAACTCACAAATGGATCATCATCAACTATCTCAGAAAATTCATCAATAGTCTCAGCAAACCAACCTCTCTTGAGGTTTTAGCCTCCTTAGATTCCTTTGTCATCCTTATTATCTTGGCGAGCAGCCTGAACCTCTTCCCAAGAGACATGACAATTGTTGGAAGTATGACCACGCCTCTTACAACGGAAACATTTGATACCATCACCCTTAGATTTGTTATTGTACTTCTTTGATGAAGCAACGAACGCTTCAGTCGAAAGAGTAGCTGGAGGGCCAGTAATCTTCAACAACTTGGCCCATTTATCAGTGTTCCGGATGAAGTTGTTAATATCAAGGTTGTCAGTATTGTTGTTACTATCAAAGCGGTGCTCCAAGGCATACTGGATGAAGCGCTCACAATTGGGACCCATTGAAGCCAAAGCGTTGAAGGCCACGACCGAATCAGGCGACAATGATTGGTAGATGGAACGCCAGGTAGCAACATAAGAGCGAACAGAAGAAACAAACTTTGGACCAACATCAATATTGCCAGCATAGAGGGATTTCATAAGTGAGATGACATCGGCGGGTTGGAGTTGACTATACTCCTGATGAAGGTAAAGCCAGAGGTCACGGCCTCTAATGGCCACATCATTAACATGTTCGATCAACTCAGGAGAAATATTGTTGAGGATGACATCATGGACGACGGTATCAAGCGAGGCGGTGAGGTCTTCAAGGGATTCATTGGCAGCTGGATTGACAGTACCAGCTTCGACATAAAGATGGACACCATTATTCATAGCACGAAGACCCAAAAGAATTTTGGTAGCCCAGACATGATAGTTGAGAGGAGTGAGTTTTTCAGAGGAAGTAAGATTAATATAAGCCGAAGTGCGGCCCATAACCTGTTGAACTGTGACACGGGAAGTCATGATAATAATAGAAAATATTATCCAAGAAAAGTATATATTGAAATATATAAGATAAAACAGTTATATAAGAAGAAAGAAAAAGGAAAAGAAAAATTATAAAAGTTGGGGAAGAAACCTTCCTTATATACCCAAGGAAAAGAAAAATTTGCAGTGGTGAAAATTTTTCATTTGGGTTTGTCCCAAAGTTGAGTGGGTTTGTATTACACTTCAACTTTGTAACAAATTAAGGAGGGTAACCACAGTCACATAAGGGCTTAAACCTAATGCGGCTAAAACTAAAATAAACATAGGTTATCAACCATAGTTTCCCACCCAAACTCACGTGCATTATCAACTGCACTGGTCTGCGACAACATTGCATGCTCAACAATGAGCTCCTTTGACGCTCCTCAAGCGCCAAATTTCAAACAATTTCTCTACAAAAGTGAATTGGATTTTTGGATATACGGTCTTATTGGGCAAATTAACAGCTGCGGCCGGAGTTTTTGGAACAACTATATCTATAAGCCAATTGTTGGCCATACTGCCCTTCAGCTTGGTTATGGTATCAGGTTTGAGAGGGCCCTTGATGAACTACTCAAGGCTTACATTTTAAAAACCACGCCTGCAGCTAACCTGGCTGCAGCTGAACAGGCCCGGTGGGACACGTCGCCCGAGTTTCTAAAAACTCCACCTATGGATTCGGCGTCTGTGCGGGAAGAAGCCATGGGGGTCCTATTTGAACCAGGAAAAAGAATGGCCCGTATAGATCCCGAAATCCTAGAGCCCGCCGACCTGGGGCGAGTGCTCTCATTTTACCAACGTCTTAATCATATTGGTTTGCGCATATCCCCAAGCCCTGAGCTTAACATTGTATTTGCGATGACGCAAGCTATCTCAGTAGGAGTTCCAGGTCCTAGTTATTTCTCCGGGCTCACCAGCAGTGAAATTGAAACCAAAATACAAGCTACTGTTACTGAAGCTTCCAAGTGGGCCTCTGTAGTGGAGCAATATTTCTTTAACAACCCGGATGGCACCTTTCACCGTGACCTTATCTTAGCAGTACTGAATAACAACAAGGTTTCAGCAGCTGCTCGCGAAGATCCTCAGAGTCATCTCTGGGGATTACCAAGTTTGTCGACATTTTCAAGTCAAGATCTGGAGGATGGAGCCCCTGTGATTCAGTTGAAATCCCAGCGCTAGTTGAAGCAACTTCAGCAGCCTTCGTAAAAGGTCGAAGAATTATTGACGGTTCAACAAAAGTGGTGCCAAAGCAGGAACCCAAGCAAGAACCCAAGCAGGAATCCAAGCAGGAAACCTCGAAGAAAGCTGGCCACTCTGATACCAAGCAAGGAAAAGGGAAGCAGTGGTCCAAGGGGTCCGGTGGCAACAAGAGGCGCAACAATGAAGACAAGCAAGCTAGAAAGTCGAACTCTGATGGTCAAAACAGAGTTGCTGCCTTGAAAGCTACCGAATATCTTGAGGTGGCTCGCGACGATGTTGAAACTCTTTGCTCGGTTGCTCGGGCTATCCAAGACGTATTTGATAATGACGGCGGAAGCAGTGATTATTCGCCAGTTGCTTTTCTTCCACCTGCCAACCAAATCGCCTCTGTGGGTGAAACAAATCTTCCAAATGTTCTTGATTCTGGAAATGCTACTGGTCATCTTATCTCAGACAACAGTTACTTTGTGTCGTATGAGAAATACAGCAGCCCCAAAACCATCAGCTCTTATGGTGGTTCCGACATCGTGTTAGAAGGGGAAGGTAAAATTGCTGTTGTATTAAAAGGTGACGGTGGCACCAATATTTGCCATATTGCTGACGCACTTTATTTTCCTGCTGGGTCTAGCAATTTGTTTTCTGATTCTGTCTGGCGCACGCACGATGTTTCTTTTCATACGGTCCCAAGTGGGGACTGTCTGGCCTATTTTGGTGAGGAAAAGGTTGGTAGGGTTGGTGGTGCCAGAGATGCCAAGTCTCACATTTGTGCCAACATTGTTCCGGTAAAGTTTACTAGGAATATCGTACCTCCAACTGGCTCCTTCAAGTTCTCAGGAAATTCAATTGACTGGGATCAGATTTGCAGACAAGGACCAGAAGCTATGAGGAAGGTTGATAAATCAGCTCTCGCTGTTGGAAAGGGACTTCCTGTCCTCTCACCGTCTCTCAAATTTATTGCAAAGGAGGCCGTGTTGAATTCGCAGGCACTTGACTGTCATGTTCGGTTTGCTCATTGCTCTTTGACTTCGGTGAAGCATTTAGCCAAGCTTGCTGATCCTCCCTTTGAGGTGACCAAGCGTGACGAAGAGTTGATCAAGGACTGTGTCATATGTGGCACGTCAAGAAGCATTAAGCGGTTCACTTCTCCGGATAAGCATATAGCTTCTGAATCCACGGCTCCGTTAGCCCAGATTCATGCTGATCTCGTCGGTCCCATAGGTCCTGCCTCTTCAGGGGCCAGGTACATGCTGAATATCATTGATGCATTTTCTGGTTACATCTATGCTTTTGCTCTGGAATCTAAGGATGAAGCTCCTGGGAAACTTATCCAGTTCTTTAAGCAGTTTGTGCCCAAAGCTGCTCGCCGTGCTGCTGACGGCAAGGCCACCAAGCTTATTACTGACAATGGTGGTGAATTTATCTCTGGCACACTTGGAAAATTTTTAGCAGACTGGGGCGTCATTCATATTTTAACTGCTCCTGATGAACACCAACAAAATGGGAAAATTGAGCGTGCCCACCGCACACTGCGTGAGATATCTACTAGAGCCTTGATGCAGTCGACACTCTGGGCCAATATCTACTGGGACTCTGCCTGGCTCTACGCTGTGCAGGTATATAATTTCTCCATAGTTAATAAAGCCGGTATCTCACCTTATGAAGCCTTTACGGGCAGAAAACCACCTATAGCACTAGTGCACACATTTGGCTGCCTAGTTTTTGTCATTAAATCTGAGTCTCAGAAACTCAAAGGGACCCTTCAGCCTCGGGGCGAGCCTGCTCTGTATTTGGGTCCCGACCCGTTAAATCCTAAGAATTTTCTATGCATTACGAGGAACAAGCGCATTCGGCGCTGTGTACACGGCAACTTTCGTGACCATGTCTTGCCTGGCGTTAAGGGCGAAAAGCCAATTTACGAGGGTGACATTCTCATTGACTACAGTAAGATTGGAAATCGTGACCCTGACTACAGTGACTCTTCCACTGATGAATCAGAAAGTGAAGATGAATCTGACTCTGACGACTACTCTCCCACTTCACTCTCTGGTGGTGGTGGTGGTGGTAACTTTGGCTGGACTTATGTGGGCTCTGAGGAAAGGAGCCACAGATCCAGCAGATTGGAGGACCAGGATTCTACTTCTACACCACCGACACCTATAACTGAAAACTCTTTTCAACCGTTGGAAGATGATGATGTGGAGCTGGTTGCAGATGAATCAATTAGTGTTGGTGACGACAAAGATACACTTCAGTCTGAGGACCATATATTGCTCGAAGATTCTGCTGTTGATGATGCTGATTTGAGATCGGTGAACTCCAACGTAGCTGGTCGCCCTGGTTCCGAAGATACTAACGAAGATTTTTCTCACGAAAATTCATTTTCTGAACATATGGTAAAGCTCCAGAAAGCCTTTGCTCCAGGAACTCAGTCGCCCTCAGTGGTGGCTCATCAAACAAGTCCGGTGACTCTTCCCAAACAACTACACATTTTGGATGAGGATGACAGTGTGGATCTTGCGCTGTCTGGAACTGCTGAACTTACCCGCGAGGCTTCAGCTGTTGAAACCGCTAGCCAATCTGGTGATGACAATCAGGATGCGGTTGACTCAGAAACCAATGATGAAGACATGGATGGGTCTGTGGAACATATACTGGGTTTCGACGAATTGGAAGACTCATCAGATTCTGAATTTTCGTCTAGCGACGTTGTCATGGATTCCTCTACTAAGTTGGAGGAAGCTCCTGCGAGAGATGTCGGGGTGCCGCAAGATTTAGGTGACACTCAAGGTACTGCTACAAGCACAAATAATCCTGCCAGCAATCAACTGGTTTTGGCGGCGGCGGAACTTGTACGGGCCACCACCGAGCTAGTAGAAACTACGACGTCTGCAAATCGGTCTGCCAGAATGGCTGAGGCGGGCGGTAGTAGGAAGAGGCATCTAAATTTAGCGAGATTAAAATCTGCGCTGGAACGTGCTGGTCAGCCAGAAAATCGTCGTTTACATGCCGGTAGGCGGAGCCAAGTGGCTGGCTCCTCAGGTATACGGCAGGAGCTACCGGAGCTACCCCCAGCGCCCTCCTCTGAGAGGCTGTTGCTGGGAGCTGGTGGTTCTGATACTGTTACTACTGCTGCATCTGGAAGTGGCAGTGAACTGAGAGACACTGCTGAGAATGATCGCCCACGCTTACCGCCTGCACCATCTACTCAGAGGCTCCTGCTAGAGTATGGGCGAGCAGGGGATGCTACAAGCTTTGGGGACAATACAAGCGACGTGCGGCACAGCTCCGTGCAACAAAATCGACATATGCCACTTCCGGCTCCACCTTCGAGACGGTTGTTGTTGGCAGCTCCTCCTCCGTCTTCTTCTGAACATGATTCGCAAACTGCTGGGCAAGTAGTTGTTCGACAAACAAGCCAACACTCAGCTCCGGCAGAAGCCCAACAGCCTCTTGCTAATACTGGAAGAATTACTAGGTCTGCTGCGGGTACTGCGGGTGCTGCGGGTGCTGCGGGTGCTGCGAGAGTGCCTGCTCCGTCGTCCAGACACCGTCATCGAGAAGCCTCTCGGGACACAGTTGTTGTTAACAAAGATTAGCTGATTTGATTGAGCAAAATGGCTATTATGTTCCTAACAGTGCACTTCAGCGGCTGGCGCGAAAAGAAAATTCTTCATTAATTCTAAATCGCACAAATCTAATTACCCGGCCTACTGATAACCTTCCACTAGTAAGTGGCGCGGCTTTGCAAAATAAAATTTTCTCCACCACCACGAAATCTAAAAATTTTTCTTCGGCTACTAATTTATCACAGAAAGTAGTCTCAGAAAATTCGACTTCAAACTCCTCACCAAGATTGGAAAATGAAGCCTCAAATGGTTCTCCCACAACACCCTCTACCTCTGCTTCTTTGTCCTCGGAATCATCTGCACATTCGGAGCCAGTGGTTACATCACCAACCTCCTCTGCTGTGACGTCTCCCACATTAGAAAGTTCTTCTTCTCGTCGTGATCACCAAACCACTCCTCCCTCGTCATCGAATCGCATGCTGTCGATAGCACAACGCAATATCTTACGCAGTGCAGCTGAGGCCATCTCAAGAATCGACTTAGGAGCTTTAAGAAATCTGCGAAAAAGAAATCGCTCTACAAGCCCAACCACTACAGCATCGGGCTTACTTTGGGGCTCTCGCTCTTCCGACCGGCACAGTGACAAACTGAAACTCTCGAACTCTGAGTCAGCTTTGGACTCGGAATCTAGGTCACTGCTGCATGGCTTGCCACCTCGTGAGCGTTCAATACTGAGAGCCTCACACGGCCACCTCCGGGGTACACCGGATCTTAGATTCAACCCCACTCCCGATGCGGTTCCCTTTCTTTCTCACACTCACTCGGCAACACACAATGTCCCTGCTACGTCAGCATCAGTAGATGAGGACTCAGTCGTTAGCACTGACTCGCAGTCCCACTCTCCCGCCTCCACAACCGAAGCTGATGTTGAGGCTACAAGCGATGAAATCTTAACCGCAGCACCCTACAATTCTGACTCTCAGGGCTCATCAGAACACTTAGCTGACGGCATTGACTTCTTACATGAAACTTTTGTTTCTTCGCCTGCTGATGATGAAATTATTTTTGTTGATGAATCGGCAAGCCCATCAGGAGATCCGTCTGCCGGGGCTGTCGACGATGTCATTGGCATTGGCTGCATCTACTCGAACTCTGAAGAACCAACTGTGAAAGCCCGCATGGCGTCTGGAAGACTTGACACACTCAGCGCTATTAACATTAAGCTTCCAATCTTGAGGAATGACATCAAAGTGTTAGAATCTAGCAAACCAGGTCTCTGCTTTACGGCTCCTGATGTGGAGAATGTTAGAGCTCTTATCAGCGACAGAGATTGGGCAGATCTTAAGGACCGTCCTGCCTTCATTCGATTTCCGAATGTGGGAGTGGCGCTGCTCGACCCTGGCAAGAAGCTAAAAAGGGACCCACGGTCACTTGCGGAAGCCAACAACAGAGAAGATAAGCGCTTCTGGTTCGATGCGGCCTATTCGGAATTTGCTGCCATTGATGGCAATCATGTATACCAAGTTGTGCCCCTCCCGGCGGGTCGCAAAGCTCTTGGCACCAAATGGGTGCTGAAGAAGAAACTCAACACGGATGGTTCAATTGACAAGTACAAGGCTCGTCTTGTTGTTCAGGGGTTTCGTCAGAAGTTTGGTGTTGACTATGTTGACACCTTTGCACCGGTAATGAGATTCAGCACTGTTCGTCTCATTTTCGCCCTGAGTGCGGCGAAGAACTGCGAAATGCACCACGTCGATGTTAAAAATGCTTTCTTGAATGGAGATCTAGAAGAAGACATCTATGTCAAGCCACCAACAGGAATTGACCATAATACCCCTCCTGGCATGGTCTGGAAGCTGAATAAAAGCTTATATGGACTGAAGCAAGCCCCTCTGTGTTGGAACAAGAAGCTTGTTGACAAGTTGGAAGCTCTAGGTTACAAAGCTGCCAAGAAAGAACCCTGTCTCTTTTACAAGATTAATGGCAAAGACTTCAGTATTATAGGTCTTTATGTTGACGACATCTTAACGGCGTCAAACGTACCGGGAGAATTCGAGCGGTTTTTCAAGGGCCTATCTGGTTACTTTGCCATCAAAGATGAAGGTGGTGTTAACAAATTCTTGGGAATCAGAGTCCAAGACTCCGACAGGACGATATCTCTGGATCTGGAACACTATATTGCTGACATGATTGAGGTTTTCAAATTGGGTGATCAAACAGCTAAGTCGATACCGTTGCCCAAGAAACATGGCCTTGATTTCCCACAGGGCCTCGATGCTCGTCCAGCTAACCAATCGCTATATCGCAGCATTCTTGGCAAGCTACAGTTTGCTGCTCAGACGGCTCGTCCAGACATTGCCTATGCTACAGGCAAGCTTGCTCAGTATTCGAGTGACCCTAGAGCCATTCATATGGATAGAGCTTATCATGTTCTGAGCTACCTCAAAGGCACCAAGGACCTGGCAATTGTCTATCACAAAATGTACCAGGCGCCCTCTCCGCGGCTTCTGAGAGGCTGGTCAGATGCCGATTGGGCAAACGATCCTGACAGGAAGTCTATCTCAGGCTTTGCATTCTCTCACGGTCCTTCAACCTTCTCTTGGAAGTCGGCCAAACAGAAGCTGACAGCAACTTCCACAACCGAGGCTGAGCTGATTGCCGCTTTTTCTGCCACGTGTGAGGCAGTTTACTTCCGAGATCTTTTGGAAGAACTTGGTGAATCTCAACCAACGACTGTCATCATGGAGGACAACAAAGGTGTCCTGGATCTCATGAAGGACAGCAAACATCACGAGCGGACTAAACATATTGATACCAAGTACATGCGCACCAGAGACCATGTCAAAGCCGGCGATACCCGTCTTGAAGCTGTTGCTTCAGCAGATAATGTGGCAGACATTTTACCAAAGCTCTGGCTAAGCCGCAGTTTTATATTTGAGGAATCTTCTGGGTATGAGTACCCGTCCTCAAGTTGAGGGGGAAATGGACTTGATGCAGTGCTCGTCTCGTCAAATAATACCTCCATCGTTACGCCGCAGTCATTTTTTGAAGACTCGACGACGCAAAGATCAAGAGATTGAATCTTGATAACGGGCTATTGTTGCAGGGGGCTGTTGGAATATATGTCATGGTACTATCGTGTATTTCAACATTATCCCATAATATTTTTTTCCCAATTACACTCTCTACATTGTTACATTATTCACTAGCAACTACTAGCCCATTACCATTGGAGTTACAATAATTATTTACAATCAAGACTCCCTATTGCTAAAGAAAATTTTCAAGATGCTCTTTTAAATTTTCTTCATTACAGAAACCTTTCTTGTTTTCTTTCTCTTCTTTTTCTCGCTACTCTAAATTTACGCAAAACTGTTTTTATTAAATACTCTTTCAGCTTTCAGCTTATCAATCGTATTTACTTATTAACTCTTGCTTTTAGTCTTCTCCGCTATGTCTAATCACGGAAACACTACAGGAGTCAATGAAGGACCCTCATCCTTCGAGTCAGCCAGCACTGGAAGTTCTGTTGCCCACTCAACATCTGAGACCCATTCAAAGAACAACGCCAGCTCTTATGAGACATTCGCCGATCTCCCTGTTCATCGTCAAATTGATCTCGCTGACCGTTCTGGATTTACCGTTAGACAATTAACCATTGCCAACATACCAGTTTGTTCCGAAGGATGTGAAGCTGAATTAAAAGTCTTAGCAGACTTGACAGCTTACATTAGAAACTCAAACTTCAAAGCTAGTCCTCCCCCATCTCAAAATGTCTCATAAGAGCTGGCGTTGTTCTTTGAATGGGTCTCAGATGTTGAGTGGGCAACAGAACTTCCAGTGCTGGCTGACTCGAAGGATGAGGGTCCTTCATTGACTCCTGTAGTGTTTCCGTGATTAGACATAGCGGAGAAGACTAAAAGCAAGAGTTAATAAGTAAATACGATTGATAAGCTGAAAGCTGAAGGAGTATTTAATAAAAACAGTTTTGCGTAAATTTAGAGTGTATATAAGAATTATATAAATGATAAAAATAATAAAATAATAAAATAATAAAAGTTCGCTATCATACCTAAAAGCAAGAGTTAATAAGTAAATACGATTGATAAGCTGAAAGCTGAAGGAGTATTTAATAAAAACAGTTTTGCGTAAATTTAGAGTAGCGAGAAAAAGAAGAGAAAGAAAACAAGAAAGGTTTCTGTAATGAAGAAAATTTAAAAGAGCATCTTGAAAAATTTTCTTTAGCAATAGGGAGTCTTGATTGTAACAATTATTGTAACTCCAATGGTAATGGGCTAGTAGTTGCTAGTGAATAATGTAACAATGTAAAGAGTGTAATTGGGAAAAAAAAATATTATGGGATAATGTTGAAATACACGATAGTACCATGACATATATTCCAACACTCGCAGCACCCGCAGCACCCGCAGCACCCGCAGCAGACCTAGTAATTCTTTCAGTATCAGCAAGAGGCTGTTGGGCTTCTGCCGGAGCAGAGTGTTGGCTTGCTTGTCGAACAGCTACTTGCCCAGCAGTTTGCGAATCATGTTCAGAAGAAGAAGGAGGAGCTGCCAACAACAACCGTCTCGAAGGTGGAGCCGGAAGTAGCATATGTCGATTTTGTTGCACGGAGCTGTGCTGCACGTCGCTTGCATTGTCCCCAAAGCTTGTAGCGTCCCCTGCTCGCCCATACTCTAGCAGGAGCCTCTGAGTAGATGGTGCAGGCGGTAAGCGTGGGCGATCATTCACAGCAGTGTCTCTCAGTTCACTGCCACTTCCAGATGCAGCAGTAGTAACAGTATCAGAACCACCAGCTCCCAGCAACAGCCTCTCAGAGGAGGGCGCTGGGGGTAGCTCCGGTAGCTCCTGCCGTATTCCTGAGGAGCCAGCCACTTGGCTCCGCCTACCGGCATGTAAACGACGATTTTCTGGCTGACCAGCACGTTCCAGCGCAGATTTTAATCTCGCTAAATTTAGATGCCTCTTCCTACTACCGCCCACCTCAGCCATTCTGGCAGACCGATTTGCTGACGTCGTATTTTGTACTAGCTCGGTGGTGGCCCGTACAAGTTCCGCCGCCGCCAAAACCAGTTGATTGCTGGCAGGATTATTTGTGCTTGTAGCAGTACCTTGAGTGTCACCTAAAACTTGCGGCACCCCGACATCTCTCGCAGGAGCTTCCTCCAACTTAGTAGAGGAATCCATGACAACGTCGCTAGACGAAGATTCAGAATCTGATGAGTCTTCCAATTCGTCGAAACCCAGTATATGTTCCACAGACCCATCCATGTCTTCATCATTGGTTTCTGAGTCAACCGCATCCTGATTGTCACCACCAGATTGGCTCGCGGTTTCAACAGCTGAAGCCTCACGGATAAGTTCAGCAGTTCCAGACAGCGCAAGATCCACACTGTCATCCTCATCCAAAATGTGTAGCTGTTTGGGAAGAGTCACCGGACTTGTTTGATGAGCCACCACTGAGGGCGACTGAGTTCCTGGAGCAAAGGCTTTCTGGAGCTTTACCATATGTTCAGAAAATGAATTTTCGTGAGAAAAATCTTCGTTAGTATCTTCGGAACCAGGGCGACCAGCTACGTTGGAGTTCACCGATCTCAAATCAGCATCATCAACAGCAGAATCTTCGAGCAATATATGGTCCTCAGACTGAAGTGTATCTTTGTCGTCAGCAACACTAATTGATTCATCTGCAACCAGCTCCACATCATCATCTTCCAACGGTTGAAAAGAGTTTTCAGTTATAGGTGTCGATGATGTAGAAGTAGAATCCTGGTCCTCCAATCTGCTGGATCTGTGGCTCCTTCCCTCAGAGCCCACATAGGTCCAGCCAAAGTTACCACCACCACCACCACCAGAGAGTGAAGTGGGAGAGTAGTCGTCAGAGTCAGATTCATCTTCACTTTCTGATTCATCAGTGGAAGAGTCACTGTAGTCAGGGTCACGATTTCCAACCTCACTGTAGTCAATGAGAATGTCACCCTCGTAAATTGGCTTTTCGCCAAAAAATTTAACGCCAGGCAAGACATGGTCACGAAAGTTGCCGTGTACACAGCGCCGAATGCGCTTGTTCCTCGTAATGCATAGAAAATTCTTAGGATTTAACGGGTCGGGACCCAAATACAGAGCAGGCTCGCCCCGAGGCTGAAGGGTCCCTTTGAGTTTCTGAGACTCAGATTTAATGACAAAAACTAGGCAGCCAAATGTGTGCACTAGTGCTATAGGTGGTTTTCTGCCCGTAAAGGCTTCATAAGGTGATATACCGGCTTTATTAACTATGGAGAAATTATATACCTGCACAGCGTAGAGCCAGGCAGAGTCCCAGTAGATATTGGCCCAGAGTGTCGACTGCATCAAGGCTCTAGTAGATATCTCACGAAGTGTGCGGTGGGCACGCTCAATTTTTCCATTTTGTTGGTGTTCATCAGGAGCAGTTAAAATATGAATGACGCCCCAATCTGCCAAAAATTTTCCAAGTGTGCCAGAGATAAATTCACCACCATTGTCAGTAATAAGCTTGGTGGCCTTGCCGTCAGCAGCACGGCGAGCAGCTTTGGGCACAAACTGCTTAAAGAACTGGATAAGTTTCCCAGGAGCTTCATCCTTAGATTCCAGAGCAAAAGCATAGATGTAACCAGAAAATGCATCAATGATATTCAGCATGTACCTGGCCCCTGAAGAGGCAGGACCTATGGGACCGACGAGATCAGCATGAATCTGGGCTAACGGAGCCGTGGATTCAGAAGCTATATGCTTATCCGGAGAAGTGAACCGCTTAATGCTTCTTGACGTGCCACATATGACACAGTCCTTGATCAACTCTTCGTCACGCTTGGTCACCTCAAAGGGAGGATCAGCAAGCTTGGCTAAATGCTTCACCGAAGTCAAAGAGCAATGAGCAAACCGAACATGACAGTCAAGTGCCTGCGAATTCAACACGGCCTCCTTTGCAATAAATTTGAGAGACGGTGAGAGGACAGGAAGTCCCTTTCCAACAGCGAGAGCTGATTTATCAACCTTCCTCATAGCTTCTGGTCCTTGTCTGCAAATCTGATCCCAGTCAATTGAATTTCCTGAGAACTTGAAGGAGCCAGTTGGAGGTACGATATTCCTAGTAAACTTTACCGGAACAATGTTGGCACAAATGTGAGACTTGGCATCTCTGGCACCACCAACCCTACCAACCTTTTCCTCACCAAAATAGGCCAGACAGTCCCCACTTGGGACCGTATGAAAAGAAACATCGTGCGTGCGCCAGACAGAATCAGAAAACAAATTGCTAGACCCAGCAGGAAAATAAAGTGCGTCAGCAATATGGCAAATATTGGTGCCACCGTCACCTTTTAATACAACAGCAATTTTACCTCCCCTTCTAACACGATGTCGGAACCACCATAGGAGCTGATGGTTTTGGGGCTGCTGTATTTCTCATACGACACAAAGTAGCTGTTGTCTGAGATAAGATGACCAGTAGCATTTCCAGAATCAAGAACATTTGGAAGATTTGTTTCACCCACAGAGGCGATTTGGTTGGCAGGTGGAAGAAAAGCAACTGGCGAATAATCACTGCTTCCGCCGTCATTATCAAATACGTCTTGGATAGCCCGAGCAACAGAGCAAAGAGTTTCAACATCGTCGCGAGCCACCTCAAGATATTCGGTAGCTTTCAAGGCAGCAACTCTGTTTTGACCATCAGAGTTCGACTTTCTAGCTTGCTTGTCTTCATTGTTGCGCCTCTTGTTGCCACCGGACCCCTTGGACCACTGCTTCCCTTTTCCTTGCTTGGTATCAGAGTGGCCAGCTTTCTTCGAGGTTTCCTGCTTGGATTCCTGCTTGGGTTCTTGCTTGGGTTCCTGCTTTGGCACCACTTTTGTTGAACCGTCAATAATTCTTCGACCTTTTACGAAGGCTGCTGAAGTTGCTTCAACTAGCGCTGGGATTTCAACTGAATCACAGGGGCTCCATCCTCAGATCTTGACTTGAAAATGTCGACAAACTTGGTAATCCCCAGAGATGACTCTGAGGATCTTCGCGAGCAGCTGCTGAAACCTTGTTGTTATTCAGTACTGCTAAGATAAGGTCACGGTGAAAGGTGCCATCCGGGTTGTTAAAGAAATATTGCTCCACTACAGAGGCCCACTTGGAAGCTTCAGTAACAGTAGCTTGTATTTTGGTTTCAATTTCACTGCTGGTGAGCCCGGAGAAATAACTAGGACCTGGAACTCCTACTGAGATAGCTTGCGTCATCGCAAATACAATGTTAAGCTCAGGGCTTGGGGATATGCGCAAACCAATATGATTAAGACGTTGGTAAAATGAGAGCACTCGCCCCAGGTCGGCGGGCTCTAGGATTTCGGGATCTATACGGGCCATTCTTTTTCCTGGTTCAAATAGGACCCCATGGCTTCTTCCCGCACAGACGCCGAATCCATAGGTGGAGTTTTTAGAAACTCGGGCGACGTGTCCCACCGGGCCTGTTCAGCTGCAGCCAGGTTAGCTGCAGGCGTGGTTTTAAAATGTAAGCCTTGAGTAGTTCATCAAGGGCCCTCTCAAACCTGATACCGTAACCAAGCTGAAGGGCAGTATGGCCAACAATTGGCTTATAGATATAGTTGTTCCAAAAACTCCGGCCGCAGCTGTTAATTTGCCCAATAAGACCGTATATCCAAAAATCCAATTCACTTTTGTAGAGAAATTGTTTGAAATTTGGCGCTTGAGAAGCGTCAAAGGAGCTCATAACCTTTGAGATGGGGAGGACTAGCTTTGAAGTTTGAGTTTCTAATGTAAGCTGTCAAGTCTGCTAAGACTTTTAATTCAGCTTCACATCCTTCGGAACAAACTGGTATGTTGGCAATGGTTAATTGTCTAACGGTAAATCCAGAACGGTCAGCGAGATCAATTTGACGATGAACAGGGAGATCGGCGAATGTCTCATAAGAGCTGGCGTTGTTCTTTGAATGGGTCTCAGATGTTGAGTGGGCAACAGAACTTCCAGTGCTGGCTGACTCGAAGGATGAGGGTCCTTCATTGACTCCTGTAGTGTTTCCGTGATTAGACATAGCGGAGAAGACTAAAAGCAAGAGTTAATAAGTAAATACGATTGATAAGCTGAAAGCTGAAAGAGTATTTAATAAAAACAGTTTTGCGTAAATTTAGAGTATATATAAGAATTATATAAATGATAAAAATAATAAAATAATAAAAGTTCGCTATCATACCTAAAAGCAAGAGTTAATAAGTAAATACGATTGATAAGCTGAAAGCTGAAAGAGTATTTAATAAAAACAGTTTTGCGTAAATTTAGAGTAGCGAGAAAAAGAAGAGAAAGAAAACAAGAAAGGTTTCTGTAATGAAGAAAATTTAAAAGAGCATCTTGAAAAATTTTCTTTAGCAATAGGGAGTCTTGATTGTAACAATTATTGTAACTCCAATAGTAAGGGGCTAGTAGTTGCTAGTGAATAATGTAACAATGTAAAGAGTGTAGTTGGGAAAAAAAATATTATGGGATAATGTTGAAATCACGATAGTACCATGACATATATTCCAACAGATACTGTATCATTACCAAAAATTCTATCTTTTGATGATTGATTGAAGTTTAAAAAATTACATATACAAAATAGTGATAAAAGTTGTGGGGTTAAAAAAACTTTAAATGATATGGGCATATATGGGGCTTATGTATTATCTGATACCATCGATGGTATATTAAATTAGCTACAAAGTAAACCCTCCTATGGTAAAAATTGATTATCAATTTGAGGTTTTACTTGATATAGGAAGTTTCTCCTTTTAGGCCATGCTGGAGAAAATGGAATAAGAAAGCTACTTCTATTGAATATTTGAGTAAGTTAGTATTAACCATTGAATTTAAAATTTATAATTTTAATGTTTGTCTTTATTCGAGGGATATAGAATTATATAACATCATCATCTTCAGCTGACCGAAAATAAGTCCTGATACCAGCTTAAGAGGAGCTTAAGAGGAACAGGAGGGGGGAAGCAAAAAAGCCAAACCTTCCCAACTTATTTCCACTTGTCTTCATCAACGCTGTAATTGTATTTCTTAATCCCTTCAAGCATAGATACATCTTACAATCAAGCCAATTAAACTGCTTGAGAGTCGACATGTCCATTTCTGGAGATATCCGTTTTAATCCTTTGCTTTCTTCTTCAAGCAAAGGACACTTAACCAAATTGTGATGAACTGTTTCCAACTCTCCACATTTACAGCTGTAACATCCTTTTCAACTCGAAACTTAACAACTTATAATGGAAATTCTGGAGCATAATCTTTGTGGAGAAATGTTTTAATAATTTTGATATATTGGATCATAATATAAATTAAACCAAACAAGTTACCAATCTTATTCATATTGAGGTATTGGCTAATAATGATTTTTGTTCTTATTTGTTTACCAGGTTCAAATTTCAAACAACATTAATTAATTTTGACTACTTCGAGCTTTATTCAAATATTTCCAAGATAATCCAAGAAGGAAAATAAAAAAAAAGAAAACTATGTAAAGAGAAATTGTAATTAAAGAGCTCCCTATTTGTTCTTTGAAGTTAATTTTCAATTTTGACGATCAAGCCAAGTTAAGATAAATATCATTTATGATCATTGTATCAAACTTATTCCAGACAAAAACTTTTCTTAGAATTTTTTGGAAAGTATTGATCTTGTGTCAATTAAAAAAAGTTAATTGCAAATTTTCCTAGAGCAATATTTAATGAGAAATTTATTTGGAAAACAGCAAGTTGCAAAAAATAAATTCAAATTCTTAAGAAAAAAAGATCATTTAGTTAGAAGACTTGATGTTGCTGTTAGAAGTGTGCTGGACGTGGAGCTTAGTATACCATTTTGCGTAGGGGGTTTTTTAAAAGAAAATCTAAGAAAAATATAAGAATAAAAACTTTTTTTTTGTAAATTTAAAGGGAAAACTAATGACAATTAAATATTTTCTATTATATTCATTTATTTTACTATATTCTCCCAAAAACACCATTTTCAAGAAGTTTGTTTTTTGTTTGGTTTTTTTTTTTGAAACAGGTTGATCATTTTCTTAAGTTGCTTTGTCAGCAATGCGAAAGATATTAGATGAATTGCTTTCTCAAGGTTAAGAAAAAGGACTCAAATAGCCATTTCAGATTTAAGGTGAGATATTTTATGGTAAAGATTGCCTAGATCTTTACAAGTCTAGGACTCAGGAATCAATTGTCAGATTCTTTTTTGAGAGTTTTAATAATGATAGCTATAGCTAAACTGAAACTATAGTTTTGTTGAAAGGAAGTTCAGCATGACAGAAGGATTTGAAGGATTTAAAACTTCTTTACCAGTTAAGCTCAGCCAAACCAAAAAGATCATTTCCCTTTTATTTTGGTAATGTTATTAAGCTTGATAACATTACAATAGACTTAAGTCTATTTATAAATATAATGATTTTGATTATTTATGTCTTATTACTTGACTTGTACAACTTCTCGGCTAGCTCTCTACCTAAAATTTCAGAAAAATCTATTGAAAATACTTGAACATTAAATGCAAGACTATGAAGTTGTTTTGAGGAAGTCTATTTAAAGGATACTAAAAACTTATAGTTTATAACTTTACCAATACATTCACTGGGTCATATGGTTAATGACATTTGAGAAGTAGGTTCACTTATGGTGATATAGTGCTTCGCTACTAAACAGGCTTGTCATTTATTAATATGCAAAATAAATTCAGGAAAGACTCCTTTTTTTTGATATCATTGTTCATAAAAAGTATCGCTTGGTCAGTGGGTTTGAGACAGATGCAGAGGCCATTGGGCAACTCAAAGTCTGAGGATGAGAAAAACAGGCGTACTAAGTCAGCTAAAAAATCTTAAAGCTTATCATTGAAAAGAAGAGCTTTAAATTAATATCTGGTAGATCATCTGGCAGTATCGGCGTCACAACCAAAAATGTAATGAAAAAAAATTTTTAATTTAATAATAATTTTTATCAGATAATTAAAGTCCTTTTAGATACATGGGAAATTCGTTTGGGGTTGTAAATGGTTTTTCTAAACACTGGCAAAGCGTAAAATGAAAGTAGATTTTTTAAGTTGAGAAACCATATATTTGTGTGGCATCACTGATAACCTTGACATCATTCAGAAATGGGTGGCGTGGCTGTTTGTTTAGTTGACGATAATAAGATGGAATTTCGTGGTGGTTGTCAATGTTGAAAAAAAAAAATTTTTTTTGACGTTTTGTTGATTTAGCTTCAGTGAGAAAAAGGTGCTTGTGCTGTTGTGTTGGTGATATGAAAAGTGGGATGTTTTTGTTGTTGTTAATGTTGAACAAGAAAGATTTTATTAATGGAACTGAAATTCCCCAACATTAAGAAAGTTGAGAAATTTTTTTGTTGTTGTTGTTTTTCCTAAATTTTTAACATAAAGGAAATTTGTTGTTGTTTTTAAAAATGTTAAGAAAAAATTTTTTAGATTTTGTGACTTTAAATTTTTTCCAAAGTTTTTTCTTTCATCTCAACTATAAGATTAAAAAAAATTCAACTACATCTTTACGTAAAGAAGAGGTGGCGCCCAAATTTGTTTTGTTAACGTCAACAACACGTACTTTCGGCTCTCATCTTTCTGATAGACAACATAACATCAACAAAAGAACACGAAAATCGCAGAATTTAGTTTACCGTGTATATTAAATTTATTAAAAAAATAAAATTTTTATAAACGTAAAGAAAACAGTATTCTGTAGTGCTTTCCAATAGTATAGAAAGCAGTATTATGTAGTGCCTTCACAAAGTATAGAAAACATTATTCTGAAAGGCTTTTCAGATTAAATAAAACCATTATTCCCCTATGCCTTATAATATAAAATAAAGCAATCCTAAAAACTGCTTTATTTTATAAATTAAGACATTGATTGAAAATATTTTTTAAAATTAAATATAGTATTACTTTATACTGAATTATTTTATTTTTTAAAACATTTTTACAAAATGTTTTCTAATATAAAAAATAACGGTTAGAAACATACACGGAAAACCTAAAAGTGTAATTTTGCGAATTTGTTCTTAGCGTTAAGATGGCTGATTTCACCCAATCTTTTCATCGCTGACAAAGCAGCTTTGGACCAAAATCGCACCCAATTCACGACGACAACAAACGTCAAGAATAGACCCTTAAACTCAATTATTAATGATGAAATTGATATATAAGATTAATATAATGATTTAAATGAAGACTAGACTATTAATTTACTTAAAAATTGAAAAAATTCACTTTTTGACTTTTGGCACCCATTTCACGACGACAAAAAACGTCAAAATGAGACCCTTAAGCCCAATTCTCAAGGATGTGAATCATAAACAAGGGTGATATGATGATTTAAACAAAGACTAGGCTATTAAATTTGTTTAAAAATTGATTAAGTTTCCATTCAATAGTCAGTCGCACCCATGTCACGACAACAACAACCGTCAAAAATAGACTCTTAAACCCAATTATTAGAGATGAAAATGATTTATATGAGTAATATGATGATATAGATTACAACTAGACTATTGATTTTGTTAATATTAAAAAAAACCCATTCCAAGTGGAAACCGTGTATTTTCAATATGAAATTAATTTTCTTGTGAATGTTGTGTATAAAGGAGTTTGGACAGCCATTTCAACAACCAGAACACCAATTAAAGTGCAATTTTTTATAAATAAACAAAGTGGTTGACGACAGAGTTAACAATGTTGATAAGAAGGTGAAACCGCTGCCGACACAACATTGACATGGCTAACACTTCTCTCTCAACACAACATTGACATGGCTAACACTTCTCTCTCAACACAACATTGACATGGCTGATTTTTACCAACCAACGCAACTTTAATATAGCTGATATTCACTAATTAACGCAACTTTCACAATAATGCCAAAAATCTGAATTGAAATCAAAATTAAAAGGGAATTTGAAATTTTTATTACAATTTACATATTACATAAAAACCTATAAATATTACATATTAATGATGCTAATCAAAAGCATCCAATAGAATAGATTCTTGATACTAGTCAAAAATATCCAATAAGGCTGGGATTCGAGTATTGCTTCCATAGGGTTAGGGTTAAAAAAATTTCAACCGAGCTTCTTATTAAAGGGTTAGTTAGAATTTTATAACGGAGCTTCTTAGCGTAGTAGCGTTGAAGGGATTTGGACGGGGCTTAAAGGCTTGCGTTGCGACGGGACTTCTAAATTATTAGTGTGAAAATATATTAATGTTTGCTTACTGTTTTTTATCGTGTCATCGCGTTCACCAATTATTTTTTGTAAAATTGTTCCAAGTGTTCAAGGTATCATCGATATTGTTATAAGCGATTTCTGATTTCTTTGCAACTATTGTTGCTGCTATAAGCCCGTTTCTTAATTTCTAAAAGTTATTTAGTAGGCGAATAGTCATATAGGCACGCATTTACTTACATCAATAATGTCTTCATTTTCAAGTGGGTCGTCGCTTTTTGAAGCTAAGTTTGTCATATCTATACCGGTATCAAAATGATATTCATCAATGGTAGAATATGAAAGCTGCTATGTCAGTTTTATTATATTCAAAATTCACTATCATCTTCAGCAATAGTCTGTTTGTGTCATTCTTACTTTTATATAGTCTGTCATTTTAAAATAAAAATTGGTTGAAAGATATGTAGGAAGAAAAGAGAAGAAGAGGATATGAGAAATTTTCTGTCTATTTATACTTTTTTTTTCTTAAACGAAATATTTCATTTATTCGTTTATATTACATAATCCATTAATAGTTTTGTAAAGTCACTGAAATATATTTTCGGGGAGTCAATTTTCCTAGGAAGAAAATTTTTCACTGGCAAAAGTACTCTTCCTAACGTTCACAAAGAAAATATTTCACTTTCATCATAACTTAAAATCATAACTTGTGAAAACTTATTGAGTTACGTTTCTTTTCAGCTTCTAAAGGATAAAAAGTTAAAGCTTTAAAATTGTCAATTTCATCATCATGTCTCGAAGAACTAGATCTCAAATCATCAACGATGCCGAGATCAGCTTGGCCCCACCTCTTTCAGCCCCTAAAAGAAAAAAAAGAAAACAAAATATAAAGCCCTCAACTACTCAAACTCCTGCTACTCCAGCCTCTATTTCTTCTGCCATTGATTCTACTCAAACTCCTGCTACTCCAGCCTCTATTTCTTCTGCCATTGATTCTACTCAAACTCCTGCTACTCCAGCCTCTATTTCTTCTGCCATTGATTCTACTCAAACTCCTGCTACTCCAGCCTCTATTTCCTCTAATATCGGTTCTTCTGGCCCTAATAGAATTTTTACTACTGCTGATTCTTTGAATATTTTTAAATGTTTTGCTACTTCAGGTTCTATTTCTTCTGCCATTGATTCTACTCAAACTCTTGCTACTCCAGCCTCTATTTCCTTTGCCATTGATTCTACTCAAACTCTTGCTACTCCAGCCTCTATTTCTTCTGCCATTGATTCTACTCAAACTCCTGCTACTCCAGCTTCTATTTCTTCTGTCATTGATTCTACTCAAACGCCTGCTACTCCAGCTTCTATTTCCTCTGCCATTGATTCTACTCAAACTCTTGCTACTCCAGCTTCTATTTCCTCTAATATCGGTTCTTCTGGCCCTAATAGAATTTTTACTACTGCTGATTCTTTGAATATTTTTAAATGTTTTGCTACTTCAGGTTCTATTTCTTCTGCCATTGATTCTACTCAAACTCTTGCTACTCCAGCCTCTATTTCCTTTGCCATTGATTCTACTCAAACTCTTGCTACTCCAGCCTCTATTTCTTCTGCCATTGATTCTACTCAAACTCCTGCTACTCCAGCCTCTATTTCTTCTGCCATTGATTCTACTCAAACTCCTGCTACTCCAACCTCTATTTCTTCTAATATTAATATTATGATTAAAAAAGAAAAAAATGTCAAGAAATTTCCAAATGAAGATATTATACAACATGCAAAATCTAGCACCGAGTCACTGTCTACCACAGAGCCTAAAGTGATCGATTTGACGCTTGATATGGATGTCAAAAAAGTTCCTTCGTCAACTCTAAATATGTCACCCTTTTTGCAGCAGCCGTTTGAAAAAGCTGTTTTGATTGAAATGCCCACGGGTACCCCTTTCCTTTCTGAGCTTACCCAATTGGACATGGTAGATGTTGTTAGTGATAAACTTACAAATTTCAGCATTTTGTGGGTTTTTGCAGCTTGTATAGCCATTGAGAAAAAGAAAAATCCATCTAATGTAGAGCTATTTTTTAATAGAAATTGTGCTGTCTCCTCTCATGCTAATCACTGTTGGAATATATGTCATGGTACTATCGTGTATTTCAACATTATCCCATAATATTTTTTTCCCAATTACACTCTTTACATTGTTACATTATTCACTAGCAACTACTAGCCCATTACCATTGGAGTTACAATAATTGTTACAATCAAGACTCCCTATTGCTAAAGAAAATTTTTCAAGATGCTCTTTTAAATTTTCTTCATTACAGAAACCTTTCTTGTTTTCTTTCTCTTCTTTTTCTCGCTACTCTAAATTTACGCAAAACTGTTTTTATTAAATACTCTTTCAGCTTTCAGCTTATCAATCGTATTTACTTATTAACTCTTGCTTTTAGGTATGATAGCGAACTTTTATTATTTTATTATTTTATTATTTTTATCATTTATATAATTCTTATATATACTCTAAATTTACGCAAAACTGTTTTTATTAAATACTCTTTCAGCTTTCAGCTTATCAATCGTATTTACTTATTAACTCTTGCTTTTAGTCTTCTCCGCTATGTCTAATCACGGAAACACTACAGGAGTCAATGAAGGACCCTCATCCTTCGAGTCAGCCAGCACTGGAAGTTCTGTTGCCCACTCAACATCTGAGACCCATTCAAAGAACAACGCCAGCTCTTATGAGACATTCGCCGATCTCCCTGTTCATCGTCAAATTGATCTCGCTGACCGTTCTGGATTTACCGTTAGACAATTAACCATTGCCAACATACCAGTTTGTTCCGAAGGATGTGAAGCTGAATTAAAAGTCTTAGCAGACTTGACAGCTTACATTAGAAACTCAAACTTCAAAGCTAGTCCTCCCCCATCTCAAAAATCACTCCCTTTTATACTTTTTCCCTTCTTTTTCTTATACAAATAACAATGATTTTGAGAAATATCTTAGAACTACGTTTGAGCGATCTTCATGGTTCCAGTCCTTTCAAGCCGGAAACGTTGATCAAGAGTTTGGTTTATTTCTACCTATTAATTACATGAATCACTGGTCTCTTGTTTTTGTTTATTGTCGTCCAATTAGTGACAGCTTTCAAGTTTTTGTCAGTGATTCCTTAAATTCATCTAAGGAATCATTTTTTGAAAATGCTTCTCAAAAGAGTCAACATTTTGATTTAGAAGTTTTTCTATCTAATCTTAATTTGCTTCGACAAAACCTTTACACTTCTAGCTGTTTTACTACTGATACTACACCACTCTCAAAGCCTTTATCAATTGAGGATCTAACGTTTAAAACGCTGCACATTCAAAATGATGATAGAAGCTGCGGAGTACAATTGGCTTTAAACGCGACATGCATATGTGGGGCTTATTTATCATCTGATGGTATTCTAAATTGGCTACAAAGTGAACAGTCATTACCACAGTACTTTGGTGAAAGTTTATTAGTACTTCGAACTCTTATTGGAAAAGAAGTATCCGAAAATCCTTCTTAAGCCATGCCAGAAAAAAAAAAAAAAAAAAACAAGAGAAATACTTCCATTGATTATAAGGGTGAATTGGAATTAACTGATGAATTCAAAAATTATTTTATTACCACTTATAAAGAAGCTTCGGCAGCTCAGTTTTTAAGGAGAAATGTGCTAATGTTTTTTGATAAATTGAGCCATCAAAAAAAAGAACTAGGACAAGCTGAAAACAATATCCATGATGAGGTTTTAGCTAGTAATGATTCTTGTCCTTATTGGTCTGACAGGTTTATATTTGAAACACTATTGATTAATTTTGATTTCTTTAATCTTTATCCAAATCTTTCCAACATCATCCAGGAAGGAAAAGTAGAGGAGGAAAATATGTGGAGAGAAATTGTGAATAAAGAGCTACACATTCCTTCTGAGGAGTTGATATCTGAATTTATTGTGGATCCCAGTAAGGATAAATATCTGGCCATTTATAACCATTGCATCAAACTTATTCCAGAGGAGAGTTTTTTTTTGAATTTTTCAAAAAGTATTGATCCTGTGTCTATGAAAAAGTTGATTGCTTATCTTCCTAGAGCATTTTCGAATAAGAAAATTACTCGTGAAGCAGGGCGCTATAAAAGGCAAGTTCATGTTGAAAAGAATAAAGTTAATAACCCTAAAGGATCTTTATTGTATCTTTTTACTTTGGAAAAAAAAACTAAAGGCAAGCCAAATACTAAGATACTGAATCCATCTGATATGATATCAACTTTGCAAGACTATTCTAAAAAAGGAGAAATTAAACAATCTGCTCAGTCATGGGACACATTTATAGCTACCAGACTTAACCAAAAGTTTTACTATTTTTCTAAAAAACTGGTTCGTTTCATTTTTTCAAACAGAAATGTTAATAATACAAATGATGAAGCGACTTCAAGTTCTTTTTCTTCAACTTTTAATTCAGAATTAGAAATCGAGGAAGGAACAGCCGAGGAAAACTCAACAATTTAAAATATATAATTCTACGGATTTTAAATTTTTTAATAAAACGATGAACATATGGACTTGTTTTTGTAAACTTAAAAAGTAAACTAATAATGATTTAATATTTTTTTTTCATTTAAATAAGTATATTAGCGCCAAAAATCAATTTTATGGATGTTGATTATTTTTTTTTTTTTTGAAATGGTCAGGCCAATTTTTAACGCGTTATGATACCAATTTATTTTATAGCCGAGTAGCTAAGACGGCCATTAACGGGATTCAGTATCCGGCTAATAAATTGCCACCCTACTGTAAACAAAAATATGTATTTCCATACCCACCAACACCCCGAGTTGATATCTAGGAAAGATGAATTACGATAATAGGCAGAGGAAAAAGGCACAGAATAAAATTTTTAAAAGAAAAGTGGGGCTCATTAGCTCAGAAATTAGTTAGTATAAACTTTTTTGTGTGGCTTTATTTCATTCAACTAACATAAAATGAAAAGAGTTTTGGCTATGTATTGATTCGATCGACCCTCCAAAAGAAAATTACGATCCGCACGAAATTTTTACAAATGCTTGCAAAGATCCAGATCGCTCTACTTTTTGTATTGATAAGTGGAAGAATATATATACTCCAAAACTTCTCCTTGAGCTGTGTGGTCCAGATTTTTCAAGTCCTTCACAAATTCGAGCTATGGACAATTGTCTTCGGGGATTTATGACAAACAACACGTCAATCTTCGATCTCTTTGATACATGGATTTGCAGTAAAACCCATACTGCGGAATACCGAAAAAAAATGGGCCTAGATAAAAGAAACTGGCCTCTAAGTGATATTGAAAAAGCAAAGATTTTGTTTGCGCTTTTAAAGGCCATTGGTGAACCATATCATGGACTTTCTACAAAAATAGTTTTTTAAAGACCTTGGAATTTATGATCCGGGAAAGGTACTTGAATACTATAATGAGCGATACAAAATTAACAAAGATTCAGTTGCAAATATTGCCACACGCTTGTTATATGATGATAACGGGAAAAGTCAATTTCGTCATAATTTTTAATACACCCGATGAATGGAGGATTGATCAACTAAAGAGATGGGCCGAGAATTTTAAGAATAGATTCAGCAATAAATATGATCCCGAACTCATAAAACAAACGCGGAATGAGGCTCTAAAAATTTTTTATTATTCTGGACGTCCCTTGAGTATTGATTTCAAAGCTTTGGAAAAATATGCTACAATATTATTGAAGGAAAACAAAACCGAAGAACAATTTGTTCACAGAAAAAAATGGATTTGTTTTATCAACATTTGTCTGAAGCTGATCCCAAAGATCTGGATATACCTCTTAACATTTATTTATATGACTTTCTGAATGAACTTGAGAAAAATGGAGGAGATAAGATTTAATATAAAATTAACAAAATTAAGAAATTTTCATTTATTTATTAACATTTTTGATATAGATTCGGCGGAGAAACTCAGCGAAGAAAATATATTGGAAGATGATGATGATGAAGAAGAAGAAGGTAAGATCTAATAAAATTAAAAAATTCCATTTATTAATATTTTTGATATAGATTTGACGGAGAAACACAGCGAGGAAAATGTCTTGGAAGATGATGAAGAAGAAGAAGAAGAAGAAAGAGAAGAAGGTAAGATCTAATAAAATTAAAAAAATTCCATTTATTAACTTTTTAATATAGATTTCACAGAGAAACTTAGCGAAGAAAACATCCTGGAAGATGATATACCGGATTTTGAACATCAAGATTCAGACTTTTAAATCTTGACAAAATTTTTATTGAAGATGATGAGTTTTATGACAACATTGTTGATGAATACTTTAAACCACAAACAGTTTTATCGAAAGTGACTCAGCTACTACTCTGGCCGATTCTTCGGGAAAAAACAATGCACAAACTAATGAAAGCATTCAATCTAACTCTGGTAGCGAAACTTTCCCAAATTCAGAGTCTAATAAAGTAGAAGTAGATGATAGTCAAATTTCTGAGCTTTTATCTTCAGTCATTGAAATGATTGCTCTTCGAGATGAAAGATTGTCACACATTCCCAGACTTTCCAATAAAATGAATTATGCTTCTGACAAATGGATTAGAGAGCCCAAACTTAGAGGTCTTCGTCGAGAACTTATATCATATGTTAAGATTAATGAAAGTTTATCAGGTGGTATTTCAGTATTAAAAATGCTTCGTACATATTTTGAGTCTCACAGCAATGTTTCATTAAACCAGGCCATCAAATTTGCTACAACAGTTTTAGAACAGCAAAATTTGGATCCTGATTTTTATAAAACAGTTTTTTCCAAGATCAGGAATATATGTCATTTTACTTTTAAATCTGGAAAAGTTAATCCCAATTCGGAGCCTATGATTGCGTACACAACATATAAAGATAAGGCCAAAGAAGCTGGAATTAGGTATACAAAGGCCAGTGCATTGAAAGGATTTCCAGAGCATAATAATAGAGAAAATCTCAAAGAACTTTTTCCCAAAGCTAAATTTATTGAAAGCGATGGTGTGAAAATGTTACGCCGTGGTGACTGGTCTACAGGATTTGAAGTTGTTTATTTTTGCAGCAATAGATGCATGGCATTTACGGGTTCTAGTAGCGATTTGACAGAATGTGCCCAATGTGGGAAGGCTCGTGATCCGATGTATAGATATTTTTACTTCTCACCTCGTGAAAAAGTCAGAGATTTTTTTGAAAACACAGGCTTGTCTAGGGTCATTAAGGATGCCCACAAGCGACAAAAAAATGAAGGAGAAGTAGAAGACTTTTTTGATGGCCAACTTTATAAGCTTCTTTCACAGAGATGCATTCAAAACGCTCAATTAGGTGAAGATTATCAACAAAAAATATCCCTCAAATATTTTGAAAGTCCGTGGGATTTAGCATTTTGGTATCATTTGATGCTGTTCCGGTGACGTTTGGCAACTCTTCTTATGATATAGTTGTTGCTCGATGCTTAAATCTACCCCCTGAGGAGCGCAATAAACCATCAAATACAATAACTTTGATGGCATTTCCCTCTGGAATTGATCTAGCTGCTAAAAAAGAAAAATCTGCAGTAAAAGATTGGGATTCATTTTTTTTTCCATTTATTAAGGACAGTGCATTAGCCAGCACACTAGGATATACGGTTTATGATGAGGACATAGGGGTCATGAAAACTGTAAGGCATCATTTTGTTTTATCAGTTGCAGATATGCCGGCTAGTTGTGAGTTGTCAGGGTTAAGTGGACATACGTCAGATTCTCCTTGCCGTTACTGTTTAGACGAGAAGATTACAGCAATAGTTTTTCCACCAGGGGAATCTATGGCACATATGCCAGAATCATCATGTCCACTACCTCAAAGTTCAAAAAAAAATAAAAAATGGAGAGGGCCTGGACCCTATGGTGGAAGAGTCCATAAACAAATAAAAGGATTAGCGACATTCCGTCATAATAATTTACTCCTTTCCAAACCCCACACATATCAAAACTCAAAAGCTCGCAACATTGAGTGGTATAATACTATATTTAAAGACATTTTGAAGAATCCAACCAACTTGGTTTCAAACCGCTCGCAATTTACTAAACGAGGCTTAAGCAGAATTTCGACCATATTTTGTTTGGGTTCAATGGTGCCTGATATGTCGTTTCCGCCTGATTTAATGCATTTGTTGTATCCAAACATTGCGACTAAAATTATCAATACCATATTTTATGGTAAAGATGGCCCAGATATTTACAGGTCTGAAGCACTGGAATCAATTGTCAAATTTTTGGAGAGTTTCAATAATATTAGCTACAGTTTTGTTGAAAGGAAGTTCAACATGGCAGAGATAGCCGATGGGATTAAAACCTCTAAACCAGTTAGGCTTACAGCACACCAAACCAAAAAGATCCTTTCTTTTTTATTTGGTATCGTTATGAAGTCAGATTTTAAATATAATAGTTATTTATATATTGTTACGGAGCTGGTACAACTTCTTCGATTGCTCTCTTTGCCTAAATTTTCAGAAAATATATTGAAAAGACTTGAAGATGGAATAGAAAGTTTTTTAAGGGTTTTTGAGGAAGTATATCTAAAGGATGCTAACAATCTAACTTTCCTGACTTTACCAATACATACGCTGCGTCATATGATTAAAGCCATTCGAGAGGTGGGTCCACTTAGGGCAATATGGTGCTTCCCTACTGAAAGAGCTTGCGCTGTATTAAGGTGGCAAATAAAGACGGGAAAGGCTCCTTTTTTAACTCTTTCTTATCGATATGCTTATGAATCAATACTTCAAAATCTTAGTCCATCAAAGTATGCTTGGTCAGTAGGTTCGAGAAAGTTGCTGAAAATTTTGCGCGAACCAAAGTCTGAGGATGAAAAAATCATACGTGAGAAGACAGTTGAAAATATCAATAAGCTTATCATTGAAGAGAAAATCTTTGAATTGCTATCAGGTGGAGCTTCAGGCAACAGAAGCACCAGCATCACAATCAAATTTTATGAAAAAATTAATTTTTTTCAGAGGCATTTGAATGCTTTTATTAAACAATATGCTCGTGTAAGAGATAAAGACAATTCATCTTATCATGTTATTATTGACGATATTATTGAAATAGACTTTTTGGGAAGCGGGGTTTCGGGACAATTTGTCTTGGTGAGGAAGTTTCTGCCGGGTGTTGTCCTACCTCGCGATTACAGGATGCAATTTTTTAATGACAGTAGCAATATCGGATATACAACAATTGGCTATTATATTGAGAAAAAAGAATTCATTACCCCTGAAAAATTTTTTGCGACGGATAGCTACTTGGTACTCGTAAGAGATATCATTTGTCCTGTTTGGTTGATTAATGATGGCGATCTTTCGATAGTTGTTGATCCATCTTTTGTGGAGGAATACAGGACAAAAGACGGTAAAGTTGTAAGGACTGAAGAGTATGATGACGAAGAGGATTATAATAACGTGTGTAAACCATATATGAACATTTAAATAGGTCAGATTATAATAATATATTTAATAACATTTTATAATAATTTTTATCACATAATAAAAGTCCTTTTAGATATAAGGGAGATTTATTTGGAGTTGCAAATGGGTTTTCTGAGCACTGGTAAAGCGTAAAATGGAAATAGATTCAGAAATGGGTGGCGTGGCTGTTTGTTTAGTTGACGATAATAAGATGGAATTTCGTGGTGGTTGTCAATGTTGAAAAAAAAATTTTTTTTTTGACGTTTTGTTGATTTAGCTTCAGTGAGAAAAAGGTGCTTGTGCTGTTGTGTTGGTGATATGAAAAGTGGGATGTTTTTGTTGTTGTTAATGTTGAACAAGAAAGATTTTATTAATGGAACTGAAATTCCCCAACATTAAGAAAGTTGAGAAATTTTTTTGTTGTTGTTGTTTTTCCTAAATTTTTAACATAAAGGAAATTTGTTGTTGTTTTTAAAAATGTTAAGAAAAATTTTTTTAGATTTTGTGACTTTAAATTTTTTCCAAAGTTTTCTCTTTCATCTCAACTATAAGATTAAAAAAAATTCAACTACATCTTTACGTAAAGAAGAGGTGGCGCCCAAATTTGTTTTGTTAACGTCAACAACACGTACTTTCGGCTCTCATCTTTCTGATAGACAACATAACATCAACAAAAGAATACGAAAATCGCAGAATTTAGTTTACCGTGATAGTTTTCTCAAAGAAAAGATCCTTGTTAAATTTCAGTAATTGTCAGTGATTTTGTAACCTTTGTAACTCGCCAAATCCTGAGAAGTTAAGCAAAATACTTTGCTGACTATGTTAAAATGAGTATAGAAGTCACTATAATCACTTTCATCCATAACTATTAACATTATGGTTGTTATTTTTTATGATGTTTGGTCTTTCATGAAAGACCAAACATCATCATGAAACTTGGTGTCTCCTAAAAATACGCAAACCCTTTTCTTTAATAAAAGAAAACCCTTTCATGGATGGCTTTAAAAAATGTTACAACCCTTATTACATCATGGTTTAATATTAACTTACAAAACCTACGCTAATTTCCAATTTTTTGTTTTCCGTGTTTCTCTTTCATATCAACATTAAGATTAAAGAGATTTCAAATACATCTTTACGTAAAGAAGAGGTGGCGTCCAAATTTGTTTTGTTAACGTCAACAACTCGTACATTCGGCTCTCATCTCTCTGATGGACAACAACATCAGCAAAACAACATCAGCAAAACAACACGAAAATCTCAAAATTTGATTTACCGTGGTAGATAGTCTATTTTAATTTAAATATAATTTGACTGAAATTTTTAAAAGTAAAAATATATAGTGTGTAAGTTGAAAAATATTAAAGTCTAAAAAAACTAAAGACCTATGATTGGAATAATTTAAAAGCAATGTCAATTAGGAGAGTACCAAAAAATTTTTGTTTTTGTGAATTTTATGTTATAAATAAAAAATATTTTTTGTCAGGAAATTTTATTAGGTATGAAATGATAGAAACCAAAATTATCAAAAAAAATTAAAACCAAAAGAAAAATCAATGAAAAATCAATGAAAAATGAAATAAGATTAGATTAAAGGTAATCACATCATTAAAAAGAGAAAAATTGCAAAAAGAACCAAAATACCATGCTTGGGCATGATAACTGTATGGGCCGAATTAACCTGTTCAATTGCACTTGAGCTAGAACTAGGCTGGTATTGAGACGGCAGGGAGGAAGAAACGAGAGGAAGTGTGTTTTGAGTGCTTACCAAAGCAACTGGGGGCTGAGATTCCGAAGTAAAAGAAGAGAAACTAACCGACTCAGTTGTAGTGTAACTTTCAACAAAACCATTAGTAAATGAAGGAGTGAAAGCTTCATTTACAATAGTATTATAGGTGGTTTGAGACGACGATAACACCTTAGATTTGAAAGATGACATCTCCGAAGATTCAGGCAATAAAGAACTACCTGAGATATAAAGAGATGATGCAACAGATGAAGAAACTTGAAAACTTGGGGACGAGGAGGCATCAAGGCCAGATGAAGATGACTTTTTAGGTGTAAAAGTCTCAAAAGGAAACAAACTTTCAGAACCAGCGCCAGCACCAGTCTGAGAAGAAACAGATGTTGATTTCTGTACAGAAGGTGACTCAGTCTCTGATTGATGAGTAAATGAAGAAGTTTCAGAAATAAGGTTATTAGTTGCAACAAAAGAACTGCTGCTTGGTTGAGCTTCAGCTATTGAAGAAGTTAATGGTACAACATTGGAGTGGTAAGACTTAGTATTAATAAATGATTGTTCACTTTGACTAATAGCTGAAACAAAAAGTGAAGATGCTGAGTTTGAAACAATGTCAGAAACTGCACTAGTGTAAAAACTCGAAACTGAGTCAACATCAAAATTAACAGAGATGCTAGAAACTGAAGCAGCGGATGAAATAACAGAAGAGGATTCCTGTGAAACAGTAACAACTGTAGTCTTTCCATTAACTGAAGAAAATGTTATAAAAGATGAAGACTCATGGGAAGACAAGGCCGTTTCAGATGGAATTTTAATTTCTGTTGATTGTTCATGAATATTGATAGCAGTTTCGGAACCTGAAGAAGTAGTGACTTTGGTTGGAACACTATTTGTCCGAATGGTAAACAAAGAAGACTCTGAACCTAAAACAACCTGAGTCTGAGAAGATTCAGTAACGGTAAAGGTAGTGCCAACATTGGTAGTTGTAAAACCTGGGACAATCGAAGAAGTAACTGTGCCAAGTTGCGATGTAATATAATTGCTGGGCTCAGTGACCGTGGTGTCCTCATTACCATTAACAGTGGTATATGTTGTGTATTTAGAGTAAAAACTTGACGAAGTAGTAGCGGCACAATCATCACAAGGAATAGTAGCAGTGAGAGTCTGAGAACCAATGACAGTAGTATAAGTAGTGAGTTCAGTGTGAGAGCCTGTTGAAGTGATAGTGGAGTCGGTGGATTTAGTAATGGTACATGTATCACAAGGCTCTGTGAGGCTGTTAGTCTCTTCACCAATAACAGTGCTATAAGTACCGGGCTTAGAGGATAGACTAGTTGAAGTAATAGCACTGCAATCATTACAAGGAATAGTGACAGTGAGAGTTTGAGATCCAATGACAGTAGTGTACCTTGTAAAAGATGTGGATGTGGCAGAAGATGTAATGATAGAATCAGATGAATGAGAACCAACACTAGAAGTACTAGAAGCAGAAACTGAAGTTGTAAACGTAGAATTCCAAGAAGGTTTTGTTGATGAAGTAAAAGGAAAAGTTGAAGTCAAAAGTGAAGAACTCTCAAAAGACTTAGAAACAGATTCAGATTCAGAAACAAATTCAGAAGCAAAATGGGACTCAGAAACAAAAGTTAATTCAGAAGTTGAAGAGGATTCAAAATTGGATTCAGAAGAAAATGGAACTTCATCAGCAGCAGCTTCAGAAGAAGAAGAAGCCTCGTCATCAAAAGCATCTTCAGCAGCAGCCTCCGAGGAAGAAGCATCATCGGCAGCATCCTCAGATGAAGAAGAAGCATTATCGGCAGCAGCTTCAGATGAAGAAGAAGCCTCGTCATCAAAAGCATCTTCAGCAGCAGCCTCCGAGGAAGAAGCATCATCGGCAGCAGCTTCAGATGAAGAAGAAGCCTCGTCATCAAAAGCATCTTCAGCAGCAGCCTCCGAGGAAGAAGCATCATCGGCAGCAGCTTCAGATGAAGAAGAAGCCTCGTCATCAAAAGCATCTTCAGCAGCAGCTTCAGATGAAGAAGAAGCATCATCAGCAGCATCCTCGGAGGAAGAAGATGCGTTGTCAGCGGCAGCTTCAGATGAAGAAGAAGCATCATCAGCGGCGTCCTCGGAGGAAGAAGATGCGTTGTCAGCGGCAGCTTCAGATGACAATGAAGCTTTGTCATCAGCTGCGTCCTCGGAAGAAGAAGAAGCTTCATCAGCAGCAGCTTCAGATGAAGAAGAAGCATCATCAGCGGCGTCCTCGGAAGAAGAAGAAGCTTCATCAGCAGCAGCTTCAGATGACGATGAAGCTTTGTCATCAGCTGCGTCTTCAGAAGAAAAAGAAGCTTCATCAGCAGCAGCTTCAGATGAAGAAGAAGCATCATCAGCGGCGTCCTCGGAAGAAGAAGATGCGTTGTCAGCAGCAGCTTCAGATGAGGAAGAAGCTTCATCAGCAGCAGCTTCAGATGACGATGAAGCTTTGTCATCAGCTGCGTCTTCAGAAGAAGAAGAAGCTTCATCAGCAGCAGCTTCAGATGAAGAAGAAGCATCATCAGCGGCGTCCTCGGAAGAAGAAGATGCGTTGTCAGCAGCAGCTTCAGATGAGGAAGAAGCTTCATCAGCAGCAGCTTCAGATGACGATGAAGCTTTGTCATCAGCTGCGTCTTCAGAAGAAGAAGAAGCTTCATCAGCAGCAGCTTCAGATGAAGAAGAAGCATCGTCAGCAGCATCCTCGGAAGAAGAAGATGCGTTGTCAGCAGCAGCTTCAGACGAAGAAGAAGCATCATCAGCAGCATCCTCAGATGAGGAAGAAGCTTCATCAGCAGCAGCTTCAGATGAAGAAGAAGCATCGTCAGCAGCATCCTCAGATGAGGAAGAAGCTTCATCAGCAGCAGCTTCAGATGACGATGAAGCTTTGTCATCAGCTGCGTCTTCAGAAGAAGAAGAAGCTTCATCAGCAGCAGCTTCAGATGAAGAAGAAGCATCGTCAGCAGCATCCTCGGAAGAAGAAGATGCGTTGTCAGCAGCAGCTTCAGATGAGGAAGAAGCTTCATCAGCAGCAGCTTCAGATGACGATGAAGCTTTGTCATCAGCTGCGTCTTCAGAAGAAGAAGAAGCATCATCAGCAGCATCCTCAGATGAGGAAGAAGCTTCATCAGCAGCAGCTTCAGATGAAGAAGAAGCATCATCAGCAGCGTCCTCAGAGGAAGAAGATGCGTTGTCAGCAGCAGCTTCAGATGAAGAAGATGCATCATCAGCAGCATCCTCGGAAGAAGAAGATGCGTTGTCAGCAGCAGCTTCAGATGACGATGAAGCTTTGTCATCAGCTGCGTCTTCAGAAGAAGAAGAAGCTTCATCAGCAGCAGCTTCAGATGAAGAAGAAGCATCATCAGCAGCGTCCTCAGATGAGGAAGAAGCTTCATCAGCAGCAGCTTCAGATGAAGAAGATGCATCATCAGCAGCATCCTCGGAAGAAGAAGAAGCTTCATCAGCTGCAGCTTCAGATGAAGAAGAAGCATCATCAGCAGCGTCCTCAGAGGAAGAAGATGCGTTGTCAGCAGCAGCTTCAGATGAAGAAGAAGCATCATCAGCGGCGTCCTCGGAAGAAGAAGAAGCTTCATCAGCTGCAGCTTCAGATGACGATGAAGCTTTGTCATCAGCTGCGTCTTCAGAAGAAGAAGAAGCTTCATCAGCAGCAGCTTCAGATGAAGAAGAAGCTTCATCAGCGGCGTCCTCAGATGAGGAAGAAGCTTCATCAGCAGCAGCTTCAGATGAAGAAGATGCATCATCAGCAGCATCCTCGGAAGAAGAAGAAGCTTCATCAGCTGCAGCTTCAGATGAAGAAGAAGCATCATCAGCAGCGTCCTCAGAGGAAGAAGATGCGTTGTCAGCAGCAGCTTCAGATGAAGAAGAAGCATCATCAGCAGCATCCTCGGAAGAAGAAGAAGCTTCATCAGCAGCAGCTTCAGATGACGATGAAGCTTTGTCATCAGCTGCGTCTTCAGAAGAAGAAGAAGCTTCATCAGCAGCAGCTTCAGATGAAGAAGAAGCATCATCAGCAGCATCCTCGGAAGAAGAAGATGCGTTGTCAGCAGCAGCTTCAGATGAAGAAGAAGCATCATCAGCAGCGTCCTCAGAGGAAGAAGATGCGTTGTCAGCAGCAGCTTCAGATGAAGAAGAAGCATCATCAGCAGCATCCTCGGAAGAAGAAGAAGCTTCATCAGCAGCAGCTTCAGATGACGATGAAGCTTTGTCATCAGCTGCGTCTTCAGAAGAAGAAGAAGCTTCATCAGCAGCAGCTTCAGATGAAGAAGAAGCATCATCAGCGGCGTCCTCGGAAGAAGAAGATGCGTTGTCAGCAGCAGCTTCAGACGAAGAAGAAGCATCATCAGCAGCATCCTCAGATGAGGAAGAAGCTTCATCAGCAGCAGCTTCAGATGAAGAAGATGCATCATCAGCAGCATCCTCGGAAGAAGAAGATGCGTTGTCAGCTGCAGCTTCAGATGAAGAAGAAGCATCAGCAGCAGCGTCCTCAGATGAGGAAGAAGCTTCATCAGCAGCAGCTTCAGATGAAGAAGATGCATCATCAGCAGCGTCCTCAGATGAGGAAGAAGCTTCATCAGCAGCAGCTTCAGATGAAGAAGATGCATCATCAGCAGCGTCCTCAGATGAGGAAGAAGCTTCATCAGCAGCAGCTTCAGATGAAGAAGATGCATCATCAGCAGCATCCTCGGAAGAAGAAGATGCGTTGTCAGCAGCAGCTTCAGATGACGATGAAGCTTTGTCATCAGCTGCGTCTTCAGAAGAAGAAGAAGCTTCATCAGCAGCAGCTTCAGATGAAGAAGAAGCATCATCAGCAGCGTCCTCAGATGAGGAAGAAGCTTCATCAGCAGCAGCTTCAGATGAAGATGATGCATCTGCCACTGCTTCCTCGGACGATTCAGATAAAGATTCAACATAATCTCCATTACACACAGCATTTTGCAATTCCTCAATACAAGACGTACTCAAAAATCCACTCACGTCTGTTTGGATGTCGTTTGTTGTTTCATATCCAATAATTGAGCCACACATTAAACATCCTCCAATAACTTGTTTCTCTGACAATGATAGATCGCTGCACGATTTACCACTTAATTCACTTCCTGATATCCATGTTTGTGTAGTTGAACAATATGAGTTACAAGTGTCTGTATCTAATCCATCTAATGTACATGTCTCCATTGTGCACAAATTTTCTGTATCAAAATTGCATTCCGCCAACAACCCTGTAACAACTGACAATACAGTAGTTAACAAAGTTCCTATCACATCCAAAATGCCTGACAAGAGTTCTACTACACCACCAATGAGACACACCAGTAGAGTCAAGAAGGAATCGCAATAAGTATTAGCAGAACTTGAGACAGTACCACATAATAGACAGCCAACCACATTTCTTTTAACAACATTATCGACAACTCCACAAGCAAGCAAACTTACTAAATTTACTGAATAATCTTCAGCAGTGCCACACATATCACTGCAATTGTCATCAGTAATATCACTAACGTCACAAATACACTGGGTATTAATGCTACTTGGAATTGAGCTAGACCTTGCTTCGTAACATTTTGCTATCCAACCTTCGTAATATTCGTAGCTTGATTCCTCAACGTATCCATGTTCAACACAATAGTGGCAAGCAGTGACAACAGAAAGAAGTGTTCCATCCATGTCTACATAACTGCCACTTAAAAGAACTTTATCTTCTAACTTGCAAGTATAGTCATCCTCGGAATAGTAGCTGCTAATTACAGTATTAGCGTTCGTACAGGCAGTGTTACAGCTCGTAGCGTCAACACTACAGTCTGCATACACTGCTGCAATTCCAAATGTTGGAATTAATAATGCATTAACTCGCATTGCTAAAATCCGAGTTAATTACAAATCTTTGATGGCTTTTTCACAAATACTTACTGTTGTTGTGTTAAGATAAATATAATTTCTTTTACTTTTGCTCTTATGTTTTTTGTTCTATTTCCATGTTAGAATTCATTAAAAATTTTGACAATAACACATACCTTGATAATTCTTTTAAAAACAAATAGTTGAAAAAAAATTAATGTATTTATTTATAACTCCTTCCTTTGCTGATCTTATATTTAAAGAAGGTTCAGATAAAAATAAAATTCAAATTGGAGAATTGGGAATTGTTTTTATTTTTATTTTTTTTTGGGGGGGATAGAGAGGGAGGATATTCCCAATTATATATGAATTATTTACAATCACATTTTAATAATGTCTATTATTACTTGCGTTTTTGGGAGATATGTACGTTCCCCAAAACAAAGTTTCTAAATACTTGGAAACTATTTTTAGTTTGTTTGTTGTTAAAATCACATACCCGATACTGATGATATTAAAATTCTCTAGTACTTACTGGTAATAATAGTCAATGTTTGCAAATAAATATTTTTTTTAATTGGATTCTCTCAATATCTTATAAAGGCTTTTAAGATCCTGAAGTTTCAATCAATATCAGATGTTTTTAACGCAGCTGATTTAGTTTTTTTTTTTTTTTTTTAACTTTATTGCTTTATAAAAAAATCTGTTAAAGCACAATTTAAAATGATGCTCTTTTGAGATTGTAATAGGTTGAGATTATAGGTTAAGTTATAGATTAAGATTAAGGTTATGAGATTAGACGAAGTGCTGTAAATTACCTTTTTGATAAAAACTTTTTTTCCTCTTCATTGTTCAGCCGTGTACCCAGTTTCTTATAAACTGAAGTTTTAGTAAATAAAAGTTATTCATATATTACATTTATTACATTTAACCTTATTGTTGGTAAATTCATTTCATACGAGGTATTCTCATATCATTAACTGTAGATCATGGAGGGAGTCGCTAATATTGGCCTATTTTTAAAAACGATAAAAAAAAATTTATATATATATATTCTTCTATATAGTTTAAAAGTTAAGTCCATTAATAAAACTTAAAAACATTAAAATCAAGTAATTATTATCTTTTGAATGAATAACAGTTTTAATTTACTTTGAAAAAAAAAAAAAAAAAACACTCTGGGCCTTTTTTTTGTAACTTGTTAAGCTTAAAAAAACCTTATCTGCTTAAGCTTTTATCAGTTGTTTGACTGAATAAAATAATTATCTCAATTTACAAGTTCAATTTTATTTTAATTTCAATTTTGTTTGTAAAAACAAAAAAAGAAATCTTATAGATATGCACTTAAACAGTAATAAATTAATGTAGATATTGTACATTATGTGTGTTAGTCATTTAATGTCATCTTAAAGAGATTAACTATTGAATAGAAGATCTAGAGAAAAAAAGTATTCTAAATGTTAATAAAAGGAATAGCAATTGTTTATGGGTCTACTAATAGATTCATTTAGCATATTACAACATGCGACTCATATATGTGAGTAAACAAGATTGGGGAGAGTTTTTAATTCTTTTTCTTTTGTTTATATAATTTTTAGTTATTTTCAATAACAAGAAAACTAAAAGTCTTACCAAACTAGTTAAAAGATAGTTTTGAGATTTACCAAAAGATTAATTCCTAAGATATATACCCAATCAATATATTGTAAATTATAGTCTAAGTTTAGGCTGCTATCCTGGTTTCCTCTTTCCCTTTATTTTTCCTTCAGTTAATCAGTTAATGATAATATAACCTATATTAAAAAATATAGTGCCCAATATTGAGATTTTTGTATCAATATACAAACATCATCTGTTATCCATCGTTCAATAAATAAATCAATGGTGCAACTTCGGCAATAATGTGGTTTAGGTGCAATGAATTATGAAGAATTGCAGGTTACTTTTAACAAATAAATAACAGATACTAACTTGAAGCTAATAAACTTATTGTTATTAAACTATTGTAAGTGTTTTCTATAATTACTTTCATTTGATTTATTTATATAAAAGCTTAGAATAAATCGATTCATAACTATAACAATTGTTATAAACGATTATATTAAAGAGAGAAAAGTTTAGTAATGCTTGAAATTGGAGATCTTTTTGCTCTGATTTTCATATATTTACCAAGATATCCAAGATTTATAGTTTCTTGTTCTTTAATTCGGATTTGTTTTAACAGAAACCTAATTAGGTTGTAATAGTCTGTCGTGGCCCGCAAAAACTTGCCACACTCATGTTTTTTCTTTATTTTTAAATACACATGACTTTCTCATAAAGGTAGCTTATTTATATGAATATAATTTATGGTCTCATCCGGTGTTATCCAGCTAAAAATAGAATATAACATATTGGCCAAATATTGCTAAGGGCATCAAAAATGAAAACAATATAAGACAAATCTCCATAATTATGAAGAGCGGAATCTTAAAAAAAAAAAAAGGTTATGATCTTAAAAAACCAAAAGGAATAAGTTTTTGAAAATTAATATATCAATGTATATTGAATTTTTTTTTATACCTCGAAAATATGTCAATCGATTTTTTTTTGTTGGCTGTATTTAGAATAATTATACATTGTCTTGTCTATAACAATTGTTGAAATCTTGATATAGGAAGGCAGTGTTCATGAGGAGTAAACCAGATTTATGATTACTAGGGTTAGCTTTTTAATTCGTCAATTCTAGGTAAAGTGAGTTGCAGACTTCTCAGTTTTGATCCATATAATAAACCAGCTACACAATTAACAAGCTTCTTGTAAAAGTATAGGTTTATATATATATATATATATATATATAATTTGACCATTACAAAGCCTATTTTTTTTAATTTCGCCACTGTTTAAGTTCAGCCCTTCAGCTCCAAAATAATATTGATTGCAACAGATTGGCCCACAAAATAAAATTTTTATATTTTCTACTATACTTTAATTTGTCGGAAGAAATAAAAAAACGGAAGATATAAGATGTAGGTGTTTAATTATTATCATAAAAAATAAAGCTAGAGCCATTGTAGAACAGAATAGGTTTGTCATAATGATTGATTCCATTACTGGAAAATGTGTAAAGAGATGGATTAATGGTTTTTTTTTTTTTGGTTTATTTAAAGTTATAATAGAAAGTTGATAAAAATCAGCCTCTGCACAATAAAATCAACACAAGGAATTTAGACAGGAAAGACTTTTTTACAATTTATTTTAATTCAACAACAATTAATTATAAAAATATAAAACTCAATATTTTGCCAATGATGTAACTTTTGTGTACCAAACTGAAAAATGTTCAGATTCACCTTAAATATTTGTAGAAATTTTTTTTGAAAAATCTATATACCATGTGCACCAAATTGCAATCATACAAAAAACAAGAATGAAAACACAACTAAAGTTAATAAAGTTATTTTATTTTTAAGGAAACACATTTTTGTTATTATTTAAACATTTCATACAACCCCCAGGTATTGAGATTGTTTATATAACTAGCATATTGATTCCTGTTAGACAATCAAATCTTGATTTTAAAAAGAAAAAAAAAAGAAAAAAAATCTATATTCTTTACATTGTTTAAATTTTAAAATTGTTACATAAACCTAAACAAATTTTTAATATTATTTCGGTAATTTCGGTAATGCCTCAAGCCGTTCAACGTGGTTAATTTCATACTTATAACTAATTAGTTAAGATTACTGTTTGAAGGTGCTTGTTTAAATAATTAAGCTTATACTTTAAAAATGGTTTTAATTTTTTTTTAGAAAAAAATTTTTTTCAATACTTTCAGATATCATGAAGCTACTTATTTTACAGTCAATATGGCTAGCTTTCGTTAGACTATTTGTACTCATGTTTAATTTTTTTTTTTTGTATTATTATTATTTTTAAAATCGTGACTGTTAAATTTGTCTAATTAATCAATTATTAATTTTGCTTCTCAGGCGGTGAATTGTAAGAAGTCGAAATTAAATTAGAAAAATCAGTACACAAAATTACTGCCTTGTTCAGTCTAATTCAGTCTAATACGTAATAATGTCTGGTTTACTACCCGTAAATGCAAATAAAATAAATAATTAAATTTTTGATTTTTAATACTACTCACTATTGGCAAATAAATTTCTTGTCAAAAGGTTTGCTTTGCTTCAATTCGTTTGTTTGTTTGTTTATCTATTTATTTATTTATTTATTTAATTTTTTTAGTTACTCGATTGGTCCAATCTGGTCTAAAATAACAAATATAGTATAGTAACCTTTGAAAAAAAATTTTTTTTCAATTGTCTAGTTAAAAGGAAGCATTTTTTTTCAATTTATCGCTGAAATCCTAACTGATATTCACTTGTATATTATTAGAGCAGTAGAACTTTGCAACTTGATTCTTTACATATATATATATTTATTACTATTAAATATTTATTAGGCAGAAGCCTTTTAAATTTAAATTCTATGATTATATTCTATTAAAATTGAAAATCATAAACTGACAGGTATATATTCATTCGTTGTTGTAGTTGTTGAGATACTACGTGTTTCAACAAGTGTGCATCCTCATAACTTAATTCCATTGGTGCTTATTGTATGCACATATATGTCTTTAGTTAGTGGTAGCACTTAAACCTTAACCTAGAGGCGGTTAGAGTTATGACATAAACCATGCATACAATGGAGCACTCTCCTATAAATGGAATATTCATTCCTTCTATTACGTATTTAAGTTTTCCATGACTTCATTTCATTTCATTTCATTTCATTTTATTTCATTTCATATATTATTGTTGGACTTATTATTAACTTACGAGTCAACACATGTTTATTGGCGTGGTAATGATATCAAAAGGTTCCACCCAATTCCTCAGCATTCTTCTTAGTTTACTTCCTTCAACTTACATAGTCATATCCATATGGAATGCATTCTAGCCTCCGCTATCTTCCATTTTTATCAATATTTATCTATACCTATAACCTTTATCTATATATAGGTATTTATTTGTTAACCTCTGAATTCTTTAACTTGTAAAAATCAAGTGATAAAAAATAACCAAATACCCTAGTTGGTCTTTTTGGATATAACTATGCTCCTTCATGTATATAGTAAATATTGAAAATAAGTATATATACTTATATATGGATATATATATCCAAATCATATAAACAGAGACATTGCACTCACTCATTATCCCTATTGATTTAAATCACGCAAACTAAAAACATGGTAACCATGATTTTATTGTTCCCTTGCACAATATAGTACACAATTGACTGCAAACATTTCATATAAATAGGTGCCCTTATCTACCATCTTTATTTGAACTGACTTTGATTTATAAACATGCTATAATAACAAGATGTACTAGGCCTATTCTATTCTAAATAACTTCCCACAAATAAACATTTCATCATTGTTTTATTTTTGTAATACATCTCTTGATAGTCTATTAAAACATAGCTCTTTTTTTCTTGATATCTGCTACCGTTTTCCTAATGAGACTCTATACATTACTAATACTTGACAATGTATACTATATCAGCATTATGATTGATTTTATTAATATTTGTGAATTGTTTAATTTTCATTTTCTCTCTTCCATTTGAACATTTTTATATTTTTATTTGATTTTGATATTTATATATAGTAATTACTTATAAGCTTATTTTCTAATAATTGTGCCATCATCTGCTAAGTGTATCAACTGCCTAGCGGTTTTTCAATTTGATAGTAATATTTATTATAATTATTGAGCAGGTTGATCCTATAAATTGAGTTTAATTTTTGTTTTTTGAAGTCTAGGCGGAATCTCTGTGGTGATATGAAAAAAAAATAAAAAAATTACAAAATAAAAAACTTTAACAATAGTTTCAATAACAAGAGCTTTACTTTGAAATAATTGAGCTTAAATTCAGCTATGCTATGTTTTGAAATTACATTATCTAAGATACAGTATACTGTAAGTACTAATAAATAAATAAATAAATAAAGTCCCTATTCATTAATGTATGTTTCTAAATGACTGCAAAAAATCAATATTGCAATTGTTTTAGTATTCAAATATATATATATATATATATTTGTTTTTGAATTTTTGAATTTTTTTATAAAATTGAATATACTAAAAAAAACATTTATAAATGAAATTTCATTAACAAATAAACATTAACTACAAAATTAATTTACAACAACACAGCATTAAAAGCAACTTAAAAAAAATTATTTAACTTGTTCCCAAATTCTTTTCAAAGTCTTCTATTGTAATTCCGGAACTCTCACACATAGAATGGAAAATTCCCTCCTGGTATTGGAACAACTCAAGCGGCGAATCAAATTCCGCAATTTCGCCCTTGTCCATGACTAAAATACGATCATAGTTGAGAATAGTGCGTAAACGGTGAGCAATGCATAAAATAGTGCAGTGTCCAAACTCTCTTACAATTGTATCCTGAATCTTAGAGTCAGTGGCAAAGTCAACGTTGGAAGTGGCTTCGTCAAGAATCAAAATGCGTGTATTACGAACGAGAGCTGTGGCAAGTGCTAGAAGCTGGCGTTCGCCCAAACTGAAATTGGTACCTTCATCATCAACACTCCGGTCAAGGTGAAACTTAGGCAAACCATGTGATTCTTCTTCCGTGCCCGATTTAATAAGCTCAGACGTATCAATGCCACGTGATTCAAGCTCTTTTATGCGTCCCAGCTCGCCCGGATTGACGAGCCATGCACGCCTCAGTGCATCCCATAACTGATCATCTGTGTAATCTCCAAAGGGATCAATATTAGAGCGTACTGTGCCTTGAAAAAGAATAGGGTCTTGTGGAATGATGGACAACTTGGAGCGCAAATTGTGCAGTCCCAAACGTGAGATATCAATTTCGTCAATAGTGATGGTACCTTGTTGGATTTCCACTAATCGATATATAGCTGTCATTATAGTACTCTTGCCAGCACCAGTTCGTCCACAAATGCCAATCTTTTCGCCGCCGCGGATATTAGCGTTAAAATTTTTGAGAGCGGGCGGGAGGTCAGGTTTGTATGACATACTAACATTCGAAAATTCTATTTGTCCCTGAGTAGGCCATTCTGGGGGGGGAGAGGTTTCTGGAATATGGTACTTAGATTCTTGTGGAAGATTGTAAGCATAATGATGGAGTCGCTCCACAGCGTTCATAGCATTTTCTACTGTGGCCATTTCACGAACTATGAGAGAAATCATTGGTACAATTTGAAGCATGGAAGATACAACAAGACCAACGGACGAAGGGTTAATGTTAAACTGGTGCGTGGCACAGAGAATGGTAACAATAATAGTCAGAGAACAGCCAACAAGATCCAACCGAACTGAAAGCCACCGTTGATTCGCAGTAGTGAGGTAGTAAGCCGAATTCATACGGTCAATAGCATTTTGAACGGTTTTGGTAAAGCGTTCGCTTTGGCGGTAAGCAGTAATGGTACTGACACCGGAAAGAGATTCTGAAAAACGAGCAAAAACAACCGAACGGCCAAGGGAATCAAGACGCTTGATTTCGCGTGCAGAGCTGCGGTAAAAGGAAGAGGTAAGAAGGAAAATAACAAAAAGACCAGCAAGGGCAATAGCAAACCAGGGTATGTAACAAATGACAAGAATATAGGTAGCAATAGAAAGTGAAGTTGACATGAAGAAGAGGCGAGTTTGATCCGAAAGTTCATTATCCATTGTTTCTGTGTCATGGGTAAAGCGATTCAAAATGCGGCCAAGTGGAGATGAATCAAAAAAGGACATGGGAGCATGGAAAATAGAATGGACAGCAAGTAAATGAAGGTTTTTAGAAGTCTTAGAGCCAATAAAAGAAATGGTGAAATAAAAGGCATACATGAGAAGTGGTGTAAGGATACCAAACAAGACGTAGATTCCAATGTAAAAACCTTCAGTACGACCTGAAAACTTAGTCGAGACCCAAAACGAGAGCCAAACATTGGTAAAGACCTGACAATAGTTACCAAAAACAATAGCAGACATTAAAACAACAATTATGAACCATCCTGTACCGCCGGAACCATGACGGACAAAATCAAGGTAAACCTCTTTAGAAATACCGCTGGTTGCACGGTCCTCAGCTTGAATAAGACCGCCAGCAGCTTTGACCCCAGCATCACCAACAGATTTAGTGAGTATTTTCTTAACTTCTTGTTGCTTTTCCTCCTCTTCCTCATGTGCTCTCTTTACTTCTTCTTCTTCTTCTTCTTCTTCTTCATCACTCTGATGGTCGCTATACTCCATAAGATCTTTAAACCCTTGGGACTGTTCACGTAATTCTTCAACAGTGCCAATGATGGCACTTCCTGAGCCGTCAAGAAAAATGACTCTATCTGCAAACTCAAGCATAGCCAGTTGATGAGTAGCAAGAAGACAAGTCTTTTGAGAAAGTAGGCCACAGATACAGTTAGTCATAATAAATTTGCCGACATGGGCATCAACAGCACTTAAAACGTCATCTAGAAGAATAATATCTGGGAAATTGTAGACCGCACGAGCAAGGTTGATACGGGCCTTTTGGCCACCAGAGAGGGTAATTCCACGTTCGCCAACTTCTGTTTGGTCACCAGCAGGGAGAATGTCAAAATCACGGATGAGAGAGCAAGATGTGATGACCTTGTTATACCAGTCTTTATCAAAAGGTTGGCCAAATGTGATGTTGTCACGTACAGTAGCGTTTTGGATCCAAGGCTGCCCAGCAGAAAGAAGGTTCCCAGAGACTCGAACAGAGCCCGTAGTTTTGTGCATCATCCCAGCAATTGCAGCCAAAAGAGAAGATTTTCCAGTGCCGATTGTTCCTGTGATTATAACAAATTCCCCCCGTTTAATATCAAGATTGATGTTGGACAAGCCTTTAAAGATTTTATGGTCACCGGAAGAAGAAGAGGTAGAGAGAGAAGATGATATTGAGTGAGAAGAAGAGTGTGGTATTTTTTCTTCCAACAACTGGGAGTCTGTTTCATTTGGGATTTTTCTTTGATCTTCAAGGGTTTCCCAGATGAAACTGCCATTGGTAATTGAGATGGAATTTTCAAGATGTTTTTCACTGTCCTCAATGAACTCCACGTAGTGCTCGACTTCTGAAGAGGAAAGAAACTCTTCAATGCGCATAAATGCCTGGTAAGCGTCAGTTGTTGTGACAATAGAAAGAGGGAAAAACATTAAAGGAAGTCTAAGAATGTTGAATGTTGTGATTGAAGAGAAGACGCGAGAAGGGTTGAGGTGACCTCCTGTTGTAGAAAGAACAATAAAAGAGAGGAGACCAGCAATAACAGGGACTGCCATGGAGAGAGCATTTGTTAAGTTTCTGAGGGCGAGCATGCGGATGACGAGACTACTTTCCTTTGTGCGGATTTCACGGATACGTTCTTCGTAAGCATCTTCCCAAGAGTAAAACTTGATGATTTTCATTGCTTGAAGAATTTCACGAATTAGGGAGACACGTTTGTCGGTTACTTTGTTTGTGCGTTTACGAAGAAGAGCAAGGTTGCGACCGGTGTATATGATGAAGAAGAAAACTATGAGGAGAATGGCGAATCCAATGAGACCTGAAGCTCCAATGTTGACTAGGACTAGAGCGAGAGATATTGCAATGGATACTGGGAAAGTCCAAGTGAAATGGAACCATTGGCAAGAAAAGTCAATGCGGTGAACGTCCGAGCTCATCATGGAAGTGATTTTGCCATTGGGGAAGGAAAGGCGAGCTTTTGCAGAGAGCCGTAAGTTTTTTTTAAAAATTGCATGTGCTAAGACAGCTCGGATTTGGGCGCCAGTATATGTTGAATTAAAGAAGAAGATATTGACACAAAAGTTTGAAAAAAGCATTAAAAAGGCGATTCCAAGAGCGAAGCCGATACCTTTGCCAATATGTGAGTTTTCTCTGTCCATTGTGAAAGAAATTAGATGGCGAGTAAGCAGGGGGTTGAGGGACATTCCACAATCTGAAAGGACTTTAGCGAAACCTCCACCCCAGAATTGCCAAAAGAAAGTAGCATTGATTGCTTTAAGAAGAGTAAAACGAGGAAGGGTAGCTGGGTCAGCATCAGAAGAGAGTTTATGGGCATTTTTTTCACGGTAGTAGGCCAAGTTTTTTTCAAAGACTTCAGCCATGCTTTCTATAGATCTAGAGGTTCCTTCTGGTGTGTAAAGGTCGTTTTCTTGGAGGGTTCTAAGATAGCCTGTCTATGTAGTAGAAAGAAAAGTTAGAAAGAAAGAAAAAAAAAACTTCCAATTGAATAGATTAGAAAATCATACCTTTAAGAGAGGATATATCCATGAGTAAGTATAGCGAGAAAATATGGATACTGATGGTTCAGGAAGGGTAGCTTGTGTTTCAGGGATAGGAGGGACTTTGGACCCCACAAAGGGTCTGAGCAGTCTTTTGTTTTTGAGAACGACAGTAGGTTGGTTTTCCAGATCAGACATTTTTTTTTTGTGAATAATGGACTGAAATAAGAATGAGATTTACAAATGAAAAGATAAGTAAATAAATAAAATGTAGTTGAATTGGATAGTAATATTATTTTAAAGTAGTTCCATCACAGGAGAAGAAAGAAAAAAAAATAATAATAAAGAGCAATCTTAGTGAAGTATAATTATTATTAAAAAGAAAAGTTTATAATTGAATTTAAAGATGAATCAAAGTTATGAAATAATATATGACGATAATAAAAATTAAAAAAAAAAAAAAATGGAATCAAAAGTCTATTTATATTTATACTACTTATGATAGACCAAAAATTATAAGCCTGGATTTTTTTAAAGGGATTAAAAAAAAATTGGGTGTGTGTGAGATGCAAGACTTTATGGATATTCCTCGGACTCCGAGATAAAAACGGTGAAAGAAACCAAAAAAAAAAAAAAAAAAAAAAAAATTAAAAAAAAAAAGAAAAAAAAAATTAAAAATTAAAAATTAAAAATTAAAAATTAAAAATTAAAAAATAAAAAATAAAAAAAAAATAAAAAATAAAAAATAAAAAATAAAAAAAATAAAAAATAAAAAATAAAAAATAAAAAATAAAAAATAAAAAATAAAAAATAAAAAATAAAAAATAAAAAATAAAAAATAAAAAATAAAAAATAAAAAATAAAAAATAAAAAATAAAAAATAAAAAATAAAAAATAAAAAGCCGTTTGACTTGGATTGAAATCTGGGCTGGTTGTTGGGTCTATGAGTATATATTAAAAAATAACCGGGTATATAGAATTAGATATACAAGTACTGGAAAAAATATATATATATATATATATATATATATATATATAAAAAAAAAAAAAAAAAAAAAAAAAAAAAAAAAAGGGATTTACTCTATGATTATTTAGACAAACGTTCAGAAAAGTTCACAAAATGGTTGATTTTGATTTGAATAGATAAAATATAAGAAAAAAGATGGGGAGGGTGGAAGAGGAAAAAGAAAAATTATAATGGTAATAGTAATAGTAATGGTAATGGTAATGGTAATGGTAATGGTAATGGTATTTTTTTTCCCAAATGGCGTATTTTAAAGGTATACTTGGGTCATTCATTGTCAATTGATTAGAGATGAAAGAAAAAAAAAAAAAAAAAAAAAAAAAAAAAAACAGGATTCTTAGAATTAAAGCTGAGCAGGTATCGAATATTGATTTATATATATATATATATATAGTATTTATTAGTAGCTAATAATATTAATAGAGAATATCCCTGTTTGAATGTACATAAGATTGTCTATGATATATTTCATGGAGGGGATAAAATGGTGAGAGAAGTGGATGTATTATAAATTTGGTATAATGAATGGACCTAGTAATTGGTGATAATGAAAAAAAAAATTGTTGTTGATTTTAATGATTTTTAATGACAGATTGATAAGAAGAAATGGAATATTTTCGTGGCTTTTTTTATTTTTTTTTTATTTATTTTTGGGGGGAAGAATAAAAATCAAAAATCAAAAATAAAAAATAAAAAATAAAAAATAAAAAATAAAAAATAAAAAATAAATTCGATCCGAAGTTTTCGGGACTTCACCCGATTTTCAATGATGCAATTTTTTGTTATTATTTAATTAATAATTAATTAGCAAAGAAAATCTTATACCGTCGGGTAAATTTTTTAAATAAATAAATTACGGACTTCCGTAAATTTGTCATTATTAGTCATTTAAATGTAATTATAATGATTATTAATTATTAAATAATAATAATAATAATAATAATAATAAAGATTTTCTTACGCGTCACTGTGACTAAAATAAAAATAGTGACCACGCAAGTAATAATTTATGTGTTATATATATTTTAGTTTTTTATTTTATCATCAGTTCTCGTTTAAACATGTAAAATAAAGTTACCCGGATTGAAAAAAAAAAATTTTTTCTTTTTTTTTTTTTTCTTTTTTTTTGTTGTTTATTTTTTCTTCAAACACGCGTTTTTTTTTTATTATTATTTTCATAATAATTTCATAATAATTTCATAATAACACATATACACACACACCAGTACTTGTATATACATGTAACATGTATATACTTGTACTTGTATGAGCAAAAAATTATACTAGTTTTGGATGGGTCAATCTGATTTAAATATATTAATAATCATTAATAATCATTATTTTGTTGTTTACATATACTAATTAGTATATAATAAATAATAGCATTAATAATAAAAAATAAAAAATAAAAAATAAAATTATTAACCCTATCCCTTAATTTTTCCCAAAGTTGAAAAAAAAAAAAAAAAAAAAATTTTCTCCCCCCCCCTTTTTTTTTTTTTTTTTTTTTTTTTTTCTTCACCACCACCACTTTCTTTCACTACTTCCATAATCATCATCACACACGCCAAAAAGAAAAATAAAAATAAAATAAAATCTTTCATCAACTCCTTAAAGAAGAAAGGTTATTAATAAGCTTAATATTATAATATTAATAATAATAATAATAATATATTTCCAATCACATTGAAAAAGTTTATTAGTACTTTTTTTTAATAAATTTAATAAATTTAATAATATACTTATATATTCTATTAATTAATTATTAAATTAAATAATAATAGCACACTCCTTATATAAGCTCATAATATACACACTGTTATTTACAATATATTTACAATATTTACAATTATTCAACACCACCACCACCATTAAACTTCTTGATATCCACACAAAACAATATATATAAAAAAAAATTTCAAGATACACAATTATTATATTGCTTAAATATATATATATATAACTATAAGAAATAGTTTTGTCTTTTACTATATATATATATATATATTGAATTAGCCTAATAATACAACCATGTACTATCCACATGGCAACTTCAATAAAGGCTTTCAAGACTCTCGGCAGTATCAACAGCAGCAACAACAGCAACAACAGCAACAACAGCAACAACAACAGCTTCAACATGCTCAACCGTCTTATGGAAGTCTTGGATACATAAATGCTACAACTTCTAATCAGCAGCAGCAGCAGCAACAACCGCAGCCGCAGCAGCATCAACAACAACAACACACGGCTCAACAGCAACAGTCTCAGCATTCTCAGGCTCTTTTTTCCCATTTTGTTCCTGGAACAAACCACCAAACTTCGGCTCCAGCATCAGTTGCAGTCAATGGACAATATAGGTCAATGAATTATCTTCAGCAGCACCAGCAGCACCAGCAACAACAACAACAACACCAGCAACAGCACCATCAACAATCTCAGCAGTACCAACAACATGGCCACCAGCAACAGCAATACGCTGCTTCTCTCTCTAACGCGTCTACATCGGCTTCACAAACTTCCACCTCATCCGTGCCCTCTTCCCATTATTCCCAACTATACGTCAACCCAACCATGTTTAATTCTACAACCTCAACTTCAAGCCAACAAACTCCAACTGCTCTAGCTGCCGCTTCTGCCGCTGCTGCCTCTTCCTCTTCTTCCTCTTCTTCTTCTTCTAATGCTCAATCCTCAAATCCAAATGCATCGACCCAAACAGCTACTTCTGCTGCGACTACTTCAAACACAAATTCTTCCTCCAATCCCTTTTCTAGTAGCCAGCAACTTGACTCATCATCCTCTTCTGCTTCTTCATCTTCTTCTCGTGCCCAACCATCTTCAGCAACAAGTGACTTTGTAAGTATTTTATATCATCATTATTTCTATTAAAAATAAAAAAAAGTGCACAAATTAACATATATTAGTATCAAAAGTCTTATTCGCGACAATTCCAGATGCAACAAAGCCATCAATACCAACAGCTACAGCAGCAACAGCAACATCAGCAACAGCAACAGCAACAACAACAACAACCTACCTCGACGCTCTCTTCTCTCTCTTCTCATACTTCAGAATCTACTCAAAGTCAGTATCCCTATTTGAGCCAGACTGCTTATTCACAACAATCTCAGGATAAACACTATCAAATGGCACAATATCAAACTCAGCAACAGCAGTATCAGCGTCAGCTCCAGCAACAACAGCAACAGCAACAACAGCAAATGTTGCTTCAACAACAAGCTGCTCAAGCTGCTCAGTCTCAAGATAAATCACAGGCTTATATCCAAAAAGTCCATCAAAAAGATACACGTTCGCAATACCCTTCCCAGCAGCAGCAACAGCAGTATTATTCTTATCAACAACAATCACCTACTGCATCTACTGCTGCTACTGCCTCTACTGCTTCTAATGCTTCTAATGCTTCTAATGCTTCTAATGCTTCTAATGCTTCTAATGCTTCTAATGCTTCTAATGCTTCTAATGCTTCTAATGCTTCTAATGCTTCTAATGCTACTCCAACTGCAACTGCAACTCAACGTGCATTATACCAACAAAAGCCAAAACAACAATTGAAACCCACGACTTCAACTTCTACTGCTTCTTCTAGTTCTCCTATGGCTCATTATCAAACTTATCATTCTCAACAAACTACTAATACTGCTACCTCTCAATACCCTCAGACTCAGACTCAAACTCAAGCCCAACAACATCAGCAATCTCCCCAATCATCATATTCTACAACTCAACAGAGTAGAGCCTCCACAGTCAGACGTGTTGCTTCCTCTGATTATTCTCAGCAATACTCTTCCTCACCTCAGACACAAACTCAATTGTCTTCAACAGGTCTCGGATCTTTCTCAGCTGCTGCTTCTTCTTCCTCATCATCTACTTCTTCCTCTTCTTCATCTACCTCTTCTGCAACTTCTTCAAATACCGCTGCTTCTACAAATACTAACACCTCTTCAACTTACCCCGCAATATACTCTCCGGGCTATTCATATGGAATGCCTTACTCCCAGCAGCAGCAGCAGCAGCAACAACAACAAGTTCAGCAGACACAAAAACAAACTCAGAAGCAACCTCTCCATCAAACTTCTCAACCATATATTTATGGCACTTCTCTTAGTCAAACATCTAACAATACGTCAAGTGCCACTACTACTAACACTAACACTAATACTAATACAGTTTCTGGCTCCACATCAAGTGCCCCCAGTGGTTCATATACATTACAATCTGCTTACTCTTCAAATGACTCACAACGTCCTTACTCATCAAGCTCGACAGGTTCTACTGCTGCTGCTACCAATAATAACACAACTACCACTGCCACCTCCACAACTTCTTCCTCTTCTGCATATGGCTCACATTCGCGGTACTATGACTCTCACTCTTCATCAGCAAATTCTCATTACCCGTCTTCACAAGCAGCAGCAGCAACCTCTACAGGTTATGGTACTTCTTCATCTTCAACATCCACGGCTCAAACAGCGGCACTTCATGATACTTCGTCCTCTATGGCATCAAGTTCTTCTGTTCCGCAAACTAACACTAGCAGTACTTCGTATACTTCTGCCAACCCTTCTCAACTACTTAACAATCCCATAGATCGGACCACAGATTATACTACAGCAACTGGTGCAACTAATACCACTAGTGCAAGTACTGTCACCAATAATAATACCAATAATACCAATAGCAACAACGGTGCTGATACTACAACATCAACAACAGCATCATCTACGGATAACTCTGGTCATCCAAGCCAAATCAAGTCCGAGTTTTCATACTTTTCTCGATCTAGGCTGTCTCCCACATCTAGCACTGCTACTGCTCCTTCTGCTACTACAGTATCATCTGCATCAAATGTAACGGTTGGGCCAGCAAGTACTTCTACTAGTAACTTGCCCTCAGTGGGATCCATTAATGTCAATAATAATGGCTCATCATCAGTGTCTTCAGCAACGACTATGGCTGCACATACAAGCAATTCTGCTGCTGCAGAGTCGCCACTAAATACTGCAGATACAAACTCAGCTATTGACTCATCAGTCTCAATCAATCCAGCTTCTCTTACCAATAATGGACAGCTGCCAAAACCGACATCAACAGTTCCCTCAACCATTTTCCCAGTGTTTCTTCCTACTCCGTCAACCACCTCCTCCATCAGTAATGGATTATCTGGAAATGCAAATGCAGCGAATAGTGCTAGTAGTGGTACTACTGGGGCAACCTCCTCTGTAGTTGATAATACACGGGATGAGGATATGGATAAGGACTCGCAGACTAGTACAGGTATTTTAGACGGGGTTGGGGCTCAAGGTAGTGAAACCATTTTAGGGTTGACACTGCCGAAAAGGTTGAGTTCTCCTGTTACCACAAGTCAAAAGAAAAAGACTGGAACAGAGTCAGAGACTACTTCAAGTGCTTCTGGAACTGGGGGTTCGGCTGGGACAACAAATACATCCTCATCTTCGACCACTACTACAGCAACAACTGATACTACCACTGCTAATACTACTACTACAGCAACTGCTACAGCAACTGCAGCAACTGCGTCATCACCATCAACTACAACTCCTTCTTCAGCCGGATCTAATTCTCGGAAATCTCGGTCGAAAAAGGGAAGCGGTGGAGGACGTCCAAAGAAGGGAGCAAGCTCGGGTCGGGTGACCAAGCAAAGTAAGGAGCGGGAAACGTCCAGTGCAGCTGGTGTTGCAGCTGCAACTGCTCAAGCTACAGCAGACACATCTACTAAAGCTGATACCTCATCAAATGGAGTTATTGACCTGAGTTCTTTATCAAATGGGACTACTACTGTTAATAACAATGCCAGCCCCACCAGTACTAGCACTCATACCAAAGTTAAGAGTAATGGCAAGCGGCATGGGAAAAATCTTAATACTCATGCCAGCCCTGTTAGCAATCATCACAATGAAAATGGAGATGAGTATTCTCATGAAGAGGACTTGCAAAAACTGATGGATCACAATGAGGATATGCTTAGAAATGGAAGTATGAATGAAGACGAGGACGAGGAGATGGAGGATGATGATGACGATGATGATGACGATGGAGACCGAAAAAAGAAACAAAAGCCCAAGTTTACTGCGGAGGACGATGACTTACTTGTTGATTTGAAAGAACAAAAGAAACTGAGTTGGAAGCAAATTGCTGAATATTTTGATGGACGGACTGCTGGCGCATTGCAGGTGCGATATTGTACCAAGCTTAAGATGCGAAGCGGGGTATGGACGGATGAGGATGTTCAAATGCTTCATAAGGCCTTGAAGGAGTATGAGGACGAAAAGTGGGTTGTTGTTGCACAGAAAATGGGGTCAAAATATACGGCATCTCTGTGCCGGGACAAGTACCACGAAGTGATGAAACTGCCCATGCCGCCGCGACATGTATTGGCAAAGGTATTGCCACAACATGAGCAGTACGTGTTGAATTTGCAAAGAAAGGCGGCGGCTAAGTTGCAGTTACAACAGCAGCAGCAACAACAACAGCAACAACAACAGCAAGCTCAGACTCAAGATCAGGATCAAGACCAGAAACCGGGCAAAGATGGGTTTCGATAATAGACTTTGTTTTTTTCTTCTTCTTCTTCTTCTTCTTCTTCTTCTTCTTCTTCTTCTTCTTCTTCTTCTTCTTCTTCTTCTTCTTCTTCTTCTTCCTCTCAATAATTTGATTTTTTTTAAAAAAAAAAATGATTACTTTTTTAGATGCATAAGCAATAGCTTGAAGATAAAAAGTTGTGGTTTGTGTGTGTGTGTGTTTTTTATTTACTCTAAATTATTTTTTTAAAAAAAAAGTCTTTACAAATAAATATATGCCTTACCTAATACAATAATAATAACAATAGCAGTAGCAGTAGCAATAACAATATTTATAATTATAATTATAATAACAATCCCATTAATTCAAGTCTTTGGTCTTTTTTTTAATATTTATTAATTTTATTATATTAATTTTTTCTTTCTTTCTTTCTTTCTTTCTTTCTTTCTTTCTTTCTTTCTTTCTTTCTTTCTTAAAAGTCATCCCACGCATCCTCTACTTCCTCTTCCTCTTTCTCCTTTTGCTTCTTGGCCAACACGGAGTGCGCACGACTTGCTGCTGTAGACTGTTGTAGCGCCGCAGTACCAAATGCGTGTGCAAATGCATTAGGGGCCTTGTGTGTTGCAGAAACTTGGTTATGTGATGGCAAGTGTAGTGCTCCGTGATGATTGTGTGCTGGCGATTTAGGTCCAGTGCGAGAAACTGGAGGCACGCGCGAGGGAGAGGTAAGAGTAGAAGATGTAGTAGGAGAGTCCCATGTATCATTGTTGTCATCGTTGCCATCGTTGCCATCGTCATTATTTCCCCATGCATCTCCGTCATCATCATCGCCGTTACCCCAAGCGTCGTCATCGTTTTCGGATCCCCATGCATCGTTGTCTGCTGCGCTTGGTTGATAAGTTGTTGGCAATTTCTTTCGCACAATTGAAGGAGTGGTTTTAGTTACTGCCTTTTGACCAAAAGAGCTGTGGCTGGTTAATGGCTCTGGGGACTTGGAAGTAGTAGTAGTAGTAGTAGTAGTGGATTGTTGTTTGTCTTCAGACGGTGCAGGAGATGAAGCCGAACTGGAAACTGCAGAAACTGCTTTGGAAGCAACACTGATGGTCAATGAAGAGGCCCAGTTGGCCCAGCCAGCAGTGGCAGCAGCCGACTCTCCTCCATTTTGATTCAGCTGTTGCTGTTGATCTGAGCTATCATCAGTGGGAACACCTGATTGTTGCTGTTGCTTTTGGTCCAGCTCATTGGCATGTTCTTTAACTTTATCAAAGTACATTTCAAATGTCTCAAGGGCCTCTTTGCGCACCACAGAGTCGGAGTCAACGAGTGCAGGAGCCAGAGTTCCCAAGACCTTGTTACAAGTATCCTGAATTGAAAAGTATTCATTGCATGCTGAGAGTGCACGTAAACTAGCCAATCTTGACTGTACAAATGGATCTTTAAGTGCACGTCCAAAGGCAGCCACAAGGACAGCTGAGCGTGTGCTTTGAGAAAATAGTGGCGCGATTTTCCCCAAAAGAATTGTTGTATTTGCGCGAATTTCCTTTTGCGAGTCACTTTGGACTTTGGCAAGTTGGCGTAGCAAGTCGCCATTGAGGATGCGGTCTGAGAGTTTTGAAGCAATAGAGAAAACTGCACGCACTGTAAGTTCGCGTAGGGCCGGGTCAGTATCTGAGAATCCAGTTGCAAGACTGGGCCAGACCTTGTCTGAGACTAGGCGCGTGTCCATAAATGCAATGTAATCAGGGAGTGATTGAAGTAAAGATGTGCGGACGGCGCGGTCTGGGGCAGCAAACTGTTTGACAATAAGTGGAGCAACAAGAGTTTTGTATTGAGTGGATGGCATGTCTTTGGAAAAACGAATGACGAGAGAGAAAAGGTGAAGAGAAGATGCAGAGAGACGGCCTGAGTTGAAGGTGTCGACGAGAGCTGGAACGACTTGGTTATGGAGGTATTCATGGGGGAACTTGTCTCCAGCAGAGTCTAGGAGAGTTAGAAATGCGAGGATAGTTTCTTCGTCAGTAATGCGGAGAGTAGGTAGTGCATTTGTGATTTGAGCGAGTTGGCTTGAGTCAGAAAGGGCTGGAGAGTTTGCTAGGAAATCATCTAGGGAAGATGGAGTCAAGTGACGGGTTGATTTGAGTTTTGCTAAAAGTTGGGCACCAATGGCTGCTCTTGCCCTTGGTCTATCTGCAAGGATTTTAGCAATAAGATCTGCAAATTGGGCAGTATCAAGCATTTGTCTGCGGGAGATTGTACGGCCGCGGGGGATATCTTTTTCAGAGATTGAAGGAAGGCATGAGAAGAGGGGGCCAAGAAAGCCCGGAGGTTTAGCAGCTGCTGAGGCGAGTTGGGAAAATTCTTGTTCTGAGGCTAAACACTCAAAAGATCCTAAGACCCATTCACCAGAATCATTGACGTAGATTGCGCCAAGGTCAATATTTGTATGAGCCGAAGATAAGGTATTATGGATGAGTGCAAGAGTTTTAGCAATAGTGTGGATCCCCCAAAAAATGGCATCATCGGAGAGTTCATGTGATTCTAAGTAGAGATAGAGTGGGATGACATGTTCTGTGACGAGAGTTAAAGATTCTGGAGATTCATAAAAGTCTTTAAATTTGATAATTCCTGGGAGTTTAAGAGTTCTTAGTTTTGTAGCCATATGACGGGCAAAGACTTGGGCAGATGGGCCAGAGGAGGCACGAACAGTTGCATTATCGCAGACGAAAACCGTTGCAGGAGAGTCATCAGAGCGAGAGGTTGCATTGTAGATGGTCCAAGCGTGGGGGTATTTATCTGCAAAAGATCCGTGAACTCGGGTTTCTTCGGAATATTTATATGGGACCGAAGAGGATTTAAAGATTGCTTTTGACAGGAAATCCATAGATGATGATGATATATATATATATAAAATTGGTAAAAGTCTGGTGTATTTTAATAAATGTCTATATTTTACATATATAAATATATAATTTTTATAATGAGAGGGATAAAAAGTTGGTGATGTGGCCATCAGTGGAGGTTTAAAAAAAAAAATAAAAAAAAATAAAGAAGTTTTATGGAACTTAAGTACACAGTCTATATTTATTTTGATAACCCAACAACATTATGAAAAAAAATCTTTTAAGCATAGAAACAGGATATGCTCAGTTATATATATATAATAACAATTTTTATAATAAAAGTAAGCAAGAGAGAGAGAGAGAGAGAGAGAGAAAGGAAAGAAAAGAAAAGAAAAGAAAATTGAGAGAGACATTAAAAGGAAGAAACGTAATATAAAACAAAAAAGAAGAAGAAGAAGAAGAAAGATTTCTTCATTTAATTAGGTTCTTCTGAGCCATAATTGCCCTCAGTGACTCGTTGTCGGAAAAGACGTTCTGTATGGTCACAGAGATCAACGAGATCCTTGAGACCTTTTTGAAGAGCCTGGAAGGCAGTTGTTTGGCCGTAAGTTTGGATTCTAATGTTAAGCTTAGCTTCTGAGGGATGTGGGATGGAATAACCGCAGAACTCAACGTCAGGACTAATAATAATAATAATAATAATAATAATAATAATAATAATAATAATAATAATAATAAATGGTTGTAAAGTTAGATTTAAATTTAGTTCTGTAATGCTTTGATTGATATGATATTGGAACATACTTTTTCATTATAATGTATCTGAGAGGGTTCCCCAGAGTGTGATCTTCATTTTTAATTTGAAAAGAGGCAGCAGTACCGTCTGGAGAAGCACCTGGAAGCTTTAAAAAAAAAAAGAAAAATAAAATAAAAAAAAAGAAAGAGAGAGAAGAATAATGTTAGTTTTTTTTTATAAAAAATTAAAGGATGATTAATTAATTGAATAAATGAATAAATGAATAAATGATTGATTGGTTGATTGATTAAAAGATGAATAAAAGAGATTGATTTACTTACAATGACTATTTTTTCTGGATCTAAAGCATATTGAGAAGGAGATCCTGCATCTTCCATTTGAACATCTGGGGTTTCTTCTTTTGCAGACATTTTGAATGTGCAGTAGTTATATATTGTTGTTGTTGTTGTTGATAAATTTTTAGATGTGATATTTTTATTTATTTATTTTTTTTTTTCAGTATTTACAGAATTTTTTTTTTTTTTTTTTTTTTTTTTTTTTTTTTTCAAGTATATTTCCAAACAAATCTTTTTTTTTTTTAAAAAATCAAAAAAAACTTAAACCCTTACCCATATATATTTATAATTTGGTTCGCGAATCAAATATTATGTAATAATAATATATTTTTTATTTTTATTTTTATTTTTTATTTTATTACCCTAACCTTTATTAGCCGTGCATTATTATCTTTTAGCCGTGTATTACTTAATATAGTAGTAGTAGTTAGTATATATATATAATTTATTTTTATTTATTTAATTTTTTTTTTTTGACGTGGCGGTTTTTAAAATTTTTTTTTTTTTTCTCTTGTTAATTCTAAAATACAATAGCCGCAACCCTAACCCTCTAAAACAACCGTTTTTTTTTATTTTTTTTTTATTTTTTTTTTTATTTTTTTTATTTTTCAGCATTACCACCACCACCACCACTTTAAAAAAAGGGGAATTTTTTTTTTTTTTTTTTTGACAAGCGGCGGCCTTCATGTCAATATTTTAATATATTTTTATATCTACTACTACTATAGCACACACATAGAAAAAAAAAAAATAAATAAAAATAAAAAATAAACAACGCGTTTTTTATTTTTTTTATTTTTTTATTTTTCTGTGTCTCCCCTTTTTTTTATTTATTTTTTTCCCCCAATTCACATATAGCCGGACATATAAATATTCAGCAAAAACCCACCTTTTTTTTTTTTTTTTTTTTTTTTTTTTCAGTACCACCAAAACCAACAACAATAATAACAACAACAACAACAATAACAAGTTATTAATATATATATATAATACATTCCAATCAACAACTAATTTATATATATATCATATAATATACAGCTAATTCTAAATCTTGCTGTTTATATATATATATATATCAAATATCTCAATCTCTTTTTTTTTTGAAATCTCGTTTAATTCCGAGCCCAGCAAATTTTTTTTTTTTTTTTTTAATTACAACAAATTTTGTGTGTGTGTTTGTGTTAATTCACTGTAAACAAACACGTACAGGTCATTTTTTTACTAGTTAGAAACCATCCAAACCTTCTTATAGGTCCTTTCATTTAATATATATACCCAATAATCTCACAACAACAACAACAGCAATTATTATCACCACCACCACCATCATCATTACAGATATATTTATATTTATATATTCACTTAAACACATACACATACACACACACACACACACACACAATTCATCTATATACTATCCTAAACTTGAATGCTATAGACACTCTTGGTTGACTTTTTCCAAATGCCTCTTCATCCATTAGGACAGCAGCCGCAGCCGCAGCCGCAGCAACAACAACAACAACAACAGCAGCAGCAGCAGCAGCAGCAGCAGCCGCAACCGCAACCTCAGCAACAACAACAACAACCACCACCTCAGCCAGCACAACAACAGCCACCACCACCACCACCACCTCCACAACAAGCCCAAGCTCAAGGCCAACCACCTCAACAACAGCAACAACAACAACCACCACCACCTGACATAACCCCCCCTCAGGACCTTACAGCTTTTCAAAAACTAGAAAATGAAAACTCTGAATGTTGGCTGGCTGTGGGACGACTTGCAGAAATGTTGGGAGATTTTGAACGCGCTGTAGGCTCTTATGACCATGCTATTCGTCACAACCCTTACTCCATTCCTGCTCTCACTGCCATTGCAAACCTTTACCGCAGCAGAGAAATGTTTTCAAAAGCTGTCGACTACTATCAAGAAATTCTCAAAATTAAAAAAACTTCTGGAGAAACTTGGGGCTCGCTTGGCCACTGCTTTCTTATGATGGACTCTTTAGATGCTGCTTATAATGCCTATCAAAATGCTCTCCAAAATCTTCAAGACCCCAATGATCCCAAACTCTGGTACGGAATTGGCATCCTCTATGAGCGCTCAGACTCTCTTTCATATGCCCAAGATGCTTTTACTCAAGTCATGCAAATGGACCCAAAGTTTGAAAAGGCTAACGAAATTTACTTCCGTCTTGGCATTATATACAAACAACAACAAAAGTATAACCAATCTCTCGAGTGCTTCAAGTCAATCCTGCATAACCCTCCACGTCCTCTCACCGAAGTTGACATTTGGTTCCAAATTGGTCACGTTCATGAACAACAAAAGGATTACGCCGAAGCTAAAAGAGCTTATGAACGTGTTTTAGAACAAAATCCAAATCACTCAAAGGTCCTCCAACAACTCGGCCTTCTTTACCACCAATCTTCTCTTTCTCCTGCAGACCAAGAAAAGGCTGTCCAATGTCTTGAAGATTCAATTAAGGCAGACCGAGAAGATGCCCAATCTTGGTACCTTCTTGGCCGCTGCTACATGGTCTTACAACAATATAATAAAGCTTACGAGGCTTATCAACAGGCTGTCTACCGTGATGAACATAACCCCACTTTTTGGTGCTCCATTGGCTCGCTCTACTATCAAATCAACCAGTACCGTGATGCTCTCGAAGCTTACTTCCGTGCCATTCGTCTTAACCCAATGATTTCTGAAGTTTGGTATGACTTGGGTACCCTTTATGAAACGTCAAATAATCAAATCAATGATGCTCTTGACGCTTATCAACATGCTCATGAGCTTGACCCTGAAAACCCTCAAATTAAACAACGTCTTGAGCAACTTCGCAATTATATTTCTCAAGGTGGTGCTGCCATTGGTGGTCCTCCTCCTCGTCCTCAGGATATAAATCCAATTACATATCAGCAACAGCAACAAGGCCCACCACATGGTAACTTTTGGGATACCCAGAGTCAACAGCAAGGTGGCGCAGGTGCTGCTACTGCTGCAGGTGCAAATGCTACTGGTGGCCCTCAACAACAGCAACCCCCCCCACCTCCTCCACCACCACAACAGTTACCGGATCAACAGCCACAACCTCTGGGGCCTCCAGGGGGACCTCCAGGCCCCCCAGAATTTCAACAATCCCAACTTGCTCCTCTTCAAGACTTTGAGCAACAACGTCGCATTGCTATGCAAGAACAAGAATCCAGAGCTATTGCTGAAGCTCAAGCTCGTGAACGCGATGCCCGTGAAAGAGAGGCTCGAGAACGTGAAGCTCGTGAAAGAGAGACTCGGGAACGTGAAGCAAGAGAGCGTGAAGTAAGAGAGCGTGAAGCAAGAGAATTGGCGGAGGCTAGGGAAAGAGAAGCTAGAGAGCGTGAGGCTCGTGACAGAGAAGCTCGTGACAGAGAAGCTCGTGACAGAGAAGCTCGTGAAAGAGAAGCTCGTGACAGAGAAGCTCGTGAAAGAGAAGCTCGTGAAAGAGAAGCTCGTGAAAGAGAAGCTCGTGAACGAGAGGCCCGTGAACGAGAAGCTCGCGAACGAGAAGCTCGTGAAAGAGAGGTTCGTGAAAGAGAAGCTCGTGAAAGGGAAGCTCGTGAAAGGGAAGCTCATGAAAGGGAAGCTCATGAAAGAGAAGTTCGTGAAAGAGAAGCTCGTGAAAGGGAAGCTCGTGAAAGGGAAGCCCGTGAAAGGGAAGCTCATGAAAGAGAAGTTCGTGAAAGAGAAGCCCGTGAACGAGAGGCCCGTGAACGAGAAGCCCGCGAACGAGAAGCTAGAGAAAGAGGGGTTAGAGAACGAGAAGCCCGCGAAAGAGAGGCTCGTGAAAGAGAAGTTCGTGAACGAGAAGCTGCCATGGAACGTGAGCGTGAGCGTGAGCGTGAACGTGAGCGTGAACGCGAGGCTCGAGCTCGTTCAGAGGCTGATGCCCGTGTTCGTGAAGAAAAACTCCGAGCTGAGGAACTTGCTGTTCGTACTTCACCTACTACTTCTTCTGCCTCTCTCCCTCCACCACCACCAACATCACAGCAACAACAACAGACCCTTCCACCATTTCAGCAACCATCTCCTCGGCTTCCACAGATGTTGCCTCATCCATCTTCTGTTGGTCATTCTCCTCTTCCTCCCCCCCCTCAACAGCAATTGCCTCTAACTTCTGCCGGTGCTATGCTTCCTCCACCCAATTTCCCTTCTGCTGACCAGCAACCGCGGGACCGTGACCAACAACAACGTACCACAATGCCTCCTTTAGTTTCAAAGCCTGATGAAAAGCCTAGTCGGTCTCCTCCTCGGTCTCGTCATGCCATGCCTTCCATCCTTAATGCTCCGTCACAACCACCAGCAAGCCCCAATAACGTGGCTTCTTCTCCTATTTCAGCTTCAGCTTCAGCTCCTGCTCCTGCTCCTGCTCCTGCCCCTGCTCCTGCTCCTGCTCCTGCTCCTGCCCCTTCCACAGCTACCACCACTTCAGCGAGTACTAGTCCTAGTAATGATAGATCCGCTAATTCGTCTCCTCGTGTTTCTACACTTGCCAAGCTAGTTGACCCCAAGAAGCCCTCAGAGCCTGACCAACCACCCACGACTCTGCCGAAACTTGCTCATATCAAGGACGAGGATCGACCTTCAGATGATAAAAAGGATGCCAAAGAAAAGAGCAATGGCCATTTTACTGCGTTGTCATCATCACCTGTACCTGTACCTGCACCTGCACCTGCATCAGCTACTACTACTACTGCTACCGCTACTGCTACTACTGCTACTACTACTACTACTCCTGCCACTCCTGCCACTACTGCCACTACTGACACTCCTTCTTCTACTGACACTACTGCTCCTACCGCTAATACTACCCCTGCAAAAGCATCTACCCCTGCTCCAACACCCAAAGACCAACCAGCATCAGCAACTACAGTCTCTTCTAAGCCGTCTTCTGCTCCTGGGTCGTCTCCATCCTCTGCTCCCAAAAAATACCCCGAGGTTGTTGAGGCCCCCCAGCGCCAGGTTGATGAAGACTCGGACTATGATGACGACGAAGATGATGACAATGACGATAAGAGCGTTCCATCGAATGGTAGCAACAGCAGTAACAAGGCCAATGGTAAAGTCTCATCATCCTCAGCATCCTCTTCTACCTCGGTGTCACCCCCCAGTGCCAATGGCACTCTCAAACGCAAAGAAGATGTTGAAGATCATGCGGACGAATCGAAAAAGAAGCGCAAGCATTCTGATGCTGATAACAGACGCCGCAGTAGTAGTAACTCGAGCTCAAGTGGTCGGCCAGCCACTGCCACGGTTAGCAGCACCAATGCATCAGATGAGCCGGACAAGAAGAAGAATGATGAATCTAGTTCTGTTTCCAAGTCGGATGAGTAAAGAAAATAAAAGAAACAACAAAAACAGTGATACCATATATTTTAATATTTTTTTTTTTTACTTTTTTTTTTTTTTTTGAATAATAAAATAAAGAGATTTTTTTTTATTTTATAAAAACATGTTTATTTTTATTATTTAAACTTTTTATTTTTAAAACCTGCTTCTTCTTCTTCTTCTTTTTTTTTCTTCATCTCTTTGCTGGCATTAACTTTGTATTTGTATATATTTATAAAACTCTTTTCCCCCCCCTTCTAACCAGCACATGTAAAAACCTCTGCTATTATTAAACTATACAATACAAATAAAAGAAAAAAAAGAGAATTAATTAAAAAAACGAGTAAACAGCTGGAATTCAACATTCAACTATGCCAATTCCCCAGTATCCCAACGTGGAACCCGGCCTACCCGCTCAATCAGCAAAACTACAACCACAACAACACTGCTCACCACTGAGCCACTGGGTCACCCGCACTACAAGTGACAACATAGCCAACAACAACAACAACAATAATAATAATAACAATTCTTCACCACTACACATAGGCAATCTCGATGATCCAAGTTTATTCCGGTCCCGACCAAGGCAAGGACAACGACGACGACGGCCACCACGTGCGGTTCGAGTGCTGCTTGCACTACGTCATTCTGCTCGCGCACAGTGGCTTGTAGCTTGTACATTTTTGGCCACAGTACTATGTATCCAGCTTGTGTCATTATTTTTTTCCGGGTCTTGGTCATCGGGTCTCGACAATAGTGAATACAACAAATTGGCAGGACTTGGGCGGAGGCCAGGACAAGCATTGTCAACAGACTTGTTATGGGCAAAACAAAATTGGCGAGGAACAGAAGGGAGGGGGAAAGGAAAGGGAAGAGGAAAAGGAAAAGGAGGAGGAGGAGGAGGAGGAGGAGGAGGAGGAGGAGAAGGTGGAGGAAGAACCGGGACCCGGGGTCAACAAAGGGTCCTAAACGGTGCGGCTACTTTCGAGGTAGTTACTAAACCATACATTTACCCAGACTTGAGCAAAATAGAAGAGTACCGACGAACAAAAACACTAGAGTTGCCAGACGGAACACGTGCACTATCACGCACTCATGCATACATTTATCGAGACCCCAATGGGTCATCCAAGTCCCGGATCCGGCGGTTTGTGAGCCGCATGTTTGGACAGCTACAACGGTGGAGGAACCACTATCATCAACAACAACAACAACAACAACAAAAAGGAGCCAATTTAGCTACAACCATTGCAACCGATCCTCGAAGTCTTGCTCGGGCCCAACATGTGATTGCGACGCAGGGTGACGACTTTGAACAAACCCATGCATCGCCTCCACTTGTACTAGTTGTTGGGCTCGATGCAGACCGGTATCCCAAGAGCTACCTCGACAAGGTAGTGCGAGACCGGCTGTCATATGCACACCGCCATGGCTATGGAGTGTATATCCGGTATTTGCAAGACTTTGTGTCGCAAGACGAGCGCGAAGCTCCTCCAGACAAGATGCTATCGACATTGGAATTTGCCAAGGTTGCTCTTATGCGTGAGGCCATGTATGCTTTCCCACGCGCAGGATGGTTATGGTGGCTTGACCAAGATGCCGTTATTATGAATCATGCATTTGATTTTGCTGGGCGCGTGCTACTGAATAAGAATGCTCTTGAACGTCTCATGCTTCGAGATAAACCAATCATTCCACCAGCATCCATCATTCACACTTACAAAAATGTTCCTGCACGACAAGTACGGGTTCTAATGATGCAAAACGATGCAGGTATTAACTTGGCCTCATTTGTAATCCGCAATGACCCATTATATGGCCATTTACTTGTGGACTATCTTTCGGATCCTTTGCAACGTAGGTACGCTGGGTTTCGTGCTGCCGGGACCGGAAAGGCACTGAATGCTGCTGTTACGCATTTACTACAATGGCACCCTGCACTTTTGTCTCGCATGGCACTTGTTTCTCCCAAGCTATTGGGAGCGTACCCTGATGACCATGCTCTAGTGCGAGGTGCGGCATACGCTCCAGGAGACTTTGTGTACCTCCTCAAGTCATCACTACTTGCAAACCGTGGAGTGCTTGATGTGGATTTTATTACGGATGAGTGGGCAATTATGAAGAGTTCATCGGTTGCTGCGGGGTCTGTAACCTCCCCTGCACCACCCTCGGAGGCCCAGTGGCGGATGATGAAGGGTAATTAAAAAGAGAGCGATAGTGCATATAAATTATGTCTGAAACATTAATTACACTGAAGAGTTTGAAAAGGAAGAAGAAGAAGGAAAAAAAAAATATAAAAAAAAGAGATGAAATTTTGTTTTAGATTGGATGAAAAAAAAAAGTGAGATTTAAGGGGTGAGATGGAAGAATAGGTGGGAAAAGTTTCAAATTGCATTAATGGATATGAAAATGAAGAGAGAGAGAAAAAAAAAAGAAACATTCATATAAGAATAGAAATAATAAAAAAAACGGTTTATAAAGAGTTGGGAATTTGTTATTATATATATAATATAAGACTTATACAATTTTTTTTAAAATCTTTTAAATCTTTTATATTCATTTATTCAATTTTTGGGAAATTGAAATTGAATTTGAAAAGTGTAAAGAAAATTGAGGTTTTTTATTACCTTATAAGGTTTTTTATAAGAGTTTATTTTTTTTCATTTTTATTATTCAATTGAGTTTAAAAAATTGTTTTAAGAAGAAGAGACTTATATATAGATCTTAAAATTATAATATGATTATTGTTTAATAATAATTTCATTATTATTATTATTATTATTATTATTATTATTATTATTATTATTATTATTATTATTGAGAAACCTATACAAAAGAGAAAAAAAAGAAAAAAAAAAGAAAAAAAAAAAGAAGATAATTTTTTTTTTTGCAAGACCAAAAGAATATGTGGAATAGGATTTTTCAATGATTATAAAGTTGTATTGTTGTTGTTGTTGATAAATTTTTAGATGTGATATTTTTATTTATTTATTTTTTTTTTTCAGTATTTACAGAATAAACTTTTTTTTTTTTTTTTGTAAAACAAGTATTGTTGATCCCATTGAGTTTTAGAAGAAGAAAAAGAAGAAGAAGTGAAGTTGGATTAGATTATAATTGTTTAACTACTAAGTAGTTTAGAAAATGCTTTGAAATGAGTATGTGGGTGGGTGGAAGAATTAAAATTACAATTGCTATATAGTTTATAGTGTATATATAGTAGTGTATAAGTGTAAAGAGCTCAATCACAATTTTAATATATTACACATCATTACATATTATTACATAATAAATATATCTCTATACACTTTACAATATTTCTAAAATAATTATCATCATCAACTATCATTACTACCATCAACTCTTACTGAACTTATTTTTCTTTATTTTTTTTTTTTTTTTTTTTTTTTACAACTTTCTAAAGCTTTCCATCCTACTAACATACGTCTTATATCAATCAATTACCTTAAATGCTATAAAATTTATACCATCATAAAAAAAATGACAATATGGGTTTAAGTGATAACCATGAGTACTATATTTTTTATATCCTTTACTTGTTTATATTTTAGTTGTACATGTTTTAAGATAAAGTTAAAGGATTTAAAGTAATATAATTTTAAATATGCAAAAAAAAATGATAAAATATTTAAGTTCACTAAATTTTGTCTTTTTTTTTTTTGATTATTTTTATTTTTACTTTGCATAGTTTTTAAACATTTGAATTATCATTATTACACTTGAATTCCATTTTATTGTTATACCAAAAGCAAAAGCAAAAATATAAATTTATAATAATAATAAGGCAAAATGATGTTTATCATCTCTTAGATTTGGTATCAGAGAAAAGCTTAACAAGGACAATTTGTAGTACCCAATAAATATATAAAATGATAAAGTAAGATAAATCTTTATTTCAATTTTAATTAGAAAAAATAATTTTATTTTTTATGTTTCTTTGCATAGAAAAATCAAAAAAAAAATATCTGTTTTATTTCAAAATACTAATTTATTTATTTGTAACAATGAAACTGTGTTTACATTCGATGCAGTGTGGAAAACCAACTCAATTTGTGTTTTTATTATATATCAAAAATTAAATGACAACTAATGTGTTGTGTAACCATTACGATTCCATATTAATTAGCGGCTGTGCGTTATTTTTTTTTTTTTTCATTTAATCGAACTTAATCCTAATCCCTTGAAACAAAAAAGAAAAAAAAAACATTAAATTGACATTAGCATAATGTTTAGAATTGTCATTATTGTTGTTATTACCAGATAATCAAATCAATTTTCAAATTTTTATATGATTTCATTTACCAAATTGGTTTTATTTTTTATTTATTTTTTCCGCTATTAATTAGAAGGCTTAAACAATTGTTTTGAGAAAAATAATATCAATAAATATATCGTTATAATATTGAAAAAAAAAATTGAACCAACACAGTATTATTACCTTTGTTTATTTTAGGACTTGGATATCGAAAATTTGAATAAATCTTAAGTAGATTATCACATCATTTTAGAATTTTTTTTTTGTTAAGCCGTATTTATCAGCATAAAGTTGATTTATTATTTCAACTTTTTTCCTTAAAATTTTCTGCAAGTTTATTTACTTTTGATATCAGGTCAAAAAAAAAATCATCACCTCCCTCCCCCCCTTAATGTAAAAAAAAAGTGGCGTGTAGGATGTTGTTGTAATCGATTACCTTTTTTTTTAAAAAATTAATTTTATTTTATTGTAAAGAACAAAAAAAAAACCTTAGAACCAAATCATTTTAATAAAAAATAATAGACTAACATTTTTTTTCATGAAATTTGTAAAGCATTTCCATGTTATGCTATAAAAAAAAGTCATATTTTAAGGATTCCTTTTTAGTAACTTACATGTTTTGTTCATGTTGGTTTAATAGCATTTTAAAATAGATATTTTAAAACTAAATTCTCTTAAAAATTTGTTCTTTAACATATATCTGTGATTCTCTTAAAATTTTGGATTTTTTTTAGCATTCTGGTTAATATTTTAAAATGTTGAATTGAATTAGTTGATGGCACTAATTACTTGATGTTTGTACTTAATGAGCGTTAATGTTGTTTTAACTAGGTTTTGTTATTATATGTTTAAGTCTTGAATAATTTCACTTATTGTAAATTGAATGACTGATCTTCATGACGGCTTTTTAATATATGAATCGTTTAAAAATATTGTATTTCAAATAAAATATGGCTTATATTAATTTATAAAAACTCTTTATTGATGTAAATTTTTTTAAACCATTGACCTGTTATATGTATATTTTGAGATGTCTCTTAAATTCTTTTTTTTTAAATTTGCTAATTTGTCAAAAACTTATTGAATATTTGAGCTCTCTTAAAACATTGTTCATTATTAAGCAGTTCATTTTAGTTTTTTTAAAAATATTTTGTTTTAATTTGTTGTATTGAAGTTTTTTTGTTTGTATTTCATTGTTTTTATTCAAAAATTTATAAAATTCTCCGTGTATTCAAGCTGTTTTAAATTTTTTTCGCACACGATTGGAAATTTACTAAGGTCAAACTTTCAAGTTTATGGGCAATCTGGCCGAGTTGGTCTAAGGCGTAGGATTAAGGTTCCTATCTCTTCGGAGGCGAGGGTTCGAATCCCTCGGTTGTCATGTACTTTTTTATTTATTTAAATGATGGCTTTTTTGCTGAAAAGATGGATAAGACTCTTTAGAATTATGTGAAGTTGAATTTTTTTTATCATATGTGTTGATGATATTCAAAATTGTATGCTATCTTTTTCTTTTTAAAATTTTTTTTTCTGATCAAATTAACTTACTTTCAATATTTATGATGTTATTTTTGAAATTCGATCTCAAGATTTAAAACAAAACAAAAAAAAAAGAGAAATGTTAGTAAAAGACAATTCGATTTAATTAGAAAACATAATACTTGGATAATTTGAAAAAGTATTTTTATATATATTTTTTTAAAATAATTTGATTGATATTCAGAAAAAAAAAAAAAAAAGAAAGAGTTAATTTTTATAAAATTTGAAATAATTGAAGGAAATCTTTGTGTTTTTATAGCCAACCGTTTCTGCCGATCCATGATTTTAGATCTTTCTGCATTAAAAAGAAAATCTTAGATCTCAGATCTCAGATCTCATGTTCATGTTCATGTTCAATTCAACAGAATGAACATTCATGCTAATGGAAAATAATAATAAATACTTGAAATTCATCACGTCTTGTACATTTAAATATCAACCAATTGAAAAGTTTGTATTTGTGAATACCGTTGGCATTCAGTCACTCAATTTTTTTTTAGTATTCATCTTTACAAGAAAGGTCATTCAATCAATAAAAAAAAACAAAACATGGATTAAAAGAAAGCAATTACACAATAAGAAAGGAAAAAAAAGTACAAGAAATATAGAAACAAGAAAAAAAATATAAAGCTAAAAATATACTCATACAAAAAATAATAATAATAATAATAATAAAAAAAAAGGACAGACATTAATCAACAATGCACAGTTCTAAAGTCCACACACTTCGCAGATGAACCTTGATAGGCACATCACATCCAGGAACATCGGAAAAGGTGATTGTGTCCCACCAACACTTGCGCGCAGGTTTCTTCCAGAATAAAAACAGTTTCTGCGACTTGGCCAGGTCAACCGCCGGTTGCTGCTGCTGCTGCTGCTGTTGTTGTTGTGTCTGTAAATTTGGTTGCTCACTAGTGCTTCCAGGCTTGCCACCTTCTTCGCGGATAGTGCCTGCTGCGGATTCATGCGATTCATGTGAAGTTGTAGGCGAAACAGTATCAGGCAATTCAGCTGAAGTTACTGAGGTCGCTGGGGTCTCGTCCGATTCAGAAACCAGTGGAGGATCTTCAATCTGGTCAATAGACATTTGTGCTACACTCCTCTCGTCATCATCATCATATGGGTTACTTCTCTCTGTATAATCAGGTTGCTTTTGGTGATGTTCCATTGGCAGCAAGTCTGTCCGCAGACGAACCAGTGCCAGACTGCTAACGACAGTCTTATTAGGCTCCATTTCGCGGTAACCCCAGGTCTCATCAGGGGAAAAGCCTGTTGAGCAGAGCATTTCAATCAGGTGTTGTTCTGGCGACCCAGGCAGCTCCGATTTACGCAGGCCAGCAAGGACCTTGTTACGTTGAACTAGCAGCTGACCACAGGCACGTTTAATGCTATTCATTTGACGTTTAGAAACTATTTCTGAAGGCGGAAGACAATAAAAGTCTACATCTTCGCGAAGCACAATAACAGCTGGTTTTGTGCGGATAGCCTCTGCAAGGTCAGTCATTTCAAGAGTCGAGAGCGAATTACGCGGCGACTCGTTGCTCATGGCTCGAAATACATCTAGTGTGTATTGCAGGAAGCGTGGAGGGAAGTTAATATAGAGAGGGTTAGTGGGATCCCCAGAGTCAAGAGTTGGAGCGCCGGTGACGATACTCGAAGAGAGACCGACAAGGATGCATTGAGGGAGGCGGTACATTTCGTGTTGGGTCAGCTCAATGAGAGTTCCACGCGCATTGATAACAAACTTGTGCGAGGCATTTTCTTGAGCCTTTTGTGCATCAGAAGCTGACGAAGAGCCATCGTTTCCCCAAGAAGACTGGTATCCGGCTGATTCATCGACCTGAGTGAGGATAGAAGCAGGAGGGACTGGTTCAGCAGATGCAGCTGGTAGAGACATTGAAAAGACGTTTTTAACAGGAGGGTAGTATGGTGGAGGAGGCTGTTGTTGTTGCTGTTGCTGTTGCTGTTGTTGTTGAGACTGATTGATAGTAGTGGTGATAGAATCAGCAGCAGTAGAATCAATAGGATTGGAGTTTGTTCTGGATGAAAGAAAAGCTTGAGAAGAAGATGCGTTTAAAGGGATATCGTGATAATCATACACAGGAGGGGTTTGACTATCAGGTTTTGGAAGTTGTATGTTATTGCGATAATCGGAAGATACTCTTGTAGGTCCTGTGGGTGCAGCAAAGAAGGAGCTTTTGGCAACGGTTGGAAGCTTTGACGGCAGCTTTGACGGCAGCTTTGACGGATGAGGCGGTGGCGGTGACGGCGACGGCGGCGGGTCGAAACGAGTGGAAGGAGTTGGACTGGGCCACGGGGGGTGTTGGCGGCGAATTTTTGCGGTAGTGGTGGTGGAGGGGGGAGGGAGAGTTAAAGAGATGGAAGGACAAGAAACGAGAGACTGGAAAAGTTGAGAACAGGCAACAAGTTGGTATTAAAAGATGTCTTCTTGTTGAGCTATTATATATAAATAATAATAATAATAAAAAAACAAGATCCAAAAAGGGAAAAAACCAAAAAAAAAAAAAAAAAAAAAGCAACGCTTTGAAGCTTGCTGGCGATGCTGGTTTTGTTTTGTTTCTACAAGATTTGCTGGTAGTAGTGAGTGCTATTAGGGGGGGAAGTTTGAAAATGCAGCCAAAAATGGCAGGAAAAAAGTCTTGCGATGCTGCTCGAAATGGAGGTTTAAACAGGGTTAGGGATTGCCTAAGTTATTTATCTATTATATATATTATTACTGGGTAAAATGTAATTTACTTTATGGTAACTTAATATTATCAACATGAATAACATACGCAAATCTCACATATGAAAATAAACCAACAACAACCCAAAAAAAAAAAAAAAAAAAAAAAAAAATGCCGCTGAGACCCGGAACTGTAGCAAAAGCTGCGATAAACCGGTACCGTCAAGATCTCTCTCGGAAGTACCTTTCTACTAAGCCATCGAAAGCCAATTATGGTGATGACAACGATGACGACGACAAGGCTATGACGCGACGGTTGGCGCAACTGGCAGAGGAAAGCCGGCCATTTAAAGACGACCCGCTCGCAGGGAAGCCATCGTTTTTAAGTCCGGACGAGGTGGCACCCGGGTACCATGAAACAGTCGGCGCACTTGCTCAAAAGATAGAGTCACAGGCACACAAAGAGGCCGAGTATGCGGCGCAGCACCAGCGTGCAGTGCACCTGGCACGTATCCCGAAATATGTGTCCAAGGCTGGCGTCGATACCGCTCATGCAACCCCCTGGACAGGACAAGAACATCATACGGATCTGGCACACCGGATGCTGGTGGACTCTGTGGGACCTGCTAAACAGGTACCTGCAGCTAGCAGACGAAGTATGGGCGATCCCCTATTACCCATGCCCACATTTGCAGCTGATAAGCGGGCCGCGCAAACAGCGGGCTCGAGGATTGCAGCGGCACGCGAGCAATCGTTGGATTATTCTGCATTAAAGCATTCAACCGAAGATAAGCTTAAAAAGTCACCGCTTGATGAGGAAGATAAGTCTGGCCCGTCATTCCGTGAGCTTTATGCAGAACGGTTTACACCTGTGGCAGTAGCCGGAACAGCCTCGTTTGCAGGAACAGAGTCTGCAATTGCATCGTTAGCTACACAGCGCATAGAGGCTGCAATGGCTCGGGGAGAGTTTGCGTCTGTTCGCCGGGGCCCACAGGCTGGAAAGGGTACCGGCGCATCGACCCCGGAAGTTACCCCACACATTGATACCACCGAGTACTTGCTTAACCGCATCGTCAAGTCCCAGGGAGGTGCACCCGTATGGATCGATCGGCAACGTGAGCTGCATACCCGTATTGATAATTTCCGCAGAGAAATGGTTGCCAAGTGGGTTCGCCAGTGTGTTGTTGCACTTGACGACCGCGGCGGGTCCGTGGCCGAAAAGATTGCTCGTGCTGAGACTCTTGCAGCAAAAATTAGTGCTGAGGGTTCCAAGTTCCATGATGTTAATTGGGAAACTACACAAGAAAAGTACCATCAAATGTCGATTGACAATATCAACTCGGCAATCCGTAGCTACAATCTACAGGCACCCAGTGTCGCACGGTGGTCTGGTATTGTGCTGGCTAAAGAGTTAACTACATGCTATGCTACAGGTGCAAACCGACTTGTACCTGATCTCAAAGCATTACTTATAGCCCCGCCACCACCGCCAGCTCTCAAGCCAGGCGAGATTCCTCATTCACGTCCCACTGGAGCTGCGTTTTCTATGGACGCACCGCAGCTTCTTTACGAAGAAAAGGAAGAAGGGTTTCTTTTAAACAGGTTTAAAGATTTGTTCCGTACAAAGTTATTCTAAATATTTTTACAAAAAAAAAAAAAATACAAAAAAGATAATGAAAAAGAAAACCAAAAAAAAAAAAAAAGCCCGTGTATATGAATTTTTAAATAATATTTTATTCACCAGGTGTGGTGATTCCTTGAGATACGCGGATCATGGAGATCCACGGGTCCTGGAGTAACATGAGAGCCGTTGGACGTTTACGGGGCTCACGCTCAAGCGTGCGCTCCACAAACTTGATCCCATATTCCGAAAGCTGCTCCGAAACTGGTAATTGAGGCAACTGTCCCGCCGCAATATGATACATGATTGCCCATTCATTATCAAGATTGGCCCATGGTCGTCGTCCTGTTGCCATTTCCAGCACGCAGCACCCTAGTGACCAAATGTCAATAGCTGTTTGCAACCCTCGCTCGCACTTGCCGGTAATTACCTCGGGTGCCATGTACATGGGAGTTCCAATCATACTGTTAATGCGATTGGCAGTCGCAGGTGGAGGGCCAGCAGAAGCGGCCTCAGAAGACTCTCCATTTTCACCTGAAGCTGAAGATGCAGCAGCAGCGGCAGCAGCGGCAGCAGCGGCTGCTGCTGCTGCTTCTTCACCACTACTTGTTGCTAATCGCGACTGACCTCTGCGTGCAATGACCTTTGCTGCACCAAAGTCCACAAACTTGATGATACCCATGTGATCCAAGAGCACATTTTCTGGTTTGACGTCACGGTGAACAATGCCCATTTGATGGAGGTACGCAAGACCCTCCAGCATCTGCATGGTGTACACTTGTATCACGGTTTCGTCTTCGATCCGGCCGCATTCAAGCAGTCGCGCAAGGGACCCGCCCTGGCAATACTCCATAAACAAAAACACTCTGTCCCGGTGCACCTCGACTCCGTAGTACTGTACAATGTTAGGGTGTCGTAGCATTTCCAAAACTGTCATTTCGTCACGGATCTGCTTTAGCGCCTGTCGCATTGAACTAGGGTCCTGCATTCTAATCTCTTTAACGGCCATGACACCTCCTGTATCAAGGTTAACCGCTGTGTACACAGAACCAAACGATCCAGCGCCAATAAATCGACCCTGTTTCCAGCGAATCGACATGCGTGAGAAATTAGATACAAGATATGTCACCAGTTCTAAATTCGAATCACTCTCGTCAAGCACCTTGCCCATGTTTTGTTGCGACCATGAACCTTCCATCTCAGTAATGCGCTTGTATGTGTCTCTATGGAACTCCTCAACAAGATCCAAGTCGAATTTGGCAGCATTATCGCGCTTGGTCAACTCTCTAGAGTTACGTTGTCGTGCAGCAGTAGACCGAGCACCCATAATGTCAAAGTGTAAAATCAAAAGAGTCATGCAGCCAGCAACCTTGAGTCGCAGCTGAGTAAACTGATCGTTGGAGAGGGCAATGATGTTGACACCGCGAGTCAAAATCATAGTAAACTCAATGGCAACGACTGTCCATCGGTAAGTTTTGAGATCTGTTGGCACACAGTCGTCGCAAATAAAGGATAGCCATTCGATACACAAGTTTATCAGTTCCGAGGCTATTTGACTGCGCCAAGCAGGAATCATAATGTTCATGCCGCGTTGGCCAAATTCACGAGCAAACACAAACATATTATGCACAATTTCTTGGTAACCCTTGAACTTTTTGCGGAATTTGCAAGTATTGGAAATGACGGAAATGGATGTACGGTAAAGCAGTTTGCGCATGCGATTGAGCTCATGGTTGACTTTAGATTGATGGGAGATGGAATCTGCCGTCACTTCAAAGTTGTCGAGAGAAATGTTTTGACCAGCAAGAATTTCACGAACAGTATTAAGGTCGTGAAGACCGCCCTCGGAAACAAGACGTAAGCGGCCTGCTTGCAAATCCATGGAGTTTACTGCATCAGGTGCTTCAAAGCTCATTTCGACCAGTGGGCCTTCCCAAGTAAGGGGCTCTTCCAGTCGGAAAAGAATAATGTATTCGGGACGGTAGGACAAATCACCTTCGACATCTTGGTCGTAATAGTAACCTTTGAGTAGACCTTCTATAGTGCTTGGTCGGTCAATCAAGCCAGGACTGGCAATGATGAATGCATCTTGGTAAAAGTCCGTAGGGACCACCAAAAAGTGATTTGTATCTTGAAGCATATCGAGAAGTGCTTTAAGTCTAGTATTTTGGAACGACATTTCAACGGCATTTTTATAGTTTGTCGAAAGAATTTGATAAAAACGTAAAAGTTTACGCTGAGCTTTGCGTACTTGTTCCGAAGTTGTAGATTGCCAGCGTTGAAGTTCAGCCTCGTTGAGCATGACGGGGCCAGCAGTTTGGCGATCCCAATAGCGAAGCATATTGTTGACCATTTTGGAAGCCAGCAGACTAGAGCTCATGGCTACGGTAATGCGGCCGTCCTTAATGGGGCGTGCAATACGATCTAAAAAGGCGTACTGAGTTTCGAGAGATTCAATATCTTTGAACCCACGACCGTAATGGTGAATTGGTGTATCTGAGAGCTTTGTTTGGGACAAGACAAAAAAATATTCAATACACTCCAAAATAGACTTGTCAAAGGCAGCATCTGGGGTGCAGTCGACCCAGTCGACTTCATTTAGGGGTTGTATGTAAGAATTTGTGCGTTCTTTAATCATGTAGGCAATATTGAGGTAGAGGGTAATATCTTCAATGTTTTTATCAATGAGCATCATTGTTGGGTTAGACATGCCCTTTGAAAAGGCAAGAGAGGAGCGGATGATTTCGTGAATCAAGTTAACTGGGAAAGATATGAGCACTTGAAGCCCAGCACGTTGGATGGGGAGACCCAATACCCGCATTTCTGCCCCATATTCGGCGAGGCCTTCGCGGGCGGAGATTATGATGGGCTCAATGTGTTTGTCGAGTTGAGTGCGGAAGATTTCTTGGGGGTCCTCGTTTTTCAAAATGTGTTCTGTGAGGGTAGACATATCAATCATAATATCCGAAAAGGGTTTATGGGGGTCCATTTCGTAATTACCGGCCCAGCGACGAAGAAGATTAACTTCTTCAGTGACACGTTCAGTAATATTGATCCAGGTGTTGAGGGCATCAAGCATTCGCTGGAACGTATCATCGCGGTAGATTGCACTATTTGCCTTGAAAGCCTGGGTGGAAGTCCAGAGCATTTCACATTGTTCGATACGGTCCAAAACTTCATGAACTTCTTCGCGACAAAGGTCAAAGTTTGTTGAGTCGGTTGCAGTGAATTTCATAATTTCCTTGAGGGTATTGTCTACAGTTGAACGAGACTCTTCAATGATTTTTTTTTGAGCCTCAAGAGTGCGGCCACACATGCGTGCGCGGATGCCAATCCAAACATCGTCTTCCTTCATGATGGCGCCGCCAGTTTTAAGTCTGTTTTTTTCAGAGGTGACGACATCGCCTGTCAAGACAGAGGCCAGCATTGCTTGCCATTCGAGGCGTTCATGGAGATTTTCGTCATAGCCTGGAGTCATTTGATTGGATTCTAGAAAGGAATAGGACGACAGTGTGTCAGCATAATCGTCTCCAAAAGTAGTGCCCATACCGGAAAGACCGGTAACTTCAGAAAGATCCGAGTCATCATCCGAATCTGAGTCCGAGTCCAGTAGGCCAATACGTCTAAAAGAGTAGGAATCATAGGAATCTTTTTGAATGTATTGGAGGTATCCCTTTTCTTGTGCATAATAGCGGTTGCTTGCCTCGCTACCGGAAGAGTTATTTATGCTGGGGGAATTATTGCTGCTGCTACTTCCGCCACTGTTATTTGGTCCGTTTAAGCCATTAATATTGCTGTTACTATTGCTATTATTACCATTGTGATTAATGTTTCCAATGTTATTGTTATTGTTGTTATTATTATTAGTACCTGCACTACGGCGTTTTGAGTTAAGAGATGTTAAACTGCTAGAAGAAAGGGAGCGGTTGAGATGAGTTTTAGATTCTCTTGAGCGAAGTAGAAAGGAAGAATCTTCGTTATCTCCGAGGGACTTTGCGAGGAAAGATTTTGAGCGAGATAGAAGAGGTGGTAGTGGTGGAGAGCCTATTGCAACTGGAGAGGTAAGAGCTGATGAGGAAGGACCAAGGGGGGAAGAGGGGGTATGGTGGTATCTGGAAGAGCCTGAACTACGTGGGGATGCAGAGTTTGGAGAGGATGGTTGTTGAGAGTCAGCAATTGATGGGTATAGGTCAAAGGAGACGCGTTGTTGGTTATGAGAGTGTGGTCTTGCTTCGTAACTTTTTGCAGAGATGAGAGAGGGTCTTTGGGAAGGTTTTGTAGTTGAGAATGATGTTGAACGAGAGTGTGCTGGGGATGTTGGAGATGCAGGTTTTAAACGGTGAATTTGGGAAGTTGGGATGGAAGAAGAAGAAGAAGAAGGTGAAAGAGGAGAAGGGGCATTTGGTTTGAAGGAGGCTTGAAGAACCCGTGAATCTTTGTAAGAAGACCTAGGGTTCTTGGGTGTATTGTCTAGAGGTTGGTTGCTGCTTGCCATTACAGTTGGTTATAATAGAGGAAGAGGTGGATGTAATGATAGGCCATGGCTAGTGGTGGTGGTGGGTGTGGTGTATGAGTGTTAGTTGGATATGTTTAAAAAGTAATGACGGCTAAAAACAAAGCCATGATAGGTTTTGGATGGTAGTTGTTGTTGGTGGTGGTAGTGGGGGGTAGAAATTGAATTGAGAGGTTTTGAAAAAAAAAAAAAAAAAAAAAAAAAAAAAAAGATAAAAAGAAAAGATAAAAAGAAAAGTAAAATTAATATTGTTACAACATCACGTGGCTTGTTACAATTAACTAATAATTAATAAATAATTATTAATAATGAGTAATATTTAATGTTATTAATAGATATATATATATATATATATATAAATAAATTTAATAAATTCTTGTGCTTCGGCATTTAAAGAAGAAAAAAACAAAATATTTCTTTTATTTTTTTTTTTTTTATTTTTTTTTTTTTTTATTTTTTCAAATTTCTTATATATATTTATTCCGGAATTTCCGAATTTCAAAATTATATATATTTATTTATTTATTGATTTTCATTAATTAATGACGTTTTTATAGTTTAAATTTTGCCGTTCAAACGGTTCATACGTATTTCTCCATAAATATTTGTATTTATTATATATTATAGAAATATTACGTAGAAGACTATAGTTATATAAATGTTGTTTTGAAAAAAAAAAAAAAAAAAAAGTGTTAATTTTTATTGTATTAAATATTTTTATTATAATATATTAAAGTTGAAATTGACTTTTACAAGTGATTTTTAAGATTTTTTAAGGCGAAGCCAGTGAAACACTCGGGTTATCAACACTTTTTTTTTTTTGCATTGAAGAAAAAAAAACCTTTTATTGCAACAAATTCTTTAGATAACAATAGAATAAAATAAAATAAAATATAAAAGATCAAGTTTGAATTTATTTATATATATATATATATAGAAATAGCAATATTGCTATTAATCTGTTTTTAAATTTCTATAGTAAATAAATATAAATATAAAATATATACTTCTCCAAACGTATCTCTTGTTTTTATGCCATCGGTCAAGAAAAAAAAAATCTGTGTTTATTATATATCGCGCAAGAGACTTTTATAAATAATAAAAAAAATTCAACTTAACTGAGTTTCTTTATACTTCCTTCTTTCTTTCTTTCTTTCTTTCTTTCTTTCTTTCTTTCTTTCTTTCTTTCTTACTTTCTTACTTTCTTTCATTTTGAATATTATATATATATTGAATTTTTTTTTTAAAAGTACAAGTGGCTGTTCTCTTGTTAATTAAAAAACTGACTAGCTAAAACTTAGTACCTATATATATATATATATATATATATATATATATTTATATTCACAACTAGTTGCAGTAGTAGCAGTTACATATACAACAACAATAACAATCTCTTTCTTCTACTTTACCATCCATTTTAATTAAATATTAAATAACAACACACCTACCAACAAACCCCCCTTTTCAAGTATAAATATATACTTAAGAACAAACAATGAATACATTAATACGATCAATTTTCTCTGCTATTCTGCTCATGACCCTGTTTTTGAGTACAACTAATGGTGAGTCCTGTCTTGCCTTGTAATTTTTTTTTTTTCATCCTTCCATGCTAACAACAATATAAACAGCCCAGGTTTACAAGAAAACTTCAGCCACTAAAACCTCAACCAAAACAACAGCAACAACACAATGGCCCACCTCTGTTTGGTATACCAAAGTCACAGCTGGTGTCACAACTGCTTACCTGAGTGCATTTTACCAGTCGTTTGATCCCATGTACACTGCACTTCAAGAGCCTTCATCTGGAACCATTGGTCTGGGGACTTTAAGTGGTACTGTCGGGACAGTACGACCATTGAAGACTTTAACTGTCACTACCAAGCATTAGAAAAGAGGATAAATGAAGAGGGGTGAAAAAAAAAAAAAAGAAAGAAGAAGACATATAACGATATATACACATTTATTTAAATAATGAACATAATGAGTAATTACTATTTTATTAATGATATAACTTTAATGCCAAAACCCTGTGGGTGATTTTCAAAGTTTCACTTTATCTGCTTAATTTTTTTTTTTAAAGGGTGCAGGCTTTAAAGTTTTTCTTTTTTATTTTATTTATTTTTTTTTTGTGAGATACTCGAACTTTGTAACTTATAGTGCAAGTTCTATTGTATATTTATATATAAAACTTATGACTTGTATCTTTAGTCTTATGCGGCTTTCTTTAACATTGATAACGATCAGTCAAAAAATCATCACCATCTTTCTGTTGTGATCTCGGCAAACTTATTTGTGTGTGTGTTTTTTTTTATGTATTTTTATTTTCTCATTTCTAATTCCTTCGACATCTTTAACAATCATCATCACACGGTTCCCCTGGTTTCTTGTTTTATCCCTCATTAACATGCCCAAGTTAAACAATACCTATATCAACAAAATCAACTTGTCTAGAGAAATCCTCCAATTGCCTACGCCGCCACTACAGCATCATCATCAGCAGCAGCATCAGCAGATCAAAATGGAAAACAATTTTAACGAAAACATCAATTGTATTATCGATGAAGAAATATCAAATAGCATTGACTTAAGAAGTAGTCCTTCAATCAAGAATGAAGATGACGGTGAAGAAGAGTACGTATTAGACGAAAACAATAATGGGAACTTTCAAAAGGGGGAACCTGGAATAAAGAAAATTGCACGCAAGTCTTTAGCAATTGATGCTAGTATACCAATAAGTTTTGGACTTGCTGTTGCAGCTACCACTAATGCCAATTGCATTCAGGAGTTTACACCAGACTTGAAGGTTAAAAGAAGACGAGCAATTACATGTGGAGAGCCCGGAAAACGCAAGCGCAAGTATACAAAAGCCAAGCGAAGAAACACAATAGGATGGAAACCTGATTATAGCGATGATGAGAATAATAATGATGACGATGAGGATTATGTGGATTATCAAGAAGATGGGGAAACAATTGGAATCAATGAAGAAGAGGAAGAAGAAGGAGAAGAAGAAGAAGAAGAAGAACATGTATCCCTAGGGAAAGCTCGGCAAGTCACACAGAATAATTCTCGAAGCCATGCACGAAGATGGACTGAGTCTGATGATGACAAGGTTGCATTTTTACGTGAGTATGGTCATTTAAAGTGGCATGAGGTGACGGAGTTTATCAATGGCAGACACACGCCACAAGCTGTTCAAATGCGATATCTGCGGAGTTTAAAGCGACGCAACGACCAGCTAACGTCAGAAGAAACGGCCAAACTGGAGCGATTAGTGACGGAGGACTACGAGACACGATTCAAAAGATTAAGCACAGCAATGGGACCTGCATTTACACCTGTACGCATACAAAAGATATTTTTGCAACAGTGCGGGATGGGGGCATACTTGGACTCACAAAAAACGTGGACCAAGGAAGAAATTAGTCGACTTGTAGACGAAGCTGGAGGTGATTTTGATAGCTTTGAAGTACCTATTAGATCAGATGAGCTACCTCAGCGGGCACGAGAGCATATGGCAGACAAGTATAGCAAGACGTATGAAGAACTGGTGGGCATGTACGTTGGTGGTGATCCAGCAGATGTTGTAATTCGCGAATGCTGATGAAGGTGGATTTTTTTTTATTTATTTCTATTTTATTTTATTTTATTTTATTTTATTTTATTTTATTTTATTTTATTTTATTTTATTTTATTTTATTTTATTTTATTTTATTTTATTTTATTTTATTTTATTTTATTTTATTTTATTTTATTTTATTTTATTTTATTTTATTTTATTTTATTTTATTTTATTTTATTTTATTTTATTTTATTTTATTTTATTTTATTTTATTTTATTTTATTTTATTTTATTTTATTTTATTTTATTTTATTTTATTTTATTTTATTTTATTTTATTTTATTTTATTTTATTTTATTTTATTTTATTTTATTTTATTTTATTTTATTTTATTTTATTTTATTTTATTTTATTTTATTTTATTTTATTTTATTTTATTTTATTTTATTTTTTTTTATTTTATTTTATTTTATTTTATTTTATTTTATTTTATTTTATTTTATTTTATTTTATTTTATTTTATTTTATTTTATTTTATTTTATTTTATTTTATTTTATTTTATTTTATTTTATTTTATTTTATTTTATTTTATTTTATTTTATTTTATTTTATTTTATTTTATTTTATTTTATTTTATTTTATTTTATTTTATTTTATTTTATTTTATTTTATTTTATTTTATTTTATTTTATTTTATTTAGAGAGTTAGCAAATTAGTAAATAAGCAAGGAAAAAAATGTAATATGCGTATATCTGAGAATGAAAGAATATATAAGAGAATGGTCACGCGACTTAATTTTAGCCGTGCTTGGGGGGAGGGGGGGAAGAGAGAAAAGGCGATGAAGAAAAGAAGGATCCGACCGGGTATTTGAAAAAAAAAAAGAAAAAGAGTTGGTTGTTGGCCGGGACATTAATAAAAGTAGAAAATAGCTATAGAATTAAAAAAAAAAAAAAATCTAATATTTTATTATTTGTTTTTTTAAGAATATAACATGAAATATAAATATATATATAGATTTATTAATTTATTTATTCACGAAAAAAAAAAAAAAACTTTTGTAAAAACTTGTAACGATCGGTTCCAATGTTAACACAATTTCTTAGTGATTGAAAATGACCATCGCCATCACCCACCTTTTGGCGGTGCTACAAGTGTTTTGGTGTGTGTGTGTGTGTGTGATGTGTCTCCTACACAGAAAATTTTTTTTTTTTTTTTCAAAAATTTTTTTTTTTTATTATTTTAATTTTTCATCACCACCACCACTTAAATTTTTTTTTTTTTTGATTCCATCATCAGCCTATCGATCTATTATTATTATTATTATATATCACCAATATATATATATAAAAATATATAATAAATACCCTTTTTATTCCTTCATCTAAAACAAAGAATCAATCAGATTAACAATGGCAACTACTGAAGAAGTGACTAAAAAACTAGACGACCTTAAGGTCGAAGATTCGGCTCCATCCTCAGCCGCCACCACCTCTTCCACAACAACAACAGCAACAGCAACAACAACAACCTCCAATACCACCAATACCAGCCAAGAACCTTCTTCTTCTTCTTCTTCAACTACCACTCAAACCACAGTTCTTTCATCTCCTGATAGTTTTACTGCAGTTCACCCACTATCTTCTTCGTGGACCCTTTGGTTTGTGAAGCCACCTTTGGGTAAGAATGATGACTGGAAGGATCTGCTGACAGAAATTGTGACTTTTGAATCAGTCGAAGAGTTTTGGGGTGCTTACAATAACCTCAATAAGGTTTCCCAGCTCCCACTGCGCTCTGATTATGCTCTTTTTAAAACTGGTATTAGACCTGAGTGGGAAGATCCTAAAAATGCAAACGGTGGTAAAGTCGTTTTCAGTCTTAAGGACCACGGTGTTTCACCTGCTGCCGCTGCCGCTGCCGCCGCTGCTGCTGCTGCCGCCGCTCCAGGCTCTACTCCTGCTGAGCCCGTTTCCCGTGTTGACGAGATTTGGCTTGGACTTCTTTTGGGTCTTGTTGGCGGCACTCTGGATCTGACAAATGATCCCTCAGTTCCTGTTGAGGAACAAAAGGTCAACGGTGTATTTGTCAATGTGCGTAAGGCTGCTGTCCGCTTCAATCTCTGGACCAAGGACCTTGATGAGGAAAAAATCAAGCCCATTGCTAATAGATTTAAGGAGATTTTGAAGATTGATCAGACTGAAGAGCTGGAGTTCAGTCCTCTGGATTCATCCATTGGCCGTCCCAAGAAGCGAACTCTTTAAAGGAGAGGGAGAATGATTTATCTTTTATATATATATATATATTTCTCTCTCTCTATTTCTTTTTTTTTTTATTATTATTTTAAAGCAGTAGTAGTAGTGTTAATATAGTTGTAGTTATGATAGTCATTGATGATGATGTTATATTGTTATTGTTGTTCAAAATTAATCAAAGTTAAAGTTAACTTAATTAGTTGATTTAACTTTTTTTTGACATTCCACGTGATCTCCATTCCTTTAAAATATTAACTTTCCCTTCCTCTCAAACCCCCCCCCCCTACATTAAACCTCCTTTTTCAATAATCAATAACCTGCCCTTACATCCCACCTCTCTTTCCCCCAAACGCAATTATACCTGCCTTTTTTCCCCCCAAACTATGGCCTTTGAAGACCGTACAACTAATCTCACAGCCCTGGCCACCGTCGCCACTCTGTTTGTGTCCATGTTCATTTACGGTATCCAGAAGCTCCAGGAGATGATGGTGTACCCGTCCAATGTCCCTGAAGGCTCACGTAGCCATGTGGATACTCCAGCCAAATACGGCATTCCATTTGACGATATCAAAATCACCACTCCTGATGGCGAGACTCTACAAGCATATATCATGGTTCAGCCGGAAGAAGATGAAGATGAAGATGAACAACCTACGCGCAAAACAGTAGTCATGTTTGCACCCAACGCGGGGAATATCGGTCACACTTTGCCCATTGCTGAAATTCTTTACAAACAAATGCGATATAATGTCGTCACCTTTTCATACAGAGGCTACGGGTTATCAACGGGGAAACCGTCTGAGGCAGGAATTAAGATTGATGCTGGTAGTGTGCTACGGTATTTGCGGGATCATCCAGTCATTAAACAAACACGACTTGTTCTTTATGGTCGTAGTTTGGGAGGAGCTGTTGCCATTTACTTTGCCTCGCTTCCTGAGGCTTCAGGCTTTGTATCTGGGATTGTTTTGGAGAATACATTTTTATCAATTGTTAAAATGATTCCTGAAGTTGTATCATTATTACGTCCTCTTTCATTTTTATGTACCCAGAAATGGGACTCGGAAACAACAATTGCCCTTGTTCCAAGCGATATTAAGCTTTTGTTTCTATCAGGTAAAAAAGATGAGCTTGTACCACCAGCACATCACAAGAAATTGTTTGATCAATCGCGCGCAAAAGTCAAATATTTCAAGTCACTACCTGAAGGTCACCATAATAATACAGTAGTGCAGCCCAATTATTGGACTTATTTTTATGGATTTGCAGCAAAGTGTGATCCTCGCGAAGACGTGCGATCAACATCTGAGGGATTGCGTGTTGGTGATTCATTGACACAAGAAGAGCTGGATGAGTTTCTACGTGATGATGAAAATGGTAAAGTGACGGCGGTCAAGACAAGTGATAAGACCCAATGGATTCCTCTTTCTAATGAAGATGCTGTCAAGGCCGCTTCAATCACCAACATTAAGGACGTTTTGTAGTGTATTTATTATTATTTATTAAATATTATTATTCATTATCATTATGTTCATTATTATTAAAAAAAAAAAAAAAAAAAGAAGAAGAAAAATAAAAAGATTTACTTTTCTGCATTTGTTATGTCCTCCAGCGAAATACCCGAGTTTTGACACATGGACCGGAAAATACCATGTGTGTGTCCATACAACACCTCAGGCTTATCAAACTCTGCAATACGTCCTCGGTCCATAACTAGGATCCGGTCATAACTCAGAATAGTTTTAAGTCGGTGTGCAATGCACAATATAGTACAATGTTTAAACTCAGAACGGATTGTGGCTTGAATCTTTGAATCTGTTTGGAAATCCACATTAGATGTGGCTTCATCCAAAATTAATACCCGGGCCCCGCGTACCAGTGCCGTCGCCAGCGTCAGCAGCTGCCGCTCGCCCAATGAGAAATTGCTTCCATCGTCTTCTACTGTTCGGTCCAAATGGAACTTGGGCATGCCTGCAGTTTCGTCTGCTAGCAATGCACCTGTATTAATCCCCCGTGCTTCTAGTTCCTGAACCTTGTTTAATTCGCCTACATCCACAAGCCACGACCGCCTTAATGCGTCCCATAGTTGTGTATCGTCGTACTCGCCAAACGGATCAATGTTGGAGCGCACAGTCCCTTGGAACAAAACAGGGTCTTGAGGGATAATTGCCAACTTGGATCTCAAGTCATGTAACCCAATGGTTGAAATGTCGACTCCATCCAGCTCAATTTTGCCACTTTGAAGTTCCACAAGACGATATAACGCAGTCATGATGGTACTTTTGCCTGCACCTGTACGTCCACAAATTCCAATTTTCTCGGCACCAGCCACATTTGCTGTAAACTCCTTGAGGGCTGGAGGCAACTCTGGCCGGTACGCCATAGTTGCATTTGTAAAGACCAGGTGGCCACTTTCCGGCCATTCAGGTCTTGGTTTGCGTTCTGCTGGAGAATGGAACCCTGCTTCTTGTTCCACGTTATAAGCATAATGGTGGATACGTTCGACAGAGTTCATGGAGTTTTCAGTGGTGGCCATTTCACGGATAATGAGCGAGAGAATGGGCATGATTTGTAAAATTCCTGAAACAACCAAACCGACCGAAGAGGGAGAAATATCAAAAACACCAGTGACACAGAGCAAAGTCGTGATGATGGTCATGGAAAAGCCAACAAGATCAAGACGGGTGGAAAGCCAGCGCTGGTTGACTAGAGTAGCAAAGTTTGCAGCATTCATGGAGTTGATGTGGACCTCGAGGGTTTTGGTGAAGCGGTCTTGTGCGCCGTAGGCCACAATGGTGGACGCACCGTTGAGAGCCTCGCCAAAGTGGGCAAAAACGCGGGACCGAACAACAGCATCGAGACGTTTGACATCGCGGGCCGAGGCCCTGTAGAAGCTTGCAAGCATGGCAAATAAAAAGCCCAAGCCGGCGACAGCAATGAGGATCCAAGGTAAGAAGCAAGCAACCATGATGAGGGTAGCAATACAGGAAGTCAATGAAGTCAAAAACAATCTTGATTGATCTGAAAGTTCCATGTCCATTGTGTTTGTATCGTGGGTGAAGCGGTTAAGGATACGGCCGAGCGGGGTTGAGTCAAAAAAACTCATGGGGGCATGGAGCATGGAATGAAAAGCACGCATGTTGAGCTCTTTGGCTGTACGGTTTCCAATGACAGTTAGGGTGAAGAAGAACAAGAACATAAGGACGGCCGCGGAGACGGCAAAGAGAACGAAAAGGCCAATGTAGAAACCCTCTGAGCGTGAAAATTTGTCTGAAGTCCAAAATGAGAGCCAGACAGAGTTAAAGACTTGGGCATAGTTGGCAAGGGCTACAAGAAGAGCAAATAGCGGGACAAACCACCAACCAATTCCAAAAGACCCGAACTTGACAAAGTCGCGGTAAACATCGATTGAAATGCCGTTTGTTTCACGTTCTTCAGTTTGCATTAAAACACCAGAAGATTTTTTAATTGATTTGGTAGTTTCCCTGCGAGCAATTTGATTCGTTTCATCATTATCTCCTTCTACTTCTCCTCCTTCTTCTTCATTATCATCTTCGTCGGTTTCTTCCTTTTCTTCCATCTGATTGTGTTGATTATCATTGTAGGCCATTAGAGCATCAAAGGCAGGGACTGTTTTGCGTAGATGATTGACGGTGCCAATGACAAGCCCACCAGAACCGTCCAGAAAGACCACCTGGTCGGCATACTTTTCAATAAGAGCCAATTGGTGAGTGGCCAGCACACGGGTTTTGTTTGCCATGAGACCAAGCAAACAGTTTTCCATAATGTATTTGCCGACATGTGCATCCACAGCACTGAGAACATCATCAAGTAGAATAATATCTGAGTTTGCATAAACCGCGCGTGCCAAATTAAGGCGAGCCTTTTGGCCACCAGATAGTGTAATGCCACGTTCTCCTACCTCGGTGTTATCGCCAGCAGGCAAAATGTCGAAGTCTCGTTGTAGGGCGCAAGCCGTGACGACTTGTGCATACCATTCTGGGTCGAATTCATGGCCAAAAACAATATTGTCACGGACTGTAGAGTTTTGGACCCATGGTTGACCAGCGGAAACAAGGGAACCAGAAATACGGACAGAGCCAGAGGAAAGATGCATGACGCCTGACATGGCAGAGAGCAAAGATGATTTACCAGTGCCGATGGTTCCTGTGATGACGAGGAAGGTGCCCTTAGGGATTTGGAGATTAATATTGTGAAGACCTGAAAAAATTTTGTGTGTAGTATCAGTTTTAGAAGAGTTGTCATCATCACCATCATCAACGTTTTTAGGAAGAGAGTGAAGGGAAAGAGTTTCAATATCGTCTGATTGATTGACAAACTCAGTTTCCTTTTGTTTTTCTTCTAATTTGGCCAATTTTGCAAGTTTCTTTTTTTCCTTTCTGGAGAGTCGTTTGGGTAGTGGTTCGAGGGTTTCCCAAATGAAGGATCCATCAGTGATATCAATTGCAGCAGAATCCTTTTCGTTTGAATCAGTAATGAGGTATTCTTCAAGTTCTGGTGCAGATAAAAAGGCCTCGATACGGGTGAGAGATTGGACAGCATCAATAGTAGTGACGATTGAGAGTGGGAGAATGACAAGGGGGAGTCGCATAATGTTGAAGATGGAAAGCGATGAGAAGACTGTTGCGGGGTTAAGATAACCACCAGTACGAGAAAGCACAATGAAGGAAAAAAGGCCAGCAAAGATTGGGACTGAGATGATGACTGAATTGATAAAGTTTCTCCATGCAAGCATCTTACGGACGAGGGTCATTTCGCGATCACGGACTTGTTCAATTTTGGCTTCGTAAGCGTCTTCCCAAGAGTAAAATTTGATAATTTTCATTGCTTGTAAAATTTCACGGACTGCAGAGACACGTTTATCAGTGACTTTAGTTGTTTTACTTCGAAGGGAAGCAATATGTTTTCCTGTAAAGACAATGAGGAAGAATGTGACTAGGAAGACGGCAAAACCAACCATACCTGAGGCACCAATGTTTGTGACAACAATAGCAATGGAGATACCGACAGAGACTGGGAAAGTCCAAGAGAAGTGGAACCAATTACAGTTAAAGTCGATTCGATGGGTATCAATACTCATCATATTTGTGACAAGGCCATTGGGGAAACGGGAGCGGGCCTTAGGGGCCAGACGTAAGTTTTTTTTATAAATGACTGCAATTAGAAGAGAGCGGACTTGAGCGCCAGTCATTGTTGCACCGTAAAAGAATAAATTTTGTAAAAAGTTGACAATTAATAGTAAAAAGGAGATTCCGAGAGCAAAGCCGATACCTTTACGCATTGGTTGGGAAACGCCGTGGAGTTTACGATACTCATGGGTTCGGGACATTGTGAAGGAAATTAAATGTCTGGAGAGAAGAGGCATTAGGGTTGATCCTACGTCTGCTAAGATTTTAGCAAGAGCAGCCCCCCAGAATTCAGCAAAGAATGTAGCATTAAGGGCCTTGATGAGGGTATATTTAGGGAGTTGATGAGGGTCAGCATCTGGTGGGAGTTTATGGGCATTTTTAGATTTGTAGTGTTGAAGGTATTTTTCAAAACGATCAAGATGGGCTTCGACTGCACGCGGGGTTCCCTGTGGGTTATAAAGGTCGTTTTCCTGGAGGGGTCTAAGATATCCAGTCTAATAAGTAAATGAATGTAGTTAGTATATATATATAAAAAAAAAAAAAAAGAAGAAGAAGAAGAAGAAGAAGAAGAAATATTAAAAATAAATTGATTGAACTTACTCTTAAAAGAGATGTAATCCAAGTGTAAGTAAACCGATTAAATATTGAGACTTGAAACTCTGGATAAGGTCTTTGAGAGTCTGGGACTGGGTCTACTTTTGATCCTAGAATAAAGCGGAGAATACCAGCACGTTTAGCTTGATGGTCCTGAGCTTCTTCTATAGAGGAGTCATTTGGAGGCATTTATAAAATATGTTTGAAATATTTGAATATATATATTAGAATAGTTAATTTTAAAATTGAAATAAAAGAATTTTTTTAGATATAAAAAAAAATAAAAGATTATCAATGTAAATGGCAAAGTTTGTTGAATTTATATTGAAAAAAAAAAAAAAAAAAAATTGTTACTTTTTTTGAAAATTAAAAGTGGCTGGTGAGAGGGTTAATACTTATGTAAAAAAAAAAAAATAAATAAATAAATGTTAGTAAAAAAATGGTTTTATATGGTCTATTTCATTTATTGAACTAACTCAAAATTTGGCATTTTTTTTAATATTTCGGACTCCGAGACGTTAACCCCATCGAAGGCCTTTAATAATAATAATTATTATAATAATGAAATTTTCTAAAGTCCATCCATTAAATCTATTTTATTTTTTGGTTTTTTTAAAAAACAACATTCAAATGACGTCCATCTAACTCAGACATTTTGGTTTTTTTTTTTTTTTTTTTTTGGTCAGAAATGAAAAAAAAAAAAAAACTATTTTTATCGGGCCGTCAGTTAGTCCGCCGTGCCGTCTATATAGAATTTTGGTGTGAGAGAGGAAAATAAAATAAAAAAATGGAAGTTGTAACAGTCGTGCCTTTTATAAAAAAAAAAAATAGCAAAAAAAAAAAAAAAAAAGATAACAGGTGGCGCACGGCTAAACTATCAACTTACCAAAATAAATTTACCATATAATATGTTATTATTATATATCAGTATCTTACTAAAATAACTAGCCATAGTAAAAGCATTCCAACCATCAACATAATAACAACCGGTCCTACCACCCACGACCCGACCGCTGTAGCAAGCCCACCCGTAGTATACGGAACAATTGCAGCTCCAACTCCTCCAAATGCAGTAGAAACTCCCAATCCTGCAACATGTAATGCTCTAGGCATTTTATTCATTAATACCACAACAGCTGTTGGATATAAAGGTCCCATGGCTACACCAGCCAATGCCACAAATATAGCTGATAATAAAAGAGGCTTGCTAACCACCGTGAAAAGTATAAGAAATAAAAGTGAAAATATCAAATATATAGTCTGAGCAATAGACTCAAATCCAAGGAAAAAATGATGATTGGCATACCCTAATAAAACTCGCCCAACTGTCATTCCAGCCCAAAATCCAGTAGCAACATACCCCATGGAACCAGTAGTAGAAGAAGAAGAATCTCCACCACCACCACCACCACCACCTCCACCTCCACGATTCTCAATGAAATATAACGTCACCCATCCACCAAGTGAAACCTCTGCTCCTACATATGCAAACAATACAGCTGCAGCAAGCCACACAAGCCCACTTTGTAAAGACCTAACAAGTGCATTTCTCTGTACTATTGGTCTGATCTCAGATTCAATTTCATCAATTTCATCAATCTCATCAATCTCATCAATCTCATCAATCTTATCTTCTTTCTCCTCCTCTTGAATAAACCTGACATATTCCTGACTAGTCTCATCACGAAATGCAATAGCAACATTAACCAGAGAACTAAACGCAGCAGCTGTCAACACATAATACGGCTCATTCCATTGAAACCCATGGCCCATCATCCACGTCTCAATAGTAGGCGAAAGAATCCCTCCAAATCCATAAGATGCATGTAACCACCCTAAAACTTCATTTGCATTCCCAAACCCTCCAGCCCACGTGTTCCAAGATGCTTCTAATAATCCATTGCCTATCCCAGTAATAGCATAACATAAAATTAACCACCATAGTGATGGCGGTGCACATGAAGCCCCGGAAAAACAAATAAACTGACATGCCACACCAATCACAGAAGCCCCACGCCGACCTACCCTCCGGTGCATTGCATCACTGCAAAGAGCAGATATCAGGTACCCAGCAAATGCAAATAGAAATGCTAAAGCTACGCGAGAGTGTGAGGCTGAATAGTGGTGCTCAAGAGGCACTATCAGTGGTCCTAGTGACGCATCAGCCATACCGAAAACCACAAAGCCACAGCATACAGCAAGAAACTTGTGTAAGGGTGGTCGAGTTAAGTTTAGAGGTGGATGTGATGTAAGGATATCATCATTATTATTATCATTATTATTAAGGTCTTCTGGGTCATGTCGCGGATCAACCAAAAGGGTCTCCAGTTCAATGCTATTGCGAGCCATTGCAAGTATTTATTTATAAATATGTATATAAATAAATGAAAAATATAGATTTTGTGGGGTAGATGTTAAGTTATAGATGTAAAAAAAAAAAAAAAAAAGTTATTGTTCAACGTTCAATTGTTGTAGACATTATTAATAAATAAATAAATAAATAAATAAATAAATAAAAAAAAATAAATAAATAAATAAATAAATAAAAAAAATAAATAAATAAATAAATAAAAAAAATAAATAAATGATCCAGCCAATTATGCAATGCACTACGATAAGATTTAATCAGAGAAAAATAAAAAATAAAAAAATAATCCACCCTAACCCATCAATCAAAAAGTACTTTAATGAAGAATAATAGAAAAATAAAAAATATAACTCCGATACGGGGAATCGAACCCCGAACTGCTCGGTGAAAGCGAACCGTGCTAGCCGTTACACTATATCGGATCCTTAGTTGAATTAACAGAATACTTGAAAGTACTTAAACCAACTTATTTAAATTATATACAATTCTAAAAACCTTTGCGAATGGCTTTTAACCTTAGTTGATATTGAGTTTAAATAGAAAAAATTAAAATAAATGCATATAAAATACAAACTAACTAAAATAAAATAAAATAAAAGTTATAAAATAAAAGTTATAAAAATTTAATTCTCAAATTCTCAAATTCTCAAATTCTCAAAAATAAAACACCCCTCACATCAATAATTCAAACTTCTCCATACTTCAATCGCCTTCAAAGAAACTTCAAAAATGGCCTCAACTATCCAATCAATGGCATACGAAACACCCAATACTATCCCCCCAAATACTTGTCCTAAAATCGCTAGCATCGAAGAAACAGTGCCCAGCACCTCTTCTACAACACCAACAGCCTGGCGCTGAGCTGTCCCCTTAGCATGCAATACCTTGCGTTGAGCAGAAGCCTTAAAGTCCCCCCTAGCTGATTTAACCGCATCATACCTGTAAAAACACCGAACTGTATAGTCATCTGGCTTCACTTGAAACAATGTCACTGCTAATGAATCAACTGTAGATGTATTTTCATCACCATAGTCCTCGATGCACTTTTCAGAACGAGCCCCAAATGCTGCATGGACTTGCATCAGCAGTACAGGCTGTGAAGAAAGATTCCAGTGACCATTCCGAATCAAAATTTGAAGAGATTCCCAAAAGCTTGGATTGGGATTAGGCCGGGCCAAAATGTCAACCGAAACAAGTGCAGTTTGGCGGTTATCAGGGACATTCATGTGATAGTAACTTTGGAAAATGGAACTCATACCTAAAAATGGGGAATCCAAAGGCAAGCTAACAGTATCAGTAGCTGGGTTATAAGAACGAATACGAGTATAGTACTTGTATCCAGGACTATGAGTCCAAGTAAAATAATGGTGTCCCAGTAATGGGCTATCTGCTTGGGTGTTCATCGTAATGAGGCCTTGACATGAATGCCATCGGGTCGACATATGAATGAATACCACTAAAGATAAAATAGCAGCCAAAGTTTTGATAATTCCTCCATCAAAAAAGTCCATCAAGTAAAACTTGACACGTTTAATGGAAAATGGGAGCCAAGCAAGGTTTTCCAAATTAACGTTTTGGATGGCTGCCATGTCTCTAAAAGAAAGTTTGTCTTTTGGGAAGGTCTTAATGTTGCGGATTAAGGAAAGCTCTGTATTAGGCTTGTGGGAACAGGCAATTGCAAAAGCCATTGCAAGTAACCACGAGATATTTTGCTCTGGGGGTGTGCTATTAATAATGTCCGATACACTTGGGGGCATCCATACAGAGATGCCCGTGGGGTTGCTAAACTGGGGGACAAAGACTTTTACAAGAGGCATTCCTGGGGTGCATATAAGAGTAGAATTGATGGTAGAACCAAAGGGGTAGTTTCTTGACAAGGCAAGGGCCATTGTTGGGGTTGATTTTGTAATGGAGCGGATAGTGTCCATTTGTTCTTTGAGGGATTGTTGTGGGGTTTGTGGATCAAAAAGGTAAATGGCTAGGCTAGGAGATAACGAGGACAAGGACGAGAGTGAGGATAAGGATGAGGATAAGGATGAGGATAAGGATGAGGATAAGGATGAGGATGGTGGGGGATGGGATGGTGACCACGAGATAGTTTTGTTAAAAGTGACAGTGTGGAGGACAACCTGATGGGAAGGGCCGGCGAGACGGGCCAGCTGGTTTTGGATTTGGGAGAAGATGAGAGAGGGAGAAAGGGACGAAGGAGATAAAAGGGTGTCTTCGTGGACCAAACAAATGAGATTAAAGGAAGATTTAGGTGGAAGGAGGGATGGTAGAGTAGAGATTGCTGCAGAATAGGCATTACTGATTGCAGGGTATGTCGATACGGATGAATCTGGGGCATTTTGTAAGAGCCAAGTTGGCCAGTTAATGGGAGGGAGAGAATTAAGAGAATTAGGTGAAGTAGGTGAAGTAGGTGAAGTAGGTGAAGTAGGTGAAGTAGGTGAAAAAGGAGAAGGAGAAGTTGAAAAAGAAATAGAGGGAGTAAAAGAAGAAGAAAAAGAAGAAAAAGAAGAAGTAGAAGTAGAAGTAGAAGGTGGCGGTGAAGATGATTGACTATTTCGTTTAGTTTCCATAAAAGAAGCCAGAGGAGTGACTAAAGAAATGGAGTCTAAAGAAGAATCCAAAGAGGCTTCAGGGGTGATTTGAGAAGAGGTCGAAGGGGTTGTAATTTGAGTGATATCTTGGTTACTATTTTGGACTTGACTGTAGTCTACTTTAAGTTGATTATCATCATCATATTTTTTGTCTTCATCATCATCATCTTTTGCTTCTTCTTCTTCTTCTTTACCATCATTATTATTGTCAATTTCTTCTTCTTCTTCTTCTTCTTCTTCTTCTTCTTCTTCTCCTTCTCCTTCCTCTTCCTCTTCTTCTTCTGAAGATAAGACAGATTCATTATCAAACGTAGAAAGGGTTTCAAAGCAAGACGACGGAGTATTGATGAGATCGTATTCGTCATCGTCGTCAGAGCTGGGAGTGCTACTAGAAGGGCTACTGTGAGTACTCATTTTGAGATATTTTAATGATAATGATAACGATAAAGTATATATAATTTATTATAATTTTTTTATTAGTTTTTTTTTTTTTGGGATTTCTTTTGTTTTTTTATATTTAAATTAAATTAAATTATTATATGTGATATTTCTTTGTTGATTAAAGGATTTCTTTTTTTTTTTTTATTATTTATTTATTGATATTTAAGAAAAAAAGAATGAATGAATGAATAAAAAAAAGAAGCTATATGGTAAGAAGGAAGGTTTAATAAATATAAATATATATAAATTTTTTTTTTTTAATCAATAAATCAATCAATTAATTAATTAATCAAATATATATATAACAGTGCAAATCTACGTATATGAGCCGCACAAAAACCCTAGCCCAAGTGGCAATCAGATCGCGTGACATTGCACGTGAAAATTATACCCTTACCCTTAAGTTACCCTGATAAATTTAAATATTATTACTTACCCTAACCCGACAAATTATTTTATGTGTTTATCACATGACTTTCACATGACTTTTTCCCCACAAACCTACTTTTTTTTTCGGTCTTTCAATCGCTTTAAGTCTCTCTCCTCTCCTCTCCTCCCCCCTTTTTCCCCACTAAAAAAAAAAAAGTTGGGCTGGTATTAATAATTGTAATAATTGTAATAATTGTAATAATTGTAATAATTGTAATAATTGTAATAATTGTAATAATTGTAATAATTGTAATAATTGTAATAATTGTAATAATTGTAATAATTGTAATAATTGTAATAATTGTAGTTGTTGTAATAGAATTTTTAATTTTTAATTTTTTTGTTTTTCTTTTTTTAATTATTGCGGAGATCCCTTTGAATACCTCCGAAACAAATGGCTTTCTCTCCCCGGATTATCAACGAAACCTTCCAACAAAAGAAGTAAATTATATAATTATATAATAATTATAATAATTAAGAACAACGTGATCTTCTCAATAATTAATTTTTTTTTTTTCCCCCCCATCTATCCCTCCATCCCGTGCGTAGCCGGCCTAAAAGGTTCCGGCTGGCCGCCCAGGTTCTCCGACTATCGGCCTTAAAATTTATTTGAAATTTATTTGAAATATATTTAAAATTTAAATTGATTATTAATTATTATCAAATAATAATTAATATAAATAAAATAAAAAAAAGTTTAAATTTTTTTTCAGTCCACTCATAACAGCCAGTCAACCCAGTCAACCCAGTCAACCCAGTCAACCCAGTCAACCCAGTCAACCCAGTCAACCCAGTCAACCCATTTAAACCCTTACCCAGAAGCCATTCATTCATTCATTTAACCAACCTTAAAACGGGTCCGTCATATTATATATATAAAATTGTGAAAATATATATAAATCATCAAATGAATAAATAAATAAATAAATAAATAAATAAATAAATAAATAAACACTTAACGGAGACCCCCAGATTTCCACCCGAGTACCATTCTTGTCAAAAAATAAAAAAATAAAAATTTAAATCTTCTTGTCAAATAGCCACTCCAAATTCAAACCAATGAATTTTCAAATCAAATCAATTATCTCATCACACACATACTCTAAATATATATATTATATTTATATATATATACCCCACTTTGAAAAATAAAAAATAAATTTACTATATAAAGACTTCCAGTTTCCCCAAGTTTTTCTATTCTCTCTTTTTTCTTTTTTTCTTTTTTTCTTCTTTTTATTCTTTTTTTTCTTCTCTAGTAACTAATTTTTCTTTTTTATATTACTCCCTATTCTTCAATCAAAAAAAAAAAATGTACAGACCATCTGCTAGAACTCTTCAAGTAAGTCAATTAACCCTCAATTCCCCTCAACTCATTTCAATTTATTCTCAATTAATACTCAATTAATATTCAATTCATACTCAATTCATTCTCAATTTATACTCAAAAATCAATTCATATTCAATTCATACTCAATTCCATTTTAATTCTAACCACTCCTCAATATAGTCCTCCTTCTCTGCCGCTCAGAAGCGCTCCGTCTCTACCCTCAAGGAGGCCCTCAAAGAGGTCATCCCTGCCAAGGTCGAGCTCTTCAAGAAGGTCAAGTCCGAGTACTCCCAGAAGTCTCTCGGTGAGGTCAAGGTCGAAAACCTCCTCGGTGGTATGCGTGGCCTTAAGGCTATGCTCTGGGAAGGTTCTGTCCTCGACGCTAACGAGGGTATCCGCTTTCACGGCAAGACCATTAAGGAGTGCCAGGAAATCCTCCCCAAAGCTAAGGAGGGCGGTGAAATGCTCCCTGAGTCTATGCTCTGGCTCCTTCTTACCGGCAAAGTCCCCTCTGTCGAGGAGGCCCACCAGCTCTCTCGCCAGCTCGCTGAGGCTGGTGAGCTCCCCGAGTACGCTTCCAAGCTCTTGGACTCTCTCCCAAGCACTCTCCACCCCATGACCCAGTTCGCCATTGCTGTCTCTGCCCTTAACCACGACTCCCAGTTTGCCAAGGCCTACGAGAGAGGTATCCCCAAGAACCAGTACTGGGAGTACACTTTTGACGACTCTTTGGACCTTATTGCTAAGCTCCCCCAGATTGCCGCCAAGATCTACCAGAACACTTACCTCGGTGGTGGTGCCCTCCCTGGCTCCATTGACCTTAACCGTGATTGGTCTTACAACTACGCTGCTATGATTGGCAAGCAGGAAGAGACTGGCTTCATTGACCTTCTCCGTCTTTACTTTGCCCTTCACGGTGACCACGAGGGTGGTAACGTCTCTGCCCACGCTACCCACTTGGTTGGCTCTGCCCTCTCTGATCCTTACCTCTCTTACTCTGCTGGTCTCCAGGGTCTTGCTGGTCCTCTCCACGGTCTTGCTGCCCAGGAGGTTCTTCGTTTCATTCTTGACATGAAGACCAAGATCCCTGAGAACTACACTGATGAGGACATCAAGACCTACCTCTGGTCCGTTCTCAACTCTGGCAGAGTTATTCCTGGTTACGGCCACGCCGTTCTCCGTAAGCCCGATCCCCGTTTCGAGGCCCTCATCAACTTTGCCAAGGAGAGACCCGATGTTTCTTCTGACCCCGTTGTCGAGCTCGTCCTCCGTAACAGTGAGGTTGCTCCTGGTGTTCTTCTTGAGCACGGTAAGACCAAGAACCCCCACCCCAACGTGGACTCTTCTTCCGGTGTCTTGTTCCACCACTACGGCATTACCCAGACCCTTTACTACACTGTTACTTTCGGTGTTTCCCGTGCCTTGGGTCCTCTGCCACAGCTCATCTGGGACAGAATCCTTGGTCTGCCCATTGAGCGCCCCAAGAGTTTGTCTCTTGAGAAGATCATTGAGCTTGCCAAATAAGTGGTTTAGTTTAATGATTATGATGATGATGATTATGGAGAAGAATAATAAAACATTTGTAAAAAGTATTAGCCAGCAGCATTTTAATAAAATTAAAGTTTTGATTGAATTTTTTTTTTTCTTTTCGGTCTGTTTGGAAAATGTCTCCGAAATTGGGCGGCAGTGAAAGCCGACGTTGACTTGTATTAGGTCTTATTAATTAGTTTTTTTTTTTTTTTTAAAAAAGTGGTATGTTGCATAGAAAAAAAAAATAAAAAAAATAAATAAATAAATAAAAAGGTGGGGTAAAATCCCGGGCGCGCTTTCGGCAGCGGCCATTTCTTTTTTTTTTTTTTTTTACCAGTGATGGATGATTTATTTTTGGAGTAGCATTAGTAGTAGTAAATGGGTGATTGGTAGGAAGGACCTCGGTTAAACTTTATAATTGTAACTGTAACTGTAACTGTAATTGTAACAAAATAAAATAAAATAAAATAACATTAAAATTTAATAAACATATTATTTAACTATAACTTTAACAAAAAATTTAAACATTGTTTATAATATTATTATTAAACAATTAAAAATATTAAAAAATATTTTTAAATGCCGTTGCCCAGAATCGAACTGAGGTTTCTTCGGAATTGTTCGATTAATTGAAGCCACAACGAAGTGTACTAACCACTATACTACAACGGCCTTATTATTAAAAATCTTAAAACTTGATGTGTATAAAAATGTATGTTATTTAAATTAAATAATTTTTAAACGTCTTTGGAATGTTTCCAAACCATGTCAGACCCCCCCAACAACACCCAAACCACGTTTAGTGGCGGCGACCCTCCTGCCGACAATAATTATACCGACAATAATAATGAACAGACTAATATTAATGATATGCAAAAAATTATTGCTGTTGAACTGAAGGAGAAAGAAAGTTCTCATTCCAGAGGACCTCATTCTCATGAAGCTCATCACATCAAACCCTCGACAAAAATCCAAAAAAATAATGAAAAACCAGACTCCCATAAAAAAATTGAAACTATCCACAAAAAGCTTGAATCGAATGATAAGCATAATGCTTCTTCAAACCACGAAACCCCCGTTGAAACCCCTATTGTGAATGTTGGTCCAACCTTGAACCCTACCTTTGACTCTTCACCAGATGGTGGTGATGTGGAAATTGACGCAACACCATCACGTGACATGGATGTTCTCATGCCGGATGCAAATCCATTTGGTGATAATTCTGAAGCCTGGGAATACATCTTAAAACTTAAGGATGTATTTCTGGTTGAATTGTCTATTGTTAAAGAAGACTTGAGTATTACAATTGAAGATTGGGAAATAAAATTTCAAAATCTTGAACTTAAAAACAATGAGTTAGCTAAACAACTCATTGCTTTGACCGAAAAGCTTAAAGCTTCAGAAGGACAAGTGAATTCTCTTCGCTCAGAACTTGATGTTTTGAGAAACAATCAGGTTCACACAGAAGTTAAACATGTAATGTTTGAAAAACTTAAAAGGAAGTTAAGGATAATAAGGATCATTGCGATAAAGTGAAACATAAAGCTGATGAAATAGCTAAGATGACTCTTCAAGATTTGTCTCAAGAAAAAGCAAGAAACAAAAGAATTATCGACACTGAAATCAAGGAATTCAAAGAAATGACCAACAATCTTGAGAAAAGAGTTGATAATATGGAATACAAAGTTGGAACTATTTCAACTAAGGCTGATTTAACTACCAAAGAACTTAGCTACGCAAAAAGGAAATCAAGAGTGCGGTAAGAAAAGTCGACACTTTGCCTTTTGCTTTGACCCCTAAAACTCCAAATGGAGCAACTCCAAAGTTGAAAGACATTATGAAGGCTCAAAACAACACCGTGAAACTAAAGTTGATGAAGACAAACCCACTTTTAGAGTGTGCATAAGAATTCCAGATACCATGAAAAGAGTTAATATCCCTGCGATTGGAAAGAAAATTGATGCGGTTGCACAAAAGCCGGTGGCTCAGGAAATAGGCTATACTGTCAAAGGGCATTTATATGTTCAACTTAATGACAAAGATTTTGCTGATAAAGCTGCAGAATGGATCCCCAAAGTTGACCCTACTTATTCAGTGCTTGACACAGATTCTTGGTACAAGGCTGTACTTCAGGAAATACCTAATACGGCATCGATTGAAGACTTGAAAGAAACTCTCTACAATTTTAATGATTACCATATTGTTTTGAATACCGAACCCAAAATCATTAGCAGAAACCAATTTACCCAAACAGCATTGGTTTCATTCAGAAATGCCCAAGACTATGCAAAGTGTGCTGATAATCTTATTATCCAGTACACAAAAGTTAAAGTTAGACCTTTTATTAGCAGAAAAAAAACTCCTGAAGAACTCCAAGCTATGCGTAATAAGATACGATTATTGAAAAATGAATCAGACAAAAAGGATAATGAGGCCCATCCTGTTTCCACTGACGACTCACAAGATGAACCGATGAAAGAAACAAATATTGAAGAACTAGATGAATCCAATGAGGAAGAAAACGAAAACAATTCTATTACATCCAATGAATTATAAAGTATTCCAACTCAATTGTCATAAATCGAAATCTATTACTGAAACTATCTTAGATAAAAAAGAACCTGATATCTTGTTATTACAAGAACCTTACTTTAACAACTATGGGCCCATTAAACATAAAGATTGGATCCCAATCTTTACAGAAACTGGAAAAGAAAAAAATAAATGCAGAGCAATTACTTACATTAGGTCTAACTCTGACTTACGAGCATTAACTACTAAAATTGAAAAGTTTACAAATCGAGATATGGTTACCATTTTGGTTAAAGACATTACAATTGTCAATGTCTATAATCAACCGAAACCATCCAAGAAATACCCTGAGCCACCGGTTTTTGAGTTTCTCAAACGGGAGATCAAGGAACAATACTCAAAGATTGTCATTGCAGGTGATTATAACTTACATCACAAGGAATGGGAGTCAAGGGCAGGTCCGAATACGGAAGCAGATGAAGTTGTTGAGTGGCTACATGAAAATGATATGATGTTAATTACTCCAAGAAATCAAAAAACATACAACAATAGAACCAATATTGATTTGGTTTATGGCTCAGTGGACTTACTTCATAGAATTTCATTTAGTGGAGTGGATGAAAATACACTAAGTGATCACTCAATTGTGGAGTGGGACATTTATATGTCTCAGAGTAAAAACGGGGATGAAATTTTTACTTCGGTGAAGAGATTGAATATTAAGAATGCAGATTGGGAAAAGTTTGACAAGGAGCTTTCTTCTGCCATTAAAGATTTTAATGTGCATAACAAAACTCTAAAATCAACTGACCAAATTGATGACCAAGCTAAAGTTCTTGAGGAGGTTGTAAAAAGAGCAATGGCAAAGTCGATGAAGGAAATTAAGGTGATGAAAAAGTCCAAACGCTATTGGAATCAAGAATTAAGGGAGAAGTTAGAAAAAGCGCTAGAAGCTAAAAGGGGAAGCCCGTCAAAGACAACCTTCTTTGGCTTTGAAACGACAAAAAAATTGAAGAGGCGAAAAAGCTAGAAAAATTTTTGACCACAGTTTGCGTGAGGCAAGTACTGAGCAATGGAATAAATATTTGTCTAGTTTAGAAGGAAATGACATTTGGAAGATTTTGAAGTATATTAATCCAAAAAGCAATGATACCATTATACCACAAATTAGAAAAGAAGATGGAACTCTCACTACTACTGTTGACGAAAAAAGACATGAAATATGGAAGGCACTTCTACCTGAAATTGATCATGGTCTTGATAGAGAGTTTGAAATTGATGACGATTCTCGATGGCCAAAATTAGAGTTTGATGAAGTTGACTCTGCATTGGCTGATACCCCAAATGATAAAGCTCCAGGAGACGATGGAATTACTGGCAAAGTTTTAAAGATGGCATGGCTGAATAAAGACTTTAAGGAAAGGTTTTTCAAGCTTCTCCAAGCTTGTGTAAAGTTGGATACCACCCAAAAGTCTGGAGACATGGCATTATTGTTGTTATACCTAAACCTAAGAAACCTGACTATTCAAAGCCAAGAGCATACCGACCAATTTCCTTACTTAAGATTCCATCTAAAGTACTGGAAAAAATTATACAAAAAGAATGACCAAGCTTACAACACACTTACTTCCACCAGAGCAATATGGGGAAGACAAGGTTATTGTGCTACTGATGCTGTTTTGGAACTTGTCCAAAGAATTGAAACTAGTAAAGAAAAAATTTCAGCTATGCTCATTGATATTCAAGGAGCTTTTGATAATGTTAACAGAAATATATTGGCACACACAATGGAGGATATGAAACTACCCAAAGCACTTATAAACTGGACGTACCAATTTGTAAGTGAAAGAGAAGCTAGTATGCTCATGGACCGAAGAAAGGATCAGTGCAAAAATTAGTACTGGAATTCCGCAAGGCTCACCTATTTCACCACTACTTTTTTGATATATTCCACACCAATGTATCATGCCATTAAAGAATGGGGTGGAACTCCTTTTGGCTTTATTGATGATGTGACTATTACCGTTGAAGGTAAAATTGAAGAAAATACCAAAAGCTTAAGCAACATATTAGAAAAATGTTGTAATTGGGCTAAATCAAGAATGACCAAAATTGATTTGGGTGATAAATTGGGTTTTATTCATTTTACAAAAAATGTGAAACCTAAAGATGAGAAAGTGCAACTTACTTTACCTAATGGAGAACTTCGTGAACCCCAGAAGGAAGTTAAATTGCTTGGAATTACTTTGAACAATCTGCTTGATTTTAAATCTCATATTTTGAATAAAATCAATAAAGCAAGAAAAGCTGTTGGTGCTATTTGGCATCTTGGTGGCGTGCAAAAAGGTATGCGAGGGTCTGCAGTCAGATCACTGTATATTGCTTGCGTGAGACCAATTGTCGAATATGGCTTAGAAATTTGGCATCACAAAATTTTGAAAGGAGAAATCCACAAGTTGGAAGTAATGCAGAATATGGCTTTAAGAAGAATTGTTGGTGCTTATCGCACAACTCCTATTGCGGTACTACAAAAGGAAGCTGGTATTATGCCATATAGTATTAGGCTAAAATTTATGGTGGCACGAAAAGCTATTCGTTTACACCTAAATATTAGCAAAACTAATCCTATTAATGGTCATTTGTTAACATTGATTGAGAAATCTCCAATTGCAAAGCTAACCACGCTTTACATGTTGGCGAAAGATGATAGAGACTATATGATTAAAAAGGATGAAAAACGAAAATGCAAGAGGGTTGAACCACTTACACTGAAACAACAACAAAATCAGACGATTGGAATTTTGAAAAAACAAGCAATGGAAGAATGGCAAGAAATGTATTGGAACAGCAGTAAGGATCTGTGGTATCATAATATCACAGTGGAGTCGAAATGTACTGATAATCTTTCCAAAATGGTTACGGGAGTGATCATGAAGAAAGATAGTCGAAGGATCTTGAGTAATATTACTCAGTTTCGCACAGGCCATGGCAACTTTGGCGCATGGTTTAAAAAGTTTGGAATTGAAAAGGATAGTTACAACTGTAAATGTGGAGAGCTGGAAACAGTTCATCACATTTTAGTTGAGTGTCCTTTGCTTGAAGAGGAAAGAAAAGGACTGAAACGGATATCTCCAGAGATGGACATGTCGACTCTCTTAAACAGTTTAACTGGCTTACAAGAGATTGTAAGCTTTATCTCTGCTTGGAGGGATTAAGAAATACAATTACAGCGTTGATGAAGACAAGTGGAGATAGGTTGGGAAGGTTTGGTTATTTTAACCCCCTGTTCCTCGTAAGCTGGCATCAGGACTTATTTTCGGGCTGTTGGAGATGCAATGTTGAAGCCAAAATTAAAAGTTTATTATCAAAATGAAAAAATATATAGTATGGACAAGAAGGATAGCGCAGATGCTGATGTTATATAATTCTATAACCCTTGAATAAAAACAAACAAACAAACATGGAATGTTTCCAGGGGGGAAGGGCTGGATGGTGTAAAGGATAACATGTTCGCTCGAAAGCGGAAGATACTGGGTTCGATTCCCAAAATACCCCCTTTTTCCTGAGGATGTGTACGGGAGTATACACCTAGACTGAAAACCATAGGCTACCCTGGTTACAGGAATGCCGACTCTTCCGTACAGTCTAAATAGCCTGCAGGTGATTGCGGGCCGTATCTCTGGCGGAAGAGATTAAGAAATACATGGGCGTCCGTGAAGATAAATGGAAATGGGTTGGGAAGGTTTTGGGACCGACAGAGTGGTTCTCCCTGTTCCTCGTAAGCTGGCATCAGGGCCCATCTTCCGAGCTACCGGAGACGCACAGAACAGAAACCACCCGTACTAAAAAGGTACAAATGAAAACCGGCAAGTCACATAAGTCAGACAATAAAAGGATAGCGCAGATGCTGATGTTATATAGTTCTATAACCCTTGAATAAAAGCAAGCAAGCAAGTGGAATGTTTCTTTTGCTTGAAGAAGAAAGAAAAGGACTGAAACGGATATCTCCAGAGATGGACATGTCGACTCTCTTAAACAGTTTAACTGGCTTACAAGAGATTGTAAGCTTTATCTCTGCTTGGAGGGATTAAGAAATACAATTACAGCGTTGATGAAGACAAGTGGAGATAGGTTGGGAAGGTTTGGTTATTTTAACCCCCTGTTCCTCGTAAGCTGGCATCAGGACTTATTTTCGGGCTGTTGGAGATGCAATGATGAAGGCAAAATTAAAAGTTTATTATTAAAATGAAAAGATATATAGTATGGACAAGAAGGATAGCACAGATGCTGATGTTATATAATTCTATAACCCTTGAATAAAAACAAACAAACAAACAAACAATTTAAAGTGTTTTATTTATAAAATTTTGAAGCTAAAATTAAAAGTTTATTATAAAAATGAAAAGATATATAGTATGGACAAGAAGAAGGATAGTACAGTTGCTGATGTTATATCATAATTCTATAACCCTTGAATAAGAACAAGCATAACATTCCAATTGTTTTGGTTTGTTTATTAAAGTTAATTAAAGTTAAATCTTATAATTATAAGAAAAAATAATAATTATACAAAAAAAAAAAAATAAAAAATATATAAAATATCTATATATATATTTTTAAATCTTCTTTTTATATTTTTTTTTCTATTAACTTGACTAGGTTTTTTTTTTTTTATTTTATTTCAATTAAACATTATCTAAAAAAAAAATACTATATTCAAAAAAAACAAAACAAAAAAAATTATTTATTATATAAATTTAAAAAAAAAAATTAAAACAAAAAATTTCAAATATAAGCAACCCAATCTTTTCTTGTCCTTTTTTTCATTTTTCATTTTTCCTTATTCATGTTCATGTTCACGTTATTCTTATTTTTTTTATTTTTTTCTTTCCTTCTTCCCTCCTCCTTCTCCTCCTCTTTCTCTTTAAAGCCACCCTGTGAACTCTTCATCTGTAATATCATATGTCCGGAAATCCATCAAAAACTTCTTATCAGTTTCTAAAAAATTAGCCTTAACCGTGGACAAACCACCATAACCGAGCTTATGAATTAATCTTGTGTCTTTCCCCAACTTGGTACTAAACCTATGTTCCTCCAAAAACTTGCGTGAAGCCGCAGACCGAGCCTTGGCTTTCTTAACCTCTTCCGGACTCAGTTGCTCAAATATCTTGGTCAACGGAACAGACCGTTGCTTACCACATATATTATACAGCGCAACCACATTCTTCGTCTCTGTTGGCTTGGACTTCTTCCTATCAGGTAATGCTTCCACATATAGCAGCGCAGGAGGTACCGTCAAATCCTCAATTGAAGAGAGTCGGTCAAACTCCATGTCTTCTTGCGAGAGAGGCTTCCGTGGTGCTGGGAAGTTCATCGCTTCATCCTTCTTAACAACAGAATCAATTAGCACCTGTTGCAAGTTGGGTGCAAACGTTATGGCCCGTGATAGCCAGAATGAGTAATAAATTGGCTTGTTGGAACGCAGGTAAAAGTATCGAAGCGACGGCATCCGCATCACCTCCTCAAAAACAGATTCCCATCGGGCCACAGATTCAATTAAGTCCTTGTACTTCTTTCTCATAATCACTCCCTTGGCCTCACGTTGAGTATAGTGCGGATCCACAACAATTTGTCCCATCACAGAAATCACATCCAGTTCATAGTCATTCCCAGACTCCTCCTGCACTAGAAGCACAAACCCATTATCCTCAAATCGGTCACTATCGCCTGCAAACTGAGGGTCAATGGTCCAGCTTCCACCGCTTGATATCCATGAATCGGTTAAAAACGGCCAAAGATATTCATAATCCTTAAATGCTTCGTTCATATTAATCACCAGCCGTTCGGCCACCTTGAGCTCTGATAAACTAAGTAGGATGGTTGAAGAGCCCGACAGCTTTTCTATGCGAACCTCGATATACTTGATTCCCTTGAGGTGCCGTGAAATTACTGCCTTGGGTAGTTTACTATTACCATGTAGCTTGATCGAGTGGAGGTTTGGCAGGGTTAAGCTTTTGAAAAACCCAGCAAAATCAACTGCATGGTAACAGTGGAGATGCGTAATGGGACTCACCGCAATGGCTTTTGATATAGCATCAACCTTGTATGCTGCAATCTTGTTTTCTTCAGTCATATTGACGATGAATTTTTTGACTTTGAAATCTGCTGCTGATAGAATCGTAAACCGTTTATCGACGCTAAACGTGTTGCCCTTGACCTTACCACAAACCATGTTTGTTTCAACCAAGCGTAGTCGGTGCAACTGAGGGATTTGTTTCATGGTCCACTGGAAATGTTCCACAGACATGGCCCCGATACGTAATTCTTCAATGTTAAGTCCAGTAAGGTTTTCCTGAGGGACCTTTTCCTGGGAATTGAAGGAGAGTACCAACTTGGATAAAATGTTAAGATCAAAGGGTCCTGTAGTGGACTTGATAGAAGCAGACAATCCAGGGATATTTTGAGCAACCATAGAGGTGTAAAGAGGAGTTGTTGAAATCAACTTCAGATTGAAGGATTCAAATTCCCCATGGGGTTCATCAATAACAGTAACCTTAACCAGACTACTAAAAAATTTTTTATCAATTATAGTTGAAAAGGCCAAAGAATTTTTAAACTCATGGTGGTATGCGTTCCCGTAAAGCGCTAAAAAGCGTGTCTCAGACAGCTTGGCAATACGTGTGTATTTGTGAGGTGCATTAATCACTTTTTTAGGAACAGTAAGCCAATGTTTTGATTTTTTGTCGAAGTAGTGATCACTAATTTGAATGGCTCGCCACGACTCAGTGCGGAAAGTGTGGCGAAGGGCAGAGTGTGTTTGACTGACACGGCGCTGATCATCTGGGATTAAGAACTGAGCAAGTGCACGTTGGATCGATTTGTCAAGGCCAATCAGCGTGGGCCTGGAGTCAAGACTTGCTTGCTGTTTGGTCTTGACGGGTTTAATTGGATTGGATTCTAATAAAGAAGGTAGAATGGGGAGCGATATGTTTTTGGAAGATCCAGTATTAGTATTGTGGGTACGGGGGGTCTTGGAGTTTTTAGCTTTAGCAGGAGTCGAGGACTTTACAGGCAAGGCAGTCTGGTTAGAAGGAGTAGTATTGATATGTGAAGCAGTGTTGACAGAAGGAGTTCCTTTAAAAGTCTTAGCTGGCGAAGGTTGTGTTTTAGGGGTGGCAGTTGAATTTAGGGCAGCATAAGTAGTATAAGAAGTTGGATGAGAAGTAGCAGTAGTAGGAACAGTGGCAGTGGCAGTAGCAGTGACAGTAGTAGGAGCAGTAGTAGGAGCAGTAGTAGGAGCAGTAGTAGTAGTTGCCGCAGCAACTTTAAGGATTTTGACGGATTTGGAAGACGCTTTTGGTTTTGGCACAGGTGTGGGTTTGGCGACTTTGCTGGGCTGCTTGACAGGAGTATTGACTTGTTTTTTGGTCTTGGTCTTAGTTGTAGACTCTGGTTTAGATTTATCGACGGAATTGCCTTTAGATTTAGCGGCGGCTTCGGCAGCAGCCCGTGAGGCTCTGGTGGTACGACGCGTCACAGTATTTTTTGCCATGGCTTCTTCGACTGCTGAAGCCATTGCAGAAGCTGTTTTTGCAGCTGCAGCTTTTGCAGCTGAAGCTTTAGCAGTGGACCCAGGAGGTCTTCCAGGCTTGGCAACTTTGCCTGGGGGTTTGACGGTAGATTTGGCTGCAGATGATTTAGTGGCAGCAGTGGCAGTAGTAGTAGTAGTAGTGGTGGTGGTGACAGTGGTAGATTTGGCAAGTGATTTGGTGCGAGGTCTACCAGGTGGCCGTTTAGCAATAGACTTTTCAGGCGAAGCTGCAGCAGTAGTTGAAGTGGCAGTAGTTGAAGCTACAGGAGAAACCGATGTAGAAGAGATATCAATTGGGGTAGATGTTCTCTGTTCTCTGGAAGGTGTAGCGGAGGTAGGTGTAGTAGCAGCGGCAGCAGAGGAAGAAGAAGGAGAAGAAGAAGAATGAGGAGGAGCTGTAGGAATCGACACAGGATGTGGTGGAAGATTGGCAACTGCTGGGACGGGCTGGAACTGGTTCTGAGGAATTGGTCCTTGTGAATGTGGATGAGGAGGTGGTGGAGGCGGGTAGCCCATGTAGGGCATACCATAGGGTGGGTATATTGGATAGGGAGATATTCCTTGATAGACGGATGGGTGGGACGGCATTCCCTGGTAGTTGCCTTGATAGTTTGTTTGGTAGTTTCCCTGATAATTGCCCTGATAGTACGGGTATTGCATACCTGGATGCGGAGCCATTGGCATGGTCTGTGGCATTGATTGAGGTATTGATTGAGGGATTCCTTGAGATATATTTTGAGGGACTTGATGCACAGGCATTCCTTGAATGTGTTGTGGTTGAGACTGGTGTGACTGTGCTGGAGGTTGAGGTTGAAGAGGTTGTCTTCCTGGTTGAGGTCCTCCTGGTTGAGGAGGTCCCGATTGTCCTGTTTGTCCAGGTGGAATGATTCCTGGTGGTAATTGTTGTTGATGTAGTTGCTGTTGAGAAGATGGTAGAGGAGGTTGTTGTTGGAGAGGTCCCGGATGGGTCATTGCTTGAGGAATACCGGGAGGTGTTTGTTGGATTGGTAAACGTTGAGGAGGGATTCCAGGACCCGGTTGTTGCTGTAGTTGTTGCTGTTGAGCCGGAGTCATTGGATGTGTCATCATTCCATGTTGTTGCGGCTGCTGCGGCTGGTGTTGCTGATGCTGATGCTGATGCTGTTGATGTGGAGGAAGAGGAGATTGGATAGGAGCACCGGGACCCGTTTGTTGTTGTTGCTGAGGATGAGGAGGAGCTCCATAGGGCATTTGGTAAGGCATATAAGGAAACTGTGGAATCATTGCTTGAGGAAGAGGAGGTTGTTGTTGTTGTTGTTGCTGTTGCTGTTGTGGAGATTGGATTGGTGCTGCAGAAGCCATTCGTGGTGTTCCTTGAGGTACCGGTGATGAGAATGCATTTGCGGTTCCTGTTTGTAATTGTGGGCCTCCTCCCATTGGGGTATTTTGAGCCAGAGGACTAGCACCGGAGGTACCTGGGACCTGTTGTTGATGTTGAGGTGGGAATGAAGCCATTGCTGGTGATATTGGTGGCATACTAGGAGTCCGTGCAGGACCCATTGCTGGAGAATGACCCGGATGGAGATGCTGTGGCTGCTGGGTTAATACCTGTTGTTGTTGTTGTTGGGATCCTTGTGAATGGTGCTGAATAGGCCCAGAGTGGTGTTGAAGTTGTTTGAACGGTGGTTGTGGTGTAGTTGAAGTTGAAGAGTTTGCAGTTGCTATTGCAGTTGCAGCTACCGTTGATGTTACAGGTGTCGTTGATATAGTTGCTGTTGTTGTATGTTGAGTACTAGAACCCGGTGTCGGGCCTTGTACTTGTGTAGAGCCAGACCCGATAGGTAGTTGTTGTTGTTGTTGTTGTTGTTGTTGTTGTTGTTGAGGAATGCCCGGTGGAGGCGGCAGACCTACCGGCAGATGCGGAGGCTGTGATGCCTGGCTATTGGGCATTTTCTTAAGATATTAAAGAAAAGAATGAAGGATGTGAGTGTTTGAGTTGTTTGAGTTATTTGAGTTATTTGAGTTGTTTGAGTTATTTGATCGTAGAAAAATTTATTTGTTTGTTTGTTTGTTTATTTATTTATTTATTTATATTTATTTGTTTTGTTTATATTTTTGATGGTGGTAGTGAAAGGAAATTTTTTTAGTTTTTTTTAATTTTTTTTTAATTTTTTTTTAATTTTTTTTTTAATTTTTTTTTAATTTTTTTTAATTTTTTAATTATTATTTTTTTTTATGGTTGGAATGTAAAAAAAAAAAAAAAAACCTTTTGGATGTTTTTGTTTGGCCACTGCCGTTTATGTCAATTGCTGGTTGGCTGTGAAATTTCTGCATTTTACGTGTTTTTATTTTTTTTTATTTTTTATTTCCTAAATGAGTTTAAATATATATATATAAATAAATCTCATGATAATATGATAATAAATTTTAAAGAATTAAAAAAAAAAAAAAAAAAAAAAAAAAAAAAAATTTAAAAAAGATTAAGAATAAACAGAATTTATAATTAAAAACTTCCTTGGAATGGAAAATATTAAATAAAAATATAAAAAAATATAAAATAGACGCGTATTTTTTTTTTTTTTTTTTTTGAAAGGATACTTTTATATTAGTACCTGGCTCTTTAATTGAGACTTTATCAAGAACAAGAATCTTTATTATATACATTTATAGTATAAAATCCATAGGAATATATTTATGATGATGATGATGAGCTTTATATTGTTTATTAAAATTAAATTAAATTAAATTAAATAAAATAAAATTAAATGTTTTTGTATTCAATAAAAAAAATACTACAACTACTACACCGTTTGAAACGGTTGTTATAACGGGTGGTTAACAACAATTTTTACTAATATAATTTTCTTTTTATATATATATATATATATATAAATATATATTTGCACATTTATTTTCTTTTTCTTTTTTTTTTAAAAAAAGTTTATAATATTTTAAATTTAACACTTTTAAAAATTTAAAAAAAAATCATTTTTTTTATTTTTTTTGTAAAAAATAAATTTATATTTTTAACTATCACGTTTATATAGCCAGAATCAATCTAGTATTCAACAATTTTTCGAAGGTCTCTTGGCCCAGTTGGTTAAGGCATCGTGCTAATAAACAAGCAACTTCCTTGTGATACGCGAGGATCGGCGGTTCGATCCCGCCAGAGACTATAATTTTTTTTAAATATTTTTACTATTAAATCTGATATAAATTATATAAATTATATAAATTATATATATATATATATCTAAAGAAAAAAATAAAAAAAATTATTATTATTATTATTAGTATACAAGTTGTTCACCCGTGCTACTAAATAATTTGCAATTAAGTATTTACCTGTGCTACTGTTATTCGAATGATGTTTGTATTGTTGGTGTTGACATTTTTTTTCAAAAAATGGTGGCTCCATGAATTTTTTGGGGGGTTTACCCTAAAAATTATAATATACTAATTATTTTTTTCTTTCTTTTATTTTTTTAAGTTATTAATAAATAAAGATTTTAAACTTTAAACTTTTATTTTTATTTTAATGTACAAAACTATTACCAATACTACTACTACCACTATTATTACAAAATATTACTATTAAATTAAATTAAATTCCATCCAACCATCCATCACATGGCTTCCCGTAAAATCTGTCGAGTATCAACACAAGAAATCCCTGCTGCCTTACGTGCTACCTCACATCTCTTATAATGCCCAATAACATTGATGACAAGTGATATCACTAGCCATCCAAACAATATAGGTAGTGCCCGGTAAGCAATGGGTGATGCTCCACGAGCCCAAATAGACGTATTAAGGTTATACATATTAAATCCAGGAAGAGCAGTACTCCAATGATAAAACCCAGGAGTCAATGGGAGTGGAACAATAGCACTCATGACATTCATAATAATCCAAGTTAAAACAACAATAGGGAACACAGCAGGTGGGAAAAAACAAGCAAAACAGTCAAGGAAAACAAAATTAACAGCCATCATAAGCCAAAATGACATCCATGTTAATACAAATTGATTTCCATTAACAACCCAACCTTCACGGAACCACCAAATTGCACCTGTAGCAATTAACGAATACATAAACCCAAAGAAAAATGCAAACCCATGACGGGTCCCAAAACTAACCAACGGTCGGACTTTTGCATAAATTTGATTCTCAACTGCAATCATATTGGTCCCCAACATAAAGAAAAACATAATAAGAATAACAATAACCATGCAAATTGTATTATATAAAAATGCAGTCAATTGCGGGGTTGGCTGAATGTTTATCTCCGTCGAATCCACAGGTGTCCCCAACACTTGTAATTGCGCATCACTTGGGTCTTGGCCAACCATCCCAAACATGGCTCGTCCGTGCATTGCTACCAAAGCCCGCTGTGTAATTGTACCAATCGACACCAGACTGCTCTTAATAACTCCATTTGACATGGATGTATAATGTGCTTGATTCCATACATAATATAACGCCGTTGTAGGGTCATACTCCGCCGCAATTTGTGCGTCCCCCAAGGCCGCATGCAGTTGCTCCGTTGCGTTCTCCGCGGCGTAAACTGCACCCCAGTAATTTCCCTTAAATACTTCATGATAAACTGACTCAGGTGTATGATCCGTTGTATTATCCACAATAAACCTTGGAAATGTCAATGCTTGTGCAGACTCAAGCCCAGAAATCATCGCAGCTCCTATTGCTCCTCCATCAAGATCAACAGCAAGCATTCGCAAGTTATGAACTTTGGTCGTGGAATGGTGTAAATTCCCCAAAGCATAACACATCATGGTCGTAATAAGCAATAAAAAAATGGTCCCTGCTGCACCGAGAATACCCAAAAACTTTTTAAAGTCAGGGGTTTGGATTGCTTCCTTAAAAGTGGATGGTGTAAACTCTTTAGGAGTTGGAGGAACATAGTTTGAAGGAATGACTTGAAGATCTTCGTCTTCTTCTTTATCCTGAGAATCTCGAATCATGATAGTATTTATAATTATAATTATTATTATATATGAATTAAAGTTATTAAATATAAAAGTATTTATAAGAAAAAAAAAAGAAGAAGAAAAACCAAAGCAACAACAAAATGGGAATCTTTAAACCTTTAAATACCTGCTGGTTAAATCCATTCACCAAGACAAAAACAACAACAACAAATAAAAAAACGAAAAAAAAAAAAAAAAAAGAAAAATTCTTTTTCACGGAAATCTTCCAGGCCTCTTCGGGATCTTCCCTAAAGCCGTGCAAATATCCAAACCTGACGTTTGTGATCGGCTCGATGTCCGTCACTTGCTTACTATATCCGCTGTTGTAATTGTAACAAAAATAGGTCGATAGGTCAATTGGTAATAATATATAAATTATACCGTCTCCCGCATAATCTCCTTGGTATGCTGGTCCGAAGCATCCGCAGCAGACCGTGCAAGACGGCATCGCTTATGGTGTCCATATATATTGATCGGCCACAAAATAATCAACCATCCAAATAAAATTGGAAGCGCCCGATATGCAACCGGCGATGCTCCACGAGCCCAAATGCTCGAAACCAAATTGTACCCATTGAAAGCAGGCAAGGCATAAGTCCAGTGATAAAACTTAGGAGCCAATGGTTGAGGCAAAATGCAACTCATAACATTCATAATAATCCAACAAAGAACAAAAACTGGGAAAAATAGGGGAGGGAAGAAACATGCAATGTTGTCGAAAAAGATAAAGTTCACTATCATCATCAAGTAGTAAACAAGCCAGGTCAAAACAAACTGATTGCCATTGACACCCCATCCTTCACGGAACCACCAAATTGTGCCCGTAGCAAGCAGCGAGTATAAAAATGCAAAGACAAATGCAAACCCAAGACGCGAACAGTAACTCACCAACTTGGAGTAACGCGCATAAATCTTAAACTCAACTGCCACACCATTGGTCGCAATCATAAAGAAAAACATAATCAGCATAATAATAACCATTCCAATAGTGTTGTACAAAAATGCACCAAGCTGTGTAGTCTTCAAAATGTTAAGGGCTGTTGTCCCCACTGGTGTAGCAAACACCTCCAGCTGCTCCAAAGATGGTGAGTCCGACAAGTACTTGGAATAAAGGTCGCTACCCTGCATCGCAATAAGCACCTCTCGTGTAATATCTCCCATGGCACTCAGCATGCTCTCAACAACGCTGTTGGACACAGATGTATAGTGGGCCTGGTTCCAAACATAGTAAATCGCTGTATCTGCATCGTATGTGGCTGCCAACGAGGAATTCGAAAGAGCGGCCAAAAGATTCTCCGAAGCATTATGTGCGGTGTAGATAGCCCCCCAATAGTGGCCTTTGAATACTTCATGGAAAACAAGTTCGGGGGTGTAGTCTGTGCTGTTCTTGATAATAAAAGTAGGGAACGATTTGCCCTTGGCAGACTCATATCCTGCAAGCATGGCTGCTCCCACAATCCCCTCATCGAAATCAACAGCTAAAATCCGCACCCTGTGAATACGAGAGGTTGCGTGGTGGAAGTTACCGTAGGAGTAACACATAATAACCGTAATCAAAAACATGAAAATAACCCCGATAATCACCAAAACTTTTATAAACTTTTGTAAAACTGGTGTTGCAACTGCTTCCCGAAAGTCAAGGTGTGCTGTGGGGTATTTATCAAGAGGAATCATGTCCGCAGAACTGTCGCCGTGGAACGTCTGAACTCGTTCCATCTGTTCCAAGTTGTTATCAGAATCGTTTGACGAAGATGACATCTTTGTATGACTTTGCTTTATATTAAATATGTTTTCTTCTTGAATAATTTAATTGTTTTTATCTTGATTATAATGAAAGAAAAGAATAAGAAGAAAAAGAAAAAGAAGAAGAAAAAAATTCAAAAAACAAAGATTCACCTTGATGTATATATATGATTTTTTTTACCACCTCTTGCAATTGAATACTCCAACCCCGAAAGAGGGGTTTTTTTTTTCTTTTTTTTTTCTTCTCGTAATAGCCAGTTTAGCAAATAATTGATTGTTTTGTTGCAATTAACCCTTTAGTTACTACACGGATAAGGATGCTAAAACATTTCCGTGTTCCTTGCAGCGCAAATCTTTGCCTTGTTTTTTTTTTTTTTGTTACTCTGCGGGATTCCCCAAACCCTACCGTTTGTTTAAACACTGACAACATTGAAATAAAAACAAAATCTGTCTTTGCGGGTCATTCGGAAACAAAAATAAACAATCTTCCCTTTGTATTTTTTCTAGAAGAATTCCTTTTTTAAACTTTGTTGGTAGCGCCTCGAGGCTTGGTAGTTTTGAGGATAACAATTTAGACTACTTGAATGGACTCGAAATTGGTATTGTGATCGCTTTATGGACAATCATTTTTCAATTATTTTAAAAAAAAAAAATTTTTTTTTTCATTTTTTTAGGTCGCAGTTTTGGTATCGTCGATATAGCAGCTATTTAACTTCTTTGTGATTGATTTGCTTAATATAAAGCTTAAACCTTAAAGAAAAAAAAAAAAGAAAAACATATCAACAGTTAACTACCACACTCTGTTAAAGATGGACCTTAAATAAATAACTAAAATGATAGACAAAGTGTATGACTATTGTACTAATTGATTTAAATTTTCGATAAAAGGTATTTAATGTGGATCAAAGGATAACACGGATAATCAAGGACCTAAAATTACCGGGAATTATTCTTAGGCTCTTCGGGATACTATGATGGGTACAAAAAGAAAAAAAGTAAAAAAAAGAAAATAAAAACAATTGTAACTATGAAAGAGGCTGGGATGAATAACTGAAAACGTAAAAAAAAAAAAACAAAAAAAAAACATTTTAAAATGCAGAAGGGTATCAATACTTCTATTTCAAAGTTCATTTTCCTGACGTTGATGACATCCCAAAAAGTTTTTTGTGGATAGGCTGGCGGTTCGGGCGGAAAGGCTTTATTTCATATGTTCCTTTATCCGGTGCTGTTCTAATATATGCTATTGATGATGATTAATGGCAGTCTGCAAAATAATTAATTGAATTAGCTCAAATTTTTGAAAAAAAACAAAAACAAAAACAAAAATATATAAATATAAATATAAATATTTTTAAAAAAAAATTGATTTCAAAAAAAAAAAAAAAAAAAAGAAGGAAAGAAAGAAAGAAAGAAAAATAGAAGTGTATTTTTTTTAAATGCTTAGATTTAATTTGTTTTTAGGTACAATTGATATTTTGACAAGAATGGCGAAATATATCGGTCAAAAAATACATTGCACGGTGCATGATTATGTAATAATTAATAATTTACAATTAAAAACTTTAACTTAATTAAAAGTATAAAAATAATTATTTTACAAGCGATGCAGTGGCTCAATGGTAGAGCATTGGATTCCAAATCCAAAGGCTGCAGGTTCGATTCCTGTCTGTGTCAATAATAATCTTAATATTTTTTTTCAAAAAATTGGTGTTAAAAAATTTAAACGTCTTGGTTTATTTCTTTTTAGTACAGTTAAGAAATAAATTTGCTAATGACCAGACGTTTAATTGGAATATGGAATTTGAAGGAAAAAATAGTCCTGAGCTAGAGGGATCAATTTAATGAACCAATTAGAAAATGTTTCATGTCATTTTTTTTACAATATTTTTTTTTTTTTTGTAATTCCAATAAAACCATTATAAAAAATTCATTTTGATAAAGATTGTTTTCCATTTTTTTTGAATTTCCAAGGGGGTCGAGTTCCAGTTATCTAAACCCTATCCCTGATTATATATGAAATAAGCACACCCCTTTCTTTTAGTATCGTCATCACTACACATATAAACATCAACAACATGATTTGGACATTAGAAAATATCCCAGATGACCTTCATTTCGAACTTTCGGAATTTTTATTGGAACAAGACTTGCAAATACTTACTCAGACATCTCAAAAGTTGCGCCATATTTACTGGTCTAAAAAATGGAATAAAGTCAGCGTTTTCCAGTCAAAAAAAGACATGCATAACTCTTTGTATACCAAAGTGACATTAAATGTGATGTTACACCCAGAAAAATACAGCTGGTTTGCTAATGACCTGGTAGGTGTACTTAGAATAAATATCAATTCTTTTATAAAAATTATCCCAATTCTGCCGCCTATTTTTGACACACCAGAATTTTTTAAAACTCAATACCCTAAACTCAGAGCAATTCAATTCATTGATGAGCGAGACACTATATACCTAGAATCTTATTTAAAAAAAAAGCAGGGATTTTCACCATTTTTATTTTTCCACGGCAACATGGTCATTGTTCATGCTTTGATCAAGAGCTTGTTTCACAACATTGGTGTCATATACATGGACTCGAAGTTTGTTAGAAAAGTTCACCTTGAGCTGAAAAACGGGCCTTTCCAACAATTACCAGAAATGCTAAGCAAGCTGCCGTTTTTGAATTTCTTAAGAATTGAGGTCCCCTTTATGTTTGGAAATAATTCCATGCCTAAAAGTTTCCCCGTACTTATGAAGAGGTTTCCAAGCACCCTTGAAACATTTCTGCTCCGCTTTTATCCAATTTACCCAGATGATGATGATCAACTAAATTTTCAAACTCTTGACGAGTTAAGCCCAATATCAAGTAAGCTTATTATCCCAGATGTAACAGCTATAAATTATCGTTTCTATGATGCCAAGAAGTCTAATATCTTCAATTACTTTATCTTCCCCAAGTTGACTCACCTTGAGGTGGAAGGAGACTCTAGCTATTTTAATAAATTAGAGCCGTTGCTTTTTGACAAAATTACAATCTTGAGACTTTCATTTTACGGGTTCATTAATACAGATGATCTTTATGCGGCATCTGTTTCGCTCAAAAAGCTCCAGCACCTTCAACGCTTGGGATTAAATTATTTCACAGGAAACTTTGATCGTTGTATACCAGATTTCTGCGCCGTCCTAACCTGTTTAGAAGTACTTCGGTGTACTCCTGGAAATCGTAAAACAATGGTGACAAAAAGTGCTCGAGCCATAGAGAAGCTGCTTAAAATGGATGTAATTACCGGCTATCAACCAGTTTCCCACATTTATACTTTTCGTAAAGAAATCGCAGGTGCAATTTTTGATGTTGTTACAGACCCATTTAAAGAACATTATTTCGATTCATTGAATGATCCCATACTGGATATAATTGATTTAGTTTGGCGAGTGGAAGGTTTGTTTAAAGTCATTCAATCTTTAACTAATATTCCATACTTGTATGTGGAGTCTAGTGAATATTCGCCTTTACCATTTTCTCCAAGCCTTTTAAAAATCTTAACGTGCCCCGGAACAATCAAACAGATGCTTTTTACACAGGTAGCTTTAGAAAAACCAAGTTTACACCCCGTGGTGTTTTTGGATGAAAAAGATGATATTTGTGAAGCTAAGTTTGAATATTTATACGGAAAATCCCTCAAACTTCCATACACTGTTTTCTCACTAATTGACGGCCCAAAGTATAGGCTTGAAGAAAAGGTCCAGCAGTACCTTTTTGATTTAGAACAGAAGAGAGATTTTGTAGATATAAAGAAACAGTTTACTACAGATTATGACATTTCTTTTACTGATAACTGGGGTCGAGAATTTGGAACACAAGGTCAAGATTTTCATGGATGGGTTTAAAAGGGGAAAAAATAAAATAAAATAAAATATTTATTAAACAGTTATATATACTTCTATATGAAAACAAAAAAACAAAAAAAAAAAATTATAGAAACATTACCAATTGTAGGCTTCTACAAACAAATCTACACGGTCTTTACCCTTGTCCATATTCGCAGTAACTGCGCTGCGGACAACATCATTGACGGCTGGGGGGCCGCAAACGAAAAAGCCAATAGTACCAGGAGCTTGAGAAACATAGCCAGAAATAATGCCATTCAAATCTGGAGTTCCATAGGAAATAGAAGCACCAAGCTCATTGCCACTTGCGTTCCCGTCATCACTCTTTTTTTCATCAGAACAAGAATCATCAGACTTGGTTTTTTCAGTGAATGGCGACATATTGGCTTCTTCATTAGTGACATAGATTGAAACATCAATGGAATCACTGCAGGAAGTCAGATAGTTAATCTCGTCCTTCATGACTTCAATGTTCCCATGTGTCCGGGTGACCCACAAGAGAACAACATGTTTCTTGCAGGCCTGCTTCTTAAGCTTTGCAGCATAGGAGTAGGTAGCTGTGATACCAATACCGCCAGCAATCAGCACAATGGTGTCGGACTTGTCCACGGGGAATGTATGACCATAAGGACCTTCAATAAGAACTGGAACCCGAGCTCTGCCAGCTTCTTTTCCAGCAAGGTAGTTTGCAATCTGCTTGGTCTTACCATTTTGAGTCTTCATAACAAAGCAAAGCTTTTGCTCCTCGCCAGGAAGAGGAGATTGGTAGCATGAAAAGGGGTGATTTTCCCAAAACTTGAGAAAAGGAAGCAAAAAGTAAAGAAATGCATAGTTGCCGGCATTGGGTCCCCATGTGAAAGAGTAGTCAATTTTGACTTTGACAAACTCTTTATTTTTGGAAAGTTCAAGATTTGCAGTAGATGTAACACTAGAAAAGGCTATGCGGCCGAGTCGACAAGCCCTGTCAAAGGCCCAAAGAGCAACACAAGGGTACATCCAAACAGTCCATCCACGACCAAAAAGATGCTTCCATGTACCAGCAGTGAAAAAGCAAACAAAGATCCAGTGAGAAAATAAGAAAAACTCATAATAAGAAACTCTAAAGAAGCGGAGTGAAAAGAAAAGAATAAAGCAGGAACAGATAAAGGCAACAACACCCCACTTCATAAAGTAAGACTTCCAGTGGCCAAAGAAATCACCACGCTTGCGGTAGTTGACTGTGAAAAGCACAGAATGTAAAAAGGCGTCCAGAACCATGGATCGAGCCACCCAACGATGGTACATGTTCATTGTATCAAAGTTCCAACCAGTGCACCACATAATGATGGAGTTGCGCGAAGCCAGAATGTAGAGCAGAGGAAGCTGGGCCATTGCGATGATACCAGTACGGTCAGCAACGTATTTTGTAAGTTGAAGGTACTTGGTAGTGAAGGAGATATTTCCATCAAACAAGTCATAATTGGGGAAGTGGAAGATGAATAGCATGATGGCATAACCAAGAAGAATGACAAACTGGGAGCGGGAAGGAGGAGACATACTAACGGGCCCCCATTGGTATGGGAGACTGTGCTTGAATCCACCAAGAGCCGGATTGGCGATTTTTTGTCTGATAAAGAGAACAGGCTTTGTGTTTGAAACACTTTTTGCCAACCCAGGCGCACAGGACTTTGTAAAGTTGCAAATAGTAGCAATGAGAAAAACACCACCAAAGTAGCAAAGGAGAGCAGCACTTTGAATAATGTTAGAAAAAAAAAAGGAATTTCAGCAAAACTAAAATAAAAAATTAAGAAACATACCCGTAAAGAACACTCTTGTACTTGTTTTTTTCAATAGCACGGAAGCTTCGGTAAGCTTTATCAACTTGAGTTTGAGAAAAGTAAACAGCATTTGTCAGCTGAGCTGACGAGTTTTTGATATCTGCCACCTCGATGAAGTTATTTTGTTGATTGTCATAAGCACTCATGATATAAGTGACATTTTTAGTTGACTTGAGGGCCATGCAGCCCTTGGCCAGTAGCTTGATGGCACCAGCAGCATCTCCACCAGAACGCTCAGCACAGTCCACATAAGTTGCTAGAAACTCATCACTTTGACAGTTACAGGCATTAAGAGCATAGCCCATGCCAGTAAAGTATTTAGAAGGACAAGCATACATATAGGTGCGAGCAAGAGTTGTGCACCCTTCGTAGAGTTGGAAGGCTGGATGACGACTGCCAATACCAACCTTGTTCATTTCTGCGGATGAAAGCCCCAGTAAGGGCATGACAAGTGTAACCACCGCAATGAGTTTCATTTTTTTTTTTTTTTTTTTTTTTTGAAGCTTTGTAATGAGATGAATTCACAATTGTAGAATTTTAATTAGAGTGTGATATCTGGGGTCTTTTATATATTAAAAGCCAAGATTCAACTTTTTTTTTTTTTTTTTCCAATCTACATTTATTAAATGATTATTAAAGTGATCCATCCTAAACTAGAATCTTAATTTGCTCAGTGGTCTTTAAGTTTTTTTTTAAAAATCTTTCAAGTATTCAAATGCGCTTTGTTTCTACGCAGTTTTCCATCTATTTTTCAATGTGTAGTTGTACAGTTGTGCAGCTGTATATAGCAAGACCTAAAAATGCGCCGCACAAACGGTTTAATTGGGAAATAAATGATGGTTACTTTCCTCTCTCGAGAACTCCGAGTGGCAGGATATAAAGTTACAACAGTTTAGTTGGGTGGGTAGCAGTAAAGTACGGCGCACAACGTAATTACCACTTTTGGAAAGCTAATTTGCTCACAATGATTATTCAAAGCTTAGTATTATAGGGGCGCCTTTGAAAGACTGGCGGCTTGTCAAATCACAGTTCAATAATTCCAAAAAAAAAAAATAAATAAATATAAATATAAAAAAATAAAATAAAATCATATCATATCATATCATATCATAAAAGAGATGAATAAGCTCACCGGATCCAATAACCTCCTTTAAGTATTCCAAAAAAAAAAAAGCAATATATCACCTTTATAGGAATATAACCCGCTATAAGTTACTCATTCTTTGTGCCATGATTTGCCCGCCAACTTCGTCCATTGCTCTAACCGCAGCAATGCGCTTCTGATATTCAACAGCAAGCTCTCGGTTCCGCCTTGTCTCACGCAAGCCAATAATGCTTACGTCCCGCTTAGAAAAAACCTCGGTTTCTAAAATTCTTTCAGCAGCAGGAAACATGGCAAAGTGTTGTTCCGGGAAGCGATCCACTCGGTCCATTGCCAAAGAGAGTGGTCCATCCCCAGATTGTGATGGAATCAACAAAGGGTACACAGGATCGACCCGCTCTCCTTGGACAATGAAGTCTTGGCGATGTGAGATAAAGTCTGCCATTAAAAAACAAGATCCAGATGCACTTGATAAAGAAACATAAAACTTGCGTAGAGCCTCGTCATAATCATTGGCCACATCTTTCAACACAGACTCTCCAAACTTCATGGCAAATACAACCGGCCATTCCCGACCTTTAGCCCCATATGCAGTCCCAATTGTCAAGCAATGGTCATCCTCCATCTCCACAACGTAGTCTATGGCTTGTAGCCGTAAAAAGGTTGCTAAATAATCAGGGAGTCCACTTTCAAATCGTGCAACAATAGCGGGATCTAAACTACCCATAGTCTGTAGAAACCGCTCCCGCAGTAACGCAACGTTTTCTTTGTGGCGGAAAACACTGTTAGTACGATACTTCCACGAGTTGTCATTAAACTTTTGAACAATACTATCAAAAAGTTTTTCCATCACCACCAACAACCGTGAATCTGCTGGTTCCAGCCGTTGAGAAAATTTTGTAATGGACCGCCATAATGTAACGAATCCCACAAACTTAATGACCTTTTCTTTACCATTTGGTGTCATTGAAAAAAAGGAGCTGTGAACTTCTCCTCGGCTATAGGTTTCCAGCTTTTCAAAGTATGTCGGCGCAATACCAAACTTCATGATTCGTGACACATCCGATGGCGGAATAGGCATATTCATCCACGCTGCTGAGTCAACGGCATCTTCCTCGTTTTTGTTAGATTGGATAGTTCGGAATACACTCAAAAGTGATACAATCTCGCGCTGCTGCCAAAACTCTCTTCCTAAAATTGTGTATGGAATGCCCTCGCTTTCCAGTGCTTCGCGCATCAATGCGAGTACTTCTGGTGTCTGTGAATACCTGTCCAAAAGTGCAAAGTCTGAGAAATTAATGTCATATCTCTGTGTTAAATACTTGATGAATGCTGAAACTGCGCGTACCTCAGCTTCAAATGTAAAGAAGGTAACTGTTGCTGGACCAAGAGGGTGAGCATTTTTCTCTATATGGATTGCTTTTGAAGACGGAGTGATGAGCCCTGATTTTGTTTGATCGTATTCAATAACTTGTTGTCCAAGCTTTACCAGACTTTCTGTTGAGCGATAGTTCACATGTAAACTCACTAGCTGGGTTTGGGGGAATTGGCGTTGCATGTGCGCAAAATTGTACGGCTGAGGATTATGAGAAAGATAAATTCCCTGATTTGGATCGCCAGCTACACTCAACCCCCCACTTTGAGAGAGTGCGCAAATAAACCGATATTGAGCAGCTGTCAAGTCTTCAAATGAGTCCACGAGTACATGCTGAATATTTTTAACCGTTTCAGGGTATTCTGCAATAAGCCTTAATCCTAAAAGAACTAAATCGTTCAAATCCACTAGATCCTGCTTCCTCAGCCTTGCTTCATATTCTTTGAAAATCTCTCGCATGAGGGGCAAGCTTGCCGCCGGTGGAGTTTTCACCCATTCATCTATTGAAATGCCCTTTGACTTGATGTAATTGATTGCTTCACAGACAAAAGAAACATCAATTAATGGGAGACTGAGGCTTTCATTTGAATACCTAGCCTTGGCTCTGTAAGCTCTAGAGGCATTCTTTTCTTGATCGACGTTTTGTGGATAATACCCCTGTCTCTCACCAATATTGACAACGTTGCTTGAGACTAATACCGAGCTCACAAAGTCCCGTTGCTGCTCTTGGCTAAGTATGGTAAAGTTTGGTACTAAATTTAGTTTATCACCAAAAAGATTAAGGTACCGAAGACAATAATAATGAATTGTTCCCGCCGTTAAATCTATATTTCCTTTATATTGAATTTCTTCTAGTTTTGATGTAACATTGGTGACTAGTTCTTGAGCTGCTAGACGAGTGCGACTGAAAATGGAAATATTTTCTGGAGGAACGTTATGCTTATAAATAAGCCATGCCGCACGATACCCAAGTATTTTAGACTTTCCCGTTCCTGGACCACCTATGATTTGTAATGGCAAATTGGGTGGTCCCGTAGCGGCTAGATTTTGCATCTCATCAAGCGGCTCTAGCAGCATGTTCGGCTTCGTTAGACTGGCGACACATGACGTAGTCCTAGCCAATCGCTTGTGCTTAAGCTCATCATCATCGGTTTTAGACTCTGGAAGAATAATTTCTTTAGCGTAGTTATTAAATGAGAAGGTCGACTGAAAAGGCGAGTTGTCGATTGGGTCGGCCCAAAGGGGCATCCACGCTGGTATTTGGCGGAAAGTATGGCTCCAACGTCGCTGAGAAAGATGCAGACGTCCACAACGACAACTTCTAAATGATGTTAATATCATGAAAGGAAATAGTAGTAATTGAAGAAAACAAAATTTTTTTCAAAGAGATTGGAAAAAGGGTTTGTTTAAATGTTTGGCCAAGTGAAACAATGCCTGTTTTGGTATGGCAATAAGTAAACACCACTCGAATTATTACCAAAGAAAAAATAAAATAAAAAAAAAACAAGCATATCAAAATTATTAAATTTCACTTTTTTGAAATTTTTTTTGTTCAAATATATTTAAAAAATGTCTAAAAGAATGAATTATTCATGTTATTTGTAACTACAATGTTGGCATTAATCTGAAGATCTTAACGAGATTGTAAAGAAATCATATATATGATTTCTGGTATATATACCAGTCTTCTATAAAAATACACAATAAACAATAAAGCAATGTGAATACACTAGGAAAAATATTAATTCATGGTTATAGTTTTTTTATTATAATTATTTTATATCATTAAAAACCCTATAATTCTAAATGCTGTTTTTGAAAAGCTAATTGACGATGTATAAGAAAGAACCAAAGTTGGCGATGCCATGAGCCTGAAAATTAACTAAAACATTACGTGATAATAAAAGGAAAATTACATAATTTAAATTAATTGTGACATTAACTAATTAGAAGTTGTTATAACAAAAAATAGACATATTTCCCAATCCATTCTAATTGAATCTTTGAAAACAAGGAAAAAATGACCAAAATTTATAAAAACAGTAGAAAAAGTAAAAAAAAAAAACAAATGCGTCAGCCCGGAGTCGAACCGGGGGCTCGTCGATGGCAACGACGAATTTTACCGCTAAACCACTAACGCTCTTTAAGTTGTAAAAGCCATAAATTTCTTTGACTATATATTCAAAAATAATTCAAAAAGTTATTTAAACTATATTTAAAGTTAAAGTTAAAGTTATAGTTAAATTTTTTAAATCATTAAAATCTATTCTTTTACACCTAAATATTGGGAAATATCATCCTAATAATGTCCATTTGTTAACCATCAATTGAAAAATCTTCAGTCGCAAAGTTAATCCTACTTTACATGTTGTTGGTGAAAGAATACAGTGATTTAGTCATAAAAGATGATGAAAAGAAAACGAAAAGTCATTGAATTTTTTAAAATAAAGAATAATTGTTGTAACAGTAACAAGGATCTGAAGTATCAACCTATCACAGTGAGGTCAAAATGTACTGACAATCTTTTTAACATGGTAGCAAGAGTGTTTGTGAAAAAACGATAATCTTACTCAGTTTTGCAAGGGCCATGGCAACTTTGGTGTATTATTAAAATAGTTTGGAATTGATAAAGATAGTTACAACTGCAATTTTTTGGAAGCTGGAAATATCTAAACATATTTTGGTTGGTTTTCCTTTGCAAAAACTGTAAGATTTACATCTTCCTAGAGGAATTAAGAAATGCAATTCCTGGGTTGATGGAGACAAGTGGAGGCAACTTGAGAAGGTGTCAGAACTTATTTTCGGGCTATTCAAGATATAATGTTAATTAAATAAAATTAAAAGTCTATTGTGAAAACGAAAAAATAAATAGTAAGAACATAAATGATAGGGTTGATTCTGACCCTTAAATACCAAGAAACAAACAAAACAAACAAGTTAAAGTTGACATTTTTGAATTAAAATCAATCAACTATGTTTAATTTTATATTTTATTTTAAAACTATTACTGCTTCATTTCATATATACAACTTGCCAAGGTTATTCACAATATAAAAACATATACTATTTCAGTTTGAAGAGTTTCATAAATAATTTAGGCGGGAATGAAACTAAATGGAGATAAGCCGGGTTTATTTTATTTGTGACTTTATATTTCATTATGTAGCTTAATGAAAACATCTTTTCTAGTTTAAGTAACATTTAATTGTAAAACATTCAAGATATTATATTCTAATACTAATCTTGTGAAGTTAAAAGGATATACTAGAAATAAATTCTTAGAAATATATTTCTAGAACCCTTGAGTAAAAAAAGCAAATAAGAAATTACTAACAAAATTCTAAATCATTAAAAAAATTAAAAGTTGGATTAATCCAACTTTTACAGTAAATATTTACTGTTTTGGGAATTACGATTTAAAACTTGTCAAACAAATTTCTGTTAAGGATTGTAATTTAAAAAAAATAGAAAATGTTAACAGAGAAGAGTGAAAAGATGACATTTAATCGCCAAGAAAAATTTCAATGGTTGTTTTAAAATTGATAAATCAATTAAAGGAAAAATATAAAATCTAAATATCTTAGTTAGTATCAGTTTTTTATTGCTCTCTCAAAACTAAAACTAAAACTGATTTTAAAAATTTTTGAAGTGCAATTTAACTCAAGATTTCAAAAAAAAAAAAAAAATAAAAATTTTATGATTTTAACATCAAAAGTATTACTCATAGCTTGGTTAAATATTTTTAAAATTTAAGTTATTAAAACATAAGTAGAAAAAAATCCCATCTTTGATCTGGGTATTTTTTTTTAACTATCATTCATATAACTTACATCCACTAAAAAACTTTTCATTAATGATTATATCTCAAATAAAAACATAACATGTATTATTAATATTATTTAAATTATTGATAAAACTTATATATAAGAATAATATGTGACAAGTTGGAGATGACAGGAAACAGGGCACATAATTTAATTAAATTATGATTTTTCATTATAATGAAAAATTTCTGCTTTGTTCATTTTGATTCCTTAGAGCTACCATAGTATTAGCTTTACTTGCAAACCAATTATTTCTTTGTTTAAAAGTTAACCAAGTAATCTATATATACTTAACTATTTATTTAGTTATTGGAGTCCAACGTAAATCTTGACAGAGTTGAATGGCAATGTTCTGATCCCTTCAAGTTTCGATTACGGTATCAGTAATTGTTTAATATTGCAGCTATCCTAAATAGAGAATTAATTTTTAAGTATTGAACAATCGATTTTAAAGCTTCAAATCTACTGACTCCATTTTTCTTAACAAAAAAATTTAAATTAAAACACTTCAGCTTTTGACTATTTCTCGAAACGTAGGAAAGGGCTACGGAAATACGCTTTTATAAACTTAGAGGTTAGGGCTCGTGGTCACATGACTATGTTTTTTTTACACGCGTGTATTTTTTTAGCTTTTGCACCAAAACAATTTATTAATCACCAACACATCCAAACAACTGTTTATATCAACCTTTTACATCAACCCCTTTTTTCAACTTCGCTCTATTCCATACAATGGAAATAGAATTATGACTTCCTCTTCTAACTCTAACGATTATCATCCCTCTAGGGCTTCTACAGTAACCCCAAGCCCAACGCCCTCGCGTTTGGTTTCAACACTGGCGTTGGCCCCTGCACGAACTCGGATACGTATGATTGCTTCCCGTTCTAGTACCATCGAATCGGATTCAGTAACAGATTCTCCAGATATCAAAAAAACCAGCCCAGTTACTCTTAAGCGTCAGCTTTCCGAAGATTCAAAGCCCGCCAATTTCAAAAGGATACATGCAAGTCATAATCTTCGTGGTCCCACTAAAGACACTACGACAACTACAATCACTACCACCACAACAATAACTACTACTGCTATCCCCGGTCATCTCTTTAAGTTTGTAACTGCTCCCAAGTCACTTCTTGAAATTTGGGAAGAATACAAGTATCCCAAACTGAATGACCTTTCGATTGAACAAATGGACGAGGTTTATGGCGAAAGCAAATGGGTTCAAAATGCACACTTAAATCTTTATCGGGGACGCGTACGGTTTTGCCGTAAAGTTAAAGGACTGTGCAGCAAACATGGGCTCATTCCCGAAGAAGTTGTAAAATCACTGGAAATTAACAGATGCATGAAGAGGTATGGCATTTCCAATTATATACACCTATCTTATTATCAAAAAGATAATATTTTCACCTCGATTCCTAAAATTAAGTTGGCGCATCAACCAACCACGGACTCTGAAGATTTTTATTCTAAAGAGCTTCCCAAATTTAAATTTATGCATTCACCTCGCTCATTTTTAGATATTTGGAATGAGTACAAGTACCCAGGTATCAACAAGCTTTCTTTAGAAGAAATGGTTATTAAATATGGCAAAAGCTGGATTCCTAATGGATTCCATCCCACGTTTCACCAGCGTATGCTAATCAACAATGCCATTAAGACTGGGTTGAGCAAGCGATATACATTAAACGAGTGCCTTGATCTGTTTGAAGGTGATTTACAGCGATCTGGGTTACAATTTTTTGCTTATACAAGAAAAAAAATGATACCCCTCGAGTTATTAGATGATAATGGGCTTAAGGACGATTTAGGACTGCGTTCATCGAACAGCTCGGTGATTTCTTCTCGGCCTTTAAATAGTTCACCATCTACTCGTTCAAATGAAACAATATCAAACTCATCCATTCCTAAACCTAATTTCCAGTTTCAATATGGCCCCATGACTTTTAAAGAAATTTGGGATGAATACAAAATACCAAATCAAGATAATTATTCTATTGAAAAACTAGATTTAGAGCACGGTGAAGGAAAATGGACTGGAAATTTATATAATACCTATTATCGTCGAATTCGCCTAGTCAAAGTTATTAAGGAAGGCATTCAGATAGGATTGACAGTGGATCAATGTTGCGATAGACTGGAAAAACATAAGAAGTCTCTTAAACTATCCATGTGCAGCTTTTTATCAGCTTCTAGCTATCTAGACCGATTCTCATATTTTAATTTCCTTGTTGCTCCACAGAGTTTTGAAGATATTTGGAAGGAGTATAAATTTCCTGGACTAAACCTTATATCTCTCGAAAAGTACATTGCATTGAAGGGAGCAATTTTTTTGGAAACTTTCAATAATGGGATTCATTATTCTCGGTACTTGTTGTGTAAAGGGATAGAAACTGGCTTAAAAAGAGGATTTTCACTTCAAGAATGTTTAGGTTTTTTGGAAAGAGATCAAAGTGTACTCGGAATCCCAATAATTCAGTACATTGAAAATGGAGTGTATCCAGCTGAACTTGATATTAATTCGCCATTACCTGAACTAAACCCGCTTGAATTCAATTTTTTGAATGGAATGACAAGCTGGAAAAGTGTTTGGGACGAATACAAATCCCCCGTTTTAAACCATTTATCTATTGAGCAGATGGACCAAAAATATGGAGATAGAAAATGGGTCAGTGCTTCTAAATTAAACACATACTTAAGAAGAAAGAAAGTAATTAATTGTATTAAAGATGGGCTTAATCATGGGTATTCTTTAAAAAAGTGCTTTGAAATTTTGGATCAAAAGCTAAAGGAGTCCGGATTAGCGACAATCTATGCGTTTGCTTCAACAAAAGATTTTCCTCAAAAAATAGTCGATGAATCATCGATATCATCAGAAACTCTACCATTGGCATCTCCAGAAACTCAGCTTTCTGTTACCAACGGAGAAGAGTTATATTTCGCCAATTTCGATCCTAATTCCTTTAAAATTGTCTGTTCGCCAGCTTCATTTTCAGATATCTGGAAAGAGTATAAAGAGCCGGGATTAAATATGTATTCAATTGAACATGTTTGCAAAACTTTAGGCGACTCATGGACCCATAAATCCAAGTCTAAGCAAACTTTACGAAAGCGCATTCAATTATGTCGAGTCATTGAATCCAACCTTTTTCGGGGGTACAGTCTGGAGCAGTGCCTAAATATTTTGGAAGAGCATCGGGTAAAGAGAAAACAGTCTCTTTCTCATTATCTAAACAAGCAAAGTTACCCAAGTGAGCTTGTTCAGGATATATCACAAGGAACACGTATAGCACCTGACTTGCAAGATTTGGCAAGAGAGTTAGGGCAGCAAGATTTAGGAGAGAATCAAACGCCAGAAGAGATGAGAAGGGCAGATTCAGAAATTTCAGACTCTTCCGTTAAAAAACAACTCTCATTAATGGTATCGACATCACCATCTTCAATTTCAATTTCACCATCTACTTCTTCTTCAACTCCTTCAGCATCTTCAGCATCTTCAACATCATCAACATCTTCAGCATCTTCAACATCTTCAGCATCTTCAACTTCTATATCTTTATCTGATTCTTCCAACCATTCATCAAACAACAAAGTTGACAATCATTTAAACCTTAAAGTTCACCCCAGAAAAACTATTTCTCCACGTAGAGTTTATTTAGGTCCAGTTCCCCCATCAATTTCCAAACCATCAACATTTTTAAAGATTTGGGAGGAGTATCATCTCAATGTTTCAACAATTGGAAGAACATTTGAAGAACTTGATGAGTTATATGGAGATACGTGGCGGGTTAATTTGGAATCTCCACGAATACGACGTATAGTTTGTTTTTCTATTTTTAATGGGCTTCATAATGGTTACACTTTGGATGAGTGCTTGAGTATGCTGGAGAAGCACAAGAGTAATTCGAAACTAGCTATGTACACATATCTTTCTTGGAGAAAATTTCCTGAAGAATTTAACGTTGGAGAGACGACCCCAGAAGTTTATACCGGGCCTGAGTTTAAGCTGGAGCCAGATCTGGAATCGATTGAGGATCTTTGGGCGGAGTACAAGATACCTAGGCTTAATAATTACTCAATGCAGCAAATGATTGAGATTTACGGCAACACTTTTGCGTCTGATAGCATTAAGCGGATATTTTTGTTGAGGTTACGGATGTGTAGGGCGATGGATGTTGGGTTATTCAAGGGGTACAGTTTGGATCAGTGTTTTGGTTTTTTGAAGCGAGAGTTGAGACGATTGAATATTAAGTTTTCAGACATGTTAAAGCACAAAAAATATTTTCCTAAGGAACTGACGTCTGAAGGTCCTCCACAAGAGTATAGGATTCGAAAGGTTAGTGGGGGTCCAATTGAATTGCAGTTTTTGCCGCAGACGTTTAAAAAAGTGTGGGAAGAGTACAGGCGGCCTGGGGGGTGCTATGAGCTAGACATTGCACAAGGATCGAAGTGGTGGAAAAAGACGCGGATTGAGCACACAGTGGTGCTACGAAGACGAGTATGGATGGCAGTGCGCAGAGGTGTATTTCAAGGGCTCAATGTTGATCAATGCCTAACACTACTGGAACAGGCGCAGACTGATTCGGGTCTTGCTCTTGCTGAGTTTTGTGCACGGGATGTGTGGCCAGAGCTGTTATCTTAAAAACTAAGTCTTATGTCATGTGATTACGCGCCACTTTTGTGGGCTTTGGCGTTTTTTTTTTTTTTTCTTTTTTTTCTTTTTTTTTTTTTTTTATTTTTTTTTATTTTTTTAGGTCTTCTGCCAATGGGAAATTATAACAACTCTTTTCTGCTTTTCCCCATTTATATTAAAGCAAGATATACAAAAGACACTTTCAATTGATTGACTTATTGATAGATATATATATAAACTAATATATCATGACTAGCGACCAAATGACTGATTTACCTGCATTTTCATTGCTCTCGGCAGAAACACATACGGCCATTGCCCAGTTTTTATCGGTGAATGACCTTAAAGCTTTGAGCCAGACGAGCCGTGCGCTTCGAGAGGTTTATGCTCCATTAGCATGGTCCCGGTGCATTGCATTTGGTTCTGGGCCCGGTCCTCTTGAGACCCAGCGAGAAGCCCGAGCATATGAAGCACGTGCACGCGTGCACAACAACTATACGTGGCGAGCCGTTCCATGGGCGGCGGTTGTGGCACCACAAAAGTACGCGTCGTGGTTCCGGAGCGAGTTTATACGGCACCTGAGACTGGAGAGGGATCTAGAGACAGAGCTTGGTGCTGGATGGACACAAGTGTTGGAGGGAGTCATTGGTCAGTACCCAGAGCTGAGGACTGTAGATGTGCGACACGCAGCGCCTGTGTTGAAGAAGAGGAAAAATAGCACTGAGACAAGTGCGGTGGGAAAATTGGAGCATGATATTTACAGTTTTTCCAAGGTTGTGGACGATACTGGAGACTCATCAAGTGTTGTTGCAAACCTACTACGACTGCAACAGCTGGGCAATGTTGTGGAGATTTTTGAGCTGATTTTGTCTGGACAGGGACCCTCGGATGCGCGACAAGCTGCAGCAGCCAGTGTTGGGTTTGTGCTAGAGAATTTGACATTACTAGTGCTTGGGGCCATGCCCGTGGAATGGTTCAAGTATGTGGTGGATCAGACTAGCAATTGGCCAAACCTGCGGATTTTCAGTGCTCACGAGATTTACATTGGCTGTGAAAATGGCTGGGATGCCAAACTAGAGACACTAAATGCATTACCGTCTGCTCAATTGTCATCATACGAGCTAGTTCTGGAACAAGACAATAAGTACGAGCATGATATTGAGGAGTCTGGAGGACGTTCATTAGCACTAGAAGCAACGCGCGTGACACTTAAGCAGGCGACAAGACCAGAGTCTCTGTTTGATTCGTGTTCGTTTAAGAGCCTTGATTTACTGACTATTATAGGGGCCGACGAATATTATGCAGAGACAGAGATACAACCATTTTTGCTTCACGAATTTGTGCCGACCATTACGAGACTATCGATCGACTTGTCACTAGTCAAGTGTCAGCGCAAGAGTATAGAGTCTCTAGCAAAGTTACCTTTGCTCAAACGACTACATGTTTTGGCTGTGGTGCGACTTCAGGACGAGTCGCGAGATCAGTATTACACAGTAGCTTCATGTGTTCAGGAACTGTTGACGATGGCCAAGCCACTTAAGGACCGAGCAGCCAGAGCCCAGGGAGTACGTGATGCGTTAGAAAAGGCGCCGACTGGGTTTGTTTCTAAGCTGCTTAACTATAATGCCGGCACAGACGTGGTACAGACCGTGACAGATCTTGTTGCAAAACCAGCAACAGTGTTTGACTCTGAGGATATTGACACGCAGCTACTATTTGGGCCTGCTGCTACGCTTGAGGTGATTTTTGGCGAGGTTGTCCCACAGCTTCGCAAGACGCTTGAGTATTTATCTGTTACGCTTGTTGACGAGCACTTGATGGCCATTGCACTTCCTGGACTCGGTGCACTATTACAAGAAGCCGGGCTACAAAAGCCTGAAGACTACGCACTACGTCAAGTGAAGGTGTTTAGTCGGTTAGAGCAGCAGATTGTGAGTACGGTTGGGTCCTTGTATGATGTGGTGCCGTGGTATCCGTACCGATTCTTTAGTAACTACGATGGGAACGGACACACGACGACCAGTGTTTTATATGATGTGAAGCAGAAGCGGAATCTTGATGAGCTTACAGATGAGACGGCACCGGCGGGTTCGGGCAGTGTTGCAGAGACGGAGATTTTTGAGGACGGGTTTGCAGGGTGGCTACGCTAGGCCTAAATATATATAAATATAAAAGACTTTGAATATATATAAAACGACTTATTTTTTTTTTTTGTATAGTTTGAATGGGAAAATGAATGGTGCTATATTTTGGTTTGAGCATGTCGAATAAGAAGAAGCGAGCCGCACGGTTTGCTGTACGGTTTAAAGACGCCGCACGGACATTCTGGGGGAGGATTTTTTTTTTTTTTTTTTTTTTTAAAAGGCAGCAGTCAAAAGTTTTTAAAACCCTCACACTTACCAAACCAAACCAACTAAATTTAAACTAAATCAAACCAAACAAACAATAAACGTTCAGAAAGATTAACTACTAACATGGCAGGATCCCGATCACGGAGCTCAAATGCAGATAAAGAAGCTGGAGGAACTTCTTCGGCAACTACTTCAAAGTCCACACGCTCATCACGAAGAACCGCAGCAGCAGCAGCAGCAGCAGTAGTGGCAGACGGGTCCACCGGACATTCGCGAACAGGGACCCCAGATGTACATGACACTGGAGATACGGGAACTGGGCATAGTGGGACTACTCAAAGGGGGTCATCAAATTCTTCGTCTTCAGCATCAAACAAACCCAGCGGACTAGAAACAAATACAATTACATATAAGGCCAACGAGTTTCTGGCAGGACTATCATCGGCAGCGAACCCTGTGCGTCGGGAGTTGGCCATAGAGTTACTAGGAAAACCAACAGTAGTAGCGATTGAAACTCATGGCTTATTGAACCAGCCACTGGTTGGAACGATGCCTGTGAATGGGAACAGCAGTAATAACCATCACCACAATAATGGTACACCAGTTACGATTCCTCCAGGTATGGCCCTGACATCTTCCGGACTTATTACATCGACCGCATCTTCAGCTGGATGTGGAGCAGCTGCACTAGTGGCTGCAGCGGCCGTGGTTGCCGAGCAGCCCAACATTGCAGCAACAGCTGAGATTGAAGATTTACCTGTAGATGCGTTACGACGGTACAAGGCTGCATATAAGATTCCACAGTTAGGAGCACAGAGTTTTAACGGGTACTTGCTTAACAGTGCGGTGGGCCGCAAAACATGGTCATACCGGATCGGCAAGAGTAATAACCGAGTACCCAAGGCCACGCTGGCGCAGGCGGTTCGGCGCAATTTTGGCAACCATTCGGTAAGGGAGTCAGATGTGATTGTGGACTTTATTTACAGTGTGAAGACCCAGGAAAATGCCTTCAAGTGCCGGTTCATTTGATGAGAATGGATTCTTAGCAACGGGTATATCTTATCTCTAATGGTGTTTTTTTTTTTTTTTTTACATTGAATGTTTGAATTTGTTGTGTGTGTGTGTTTTTTTTTTATTTTATTTATTTATTTATTTATTTATATCTTTTATTATTTATTTTTTATTTTATTTTGTATGGACCAAATATATAAATAAAACAAAAAAAGTTTATTAAATTTCGTTCACCACCACCACCACTATTTTTTACCCTTCTTTTCACCCTATATCTTTATCACCAAATCTTCCCCATCTCACTCAAAATGGCCCCAAGCCCGGATTCTTCTACCCTCACCTTTTTCTTTACAGTTGTTGTCGCCTTTGTGGTGATCCGCTGGTTCATCATTGCAGAAAATGTAACAGGAGATAATCCACCACCAACAGGATCCGGGACTACTTCTGGCCCGCAATCTGACACTTCATCATCATCCCCATCATCATCTTCAGGGAACGCTGAGCCTTCCCGTCGTCGTAATTTGCGCCGAGTTACTGCAGAAGAAGCTTCTGGCAATTCATCATTATCTGCACCACCATCATCGTCTTCTTCTTCTTCTTCTTCATCATCATCTGCACCATCATCATCTGGAACTGGGTATATTCCTGCAGAATCGACTGAGCACCGTAATCGACGGCCTGTGACTGAGAGTATGATTGAGGTTGTTGCAGCCATGGCTCCTAACTTGGCACGTGAGCAGATTGAGTATGATTTACAGCAGACTGGCAATATTGAATCGACGATTGAAAAGTATTTGACTACTGGTAGTCTGCCGTTCCCTCCCAACTATAATGTTATATCATCGTCATCGTCATCTTTAAATAATAATAATAATAATAAGGGGAAGGGTAAGACTCTTGGGAAAACGTTTGAAATGAGTGATTCACAGTTGGAAAAGGAACTCACAGATCATAAAATGAAGTGGAGTACAAGCAAGGAGGAACGCCAAAAAACTCTGGCCAAGCAACGCGAACTTATGATGGCCAAGGCCCGCCGGGACTTTAAGAAGCAAGAGGGCAATTAATATTTAAAGAAAATAAGAATTAGAAATAAAAGAAGTGGAAAATATGGTAGTAAATATAGGAAATTAAAGGCCTTTTTAAAAAATATTTTTATGCAAATTTCAGTTAAAAAAAGAAAAAAAAGTCTTTAAAGAATAACTGATATGTCTAAATAAATATAAGAAATTTTTTTTTTTTTTTAAAAAAAAGAATAATAATTAATTCAATACATATATACATATTATAATAATGTTATAATATATATATATCATTGACGGATTGGCCGAGTACGTCGTAAAACCACCATATCTCCAGGCATGGAGTCTTCCAATGAAGCAGCAGGTCCTTGAGGCACATGTGATTGTCCCATTCGAGGGTTCATTGCCCCCATGTGGTGTGGTGGCACCATTCCTTGGTGAACTCCAGGTGATACTCCATGAGCTCCATAGTGGCCTGCTGAGGTAGTATTTACTGATGGGGTTGATTGTGACATGCCCACGTATACTTCTGTATCTGGGATGCTTTGGATCTTGGTAACTTGGGCAGAAATAGTTTGTCCATCAGCTTGAGCGCCGTCAAACTGACGCGCAGCTATTTCGGCAACGTTGCGGTCTAGGAAAACCACTTCAGCAGTCACAGTACCGTTACGTTGGACTTGTGTGCGACACCGTTGTACAGCACCTATAGATTGCACAACTGTCTGTAGAAATGAAAATTAAACATTAGACAAGAGGAAAAAAGGGAAAGAGGGAAAGAGGGAAAGGGGGAAAGAGATGGGGTTGGATTTGGGAAATCATAATAACAATAATAAGTTGAAATAACATACATGAACATCTTCGGTGCTTGTTCCTCCAGCAAGGTTGTTAAGAACAAGTATGGGAGGTAGACTTGCGTTTTTAATATAAAACTGGCCAGCCGAGTTTAGCTGAGATTGAGTTTTGGGCAGATTTTGAATCATTGCTGACTGAATGGGTAAAAGTTCTTCAGAATCGGAGGTAGGTTTTTGTTGTTTCGCAGATAAGGTATTGGTATTTTTACGTGTTGATTGTTGTTGATGATGTTTTTGGGTATTATTGTTAGTATTTCCATTAGTGTTTGCTAAACCTATAGATTTTTTCTTAGTCTCTGGATGTTGCTTGACTTGTTTCCCATTTTTGGGTTGTTGATTTTGATTTTGATTTTGTAATGGATGTTTTTCATTTTTACGAGATCCTAAGACTGTTGATGAAATTTTGGCAACACGAAGATCTTTAGATGCTTTTTGATTTTCAAGTTTTTGTGGTTTTTGTGCACTTTTTATTGCAAGAAATAATGCATTTCCTTCAAGTTTATGATCTTTTTGATTTTTTTGGTTGTTTAAATTAACATTTCTAGATTTAGAAAGAAAGTCTTTAAATGAAATTGTTTTGACAGGAGATGAAGAAGATGTTGATGATGATGATGATAATCTTTTGGTTCCACTTTTTTTTGATCCTGTTGGTTTTGCTATACGATCATATAGAGAATTGGCTGCAAGAGCATTTGTTGGGCTCTTTTTCTGGACTTTTTTTTTAGCAATGGTTGTATGATTATTATGATTATTTTTATTTAAGGGACGTGAGTTTGTAGTTCTAGGGGCTATGAAAAAAAAAAAAAAAGTGAGGAATTATTAGTTGACTGAACAATAATGAGTTTACGTGTTAAATATATATATATATATATATCAGAATAAAAACGCACCCATTTTTGAATTCTTTTTTTTTTTTTTTTTTTATAGAAATAAGAAATTATATATATCTAATAATAAAAGTCTTTTAGATATGTATATATTAAAGGTTGGTAAGATGTATGTCTTTTTTTTTTTTATCTTTTTAAAAAATAAATGAAGATAAATTAAATTAAAAGACCCTTCTTCTAATTTTTTTTTTTTTTTTTTTTTTTTTTTTTAGTATACAAACAAGTTTCAGGGGAATAAATTAAAAAAATTAAATTAAATTAAATTAAATCAAATCAAGAAAATTAAAAATTAAAAATTAAAATTGTTATCGTTGTTGTTTGGCTGGTGGCTCTGTAAACGAATTTCTTAAATTGTAATAACAAAATATATAAAATTGTAATATAAAATTGTAATATATAAAAGTGTAATATAAAAGTAATATATATAAATGTAACCAAAGTGTAATTACAACATGTCACGTGAGTCGGATGTTTTTTTTTTTTTTCGGTACTTTTTTTTTTTTTTTTTTTTTTTTTTTAAATATATAAAAATAAAAAAATAAAAATATAAAATGTACCGACCACAACAACAACAACAACAACAACAACAACAACAATTTTCCATTGGAGACCGTCCAATCAACGCTTAGTGGAAGGTCAGAATTAATAAGTCTTTGAACCCATTCAACCAGCCACAATGTGAAATCTGAAAAAAAAAAAAAAAAAAAAATTATAATAATATAACTTCTCTCCCCACAATTCCAAATTACAAACAGAATTGATATTTAAATATTTATATATACAATTGAATTTAAATAAATTTAAAATAAAAATCAAAACCAAAAATTTTTACTCAATTTGAAACGTATAAATCTTTAAATCAATAAGCTCAACTAGGTACCTGTGGGGGGTCACTATAATCCGTGGGTTTAACGGCCCGGGTCTCCCAGTAAGACGTGCGGCAGCAGGGTTTCTTTAGAAAAAATTGTTTTTCAACTTTAAGACTACTTGCTATCTATCTATATCTGAGCGTTTTGAAAATGGCACTTTTTATTTATATATAAATTACTTGTTGCGCCATTATATATATACAGTAAATATATATATATGGTTATATAACCTCTTTTTTTTTTTTTTTTATAGAAATATTCAAATTTCATATATATATAAATAATAAAACAATTAAATACCCCCACTCTTTTTATTTTCTTCTTGTCCAAATTGCCTTTTTTTTTTAATTTTTATTAAAAAGTCTCTTAAACTATTTATATAAATATATAAATACTCCTCAAAGATCCTTAGAAATTTTCTTTTCCTTCTTCCTTTTTTTTTTTTTTTTTTTTCTATTTCTTCTATATATATAATAATTATAACTAACTACTCTAATTATCAAAAAAAAAAAAAAAAAAAAAAAAAATGCCCTCTTACGAAGAAGTCGCTAAACACAACTCTCCTGAAAGTGTCTGGATCATTGTTCACGGCAAGGTCTACGACGTCACTGCTTTCCTTCCAGAACATCCAGGTGGACAAAAAATTATTCTCCGCTACGCTGGTAAAGATGCCACTGCAAAGTTTGACACTATCCATCCTAAAGATATCATTGATAAACTTCTCCCCAAAGAAGCATACTTAGGTCCCGTTACTGGTACACCTCCAACAACTCAAAAGTCTGGAAACAAACAAGCTGAATCTAAACAAGACGAAAATGAAGAGGATGATGAAGATGAAGATGATGACGATGACGAAGACTCTGAATATGAAGCTATCCGAAGCAAATATAATGACAACAAACCCCCACTTAACCAAATGTACAACCTTTTTGATTTTGAAAATGTTGCACGCCGTGTCATGACACGTACTGGCTGGGGATACTATTCCTCAGGTGCCGATGACGAAATCACTCTGCGCGAAAACCACCGAGCTTTCCACCGTATTTGGTTTCGCCCAAAAGTTCTTGTTGATGTGACCCATGTTGATCCCTCCACTTCTTTACTCGGCATCAAGTCTTCTTTGCCCATTTACATCACAGCCACTGCTCTGGGCCGTCTCGGCCATCCAGATGGTGAAAAGGTCTTGACTCGGGCAGCTGCTCACGAAAATGTGATTCAAATGATCCCTACACTTGCCTCCTGTTCCTTTGATGAAATTGTGGACGCACGACTCAAGCCTGATCAACCTCAATGGTTCCAACTCTATGTCAACATGGACCGTGAAATCACCAAAAAGATTGTCCAACATGCTGAGAAGCGTGGAATCAAAGGTCTCTTCATCACAGTCGATGCCCCACAACTCGGTCGCAGAGAAAAAGATATGCGTGCCAAGTACGTTGCTCAAGGAGCAAATGTTCAGGAGGAGGAAGATGAAGAAGAGGAAGAAGAAGATACCGGCTCGGAAATTACTGGTTCCGGTATTGATCGCAGTCAAGGTTATGCGCGTGCCATTTCTTCCTTTATCGATCCTGCTCTTTCTTGGAAAGATCTTGTTTGGTTCCGCAGTATTACTAAAATGCCAATTCTTATCAAGGGCGTTGGTCGTGTTGAAGATGCCATCCGTGCTGCCGAGGCTGGTATCGACGGTATTGTGATTTCCAACCATGGAGGCCGCCAGCTTGAGTTTGCTAAACCTGCCATTGAAGTTCTTGCTGAAGTCATGCCTGCGCTGCGCGCACGTGGCCTTGATAAGAACTTTGAGGTTTACATTGATGGTGGAATCCGCCGTGCTACTGATATTGTTAAGGCTGTATGTCTTGGTGCAAAGGGTGTGGGAATTGGTAGACCCTTCCTTTATGCCATGTCTTCATATGGTGAAAAGGGTGTCCGTCGGGCTATCCAGTTGCTTCGCGATGAGTTTGAAATGAATATGCGTCTGCTTGGTGTTACTTCTGTGGATCAGCTTAATGAAACTTTCCTTGACATTCGTGATTTGAGCCATCACTCTGCCATTCCATCAGATAACTTGACACAGGCCGTCTACGAGCCCATGGTTCCTCCATCCTTCAAGAGTAAGATTTAAAAAAAAAAATAAAAAAAATAAAATAAAATAATAAAAAAAGTATAGTGAATTATAGCTGATGATTAAATTTTTTTTTTAAAAAAAAAAAGTGTAAAATGATTGAAAAGAAAAAAGAGAGAGAGAGAGAGAGAGAGAGAGAGAAAAAAAAAAGAAAACCTCCCTTTTTGTTTTTTGTTTTTTTCTTCTTCTTTAACAAATGACACAGCAGGAGTTTGTCTTTTTGGCCTGCTTGTAAAACATCCTCGACGATGCACTTAGAGCCTCCGACTTGTCCACCAAAGAGTCCAGTTTCTCACCACGATCTAGGACAGATTCAATAGTCTTATGTAGCACAATCTTGGTCTCATCCAACTCCTGTTGCACCCTCATAATAGTGTCTGCATTTTGCGGGTCCTGGTACTTGGCCAGGTACGTATCCAGCTCGAGAAACTTTGTAGTCGGCGCATTTGCAGTTGTGGCACCTGCAATCACACTTGCCGGGTACTTGACCAGGTATTCTTCCAAAATCTTATTAAGCAGAGAAAATGCAACCCGGACCGGGTACTCTTTGTCGGAAATAATCACGGCTGCAACGCCTTCTGAGCGTGCATAAACATGTCCCACGTAGTCTTAAAACCATAGTTAGTCCTGCAATAGTAGTAGTACTAGGAGGTACTAGTAATAGAATCTCTTGATAGAAATAAAAATAAAAATAAAAATAAAAATAAAAATTTAAAAAAAAAAAAAAAAAAAACTTACTTTCACCTTCTTCAATGCTCTGACGTTGTCCAGGACTTGTACGAGCAGCAACTGTATTTGCAAAGAATGTCATAAATTGTGAAACGCTTGATCGCTCAAAGAACGAGAAACTGGACATTTCGCGTACAGAGGCCAGTTCTAGGGCCTCATGGGCACCTCCTTGTTGATCGATTCGCAGAATACCGATATAAAAGATCTTCATTTTATTTTATTTTTATTTTGTTTCTTATTTAGATAATATAGAGTAATAGATTGCTGGGTATACTAAATTTTTAAAAATAAAAAAATAAAAAAAAAAAAAAAGATAGAAAAATTAAAAAATTAAAAAAATTAAAAAAAAGTTGATTATCTGGCAGTACTGTAAAAGGGTTTTTATATAAATTGGTAGTGGTGGTGGTGGTGGTGGTGGTTGTTTGTTATCACATACACACAAGCAATAAAATAAGTGGTGACCGCAAGAAAGCCGCGGTAAGTTTAGCAAGAATAGGAAAAGAAGGGCTTTTATTTTTTTTATTTATTTTATTTTTATTTATTTATTTTTTGGGGGGTGATAATGGTGGTGGCGTATATACATAGCCGCAATATGCTTAAATAAATGACAAGTGTAACGTAATAAAAAAAAAATATATATATATATATATATATATAAATAATATATTAGAGAGTCACATGTAACATAACCAAAATTTTAATGCTGCGGCTCAGCTACTTCAATTAACACAGAATGACGAAAGATGATTGTTGTTGGGGAAATGTTATTTTAGGAAATCATTTTGATTGAATTTTCATATGAAATTTTCTTTAAAAGTTATAAATTTTCATTATAATAATAATAATAATAATAATAATAATAATAGCTTGGTTATTTGGTTAATTAGTCATTTTGGTTACTTGTTTGTTTTTTTATTCAGGATTCATTTTAATCATTTTTTTTTATTTTTTTTAATTCAAATTTTATGAAATTATATTAAAATGATTACAATTTAATTATAATTATGATAAATATAATTCATTTTATTAGTATTAGTATTAGTATTACCCGTTTGTTTGTTTGTATTCAAGGGTTATAGAATTATATAACATCAGATTAGTATTACCTTGTTTATTTGTTTGTTTGTTTTTATTCAAGGGTTAGATTAGTGTTTGTTTGTTTGTTTGTTTTTATTCAAGGGTTATAGAATTATATAACATCAGCATCTGCGCTATCCTTTTATTTTCTGACTATGTGACTTGCCGGTTTTCATTTGTACCTTTTTAGTACGGGTGGTTTCTGTTCTGTGCGTCTCCGGTAGCCCGGAAGATGGGCCCTGATGCCAGCTTACGAGGAACAGGGAGAACCAGTCTGTCGGTCCCAAAACCTTCCCAACCCATTTCCACTTATCTTCACGGACGCCCATGTATTTCTTAATCTCTTCCGCCAGAGATACGGCCCGCAATCACCTGCAGGCTATTTAGACTGTACGGAAGAGTCGGCATTCCTGTAACCAGGGTAGCCTATGGTTTTCAGTCTAGGTGTATACTCCCGTACACATCCTCAGGAAAAGGGGGTATTTTGGGAATCGAACCCAGTATCTTCCGCTGTCGAGCGAACGTGTTATCCTTTACACCATCCAGCCCTCTCCCCATTCAAGGGTTAGATTAGTATTACCCAAATTTTCTAAAATAGTAAAATAAATTATTGTCTAATATATATACTTTCATATTCTTATTGTTTCAAGTTATTCCTTGTGGCCCAATGGCAAGGCGTTCGCCTACGATTATTGAGTTGCACAGCGAAAGATTCCAGGTTCGACCCCTGGCAGGGAAGCTTAAAAAATTTATTTTTATTTCTTTTTTTTAAATTCAAATATTTGAAAATGACTTTTAAATCGTAATCCATTTCTTTTGATCTATGATTTACCTTTTATATTTAATAAATATACGCCAAATACTTTTGTATAAAAAAAGAAAAAAAAAGAAAAAAAAACGTTTCGAAAATTCAATTCTTCTTTTGTATATATGCATAAAATCTTAAATAGCGAGACTATATTTTTATTAATAGAAAACACCTTACAACCACGTTACACTAAACATTTCAACTTCTTTTCACAACAACCTTGACAAATTCTTCAACTCTTCCAAAAAAAAACAAAATCTAAGAAGAAAAAAAAGCATACTCCAGAGATGGACATGTCGACTCTCTTAAACAGTTTAACTGGCTTACAAGAGATTGTAAGCTTTATCTCTGCTTGGAGGGATTAAGAAATACAATTACAGCGTTGATGAAGACAAGTGGAGATAGGTTGGGAAGGTTTGGTTATTTTAACCCCCTGTTCCTCGTAAGCTGGCATCAGGACTTATTTTCGGGCTGTTGGAGATGCAATGTTGAAGCCAAAATTAAAAGTTTATTATCAAAATGAAAAAATATATAGTATGGACAAGAAGGATAGCGCAGATGCTGATGTTATATAATTCTATAACCCTTGAATAAAAACAAACAAACAAACAAACAAAAAAAAGCATAAAAAGTAATGGTCTCTGGCGGGATCGAACCGCCGATCCTCGCGTTTCACAAGGAAGTTGCTTGTTTATTAGCACGATGCCTTAACCAACTGGGCCAAGAGACCTTTGTAAGAAATGATTTCTTGAAGAAAATTGCTTGCAATCCCTATATAAAGACATTTAGTAAATGCCTATATAATACTAATAGACTTTGGCGCTTGGTTAGGGGAAAGGGCTGGATGGTGTAAAGGATAACACGTTCGCTCGACAGCGGAAGATACTGGGTTCGATTCCCAGAATACCCCCTTTTCCTGAGGATGTGTACGGGAGTATACACCTAGACTGAAAACCACAGGCTACCCTGGTTACAGGAATGCCGACTCTTCCGTACAGTCTAAATAGCCTGCAGGTGATTGCGGGCCGTATCTCTGGCGGAAGAGATTAAGAAATACATGGGCGTCCGTGAAGATAAGTGGAAATGGGTTGGGAAGGTTTTGGGACCGACAGACTGGTTCTCCCTGTTCCTCGTAAGCTGGCATCAGGGCCCATCTTCCGGGCTACCGGAGACGCACAGAACAGAAACCACCCGTACTAAAAAGGTACAAATGAAAACCGGCAAGTCACATAGTCAGACAATAAAAGGATAGCGCAGATGCTTATGTTATATAATTCTATAACCCTTGAATAAAAACAAACAAACAAACAATGGCGCTTGGTTTCTATTTGGCATCTTGGTGGCGTGCAAAAAGGTATGCGGGGGTCTGCAGTCAGATCACTGTATATTGCTTGCGTGAGACCAATTGTCGAATATGGCTTACAAATTTGGCATCATAAAATCTTGAAAGGAGAAATCCACAAGTTGGAAGTGATGCAGAACATGGCTTTAAGAAGAATTGTTGGTGCTTATCGCACGACTCCTATTGCGGTATTACAAAAGGGAGCTGTTATTATGCCATATAGTATTAGGCTAAAATTTATGGTGGCACGAAAAGCTATTCGTTTACACCTAAATATTAGCAAAACTAATCCTATTAATGGTCATTTGTTAACATTGATTGAGAAATCTCCAATTGCAAAGCTAACCACGCTTTACATGTTGGCGAAAGATGATAGAGACTATATGATTAAAAAGGATGAAAAACGAAAATGCAAGAGGGTTGAACCTCTTACACTGAAACAACAACAAAATCAGACGATTGGAATTTTGAAGAAAAAAGCAATGGAAGAGTGGCAAGAAATGTATTGGAACAGCAGTAAGGATCTGTGGTATCATAATATCACAGTGGAGTTGAAATGTACTGATAATCTTTCCAAAATGGTTACGGGAGTGATCATGAAGAAAGATAGTCGAAGGATCTTGAGTAATATTACTCAATTTCGCACAGGCCATGGCAACTTTGGCGCATGGTTTAAAAAGTTTGGAATTGAAAAGGATAGTTACAACTGCAAATGTGGAGAGCTGGAAACAGTTCATCACATTTTAGTTGAGTGTCCTTTGCTTGAAAAGGAAAGAAAAGGACTGAAACGGATATCTCCAGAGATGGACATGTCGACTCTCTTAAACAGTTTAACTGGCTTACAAGAGATTGTAAGCTTTATCTCTGCTTGGAGGGATTAAGAAATACAATTACAGCGTTGATGAAGACAAGTGGAGATAGGTTGGGAAGGTTTGGTTATTTTTAACCCCCTGTTCCTCGTAAGCTGGCATCAGGACTTATTTTCGGGATGCAATGTTGAAGCCAAAATTAAAAGTTTATTATGAAAATGAAAAGATATATAGTATGGACAAGAAGGATAGCGCAGATGCTGATGTTATATAATTCTATAACCCTTGAATAAAAACAAACAAACAAGGCGCTTGGTTTTATAGTCTCAAATAATAAATAATCTTTAAATTTGTGAGGGTAGGTCTCTGGGAACTTTTAGACACATTTTTAGTTAAGTGTACTTTGCTAGGAAAAAAAAGAAAAAAACCGAAAAGGACATTTCCATAGATGGACATGCCGACTCTCTTAAACAGTCTAATTGTCTTAAAAGAAATTGTAACCTTTTTTTTTTGCTTAAAGGTATTAAGGAATAAAATTAAAGCATTGATGATGACAAATGGTGATAAGTTGGAAAATTTTGGTTTTTGACCCCCCTGTTCCTCGTTATGCTGATCAGCATCAAACATTAATTACCATAGATTATAGTAATAATTGCTCAGTAAATCAGTTTATATTAATCAAAAAATAATGATTATAAATTAATTTAATAAAATTTACTATTTTTTTAAAAAAAACAAACAAGCAAACAGAAAAAAGCAGAAACGAACAAAAAAAACAAAAAACAAAACCAATTTTATATAAATAATGTAAATGCAAACAACACCAAAAGTGTAAGGTGGTGAACAACTGAAGTCATTCCCGAGTTAACTTGCGCAAGAGTGGTCTTCTCACTGAACACTTGAGCAATTATATCTACCGAAGTGCTGGCTGGAGCCTTTGTAGTTCCGATCACCTCACTGCCATTTGACTGTTCAACAGAGCTTTCAACTCCAGCCAAAAATGAAGACTCCAGAATTTTACCTATGGAGGTTGAAACAGCAACGGTGGGTATTATACCTGTCAAAGAGCCAGTGGTTTCTGATGATTCCATGGGGACAATAACAATGTCGCTTGGGATGCTTGCAACAGTGCTCAGCATGATCACCATCGTAATCCCCGCAGAAACTGTTGGAGACTCCACAACCTCATAGGTAGTTGCACAGGTCTCAATTATCGTCACTTCAAAGCCATTGAAATAAGTGGTGTACGTAGTTAATCCACTAGAAATGGACGTTTTGGTTGCACAAACTGTACAAACCTCTTCAGAAATAGAAATGCTTGACGAGGTGGCAGGGGTAACAGTAGACGTTACAATACTTGCTACTGTCCCCGAACTAACCACAACTGATTCAACAATAGTATATGTTGACTCGTAGGGTTGAGTTAAACTTACAACAGTAGGACCATTCAATGTAGACACACAGCTGGAAACACCGCTCACAACTGTTGTGTAGGTCTTTATGCCGGAACTATATGTGGAGGTCAAAGTAGCAAAAATGCCCGATGATGAGACAGCAGATTCGACAACCATGTATGTTGTCTCACAGGGCTCTGTGACTGTAATTACAGTACCGCCAGATGTGGTCTCCGACTCGACAACTGTAAAGGTTGTCAAGCAAGGCTCTATGACTGTAAAAACAGTATCACCAGAGTTACTGGTGTAAGTAGTTGTACAAGGTTCAGTAACAGTAACAACAGAGTCACCAGAAGTAGTGATATATGTGGTAAAACCGCTTGAAACTGTGGTATAAATCTTGGGGGTTTCAGTTTCGTACAAAGTAGAAGTCACGGTACTGGTAACTCCACTGCAAGTGACGGGTGATTCGACAACAGTATATGTGGATTCACAAGGCTCAGTAAAAGTAACAACACTGCCACCAGATGTTTTCGTAATCGTGGTAACACCTGTATAAACTGCCGTATCGGTCTTGCAAACTGTGCAAACTTCAGTCACAGTCTCCGTGGTGCCTGGAACTTCAATGGTGCCAGTATAAGTAATGAAAGTGTACCCAGAGCTTGGAAGCTTGGTGACCTCAACAGTTACTGGCACTTCCTCTGTTGTGGCGATTGTGGTAACCTGGCTATTGGCAAGAGTGGAAGTGATGATGGCAATAGTAGAAATAGTAAAAGTCTTGGTTGAGCACTTGGAGCATGGCTCAGTGATAGTGTATGTAGTTTCAGGTGCAATCACAATAGTCTCAGTGGTTGTCTCACAAGGCTCCGTAACTGTGTTAGTAACAGTACCACTAGTTGTGACAGTAGTGGTGTATCTGGTGACAGTGAAAATAACAGTGGTGGTACCAGCAGCAAAAGTAGTAGCAGTGGAAGACGTAGCTAAAGAAATGCCAGTAGAAGCAGAAGTGGCGGAGGAAATGGAAGTGATAGATGAGGTTGAAGTGGTGGACGAGGTTAAAGCAATGGACGAAGTTAAAGAAGTGGATGAGGTAGAAGTAGTTGTAGATGTAGATGTTGAAGACTCGCTGGAATGAGGATACAATGCATAAATAATATCAGCAATAAACTTCCCGTAAACAATGTAGAAGCTATCTGCAACAGCACTAAACTCAGTACTTTGCTTTTCAAAACTTGAGATGGCTTCTTGAGCAGATGTAAGAGTGGCAACTGTAGCCAATCTGACATATGACTCCACAAGAGAAGGATCGGCATAATTGCGAATCTGGCTAATCAGAGACAAGAAATCTGTGTAAGAAGATTCTTTGAACCAAGTAGAAAGACCAAAAATGAACTCATTGAAAATAATGATAGCTTCTTCAATAGAAGAAGCACGCTTGAGAACGATGCTGCCGTTAAATAAGATTGAAAATACCTTGTTAGATTCAGATTGAAGAACACTGAGGAACAAATCAATGATAGAAGCAACAAGATCAGTAAGCTGTCCAAGCTCATCAATAGAGGAAACGGCATCAAGAATAGCTTTCCTGATTGACTCAATAAAAGAGTCAAAATTGGGGACTTCACTGGGTGTAGCAGAAACGAAAGAAGTTTCTTCAATGATGAAAGAAGTTTCGGGATTTGAAAATGTGGGGGTTTCAAAACCAGAATCAGAAGCAGAGGATTGAACAGAAGAGGGTTCAAACAAAGATAAAATTGAAGAATGCTCAGAAGCAATTTCTGATGAAGACAGCTCAGATAAAGATTCAGTGGAGAATACCGTGGGTATAATGGAAGATAATTCAAGGGAAGATTTAGATGAAAATTGTGAATAAAACTCGATGGAAGATTCAGAAAAAAAATCAGAAAAAGAATCAAAGAAAGAATCAGAAAAAGGCTTGGTCGAAAATTCAGAAGACCATTCAGAAGAAGACTTGGTTGAAGATTCAGAAGATTCAGAGGAAACAACGGTAGAAGACTCGGTAGAAAACTCGGTAGAAGACTCAGTAAAAGACTCAGTAAAAGACTTTGTAAGTGATTCTAAAGAATAATCAAAATATGACTTGGTAAAAAACTCCGTTGGTGACTCGATTGAAGACTCAATTGAAGATTGGATTGAAGAATCAATTGAAGATTGGATTGAAGAATCAGTTGATAACTCCGTTGAAGACTCCGTTGAAGAATCAGAAGAAGGTTCAGAAGAAGACTTAAAAGAAGACTTGGAAGAAGACTCAGAAGAAGACTCAGAAGAAGACTCAGAAGAAGACTCAGAAGAAGACTCAGAAGAAGACTCAGAAGAAGACTCAGAAGAAGACTCAGAAGAAGACTCAGAAGAAGACTCAGAAGAAGACTCAGAAGAAGACTCAGAAGAAGACTCAGAAGAAGACTCAGAAGAAGACTCAGAAGAAGACTCAGAAGAAGACTCAGAAGAAGACTCAGAAGACTCAGAAGAAGACTCAGAAGAAGACTCAGAAGAAGACTCAGAAGAAGACTCAGAAGAAGACTCAATTAAAGATTCCTTGAAAGACTCGGTTGAAGATTCAGAAGAAAATTCAAAAGATGATTCAGAGGAAGACTCAGTTGAAGACTCGGTTGAAGGTTTTGAAGAAGATTCTGAAGAAAACTCTGTCAAAAATTCTGAAGAAGACTCTGAAGAAAATTCAGAAGACGACTCGGTTGAAGATTTGATTGAAGGTTCAGAAGAAGATTCAAAAGAAAACTCGACTGAAGACTCCGTTAAAGACTCCGTTGAAGATTTTGTAGAAAACTCTGAAGAAGTTTCAGAAGAAAACTTGGTTGAAGACTCTGAAGAAAACTCAGAAGAAAACTCAGAAGAAAACTCAGAAGAAGATTCTGAAGAAAATTTTGAAAACGGCCCAATTGAAGACACGGTAGACGATTCAGAAGAATATTCAGAGGAATACTCGGTTGAAGATTCAAAAAAAGATTCAGAGGAAGACTCGATTGAAGACTCCATTAAAGATTCTGAAGAAGATTCTGAAGAAGATTCTGAAGACAACTCGATTGAAGACTCCGTTGAAGATTTTAAAGAAGATTCTGGAGACGACTCTGAAAAAGATTCAAAAGAAGACTCTGTAGAAGATTTCAAAGACGATTCAGAAGACGACTCTGAAGAAAATTCTGAAGACGACTCCATTAAAGATTCAGAAGAAGACTCAGAAGACGACCCAGAAGAAGATGCAAAAGAAGACTCGGAGGAGGACTCCATAGGAGATTCCGTTGAAAATTCCGTAGAAGACTCTGAAGAAGATTCAAAGGAAGATCCAGAAGATAATTCAGAAGGTGGCTCAGTCGAAGACTCCGTTGACGAGTCTGAGGAAGATTTAGCGGAAGACTCGGTCGAAGACTCGGTCGAAAATTCAGAAGAATATTCAAAAGAAGATTCAAAAAAAGATTCAGAAGAAGATTCAGAAGAAGATTCAGAAGAAGATTCAGAAGAAGATTCAGAAGAAGATTCAGAAGAAGATTCAGAAGAAGATTCAGAAGAAGATTCAGAAGAAGATTCAGAAGAAGATTCAGAAGAAGATTCAGAAGAAGATTCATAAGAAGATTCAGAAGAAGATTCAGAAGAAGATTCTGAAGGAGATTCAGAAGAAGATTCTGAAGAAGACTCAGAAGAAGACTCAGAAGAAGATTCTGAAGACGATTCTGAAGAAGATTCAGAGGAAGACTCCATTAAAGGCTCTATTGAAGATTTTGAAGACAACTCTGTTGAAGACTCCGTTGACGACTCAGAAGAAGATTTAGCGGAAGACTCGGTCAAAGACTTCATTAAAGACTCTATTGAAGATTCAATCGAAGACTCTGTTGAATATTCTGAAGACAATTCTGAAGACGATTCTGAAGACGATTCAGAAGAAGATTCAGAAGAAGATTCAGAAGAAGATTCAGAAGAAGATTCAGAAGAAGATTCAGAAGAAGATTCAGAAGAAGATTCAGAAGAAGATTCAGAAGAAGATTCAGAAGAAGATTCAGAAGAAGATTCAGAAGAAGATTCAGAAGAAGATTCAGAAGAAGATTCAGAAGAAGATTCAGAAGAAGATTCAGAAGAAGATTCAGAAGAAGATTCAGAAGAAGATTCATAAGAAGATTCAGAAGAAGATTCAGAAGAAGATTCTGAAGGAGATTCAGAAGAAGATTCTGAAGAAGACTCAGAAGAAGACTCAGAAGAAGATTCTGAAGACGATTCTGAAGAAGATTCAGAGGAAGATTCAGAAGAAGATTCAGAAGAAGATTCAGAAGAAGATTCAAAAAAAGATTCTGTGGAGGACTCCGTTGAAGACTCCGTTGAAGATTCAGAGGAAGATTCTGAAGACGATTCTGAAGACGATTCTGAAGACGATTCTGAAGACGATTCTGAAGACGATTCAGAAGACGATTCTGAAGACGATTCTGAAGACGATTCTGAAGAAGATTCAGAAGAAGATTCAGAAGAAGATTCAGAAGAAGATTCAGAAGAAGATTCAGAAGTAGATTCAGAAGAAGATTCAGCAGGGCATATTTCATAATTCCCTAGATCAACACCACAATATGCAAAGGCAAAAAGTTGTACGTTAAGATAATTACTTGCTAGCCCATAGTAATCTCCTGGATTAGCTCTGAGACAGTTATAACAATGTTGACCTTTCATCAAACCATTATTGACATAATCGCAGAAATCTTCTTTATCGTTTAATTCATCAAGGTAGGCATTGATCATAGTTAATGTGGGTGTAAATAACGAAAAGTAATAATTACAGTAACCTTGACAAGTTTTTTCGTCGCCTGCAACACAATCATATTGGGGATTATCACAACTTGCAGGAAAATTAAATGAAACCTCACAGAGACCCCAAGAAAAAAAAATTCTTGATATATGATCATATCCCAAGCCGAAATCTTGGTTGTAGTAATTGACACATTGCATACAAGTTGTATAATCATCGTGGGCATTAATGAATGGGCACAAAAGTATATTGTTATCGGTGGCGACTGCTTGGATATAGTAATAATTAAGGTTTGAAGCTAAAGAGTTTAGATTGTTGCAAACATTTTGACAAGTTGTTGTATCAACGGAGAAACAAGGATTGGAAGAAGGAGTTGAGGATTCAGTAGAAGATTTAGTAGAAGACTCGGTGGGAGACTCGGTGGATGATTCAGTAGAAGATTCAGCAGGGCATATTTCATAATTGCCTAGATCAATAGCACAATATGCAAATGAAAAAATTGCGGCAGAAATATCAGCTATGGGTATCCCATAATTGTTTCCCGGGTTAGCTTTGAGACATTGGTAACAGGATTGACTATCTGGCAAATTATTATAAACAAACCCACAAAAACTGTCTTTATCGTTTGAATTGATGAGATAGTTATTCATATTAATCTCTATAGCTGAATGTAACCAAATATAATAATCACAGTAACCTTGACAAGATGTTTCATCGCCTGCAATACAAGCATTTTGGGGATTATCACAACTTATGGGAAAGTCAAATGTAACATCACAGAGACCCCAAGTAAGAAAAATATTAAGTATATATTGGGATTCCAGGCCAAAATCTTCGTAGTAGTAATTGACACATTGCATACAAGTTGTGTAATCATCGTGAGCATTAATAAATGGACACAACAAGGAGGGGTTATTGTTGGATACAAATTGATTATAATTATAAGTAAGATCGGAAGCCATAGAGTTTACATTGTTGCAAACATTTTGACAAGTTGTTGTATCAACGGAGAAACAAGGACTGGAAGATGGAGCAGAAGATTCAGAAGAAGATTCGGTCGAAGATTCGGTCGAAGACTCTGTTGAAGATTTAAAAGATTCTGAAGAAGACTCAGAAGAAGACTCAGAAGAAGATTCAGAAGAAGACTCAGAAGAAGATTCAGAAGTAGACTCAGAAGAAGACTCAGAAGAAGACTCAGAAGAAGACTCAGGTTCTGAGGTAGTGGTTGCGGAACAAAGACTGTAGAATGGGGAGTAAATTCCATCAATAGTGTGTAAATATTCAAAGACGATGGATGATGAGTAAGAGTCTAAGATCATTTCATTTGACCAAGTTGAGTAACAATTTAAAAAGCTGTCAATTTCAATTTGTTCGATGTAAAGCGACAAGAGAGTGTCTAACTCTCTTTTACGGTTTTTTTTTTTAGAATCTCTTGCCTGATTAACAGCAGTGGCAACAGCGGTGAATGCACTTGAACAACCTGACTCATCAAGGTCATTATAACAGGGAGTAGAAGCCGGAGAAGGGGGTAGGACTCTTTTATATAAATCTATTTCTGCGACTGGAGTGATTGTGGAATCCCACTGGGGATTTGTAGAGGTTTGAGCAGCACAGTTACTCAGGAGGAGCCATGTAATTAACTTGAAAGGAATCATTTACCTAAGAACAGAGAGATTAGATTGAATATAAAATCTTACTTATTTCAATGTTTAACTTACTTCTGAAACTTTCCACAGTAATTTTTTTTCAAAAAGTGAATAAGATAAAAAAATGAAATGAAAATAGAAATAAAACAGAAATAAAACAATAATAAAAAATGTAAAAAAAATTCAATTAACAAAAAACAGACAAGTTTGGTTTAATAAAAAAAATTGGCAATTTTTTTTACAAAAAGAGGGGAGGCGATTTCACGTTTTATATATATAAACAATTCAAAATTTTACAGGCAGATAAGATTCGGGGGACAACAACAAAAACATTTTTTTTTTATTTTTTTATTTATATCCTTTACTAGTAATTACTAGTAATGGTACTAAACAGGTGGCCATGGATGAACAAAAAGGTTTTGTTAGCCGCATGGCTAGCAGACATTTGTGAGTACATCTATATGTACCAAGTCATTTGTTGAATATGGCGAAAAGTCTCGGATGGAACTTATTGAGAGAGTCTTGAAAGTTAAAAACTGACGAGTTTAAATTTCCATTTTTATTTCTTGCAAAAAAAATAAAATAAAATAAAATAAAAGAAAAATTCCAAAGGTTGATGCTTTTTTTTTTTTTAATGTTTGTTTTTAAGTAAAGACCTTATTATTTCTATTATTTATTATCATAATAATTATCAGGTCCTCGAGGTAAGAGTTTAAATACATTGAATATCCGAAAAAGGAAATATGCAGAATAATTTATTTATTAAATATTTAAAAGTATTATTTATTGTTTCTCGACTTAAAAAGGCTAAAAAGAAAGTTGCACAAATAAAAAATAAAAATACCTAAACCTTCTCATTTAAACAGTTGACTAGTAAGCACTAAACATAACAGTTCAGAAAAAATTGACTAGAAAAGGAAAAAAAGGCACCACCTTTGATTCAAAACTTTTTATTGTAACAACAACTTCTTTTTAAGATTGTATATCTCAATAAATTAGGTGCATTCTCAGCTATTAAATGTTAAGAAGTAGTATGCCTTCACTGAAATGTTTCGCTATAGCTTGGTGTTATGAGTGTACCAGTTCTACTGCTGAGAAATGTAGTGCGGTGCCGCCTGTGCTCTAGTGTTACCCGTTGTAGCACCGGTACCCTGACCCAACAGTGTATGTTGGGGTTAGGGTTAGGGTTCCGGTATATACCTAGCAGACACTGAATCTCTGTCTATGGTAATAAGATACGTGTTATCTTATATCTGCTCTTGTCTCTTTCTTTTTCCCTTAATCATTTAACTAACTTTGACTTAACTTAGGTTAACTATATTGTACTGCCCAACTGGTACTGTAAGCTTGAGAAAAGACCGGATCTTTAAACTTAGCAGCTCTGACTGGCCGTACTGGACTTCTTGATTCCTTTTTTTAGTCTCTACCGTGACCCTTTACCTATTATCATTCTTCTATATCTATAACTATAACTATAATATATATTTATCCCTACCCTCTAAATCTATTAACACTAAATACTTTAAGTTATTAATTATGACGATGTCTCGTTAGTTTGCATAGAATATGCTTACTACTTTGGTTTAAAGCTTGAAGCCCGCAGGGTTATTTAAATTTATAAGCAATCTTCTATGAGGAGCTTTCTTCATCACGGCTAGAACTAGCAGCACACAAATCAAGTGATAGAATTGCGGATATTTCGTTAGAATTCAAGTGAGGGTAAATTTTACTCCAAGCGTCGGTTTGAATAGAAAAATACTTTGAAATTCAGTGAAATCAACATAAATTTATGTACTTTTATAAAAGTAAGTTGCAATAATATCCTCAAAAGCAGAAATAGATGAAGAGTAGCTGGAGGAGTGGATCTAAGCTATGGGAGATCTTTTGATTAAAGGGATACTTGCAGGAATTCACATGGTAGTAAGTTGAAAATTGGTTTGAACATAGGAATATTTAGGAACACAGTGAAGTAACCCTGCTAAAATGGTTGTATCAGTTTAGAAATATGTGAATGTACTTGTAGATTAAGATAAAGATAAAGATAAAGAAGATGAAGATGAAGATGAGGTTATCCTCTGGTAAAAGATATAAGCAGCTGGATTGATTTATATATATATCTATATATGAGTTTATTTTAAACTACAGTTAAATCCCCAGTGAAAGAATTTAAATGTCATCATAATTTATAGATGGAAAAAAATTAATTAATTAATTAATTAACTCAAGAATAAATTTAACTCTAGTTAAGTTAACAAGTTGATGATGGCTTTAAAATCAGTCTAAGGCCAAATGTTTGTTCAACAAAAACTCATGTGGCTAATCAAAGTTAATATTAGCCACATCAACTTACTATTATATAGCCAATGTAGCCAATGTAGCCAATAATATTTATTATTATTTAATTATAATAATATTGCGGGGACTGTTAAAATTTCAATATCGTGCATAAATATTTCCCTTTTTGTCGAAAAGCCAATTATATCCCTTAAACTGAAATTTTCAAGCAAAAATAAGATTATTAGTGCTGCCTAAATCGTGTTTTTTTAGAAATTTTCAAAAAAAATATCACTATGAGAAATTTAAGTTTTCCCTAAGATTTATTTTACTAGAGCCTGTGAGTATATTCTGCTGATCGAATTCCAGAGGGTTTTGAAGGTTGGCACTCATTTGATTTATTGATTTATATAAATCAATAAGACAATATATTGTCTTATTTGTTACAATGGTATTAAAGTTTGTAACAAATCCTGTAATAAGAAATATACTTAGTAACCAAAGTTATTTATTCACTGCTTTATTCCAATCTCTCAAACATATAATAAAAAAATCATTCACTATAAATTTTAATCAGAATATGAATCTATCTTGATTTCATTAATTCAAAGTCAGTGTTGGACTAAAAGATTTGAAGAAATTTTTGGAAGTGAAACAAACTGATTCTGAAAAAGATAACTGGAATCTTCTTCAGTGCATTCCATCTCTGAACACTCACTGTTTATCAATGTTACAAACAGGAATTTACATTTATCAAGTTAAATATATATATATGATCTTGTAAATTTATTTATTTTTTTTTGAAAATCCTTCGAATATTCTGCAACTAATTTGGAAAAAAATACACTCAAAATCACATAACGTAAGAATACTTAAAATAAATTAATTCACCAAATAATTAATAAAGCCTTCGTTTCTATCCATATCAAAGCTGAATTCAAACCATTTCAAAAACAAACAACTAAGAAAATAGATAGCAATGTGATATTTTCGGCTTTTTCCACAATTTATGCCATATATGGAATATATGAAAAAAAATATATAATATACAACTTGTTTTAATGCAATTCAAGAAAATGCTGTGATTATCTTTTTAGTGAACATTTCTGTCCAAATCCCTCCAAGCCAAATCTTTTATGAAAATACATTATGAAGTTTTCATTATAAATCTTTAGATAAGTACATAAGATGCTGGGTCACGAATTATCAAAAAGGTTTTAGTATTGTTTATTAAAACACATATCAAATGAAATCACTATTCTTAATAACAACCAACCGTAGATTGTGACTCTAGTTTAAAGTGAAATTTATGTTATAATAAAAATAAATGTACTGAAATATTGCTGACTAGGGATCCAGGCAGTGAATAGGCAACTAGTGTATATTGCTTTTGAAACCCTTTTGAAGTTAAATTATGCAAACAGGATGTTTATGGTAATATATACTAGATTCATGGGACTTTTTTTCAGCATTATCTTCTTGTGAATTTGCATTATAATTAGAGGAAAGAAACACCAAGATAAAAAGTTAATTACTTACTAAGGATTTGCAACTCTTAAAACAAAAGAATACTTGAGATTCATCTTGCTATGAAAAGATATTGATATACACAGATATATTTTTTTTATTTGTGTTTTATGAATTAATACAAAAACCAATAACTCAATTGTTTTTTATTTGAATTTTATTCAAAAGTGCATTGAATTAAGTTGTGAAAAAGTTTTACAATACCCTATTTGGTAGTCATTATTTTAATAAATATTAATAGGATGTTCATGCTCATGGTGAAATAATGCATTTTTTAACCTTTTTAGGGGACATATAAAAGGGAAAGCTTTCCCTGTTTTATTCTTCTTTTTTCTATTATTTTTTTTCGTTCAACATACCCAGAACTCTAAACTTACAAATTGCTTTTTTTTTCTGCTTTGTTCTTATAAACTATTGTTATTATAATTTTAGAACTTAATTTGTCATGTTTCAAAATTCTTCCATTAATTATAATATACCAATTTCTATAGAATATGATGCAAGCAATAATGACACCCTTTTTGAGCTAGACAAAATCTCACAGGCCTTTTGTGGCCCAGATACAAAAACTTTTTTTGCAGAAGAATCATTACTAGAAATGGATCCGGATACACTTTTCCTAACTGCTGATAATAGTCTCTTGTTAAACACAAATGCTGACCCAACCACTAAGCTTGCCTACAATGGGATAGGTAGAACTTCCCCAAGACATTTTTCACCAAACACAACAGACTTGATGATATCAATGCCAGGCATACAACTACCAATTCCAGGTCATATGCAAATGCTTGATTACAATGGGATAGGTGGAACTTCCCCAAGCTCTTTACTAAATTACATAACTATCATGACAACTTTACCAGTAGAAGTCTATCAATCCAAAATCGCTTTAGGTCAAGGCATTATTGACTGTCCACTTAGCAATACAGAATTTCAAGATGAAAATCAAATTCTCATTGATAATAACTGTTTAAAATATCTTAACAACAAGCAACATATAGTAAAAACTTCAAAAGTTCTTGACTTAGAAGTGAATGAGAACTCTTCTATGGAAGCCGATGACTATGAAATGGCATCTGAAACTTTTGATATCCCCGTCAATCTTTCAAAACAAGATTGTTTGAACAATATTTATGTTGATAAATCCTTTTTAAATGACTCTCTTTTTCAACTTTCTCATTTCAAGTTTTCTTCTATTACTATGGATTTTTCGGTTGTATACCCAACAACATCAGAATCAAGTTTCAATGTTCAGTTTGATCCGCTGGTGGACAACTTTAGCTTCGAGAACGTACTTAAGCAAAACTTGTATTTTGTTCATGAATTTCCAGCAGATTTTGAAGACAATCTTTCTTTTTTTGTGAATTACAATTGTTCAAAATTTGCATTCCACCCTTATTACCTAACAATTCGATGCATGGAATACCAAAAGTTAATCTGGAAAATTGAACAGCTAGCTTCTTTGGTACATCCGGGTGATATTGAAAAACTTAATAATTATATTCAAGAAAGGCTACAAAAGTCGGAAGAATATCGTAAAAAGTTAGAAGAAGGTTTTAGATGGATGTTTTATTTACAACGTATGGATGAACTTTGTGATGCAGAAATTAATGAGGGAATATATGGCAGCTCCTACTTGTCCATTTTTTATCAAATCCAGAAAATATTTTTAGACCTTGATTGCGATATTAATATCAAGATTAACGCATTAGAAAAAGTTACCAGAGAGTTGACATGTTTAAAAGACTTGTTGGAAATAAGTAGCGTTCAAGTTGTGGTTTGAACAGAATTGCAAGACGTCCATTTAGCAAAAAGTAAAATGTTAACACTTTCCGCTTTATCAAAAATAATTATGGATACGACGATTTTCCCTTCTCAAATAATCACTAACCAATGCCAGTTAAATTCAAAAAAAAATGGTTTTCAAAGCAATCAAAAAAAAATCCTTCTAATTCCAGATGAAGGCTTACTACGATGTATAAATTTAAAATTTTTTAAGCATAAATTTAGCATTCTTCTTCTAGATTAATGTAAAAAATTAAAATAGCCGCGTGCCTATTTTCAAGTACTTTCAAAATTTTAGATTCCAGAACCTATAGTTTAATTTTTTATTAAATACTTTATACAGTTTTAATTTAATTGATTCTTATTTTTGTAAAAATTCAGTTTTAAGAAATGGTTACAAATGAATTCTTTTTATTGACCCCCTTTTTGAAAACTTAAATCCGCTAAAAATCTTAATCTCTTAACCTCGTTACATGAAATAACATAAATCTCTTCACTTTAAATAAATGAAAACGATTTTAGCTTGATTAGAGCCTGAAAGTCGTAACTCTAAATTCTCAAAATCGTTAAACATAGAGAGATATGTAGTGGAAAGCAGTGACAACAATACCGTTGAAACCGTTTGTGGGAGCAGCCTTGTAGCATGACTAACTGTCAAATATCAGAATAATATGGACTTTTCGGTTACAGATTGTTTGAAAGAAAAGACAGCTACAATAAAAAAAAAGTAAAAAAGCCAAGCAAAGTAATTTTGAAAAAACAAAATAGAGTATAAAAGTAAAAATTACAACAAGTAAAGAGACCGTAAACAAAAAAATATGGCATCTTATATGTAAAATCATTATAAAAATTCTTGTAAATTAAAATAGTTGTATGATTATTTTAACTCTTAAAAAAAATCAAATAAAGGTTCAGTTGTTACCTTCATGGAATAGGTATTGAAGAAGAAGTACATGATTCCATGATTAGCATATAGAATTAAGTGTTTACCTGATGAGCTGGAACAATTAAAACAGAAATGAAATCAATTGCCACAAGTCACTTCAATGATAAAGAGTTTTTGAAAAATGGATTGGCAAAACACCATTAAGTGATAAATCTATTTTTATTTCAATTAATGTCAAGCATAAAGTCAAGTTTTAATTAATATATTTTAAGTCTTTAAAATGTAAATCAAAGAATCCCCTTTAAGCATTGGCTGTTTAAACATAATAATTTGTCTGTTTCAGGTAAACAAAGCTTTTATAAACGTTGGGGATTATTATATGGAGTCCATACTTTGAAAATCTAAGGAGAGCTTAAATTACTAGTTTGGTGTGGTTACCAAAGCGACATTTTCCCCAGAAATCATGCAAATTTAATCCTTTATTGGCACCTTGATCTGACTATGATACAGCAAAAAAATACAGATTTATGGTTGGTTTTATGCAGTTAAATTGACAGCTATAGTTTTTGAACTATCAATAACTTATTCAACTAGTACCAGGATTCAAAGAAAGGAATAGAAGAACAAACGATAGTATTGATATTGATATTGATATTTACATAAATTTGGTATTCACGTATTCAATGCAATTGAAATTTGTTTGTATGTTTTCAAAAAACGGATTTTCAAATTAAAATATAAATAAGACTGTAATCCAACTACTTTTCTTAATCATTTCAATAGAATCCTCAGTTATCAAGCATCAATCTAATATATTTGCTTCTTCTATTCAATTGAACCCAATTGTCTATATAAAGTCATTGGATTCCTTTAATTTCTTAATTCTTGGTCTTTAGTTTTTTATTCTTCTTTCGATCTTTTTTTCTTGCTTGTTTACTTTACTTAAAACTTTGCTATTATTTAACAATGACAAACCAATCTACTTATCAATTTCAAAATATCAATTTTGATGAACAGATGTTTGGTCAATCTGGAGAGTTTGACATTTCAAGGGTTTTCTCTACTATGGATTCTCCTAATCCTGTATCTGTAACGGATTCTACTGCTTCTTCCGGTACTATTGTTGCCACAGATGGGCCTATCGACCAAGCCCAATTTAATGACCCGTTTACTTTGTTGGGAACTCAAGACAATTTTGAACAGCTCATGGCTCCGGCTCAACCTGAGTCTGAAAAGACCACTCCAGGCGAGTCCCCTGATCCCATCTACATCTCGCCTATAATGTCAGTGTCTTCTTCTCCCCAGCAAGTTGGACCAACAGATCCCTTAAAAGAAATCTATACTGAAATCCATCAGAATATTTCACATAATCAGGAGCCAACTGAAGAACCTCAACAGATTCAACAACCTATTGCTGTTATTGATAATATCCCTTTTAATGATATTAATTTTTTCCAACCTTTTGGCTCTACTCCTGCTGACTTTTCTGATAACTTACAAACAGAACTTCCTGATGATTTTCTCCAAAATTTCTATTTACCCAATAATTCAGAAATGCTGAATTTCCCTATTCTAGAAGAATTCACAATTCCTTTGGTCAATAACCAAACCCTGGATTCTACTACTATTGTAGAACCCATAGATCAGTCTACAGCGGTTTCCTACATCTCTGAAACTACTCCCGTAGCTCAGCCCATGGTTCCTATTACTTTCCCCGAACCACAACCCGTTGCTGAACTTATTGTTGAGTCACCTACTCAACTCATTACTCAGGAAATATTTGAAAATACAGTGTCAGAACAGGAAACCTCTCCTACTGAAAACAATGTCATCCCTGTGTCCACCACCCCCACTAGTGTTATTGCTCAAATGTTTCCACAAAAACAAGTTGATTTTAGTTTTTCCTCTTTTACTCAAAATTTCATTCCTATTTGCACCCTGGAAACCTCCACTTACAATTTTAACTTCTCTCGGTTCACCACATTTTCCAACTTTGAAAGAGAACTGAAAAGAAGTATTAGAAGACCAGGCGAATCTGCAAAAGAGTTTGATATAAAGCTCAAGAAATTCGTCACAGACCAACTTCAGGTCTTTAGTTACCACCATTCTTACCTGGTTCTAGATAGCCCGGCCCATAAGAAACTTTGTGATGAAATTGATTCCTTTATTGGAAAGTCACTTCCAACTAAAATTATTAACTTGCAAAACAAGTTGAAAGAAAGAGTAGCCAAGTCAAGGACTTACAAAGCCAAGCTTGAGTGGGCATTGAAATGGATATTTTACTTGGAGCGTCTAAACTCTATTTGCCATAGAGAACGTAAGCAAGGATTGTTTGGGCCTTCTTATATTACTGCTTATAAAACCATCAACCAACTTTTTGTGGAGGTTGATAAAGAAATTTTTATCAAAACAAATGAGATGGAGGAGGTCACAAGAACTTTTGATTATTACAAATTAGTAGTAGCTGTAGCGTAAATTAAAGTAATTAGTTAAAATAAAATATATAATTTTTTAATAAAATTTCGTTGAAGTGATTACAAATATTCAAAGGCAAAATAAAGGTAAATAAATTGGTCTCTTTATTTTTCAATTCATTTAAATGAGTTTTTGTCAATTACAAAAAATTCAAAGTACTTACAACTATAGAAAAAATTGAGATATAACTTAAGTCTAAAAGCTGGATTCTTCTTTGAATGAGTGGATGTTGCTAGTATATTTTCAGCTGTGGTATTCAGGTAACATTATTTTTCATTTACTCTAAACCTCATTAATTCCAAATATAAATAGAAAAACACAGAAATTATACAAAATTTTTAATATAAAAGAAAGCTGTTTTCTTTAATTTTTTTATATTTTAGCTGATAAATTTACTCAATTAATTTTGTCACAAACCAGGTACAATATCCTTAATAATGGCTTTATCTGATCAAAGTTCTGTTGATCATCTTGAATCCTCAGATCAACTGGGTCCTAAAACTTTTGAAGAAAGAGATACAAACTATAATCTCCTTTCTCAGGAACATACATCTGCTGTTACTTCCTTTAAAAATATTGGTGTTTCTTCTGAAAAAATAAAATTTTCTCATAATTCTAGACAAGCAGATATTGAGGAAGATAAACTCTCTGACATTAGTGATGTCGACGAGTACATTGTTGGAAAAGAAGAAAGCATTGCCAACAAAACTTTAAATATTCTAACAGGAATTGCTCAGCCACATTGCTCACAGACCAATTCATTGAATTATTTGTGTGTCAAAGGTCTTGAACTTTACAGAAATTCAGTCCATTATTCAGTACTTCAAAAAAGATCTAGTTTAAAAAAAAATTTCAATTACCATGCCTCCTAAAAAAGTCTTATTTATTAGAGGAGAGGGAGAATATTGTCATACCATTGACTTTTATGAAGATTCAGAAGAAGAAATTAAAAGGAAGGCTCGAATTTTGAATAAACTGGAATATTTAGAATACCTGGAAGATCCAGAGGGTGTTGAAGAACTACTGCAGGATATTGCAACTCTAGTCGTTGCAAATCAAATTCTTTATGAAGAGTCTCAATTCCAATAATTAAATTAATTAGATACATTTAGTATTGATAGTAGTTGTTCCTTATAGTAATGATTTTTTTTAAAATTATACTTTGATTAAATAAGCCTAACAGGGGGGGGGGGGGTCGACTTACCCTTTTTTTTTAATTAAAATAGTGTTTATTTGAAAAAATAGCATTAAATATATTAAATATGCTATAAGAAATTGTTCTAAATGATTGTAATTATTTCTATATATTCTATATTCTTCCACATGATGTGGCCTTGGAGTAAGGACGTTTTGTATGTAAATTTCCTAATTAGGAAATAAAATCCTTTTCATTTTTTCTTCACTAACACAACCAAAAATACTGACTTGTCCAAATGCAGCTGATACTACTGGCAGTGGAAAAATAATATACTAATTAAGTTCATATTTGAGATGGCTGAAGAGAGCTTTCAAATAATCGATTGAGCGCCTCATATTTAAAGCCACTAGATACTCATAGAAATATGTGATTCTATGTCATGTAGCTATAGTCTTTTATATTAAAAACTAAATGAATTTTAAGTCACTTTAAAATTTTTGTCAAAGACCACAAAGTAATATTTAATTTTGTAGAAAATCTATCGCTCAGCATTGTTAAACAACCCAAGATCTTGTTGGATCTTTAAAACCTTTCCTTATAATTTAAGCCTTTTCTAAAATAATTAGTTTGGTCTATAATAAGCAGATATTTTAATTTTCTAATGATTAAGACCTAGTTTTATTATAATGTAGTACAAAGTATTTTAATGGATTTACCAAAAAGACACAGATATAATATTAACGCTGCAGCAATGGTACAATAGAAAAGTAATGATAAGATAATATGTAAATAATTTTACACATTGTTTCTTAAACAGTAAACAGTTGTTTCAATTTAAATTTTACAGAAAATTCAATTATATTTCCTTTTTGCTTTAATGACGCAGCCTAGAAATATACCTTACTCTATTCAAATGGAGTTCACAAGTGATAATCCCAGAACACAAAGATCCAGTGGAACAGGAGGCACATCTAAATATGGTGATTCTAGAGTAAATAATTTAACACAGCTTAATTTACCAGAAAATCATAACTATTCACAAGGCTTGCAGGTTCAATATAATACCTATATTCAACAGCAAACAGCTATGGCTGGCAATTCACAAAGTCACATAATATCTCCAATAACACTTATTAACGTGCAAAATCCCAACTCTCACAGAAATCCAGTTGTCAGAAATCCTGTTTATAATCAAAATCATTTGGCCCAGGCTAACATCTACTATCCGCAACCAAACGCTTTTGTGAATGAGCATAATATCAACTCCCAACAAATGTTATATTTTCAAAACAGCAATATCAACCAACTGAGAACAGCGGCATCTAATGGTTCTTTGGCCAACGTTCTTGAAAAATGAGTATGATGAAGTAGATTTTCGCCAAAATGGTGTCAATTTGAGTCAGCAAGAAAGTTACTATACAGTCCAACAAATAGCACCATCACACGGAAATTATTTAAACAATGTTCTTACCAGACACCAGGATGATCCAAACCAGATTGCTCCTCAAATAAATGTGGTATCTCAGTTGTCGAGCGAAACGATTCCCTTGAATCTCAGAAATGTAACTGGTCAGCAACGGACAGATACACCTTTGGGTGCTCTCATTACTAATGATATTGATCCATTAATGAAAAGAGACCCCTACGACAACTATAAAGCAGGGAAGCATTTACTTTTTATGAATTTCACTTCCTATAAGCATTTTACAAGTAAAACTACTCTTGATTGCGTTGAGTGGTATCCCTATGGAACTCCTAGTGTATCTCCTTTTCAAGTTAAATTTACAAAATATCCTGCACTTCAAGAATTTGAAAAGGAAATCAAACCTGGGTTACTGTATCCTGGTGAAACCGAGAGCTCGTTTGATCGAGCAGTATTTAACTTCGCCATGCTTGAGCTGTTTAAATTTGATTTTCATTACACTTACTTGGACCCAAATGTATATTTAGAAGACGGTCTCATAGGTCATTTAGATGTTGATATGGAAGATGTTGATATTGGATATTATAGACAAATGAGAATATACTACAACAATATGATTAAAACATCTCGGACATACATGGCAAATTTAGAATGGGGTTTTAAATGGATTTATTATTATAATAGACTAAATGAAATTTGCTCTAATGAAATCGAACTAATGGCACCCGGTGATTCATTTAAAGAAGCTTTTCTTACAATTGATACATTGTTTATATCTATAGATTGGTCAATATTTAACCACATTGAAAGGAGTAAAAAAGACAGAAAGGAATTACTTAGGCTTAAAGATGAAATGTTAGCAAGAACAAGAAACAATTTCTAAAAACAAGCGTTACCTTTGAAGATGTTATAAAGTCTATAGGAAAAAAGGAATGATAATTTAGCACTGCATAACATCAATTTTTTCTGATAGGAATCAGTAAATTAATGCAAATTTAAACCACTCTAACTTGCTATTAAATTAACAAGGGTTTGTAAAATCAAAGTGATAATTATTTTGTAAATAAACTATATTTTTTTAATATTTATTTTCTTTAAAAGTTTTGAAATTCAAGAAGCTACTCCGCCACACTTGAACTGTTGGGTTCATATTTAATATCAACATAAATTATTGAAATATAGCATCAACTATATTAAGGATTCTGCTAAACCAATAAGGGTTCTTACTAATCATGTTCCTGAAGTTTTAATCGAGGTAATTAGCGAATGAACCATAAATATGAGAATAAAATGCTAGTGCTTGAATATACAAGGACGTAGAAATGCTTACTTTGATTCAAATTTAAAGTCTCCACTTTTATAGATCTTAGGTAATTACCCAACGCACTTCTCATTGAGAAAATATTTTCAGGGCTGAGTTTTCGGCAATACTCGCCAGTCAAGGATGTTGATAATTTTAGCTTCAACGGTTTCTGTCCCCAAAAAGGAACCGACATGACGTGGCTGTTAATAACAATGGTCCACAACAAAAAAGCGAAGCAGCTGAATCAAACATGAAAAATATATAGAACTATAAAAAAAAAGTTCTAAATAATAAAATTAACACTAAACAGAGATAGAATTAAACATTTTTCATAAAAGAAAGAAGGCACATGGAACAAAAGAAAAGTAGCCAAAGAAATTAATTTTCCAAAACAACATTCCAGAAATTTCTTTAATAAACCCTAACTGCCACGTTTTATTTATGATACGAATTACTTAGAAGTATAATCGACAAACCAATTCTTTAAAAATGGTTATATCTAAGCCTTTTAATTCATGTAGAGCATTGAATGAACTGTCTGTTTTACGGTATTTACACTTGGAATCTATAAAAGCAAACTATATATAGGCTAAAGCATTTATAATTAAGCATAGTTTTCATTATCCTTTTGATTATATAGTTATGTTGCTTAAACTAAAAATATCCTACCGTCTTTTTTCGCTGTTTTGGAGCATTCCTTTAAACTATTTTTGATAGAAAAAACTATGAAATCTGGGTTATTTAAAAACTCATACCATGAAGGATATAGTATTAAAAAATCGCCCTTTTTTTCTAGTTCCGGCTTAAAATCAAAGTTTAGATTTTGGTGGATATGAAGAGCTTTAATGTAGAGCGTTGAAAACCTGGGGAAAAAGTTAAGTTGCTTTTTCCGAGGTCAGTTAAGCTGGTGGTTTGGTGTACCTTAGATGGTTTATGCAAACTTTATTTGTTTTTTCGGGAAATCGGATCCGATTTTGCAACAATTAAAAAAATAAATGTCAAAACTGGATTTCATGCAACAGCCCTACCGACTGGTTTTTGAAAAAACCAGACCATATTGAATCAACGGTTTGCTTCAAAAAAGATAAAAGAAGAACAAACAATAGCATTGATATTGATATTGATATTTACATAAATTTGGTATTCACGTATTCAATGCAATTGAAATTTGTTTGTATGTTTTCAAAAAACGGATTTTCAAATTAAAATATAAATAAGACTGTAATCCAACTACTTTTCTTAATCATTTCAATAGAATCCTCAGTTATCAAGCATCAATCTAATATATTTGCTTCTTCTATTCAATTGAACCCAATTGTCTATATAAAGTCATTGGATTCCTTTAATTTCTTAATTCTTGGTCTTTAGTTTTTTATTCTTCTTTCGATCTTTTTTTCTTGCTTGTTTACTTTACTTAAAACTTTGCTATTATTTAACAATGACAAACCAATCTACTTATCAATTTCAAAATATCAATTTTGATGAACAGATGTTTGGTCAATCTGGAGAGTTTGACATTTCAAGGGTTTTCTCTACTATGGATTCTCCTAATCCTGTATCTGTAACGGATTCTACTGCTTCTTCCGGTACTATTGTTGCCACAGATGGGCCTATCGACCAAGCCCAATTTAATGACCCGTTTACTTTGTTGGGAACTCAAAACAATTTTGAACAGCTCATGGCTCCGGCTCAACCTGAGTCTGAAAAGACCACTCCAGGCGAATCTCCTGATCCCATCTACATCTCGCCTATAATGTCAGTGTCTTCTTCTCCCCAGCAAGTTGGACCAACAGATCCCTTAAAAGAAATCTATACTGAAATCCATCAGAATATTTCACATAATCAGGAGCCAACTGAAGAACCTCAACAGATTCAACAACCTATTGCTGTTATTGATAATATCCCTTTTAATGATATTAATTTTTTCCAACCTTTTGGCTCTACTTCTGCTGACTTTTCTGATAACTTACAAACAGAACTTCCTGATGATTTTCTCCAAAATTTCTATTTACCCAATAATTCAGAAATGCTGAATTTCCCTATTCTAGAAGAATTCACAATTCCTTTGGTCAATAACCAGACCCTGGATTCTACTACTATTGTAGAACCCATAGATCAGTCTACAGCGGTTTCCTACATCTCTGAAACTACTCCCGTAGCTCAGCCCATGGTTCCTATTACTTTCCCAGAACCACAACCCGTTGCTGAACTTATTGTTGAGTCACCTACTCAACTCATTACTCAGGAAATATTTGAAAATACAATGTCAGAACAGGAAACCTCTCTTACTGAAAACAATGTCATCCCTGTGTCCACCACCCCCACTAGTGTTGTAGCTCAAATGTTTCCACAAAAACAAGTTGATTTTAGCTTTTCCTCTTTTACTCAAAATTTCATTCCTATTTGCACCCTGGAAACCTCCACTTACAATTTTAACTTCTCTCGGTTCACCACATTTTCCAACTTTGAAAGAGAACTGAAAAGAAGTATTAGAAGACCAGGCGAATCTGCAAAGGAGTTTGATATAAAGCTCAAGAAATTCGTCACAGACCAACTTCAGGTCTTTAGTTACCACCATTCTTACCTGGTTCTAAATAGCCCGGCCCATAAGAAACTTTGTGATGAAATTGATTCCTTTATTGGAAAGTCACTTCCAACTAAAATTATTAACTTGCAAAACAAGTTGAAAGAAAGAGTAGCCAAGTCAAGGACTTACAAAGCCAAGCTTGAGTGGGCATTGAAGTGGATATTTTACTTGGAGCGTCTAAACTCTATTTGCCATAGAGAACGTAAGCAAGGATTGTTTGGGCCTTCTTATATTACTGCTTATAAAACCATCAACCAACTTTTTGTGGAGGTTGATAAAGAAATTTTTATCAAAACAAATGAGATGGAGGAGGTCACAAGAACTTTTGATTATTACAAATTAGTAGTAGCTGTAGCGTAAATTAAAGTAATTAGTTAAAATAAAATATATAATTTTTTAATAAAATTTCGTTGAAGTGATTACAAATATTCAAAGGCAAAATAAAGGTAAATAAATTGGTCTCTTTATTTTTCAATTCATTTTAAATGAGTTTTGTCAATTACAAAAAATTCAAAGTACTTACAACTATAGAAAAAATTGAGATATAACTTAAGTCTAAAAGCTGGATTCTTCTTTGAATGAGTGGATGTTGCTAGTATATTTTCAGCTGTGGTATTCAGGTAACATTATTTTTCATTTACTCTAAACCTCATTAATTCCAAATATAAATAGAAAAACACAGAAATTATACAAAATTTTTAATATAAAAGAAAGCTGTTTTCTTTAATTTTTTTTTTATATTTTAGCTGATAAATTTACTCAATTAATTTTGTCACAAACCAGGTACAATATCCTTAATAATGGCTTTATCTGATCAAAGTTCTGTTGATCATCTTGAATCCTCAGATCAACTGGGTCCTAAAACTTTTGAAGAAAGAGATACAAACTATAATCTCCTTTCTCAGGAACATACATCTGCTGTTACTTCCTTTAAAAATATTGGTGTTTCTTCTGAAAAAATAAAATTTTCTCATAATTCTAGACAAGCAGATATTGAGGAAGATAAACTCTCTGACATTAGTGATGTCGACGAGTACATTGTTGGAAAAGAAGAAAGCATTGCCAACAAAACTTTAAATATTCTAACAGGAATTGCTCAGCCACATTGCTCACAGACCAATTCATTGAATTATTTGTGTGTCAAAGGTCTTGAACTTTACAGAAATTCAGTCCATTATTCAGTACTTCAAAAAAAAAAGATCTAGTAAAAAAAAAAAATTTCAATTACCATGCCTCCTAAAAAAGTCTTATTTATTAGAGGAGAGGGAGAATATTGTCATACCATTGACTTTTATGAAGATTCAGAAGAAGAAATTAAAAGGAAGGCTCGAATTTTGAATAAACTGGAATATTTAGAATACCTGGAAGATCCAGAGGGTGTTGAAGAACTACTGCAGGATATTGCAACTCTAGTCGTTGCAAATCAAATTCTTTATGAAGAGTCTCAATTCCAATAATTAAATTAATTAGATACATTTAGTATTGATAGTAGTTGTTCCTTATAGTAATGATTTTTTTTAAAATTATACTTTGATTAAATAAGCCTAACAGGGGGTCGACTTACCCTTTTTTTTTAATTAAAATAGTGTTTATTTGAAAAAATAGCATTAAATATATTAAATATGCTATAAGAAATTGTTCTAAATGATTGTAATTATTTCTATATATTCTATATTCTTCCACATGATGTGGCCTTGGAGTAAGGACGTTTTGTATGTAAATTTCCTAATTAGGAAATAAAATCCTTTTCATTTTTTCTTCACTAACACAACCAAAAATACTGACTTGTCCAAATGCAGCTGATACTACTGGCAGTGGAAAAATAATATACTAATTAAGTTCATATTTGAGATGGCTGAAGAGAGCTTTCAAATAATCGATTGAGCGCCTCATATTTAAAGCCACTAGATACTCATAGAAATATGTGATTCTATGTCATGTAGCTATAGTCTTTTATATTAAAAACTAAATGAATTTTAAGTCACTTTAAAATTTTTGTCAAAGACCACAAAGTAATATTTAATTTTGTAGAAAATCTATCGCTCAGCATTGTTAAACAACCCAAGATCTTGTTGGATCTTTAAAACCTTTCCTTATAATTTAAGCCTTTTCTAAAATAATTAGTTTGGTCTATAATAAGCAGATATTTTAATTTTCTAATGATTAAGACCTAGTTTTATTATAATGTAGTACAAAGTATTTTAATGGATTTACCAAAAAGACACAGATATAATATTAACGCTGCAGCAATGGTACAATAGAAAAGTAATGATAAGATAATATGTAAATAATTTTACACATTGTTTCTTAAACAGTAAACAGTTGTTTCAATTTAAATTTTACAGAAAATTCAATTATATTTCCTTTTGCTTTAATGACGCAGCCTAGAAATATACCTTACTCTATTCAAATGGAGTTCACAAGTGATAATCCCAGAACACAAAGATCCAGTGGAACAGGAGGCACATCTAAATATGGTGATTCTAGAGTAAATAATTTAACACAGCTTAATTTACCAGAAAATCATAACTATTCACAAGGCTTGCAGGTTCAATATAATACCTATATTCAACAGCAAACAGCTATGGCTGGCAATTCACAAAGTCACATAATATCTCCAATAACACTTATTAACGTGCAAAATCCCAACTCTCACAGAAATCCAGTTGTCAGAAATCCTGTTTATAATCAAAATCATTTGGCCCAGGCTAACATCTACTATCCGCAACCAAACGCTTTTGTGAATGAGCATAATATCAACTCCCAACAAATGTTATATTTTCAAAACAGCAATATCAACCAACTGAGAACAGCGGCATCTAATGGTTCTTTGGCCAACGTTCTTGAAAATGAGTATGATGAAGTAGATTTTCGCCAAAATGGTGTCAATTTGAGTCAGCAAGAAAGTTACTATACAGTCCAACAAATAGCACCATCACACGGAAATTATTTAAACAATGTTCTTACCAGACACCAGGATGATCCAAACCAGATTGCTCCTCAAATAAATGTGGTATCTCAGTTGTCGAGCGAAACGATTCCCTTGAATCTCAGAAATGTAACTGGTCAGCAACGGACAGATACACCTTTGGGTGCTCTCATTACTAATGATATTGATCCATTAATGAAAAGAGACCCCTACGACAACTATAAAGCAGGGAAGCATTTACTTTTTATGAATTTCACTTCCTATAAGCATTTTACAAGTAAAACTACTCTTGATTGCGTTGAGTGGTATCCCTATGGAACTCCTAGTGTATCTCCTTTTCAAGTTAAATTTACAAAATATCCTGCACTTCAAGAATTTGAAAAGGAAATCAAACCTGGGTTACTGTATCCTGGGTGAAACCGAGAGCTCGTTTGATCGAGCAGTATTTAACTTCGCCATGCTTGAGCTGTTTAAATTTGATTTTCATTACACTTACTTGGACCCAAATGTATATTTAGAAGACGGTCTCATAGGTCATTTAGATGTTGATATGGAAGATGTTGATATTGGATATTATAGACAAATGAGAATATACTACAACAATATGATTAAAACATCTCGGACATACATGGCAAATTTAGAATGGGGTTTTAAATGGATTTATTATTATAATAGACTAAATGAAATTTGCTCTAATGAAATCGAACTAATGGCACCCGGTGATTCATTTAAAGAAGCTTTTCTTACAATTGATACATTGTTTATATCTATAGATTGGTCAATATTTAACCACATTGAAAGGAGTAAAAAAGACAGAAAGGAATTACTTAGGCTTAAAGATGAAATGTTAGCAAGAACAAGAAACAATTTCTAAAAACAAGCGTTACCTTTGAAGATGTTATAAAGTCTATAGGAAAAAGGAATGATAATTTAGCACTGCATAACATCAATTTTTTCTGATAGGAATCAGTAAATTAATGCAAATTTAAACCACTCTAACTTGCTATTAAATTAACAAGGGTTTGTAAAATCAAAGTGATAATTATTTTGTAAATAAACTATATTTTTTTAATATTTATTTTCTTTAAAAGTTTTGAAATTCAAGAAGCTACTCCGCCACACTTGAACTGTTGGGTTCATATTTAATATCAACATAAATTATTGAAATATAGCATCAACTATATTAAGGATTCTGCTAAACCAATAAGGGTTCTTACTAATCATGTTCCTGAAGTTTTAATCGAGGTAATTAGCGAATGAACCATAAATATGAGAATAAAATGCTAGTGCTTGAATATACAAGGACGTAGAAATGCTTACTTTGATTCAAATTTAAAGTCTCCACTTTTATAGATCTTAGGTAATTACCCAACGCACTTCTCATTGAGAAAATATTTTCAGGGCTGAGTTTTCGGCAATACTCGCCAGTCAAGGATGTTGATAATTTTAGCTTCAACGGTTTCTGTCCCCAAAAAGGAACCGACATGACGTGGCTGTTAATAACAATGGTCCACAACAAAAAGCGAAGCAGCTGAATCAAACATGAAAAATATATAGAACTATAAAAAAAAAGTTCTAAATAATAAAATTAACACTAAACAGAGATAGAATTAAACATTTTTCATAAAAGAAAGAAGGCACATGGAACAAAAGAAAAGTAGCCAAAGAAATTAATTTTCCAAAACAACATTCCAGAAATTTCTTTAATAAACCCTAACTGCCACGTTTTATTTATGATACGAATTACTTAGAAGTATAATCGACAAACCAATTCTTTAAAAATGGTTATATCTAAGCCTTTTAATTCATGTAGAGCATTGAATGAACTGTCTGTTTTACGGTATTTACACTTGGAATCTATAAAAGCAAACTATATATAGGCTAAAGCATTTATAATTAAGCATAGTTTTCATTATCCTTTTGATTATATAGTTATGTTGCTTAAACTAAAAATATCCTACCGTCTTTTTCGCTGTTTTGGAGCATTCCTTTAAACTATTTTTGATAGAAAAAACTATGAAATCTGGGTTATTTAAAAACTCATACCATGAAGGATATAGTATTAAAAAATCGCCCTTTTTTTCTAGTTCCGGCTTAAAATCAAAGTTTAGATTTTGGTGGATATGAAGAGCTTTAATGTAGAGCGTTGAAAACCTGGGGAAAAAGTTAAGTTGCTTTTTCCGAGGTCAGTTAAGCTGGTGGTTTGGTGTACCTTAGATGGTTTATGCAAACTTTATTTGTTTTTTCGGGAAATCGGATCCGATTTTGCAACAATTAAAAAAATAAATGTCAAAACTGGATTTCATGCAACAGCCCTACCGACTGGTTTTTGAAAAAACCAGACCATATTGAATCAACGGTTTGCTTCAAAAAAGATAAAAGAAGAACAAACAATAGCATTGATATTGATATTGATATTTACATAAATTTGGTATTCACGTATTCAATGCAATTGAAATTTGTTTGTATGTTTTCAAAAAACGGATTTTCAAATTAAAATATAAATAAGACTGTAATCCAACTACTTTTCTTAATCATTTCAATAGAATCCTCAGTTATCAAGCATCAATCTAATATATTTGCTTCTTCTATTCAATTGAACCCAATTGTCTATATAAAGTCATTGGATTCCTTTAATTTCTTAATTCTTGGTCTTTAGTTTTTATTCTTCTTTCGATCTTTTTTTTCTTGCTTGTTTACTTTACTTAAAACTTTGCTATTATTTAACAATGACAAACCAATCTACTTATCAATTTCAAAATATCAATTTTGATGAACAGATGTTTGGTCAATCTGGAGAGTTTGACATTTCAAGGGTTTTCTCTACTATGGATTCTCCTAATCCTGTATCTGTAACGGATTCTACTGCTTCTTCCGGTACTATTGTTGCCACAGATGGGCCTATCGACCAAGCCCAATTTAATGACCCGTTTACTTTGTTGGGAACTCAAAACAATTTTGAACAGCTCATGGCTCCGGCTCAACCTGAGTCTGAAAAGACCACTCCAGGCGAATCTCCTGATCCCATCTACATCTCGCCTATAATGTCAGTGTCTTCTTCTCCCCAGCAAGTTGGACCAACAGATCCCTTAAAAGAAATCTATACTGAAATCCATCAGAATATTTCACATAATCAGGAGCCAACTGAAGAACCTCAACAGATTCAACAACCTATTGCTGTTATTGATAATATCCCTTTTAATGATATTAATTTTTTCCAACCTTTTGGCTCTACTTCTGCTGACTTTTCTGATAACTTACAAACAGAACTTCCTGATGATTTTCTCCAAAATTTCTATTTACCCAATAATTCAGAAATGCTGAATTTCCCTATTCTAGAAGAATTCACAATTCCTTTGGTCAATAACCAGACCCTGGATTCTACTACTATTGTAGAACCCATAGATCAGTCTACAGCGGTTTCCTACATCTCTGAAACTACTCCCGTAGCTCAGCCCATGGTTCCTATTACTTTCCCAGAACCACAACCCGTTGCTGAACTTATTGTTGAGTCACCTACTCAACTCATTACTCAGGAAATATTTGAAAATACAATGTCAGAACAGGAAACCTCTCTTACTGAAAACAATGTCATCCCTGTGTCCACCACCCCCACTAGTGTTGTAGCTCAAATGTTTCCACAAAAACAAGTTGATTTTAGCTTTTCCTCTTTTACTCAAAATTTCATTCCTATTTGCACCCTGGGAAACCTCCACTTACAATTTTAACTTCTCTCGGTTCACCACATTTTCCAACTTTGAAAGAGAACTGAAAAGAAGTATTAGAAGACCAGGCGAATCTGCAAAGGAGTTTGATATAAAGCTCAAGAAATTCGTCACAGACCAACTTCAGGTCTTTAGTTACCACCATTCTTACCTGGTTCTAAATAGCCCGGCCCATAAGAAACTTTGTGATGAAATTGATTCCTTTATTGGAAAGTCACTTCCAACTAAAATTATTAACTTGCAAAACAAGTTGAAAGAAAGAGTAGCCAAGTCAAGGACTTACAAAGCCAAGCTTGAGTGGGCATTGAAGTGGATATTTTACTTGGAGCGTCTAAACTCTATTTGCCATAGAGAACGTAAGCAAGGATTGTTTGGGCCTTCTTATATTACTGCTTATAAAACCATCAACCAACTTTTTGTGGAGGTTGATAAAGAAATTTCCATCAAGACGAACGAGATGGAGGAGGCTTCAAGGAGTTATGTTTATTTCAAAGGAATGCAAGAGGTCAATTAACGTAAAAAAATAGTTAAGTGAATTTTAATAAATAAATAAATAATAATAAATAAAATTAAAAAAATTAAAAAAAATTAAAAAAAATTAAAAAAAATTAAAAAAAAATATTATTTTCTAACCGGTTTTATTTTTTCCTTGTAGAAATTGGCTTATTTTGCTAAAAGTAATTATGGTTACTTTATATTTGTTATTCACAATTTTTTTCCTGACTTGGCACTGTGTTTATTTTATTTTCTAATTTTTATCCTCCTTTCTTTGCCAACTCCCCATTTTATTAATTTTACTTTGCACCATGGCCACTTCTACAGTTTATTTGGCAAATCTCTCCAAGAATATCAATAATGAAGCCTTGAATATTCCAGCTGATGCTTCTTTGGTCAACTACTTTGTTGAGCCGTTACCAGAGCTGGTACTATCACAAAATCAAGCCTCTTCAGGAACACCAGAACCACAGGCTGGTGCTCAAATTTTTGGTCCAACGAAATATTTAGTTCAAAAAGATGTATTTAATACCCCAGAAACCTTTAATTCCTTTAACCAAGATCAATATCTGATTTCTTCAACCTTTACGTTTTTTGCTACTTCTTTGGACTATCATGATTTTGGCACTATTCCAGAAGCTACTACTCCACCTCACGTTGCACAACATTTAAAATTCGGCAAGCCTATTATCAACTCTTCAACTATTGGATCCAAAAATTTCAATTTTTCTACTCTTACTGCTGAGCTAGATGTAAAAAGTTCTAACTTGCCAAGTTCTGTTTACAGCTTTCATTTCTCTAGGTTTATTACTGCATCCAAGTTTGAAAGAGAACTAAAAAAGAGTCTACGTTTGGCAGATGAATCCGCTATTAGTTTCAATAAGAAACTTAAAAATTTTGTAACTCAAACCGATGAGCTTTTTAGCTATCATCCCTACTACCTTGATTCTAACAGCTCTAATTATCTTCAACTTGCTAAAGAAATAGAAGCGCTTAAGGTCAAATCGCAATTTAGTGACGTTATGAAATTACAAAGGCACTTAAATGGAATGATAAACAAATCAAAAACTTACAAATCAAAAATTAGATGGGGGTTGAAATGGATGTTTTACTTGGAGTGTCTTAATACTATTTGCCAGGAAGAAGTTAATCAGGGTTTGTTTGGGGAGTCATACTTGACGGTCTTTAATAGAGTAAATCATATTTTTGTGGAAGTAGATAGATATATTAGAATCAAGACTAATGAATTGGAGGAAGAAACCAGATATTTTAGGTACTTGAAAAAAAAATTAGAGTTTTTAAAAGTAGATAGATAAATATGAATTCAAAAGAAACTGAGTCAACGGATCAAGTATAATTTGAGAACATATACTAAAAAAATTGATCAATTGGTTAATTAAATTAATACAAATTCAAATAGAAGCTATAAAAAAAGATTACATAGATCTGGGGTGTTATTAAAACTGGTATTTTTTTTATTATTGCATACACCGTTTTGAGAATGAACCCAACTTCATGCAAGCCTGGAGAAACCTCAGCTTTTCAAGTCGATACTGTTTTTCTTTCTTTAAGTATAAAATGATGGCAATTTCCTTAGATCTCTTGTTTTCTTTTAGTCTTCTATTCATTCTAACTTTTAAGTAACTGCCTTTTATTTGCTTCACCTACTGCTTTTCTTTGCTTTGGTTTTTTTCTTTCCTGGTTATAAACCCTACACCCCAAGCAATCACTTCTTAATATGACTTTCCCCAACAAATCTACTCTTAATGAGTGTGAGGATTTCACTCCTGTGTGCCCCTCCTCCTATTTTTCTTCTGCTGAGTCCAGCACTTCTTGCGGCGAGTTTTCTCCTCGGGACTCCGACACTCCTCCCACCTCCCCAGAGTCAGGGGATGTTGACGAGGGAGTTGATACATTGTCCGATGTCGGCAGTGTAGACGAGTACATTGTGGGTAACGAGGAGGATATCGGTAGCAAGACAGCCGACATTTTGGCTCATGAAGCTATTGTACACCCATCTCAAACAAAGAAGTTGAACAGAATATGTAAGCGTGGGCTCAAGCTTCATAAAAATTCAGGTGACCGGTCAGTATACCGGTCAAAAAGCAACATTGCCAGGTTGAAGCAAGAAAGAATGGAGAAACAATTTAAAAAGGATCAAGCTGAGGCTATGAAAGAAAATCATGAAGCTGACGAAGCTGAGTCCAGTGCCCAGGGAGCAGCTAGAGGGATGGCTACAGCAGAACCCCAAGCCGTTGCTAGCGCTAGCGATGATAGTGGGCTTGGGTTTGATGAAGAGAAGCTGATCTACGGGTTAGCTGACATTGCGACGCAGATTGTGGCAAGCCACATTTTATTTGAAGAGTCTGAGTTTTGATAATTTTAAATATATTTTTGATGATTGATGAAAGTAATGAAATAATGAAATAAAAATTTTGTTTTTGATAAAAAAAAGATTGGAAATGGCAGGGGAACTGAGTTGCCTAGTAATTGTGTCATATCTGCTATTTTTTTTTTTTTGAAAGAAAAACAATTGGATCTTGTACATAATTTTGAAGTTTTTTTTTTAATGCAACAATGGAATTTTTTTTATTTATTTATGAAGAAGAATTTTGATATATTCTATTGATTTCCACATAATTATTGATGGTTTGTGGTAAGAGACGTTCGAGTACAGTTTACCTTATTAGGAAATATGTGTAATATATAGTTTCTCTCTTTTTGTATTCAAGCACTACCACCATGAAAAAACCTGTTTTTAGAGTAGTTAGATAGTAATGTTACTAGTATAATTGTTTTTTTAGGACTAGTAATGTAAAGTTGGTTAAAATTTCAAGCATCAAAAATTAGTAAAAGGTGATTGCTAGCTACAAATCTATGGATGAAAGGCCCAATAAGGCCCTGTAGGATTCTTCAGAACCCTTTAGTGTCATTTTGTTCCGTTAATTTTTCAAGTCCAAAGCATTTTTTTATAAATACCTGTAAAATCATTAAAAAAAAATATCTATTGAATTTTAAAAAAAATAGAGAGTCAACTTCACCAGACACTTTCAACAAAATGTCCTTTGGAGTAGAATAACCTGGTTTTAAAAAAAAATGCCAGTGATCAGTAGGGTGAATGAGGGTGAGTGAGGCTGGGCGCGGCTGATTGATATTTTAACGGTTTTTTTTTTTTTTTTGTTTCTTTCACTTCGCGTTTCAGCAAAAGCCCAAGATGAACTGTAGATTTTGAACACCGCGTTTAAAGGAATTTGCGTAAATTTTTTTTTTCTTTTGTGTAAAAAAAAAAACCACAATGTTGTATATTTTATTAAAATCTCTTACAAGTTTTGTTTTTTTTTTTTTTAAAAGAAACGTGAAAAAAAAGTTGTCTGTAAATCAATGTGTTAATTATCCACCCATCCGCTCTATGGCTCTACCGTTCTTCTTACCACCATCACTATAACCACTTGTTTTTTTTTTTCCAACTCCATTAACATTAAAGAGCTCTTTTGTAGGTTTGGCTAGGTATTTTTTATTTAATTCTAACAATTTTTATAGCATATATACCCCGTAGACACTTGTAGATTTGCTTGTTCTTTTTCTTGGTAAGTTTGAGAGACCCGTGAACAACTAGATACTGACATTCAAAAAAAGATTTCATATAGTGTGCTCACAATTAATATCAACCATACAACAAATAGGAAGTATAACAAATCTATTATGAGTTTATTAAATTGGTTAACATATATTCTTAGATGCCCGGTGGTAACAAAAGAGGACGTTATTTCAGCAAATGCCCGAGCTCACAAGTCGCTTCTGTTGTCAAGGAAGGGAAATTTTTTTGTTACTAAAAGAAAGCGCCACGCACCGACGGTCTTTTGGCGTGCAGGAGAGCAGAGTCTTAGCGTGGATCGCAGTTAGATCCCACTCTGTCGAGCTTATTGTGTCAAGTTTGTCGCTATACATATTTTTTTTTTCAGTACACAATATTCTCTCCTAAAAAAAAGGTTCTAGAGAGAGTACAATCACTGCAGCCTGGTGAAATGACATTTCTGTTTCTATCTGGTTTAGGTTGGTGTTTTCTTTTCTTTTCTTTTCTGGTTTCTTCTTATATCTGGCTGGTGTGGGCACGGTTAGGGGGTCTGGGGAGTGAACTTATGGTCAGGGTATGTCGGGTGAGGGTTAGAGGGGAGGGGGATTCTGAGGATTAGCCGGGAAGCGCCAAAGATCCCCCAGTGTTGTCTTAGAGAGTTTTTCTCGGACTTCACTTATAATTATAACTATATAGATAACAAATACCCAAAAGTTCAATCAACAATTGCAATCCTCAACTTTGCTTCAGCACTATGGAAATCTCAATACTTTTTAATAACATTACGATTCATCATTTTCAACAACAACATTTATTTTATTGATCTCACTAATTTTTTTTAATCTCTTTTTTTTTTAGACTTTTAGGTTATTTTTAAATTTTTTTGGTTTTTTTTTTCCCTATTTTTTTTATTCTGGCAGTCTACTTTGTTCAATGCTTCATTCATTCTGGTTTTATTTAACTCTAGTTGATTGGTTTTGGTTTACGGGCATCTTTTTTTTTTTTTTTTTTTTTCCCTTAGACTTTTTTGTTTTATTTTTTTTTTTTATATATCCTCTTAAAATAAAAAAAAAATAACAATAAAATAAGTCTTTTTGGATCCAAGTGTTTTGATATGTATGCATACACTTTTGTGATTCCATGAGCTTGATTGCAAAATCACAGCCTGATTCTTAGCTTCCCCTCTTGAGTTAGTTGCCCATACTTCTCAGAGAAGAATCAGACAGAGCTCCTCTCTCTAGTCAAAAGTGAAATTGTCAAAGGCATTTTTAGACTTTTAGAAATGATTCTTTAAAAGATGATCCAAAGTCTAGTAATGGGAAGTAACTTGAGCAAGCGTCCACGTCGTGCTTCCTGGGGTCTCTTCAAGAAGCGAGAGAATAATAATAAAGATTGAGAGTAACAAAGAAAACCGAGCAAAAGAAGGCATAAAGCTATGATTGAATTAGCCTGAATACCTTCTACTGGTTTTTCTAGTTCTCCTTTCTGTTTATTTCTCTGTTGCTTCTGAAGAGATGCAAAATTTGCTCTACTTTAACCGTTTTTTTAGGAATAAATAAGCAAGAGGGAAAAAAAAGTCAGGGGAAGACCCAGTGGGAGTTAAGACCCGGGTACCGAAGTAGGGTCGGGAGGAAAAAAATAAAGGATTTGGGATCGGGAGGTAAAAATATATAAAATATTAGCGATGTAAAAAAATTATCATGTAAAAATTGTCATGTAAAAAAAAAAAGTTAATAAATGAAACAGTTTTTAACAAGGATTGTTAAAAAAACACACACACACACATTTTGTTAAAAATCTAATCTAGTTTGAAATCAAATGGTTTCATGATGGCGATAATGACGCGTTCAATGATGGAGGTTAGTATTAAAAAAAAAATTAAAGTAAAAAAAAAAAAATTTAAAAAAAAACGTGAAATAAACACGTCAAAGTAATTTAATATTAAAAACAGAATTATATTATTGTTATTTATAAAATATGAAAATATAGTACTTTTAAAGCCTTTGCTAATGTTATTTGTCATTGATGATATCCTAAACTTGGTCCAAAGCTGATAGCCGGTACTATTCTCAAAATAATGATATTTTGTTCTTTTGGAGAAATTATAAGTTTAGTTAGCTTCTCTGACATCTACAAAAATTAGATTGCATATTTTTTGGTGAAATGAAAAAGCAACGTTTATTATTATTAACTGTTAACGTATTCTCAACAAGTTGCGTGGTGATGGCTATGTTGTGACTTATAAGTTAGTCATTTATAAATTCTCTGTGCACCAGACCGATGGCTATATAAATATATAAGTGGGATAAATTACTGATTTCTGACTTGAAACGTAAAACGTTGATAATTTTCTGTAAAAGGAAAGTAAACAAACAAAACGCGTCAGTGTGAATATGTAGGTTGACGTGTGTTATTTGAATTTGATATTAGAGAATGAACTGGGAAAGTGTTTTGGATGATATCGAGGGAGGATTTTAAATACCAGAGGGGGTGGTTTCAATTAAAAATGGAGTTAAATATGAACTGCTTAAATAGCTTTCATAAGAAAATATTATAAGGTTAGGGTTATAATAGGGTTAGGGTAAAACATGATCACATGAGTTTGATATATCTCAGAGTGGCTTGATGACAATAAATAAAAATAGTAGTGAAGGAAAGAAACTCCTAGCAGGGGAGGGGGGAGGACAAATCCGTAAAGTTTTTCTTTTTCTAATCTACATTGAAAGAAATGTTTTATTATCAATCTCTTGGCTTTTTTATTTTACTTTATTTTATTATTTTATTATTTAATTTCTAATTTTAATTTTTTTTTATGGTCTAGCTTTTGTCTGTGCCTTTCAAGACAAAGTTTGGGAAGAAGAAGAGATGAAAGGAGGTGTCCCTAGAAAAAAAAAAGCTTTAATGGATAGTTGCGGAAGTCTCTGTGGTTACATGGTAGTAAGCCTCCAAATTGAGATTTATAGAAAGTTAGCATGAGAAAAATATAAATGTAAAGAGTTTTTAAAGGTACTTTAAGAGCAACAAAACGGGATATCTAAAAGAACATGAGGGGGACATTAAAAGGGTATATCTATATCTATATATATATGGCCAGAATATTGGTTAGTATCTTCGTACATCAACCGCAGCCATTATTATTATTATTATTATTATTATTGTTATTACTAATTTTTTTTCCGGCAGAATCATGGGCTGACTATACGCTTTTTAAAGTCTAGAAGGGTGTACAGGATGTGATGAGAACTCCAGGCTCACACAAATTTTGGGTTGCAAAAAAGTAGAAAGGTATTTGAAGTACTTATATTAACATGCACAAGATTTGCACTGTTTTAAGGTGTACTTTAGGTAGAAGAAAGAAGAAAGAAGAAAGAAGAAAGAAGAAAGAAGAAAGAAGAAAGAAGAAAGAAGAAGAAAAAAAAAGGCGGGTATTTATTTTTCAAAAAAAAAAAAGGCTGAGATATTTCAAGGTTAAATATATATATAAAACATTTATTGGAGGGTTTATTCCGAGAGAGTTGTTGTTAGTTAGTAGGATTTTGGTTTTGGTTTTTTTTTTTTTTTCAAAAGATCTTGTTGACTAGAATGATAAATTTCGCATGAATTTCTGTGCCTGTTCCTGAACAAAAAAAAAAAAAAAAAAAAAAAAAAAAAAACGATACTCCATTAAATGCTATTATATACTTTGAATATCGGTTTCCTTAAACCTGACAATAGTGTCTCTCCCTCTAGCCGCTCACTCAAAAGGTTTGGTGCATTAAACTCGTCGATAATCCTAAAATAAAGGCGGAGGGGGAGGTAGGAAAGCCTGTTAAAAATTTGAACCAGCCTTTTAAGAGGAGAGTGTGTGAGTGGGGGGAGAGGGAGGGAGAGAGAGACTTTAAAGTTGGAATGCAATTTTTTTTTTTTGTATGTAAACTTGTTTTGCACTTTATGGTTAAATCAAAATAATCAAAAACAATCACACATTCAATCCACCAAGAGACGATCCAAATAATAATAAACCTTTAAAGTTCTCAAAGTGTCTTTTTTTTTTGTTCAATCATACAAATCACACACTCCCATCATTGTTCCACCCAACCCAATCGTTGCTGTGTGTCTCACATAATTTTTTTTTTTATTTGTTTGTTTGTGCTCATGTTGTGTGGCCGAGTTGATAGAAGCAGCAGCGAAGAGGATGAGAGAATAAAGAGGAAGAGTTGGAAGAAAAGGAATAAAAGAAAGAAATAGGAGGACGATTGGGAGGTGAAAGTACAGATTAAAGATATTTTGTCAAGTGCAGACCCGGGTTCACCGGTGAGATGTTGTTATTTAATTCCGATGGCTGATTTATTTAGCGTGCGACGGGTGGAGGCCGTGTGTGTGTGTGTGTGTGTTGGTGTGCAGGTTTTAAGCTGGATGTTGTGAGGAGAAAGATAAGTGTAGATTAGAGAGAGGAGTTTTAAATAGTATATTAGATATATATAAATATAAATATTGATAGCACATGTTTTTTTAGTTTTTAAATTAGTGGATTTTAGAGTACTTTTAGAGAGTATATATATATATATATATATATATATTTATTTATTTATTTATATATATATAAATATGAAAGGTTTAGTGCATTCTGAAAGTAGTGAATTTTAATGAAGAATTTTGTTTAATTCCAATGTTTGATAGTGCAAAAAAAAAATAAATTTTCAACCAACATCAACAACAACAACAACAACAACAAAGATGATGATAATAGTGCTGCATGGAGGTGCGTAATCAGAGTGCGTATTTATATATTAAAAAGCTTAGCCGGAAAAAAAAAAAAAAAAAAAAAACAACGGGATTTTTTTTTTTTTTAAGTCTTTGTGCGTAATCTTAAGAGAATTAGTATCTAGAATAGATAGATTGATTGATATTAAATAATAAATATTACATTTATGGAATTGAATTCTACAGATTAGGTATTAGGCAAGGCTTAGTTGGTTTTTCTGTCCGTTTACAGAAACCATTTTGTGGGAATGGAGGAGCGTTGGAATGCTATTATAATAATTATTATTAAAATTTTTATAATTATTAAAATTATTATAATATTCCTGGCCAGAACAACAACAACAACAACCATGCGTAATTACTAATTTATAAAAAAAATATATATATAAAAAAAAAGGGTACCCAGCAAAAAAAAAATATATCTGGTTGTTGTTGCCGTTCGCTCCTTTCAAAAATAAAAAAAATAAAAATAAATGAAAAAGGGAAATATGTAGACACAAAAGAAAAAAAAAAAAAAAAAAGAACGGATGGAATGTTTGAATGAATGAATGAATAAGTGAAAAATCTTGGCTACTAAAGAGGGTTTTTTTTTCATATAAACATGGAGAGAAAGAATAAATGAATAACAAAAAAAAAAAAAAGAAATAAAAAACAAAAAAAACTGGGCTTTTTTTTATTTTTATTTTTATTTTAATTAAATTATAATTTAAGTAGCTCGTAAAAAAATACTGGCCGTTGTAACAATTTTGACACAAAACGAGCCGCACAAGGTCACGTGTATATTCCATAGTAATAAAACAAGCAGTTTATTTTAATTTTTATTTAATTTTTTTTTTTTTTCCTATTCAAAAAATTCAAAAAAAGGACAAACCTCAAAGTGTTGTGCTGAAACAAAAAAAACGCTTCATCTGCTTCTTCATCTTTTTTTTTTTTTTTTTCAATTTTAAAATTACTTTTCAATCTCTCTATAAATTTTCCAGTCTTGGGTTGCTTAAAATCATATATATATTTATTTAAAAATTTTTTTTTTTTTTTTTTTTTCAAATAATGTCTCACGCAAACGCATACCAAAAGTTTGAAGTGGTTGGGCGTGGTAGCTTTGGCTCTGTCTATCGAGGGTTTGTAAAATTATCTATATTATCCATTTTAAAAAAAAAAAAAAAATTCTTATTTATTCACCACACTAACACATCTTTAGAGTCTCTTTGCAAGACGGCCAGGAAGTGGCCATTAAAATCATCAACCTCGACAAGGACGAGGATGACGTTTACGACGTGATTCAAGAAATCAATATGCTGCTGCAGTTGCGTACCCCACAAATTATTCGATGCTACGAGTCTTTTATGGTAGACACAGACATGTGGTTAGTCATGGAGTTTTGTGCTGGTGGTTCTTGTGCAGACCTTGTACGCTACGTCAAGGCTTTAGGCGAAGGCCCCATTGCTTACATTTTGCGGGAAGCCCTGTTTGGCTTACGCTATTTGCACCGCGAACGTAAGATCCATCGCGACATTAAGGCAGCCAACATTTTGTTGACGGGTCGTGGAGAAGTCAAGCTTGGTGACTTTGGAGTCAGTGGACAACTCACGCAGACACTGACACACAAGCAGACATTTGTGGGGACACCTTATTGGATGGCACCAGAGGTGATTGGATATAAGCCAAGGCCTGGGACTGATGATAGTGATGAGGATAGGGATGGGGATGAAGAAGAAGAAGAGGATAATGAAGAGGATGATGATTATGAGAGTGAGAATGGAGGAGATGACGGTTTGAAAAGGAGGAGGAGGAGGAAAAAAAAGGGATACAATACCAAGGCTGATATTTGGTCATTGGGGATTACAGCTTTTGAGCTGGCTGAGGGTAGTCCTCCATTATCGCATTTACATCCCATGAAGGCATTGTGGGAAATTCCACATAGTGCACCACCAGGACTGCCTCGGTTTCAAGCAGGCTCAGGAAGTCCTGCCTATGACTCGCGAAACTTGGCACAGTACCAGCAGCAGGCTCAAGCTCAACAAGCAGCTGGTGGGGTATATACTGGAGGAGGAGGGGGAGGAGGTGAGCAAAAGAAACGGAGGCTTGGGTTGTTGGGATCTCGTCGATCTGGGGGAAGTGGCGGAGGAGGAGGAGGAGGTAGTGGCGGAGGAGGTGGAGGAGGAAGTAGTTCAAGTGGGAATGAAAATGGGAGGCCGGACGTCCCCGGGACTGCGCTTGGGTCTTTTGGAACGAGTTTGTTTAATGGGACTTGGCAGCCGTTTAGCAATAGTGCGGATCCTGTATTATCTTGTTATACAGTGGGAAAAAGTGGGGGTGGTTTATTTCCTGAGGGTGGTAGTGGTGGTATCATCAACAGCAACAGCAATAGCACCACCACTAGTCCTGCGCCGTATATTGCGCCGCATGAGTACTCTGCCGCATTTTGTCAGTTTGTGGAGTTATGTTTATGTAAAGATGCTCGGGCACGTCCTAATTGTGAGCAGTTGCTTGCTACTCGGTTTATATTAGCTACAATGGGGAGTAAGGGGTTTGCTCGGGGGTATAGAGAAGCGGCAGCAGCAGCATTTGATAGAAGTAGCAATGGAGGAAGTTCAGGGGGAGGTGTTGGGGGGTATTCTGGTCCAGGGATGGAAGATCTTGGGTTATTGGAGGCACAAAAGCAAGCAATGGCAGCATTGATTGTACGGAAGGGAGTTTCAAGAGAGGTTTATAATAAGAAGAGAGAGGAAAGACGGCGGGCTAAGATACGAGAAAAGGAAAGAGAGAAGGAGAAGGAGAGGGAGAGGGAGAGGGAGAAGGAAAGGGAAAGAGAGAGGGAAGTTGTGGCGGCAGCAGCAGCTAAGAAGAAGAAGGAGCGGGAAGTGGCAGCAGCAGCAGCAGCAGCAGCAGCAGTGACTCAACAACAACAGAAGCAACAACAGCAACAGCAACAGCAAAGAGCTTCACGATATGGAAGTCCAGGAGGAGGAGGATCTGGGGCAGTATTGCAACCATTGAATATGGATGAGAGTGGAGTCCAGCGGTATCCTGTTAAGGGATATGGAGGGGAAGTTAATTGTGTGAATCGTGTTAATGTTGGTGGTAATCAAGTTCCTCAGTATCCTGGGCAGAAGATGTTGCCAACTCCACCATTAGCACTTGTTGGTCATGGAAGGCAAGCTACACAGATTGAATTGGGAGGTGGGTTATGTATGCAGAGTACACCAGTTGAAGTTGGAGTTGGTGTAGGTTTAGGTGTAAAGAGTGTGGAAAGTGAGGGAGGAAGTGAAGGAAGTGAAGGAGGAGGAGGAGGAGGAAGAGGAGAAGGGAATGGAAGTGCAATGGATGTTGATTCATATTGGGAAATGATGGAAGATTGGGAGTTTCCTACAGAGAGTAAAAAGAGTGGAGGGCTTTTAAGTGTGAGTATTCAGAATCCCAAGAAGCAGCAGCAGCAACAGCAGCAACAGCAGCAACAGCAACAGCAACAGCAACAGCAACAGCAACAACAACACTTTGTTGCACTTGAGCGAATAATGTTTGAAAGTATTGAGCGAGTAGCTAGGAGAGCTCGGAGTGCTGGTGTGAAGCGGACAGTTGGAGAGATGGCTATTCAAATGAGGGAATGGGAGGCTAGTGCTCATGGGGTTATAGGAGCACTTGTAGAGGAGATTTTAGGTGGTCTTCGAAGTGGAGATTTTTTATAGTAGTAGTAGTATTAGTATTAGTTTAAAATGGGATATTATTATTATTATTATTATTATTATTATTATTATTATTATTATTATTATTATTATTATTATTATTATTATTATTATTATTATTATTTATTATTATTTTTTTCCTGAAAATAGTTGAATATTTGAATATATATATTTGAATAGAAATTAAAAAATAAATGAAAATAAAAATAAAAATATATATATGTTTAGTCATTGATTACATTATTTAAAAAAATTTTTTTTTTTTCATTTATTTTTAATATATGTCATGTATTAGTTTATTAATTAATATGGTTATCCCAAAATAGATGACTACATTAGATGTTAACGTGGGCCTTTCCAAAAAGAGCAGTCGCGCCTGTTTTTGTTCATACAAGGCGGGAAACCTTTTTTTTGTTTTTTTTTTGTTTTTGTGTGTGTGATATGTTAATTGTTTAATCTAATATTTTTTTTATAAAAATATTAAGTGGTGGCTGTTGCTGTAGAGACTTTTTTTTTTTTATAATTTGGTAAGTAATTATGTAATTAAATATAGTAAATGCTCGTGCCATTTTTGTTGTTGTTGTTGTTGTTATTATTTTCAAAAAATTAACTCCTCCACAAATCTTTAATTGTTGTGAAAATGAAATAAAAAAAATTAAATATAAAAATTAAAAAAAAAATAAAAAAAATATTTATAAATTTTATTATTCCATTTTGCTTTTTTTTTTTTTTATTTATGATATTTCATAATTTATGATAGTTTTTTATTTCTTCTTTTTATAAAAAAAAAAAAAAAAAATTTCAATTTGTTTTGTTTTGTTCTCATATTTACGCACTACCAGTCTTAAACTTACGCAGTATATTTATATAAACATTCATTGTGTGTGTGTGTTGCCTTTTTTTTTTTTTTTTTTTTTGGCTGCGTGTTTGCCTACCTGCCTGTCTGCCTGTTGCTGCGTTGCTGCCTTTTTGTTTTTGTTTTTTTGTTTATTCAATAATTTATTAACACCAATAACCCCTTTTTTTTGTTATAAAAAATAAATAAATAAATACACACACGCGACGGGGATATAAAAGCAGCCGGAATTCCTGGGTTTTCTTTTAAAAAAACCTCCCCTTCTCTTTTCTTCTTTTCTCTCTCTTTTTTTTTTTTTTTATTTTACTTTTTTATAAATTTTAAATAAAAATAAATATATATTTATATATATATATATAATTCCTTAATTAATACCCATCTGTCCAATTTGTATTATTTTTTATATTCTTATAATACAACACGACTCTTGTGCATTTTTTTTTTCTCCATCAATCCTATCCTAATCTAACTTTTCTTATACACATTTAACATTCATAATGCTCTTCACAAAGGCCTTTCTCGCTTCTTTGGCCATGGCTTCTTCTGCCTATGGTATGTTAATTTATTCATGCTAAAAACTATATATATATATATATATATATATATAAACTTTAAAAAAAAAAAACGTCTTTATCTAACAAAAATCTTTTTAATAGGTCAATCAACCGTCTCTTCAGCTTCTTCAGCTTCTTCTGCCTCTAAAACTTCTACTGCCTCGGCTGCTGCCTCTTCTAGTGCTTTGGCTGTCTGCTCTTCAACCTTGACCGCTTCATCCCAGGCTGACCTCGACACCATTTCCTCATGCTCTACCTTTAAGGGAGATATTATCCTCGCCTCTCCCATCACTGCTGCCGCTATTAACGGTGTCCAGGCCATTACTGGCTCTCTTTCAGTCGTCAATATTACTACATTGACCTCCCTCTCAGCTCCTCAACTCGGCAATGTCTCTGATACTGTCGACCTTCGCATCTTGGAAGCCCTCACCGAGGTTAACTTCCCTAGTCTTACCCAGGCTTCCACCCTTAACCTGGTGACTATGAATAAGATTAGCACTATTAACTTTGCCGCTGGCGTTTCCTCTCTTGACACTCTTGTTGTGTCTGACACTTCCCTTACCTCCATTTCTGGTGTCAACCCTACCAAGTTGACCACCCTCAACATTAACAATAACAAGTACCTTACAGCCTTGAACTTTTCTCTTACTTATGTCTACGAGCTTGACATTTCCTCCACCGCCAACTCGGTCTCTATTAACCTCCCCAAGCTCACTTCGGCCCACAATGCCACTTTCCGTGATGCCTCCTCCATCAACATTGCCAATGTTTCCCTTGTTAACTCTACTCTTTCCTTTGTCAACACTACCGTTAAGAACATTCAGCTCCCCAAGCTTACTGATATTGAAGGTTCTTTGGCCATTGTCTCTAACTCTCAACTCACCAACATTTCTTTCCCTCTTTTGACTGTTATTGGTGGTGGTTTCCAAATTGCCAACAACTCTAAGCTTGCTTCCTTCTCTGGTTTCCCCCTTCTTGAGACTGTTGGTGGTGCCATTGACTTTGTTGGTGACTTTGACAATGCTACTCTTCCTGAACTTAGTACTGTTCGTGGTGGTGTCACTGTTGACTCTTCCTCTGAGGACTTTAACTGCTCTTCTTGGAATGCTCTTCAGTCTGCCAATGGTATCCGTGGTGACTCTTATGTCTGCAAGGCTGCTACTGTCTCTACTTCTGTTGCCATTGCTTCCACTGCCACTGCCTCTTCCAACTCTAAGACTTCTTCTGCTGCTTCTGCTACTGCCACTGGTGAATCTTCTTCCTCTTCTTCTTCCAAGAATGGTGCTGTTGGCTCTTATGGTCTTGAGTCTTCTTTGTTTGGCGCCATTGCTCTCTTTGTTCTTCAGTTTATTTAAATACGAAGAAAAAGATGATGATTATAAGACTAGTCGTCAATTCCAATTAAAACGACATGTCTTTAAATCCTACGTGTATTTTTAATGTTATTATTATTATTATTATTATTGTGAATGAAGATTAAGAAAAAAAATTAAGAAAAAAAATTTAAAAAAAAAAAAAGGAGAGAATTAAATGATGATGGATTTTAAAATAAAATAGATTTGAGTTTTTTTTATATATATTATTATTATTATAAATAATTTTTAATTTGAAATGTTTCGTGAAACTGCACTGTTTTTTTTTTTTTATTTATTTATTTATTTTTTTTTTTTGTCTTTGATGTGAGTGGCTGATTGTTTTGGGTGCAAGGAAATACCAGACAAAAAATGTTAAATTTTTTATAGTGTAAATGTTGATGAAAATTTCAGGGGTAATCAAAATAATTAATTTAATTAAATAATTAGTTAACAATATTTGTGGTAAATTAACGTTGAATTCCATAAATGTCATTTATTTGTTTACTTTATTTTTTTTATTTTTTTTTGAAATTTGACAAGAAATAAAAAAAAAATGAGAAGTTTTTGTTTTTTTTAATGGAATGTAATAAATCACGTGTTTTTATATAAACCTTCTAATAAAAAAATGAAAAAATAAAAAACAAAAAAAATAAAAAAAGGAAATTCCGTCGGAGCACACGGGACCGTTCTTATTTACCAACATGTAACCTTTAAAAATTTAACTTACTATATAATAATTAATATTAATAATAATAATAATCACCACCACCACCACCACCACCTTTTTTTTTTTTTTTTTTGTGCCCACTCTTTAAGCCCAAAAACTTCTGACTTTGGACTTTCCCATTTACATCCATCACCAAATCTCCATCATCATCAATAACAAAAAAATAAAAATAAGTAAAAAACCCTCTCTCCCCCAGACCAAATTAAAATCAAATCAAATTTAATAAAATCAACTTTGACTGGAGACTTAAATACATTTATACATTTATATATATATATATAACATACACACACACAAAAAAAAAAAAAAGAGAGAGAGATCCGATGACTCCACCGGATCCGTATCTCTATACACCTCCGGTAAACTCTGCAGCCCAACAACAACATCAGCACCAGCAACAGCACCAGCAACAACAGTTACCTTCATACCCACCTCCATCACATCCCCAGAATTTGGGTCCAGTATCTTCTCAATATATTAGTACTCAACCTTTGCAGCAGCAACAGCAACAGCAACAACAGTATCAATATAGACAACAGCAGCAGCAGCAGCAGCAGCAGCAGCAGCAACAACAACAACAACAACAGCAGTATTACACCACTCAAGCAGCTTTAACAGGATCAGCAACAGGATCGCACACAGGATTACCGCATTTACCACCACTAACCTTCCCTCAACAACATGTAGAATATACGGCAGTTACAACAACGAATACGCAACAGGCTTCTGCAACATCTCCAGTCTATCAACAACAACAACAACAGCATCCCACTCAAAACCTGGCACCACTCGGACCACCCCAACAGCACAGGTACGCGCCAAATACAAATGCTTCATCTGTGGGCTCCATCTCATCAACAGCCGCAGATACACCTCCTCCTCTTCCTCTTCCTCTTCCTTCTTCTTCTTCTTCAAGTGGCTCAGTCGGGGCCACAAACGTTCTCCAGCCACACAAATATTCCAAACAACAAGCCACAACATCCACTCAACCCCAAAGCATGCTATCGCCACCTCCATCCTCTGCTGGCATGTCTGTATCTCCCACAGGCTCGGCAGGCAACTTGTCTGCGGGCCATACGCCTGACAGAGGAGGAAGCCGTACAAGGACTAAGCGTGGGCGTGAGATAGCTACAAGCGCTGGAAGCGCTGGAAGCACTGGAAGCGGGACATACTCGGATGACGGCGAGCAAACAATCAAAACTGAAGAGGTAGGTACAACTAGTGGTGTTGCTAGTGGTCCTGTAAAAGGACGCCGCGGGCGACGGCCACGGTCCAAAAGTGAGAACCATACCGGGGTTGCCGAATCGGTGGTAGTAGCCAAACCTGCAGCCCATAAAAAACGTCGGTCATTGTCGTGCCTAACATGTCGTAAACTCAAGACAAGGTGCGATTATGATGCAACGCAGCGTAAATGCCATCGGTGCTTTGTTTTGCGTCTCGAGTGCTCGCTGTCGCAGGCCGCAGCCGAGGGCTCATTGTCGGTAGAACATTACACCAAAAAGGTGGGCGTGGGAAATGAGCAGGTAACAAAAACAAGTGCTGGGGGAGCCGGAAGCGGGAGCGGAAGTGGGGGCGGAAGCGGAGGAAACACATTAAATAATACAACAACAACAACAACAACAACAACAACAGCAGCAGCAGCAGGAGGACCCGGAAAGCCCCTCTGAGTTGTCGCCAGTGTATAAATCAGATCCACGAGTAGGAGACGAAGACTTGCGAGTGGATGCTAGGCTAGGCGTGGTAGAGAGCATGATGGGGCAGCTGGCGGGCCAGATGTCTGAAATCAAAAGCATGCTGCAGAGTGTTATTTCTGGACCGTCCTCGGCAGGACCCGTGGATGTTGTTGCAGCAAGATTAGACCATTATGCTGCCGGCGCGCCCTTACAAGTGATTCGCAAGATTGATTACAAGCTTTTTTCTCGACTCGACTTTTATGACGTGTTGCGCGGAGACGCTCGGGAATTAGAGGCTTGGCTTCAATCGACTGGGTCTAGCGGTGAGTGGGAACGATTAGCAAATACCTTTATTGAGAAATGTGCACCATATACATTGCGTAACCACGTTCCACCGCTAGACTTTGGGCACAAGAATGAACTGTTGTCGGCAGCTTCTGCGGCACCTACAATTTTATTGTACGCTACCATGGTACTCCAGGGGATGCGCGTGGACGGATATAGTACCCATGACTCTGCACAGCCGGCGCTATTTGGACTTGTGCGGGGACTTGTGGGTGCTGCGCTGGTTACATCGCCGTTACGTTCCCAGGATCTTGAAGCGTTGTTATATATGGCACAGTTTAACGCAGCCCGCAAACCCAAACAACCCATCATGGACTCATGGTTACTCTCTGGGTATGCCGTTGCACAAGCCGTGCAGAGCCTGGACTTTGCCGAGCTTGCGCGTGGGGTCTCTGGGTCGGATGAGGACGAGAATGAGGATGGGGAAGAGGAAGAAGAGGTAGAGGAGGAGGGGAGTGTGCGTGCAGAAGCTGGACGAACAGCACGAGTGATTGCATACTTGTGTCTAACAAACCTGCAATATGCAGTCTCGACACACCGTCCATTCAATGTTCCGCCAGCGTACTTGGACATGGTTTGCGGCGGGGTGGCCCAAGAGAACCCTGCACATGCTGTGGGAGTATTTCTATTACGCGAAGAGCCTCTATGTGTGGCAGAGTTAGGGTTATACCGTGCATTACGGAGCGAGACGTTGGACGAGTGGTATGTACAGCATCGAAATAAGCTTTGTGAGGAAAAGAAAATGAAAATGCCTGTGGTTGTTCGTAGACATGACCTGACGCTGGCGTACTGGTACTGTCGGATTATTGCTGTGCGTAAGCAGTTACAAGATGATGCTGAAAGAATTGGGAAGCAACAGCAGCAACAGCAACAACAACAGCAACAGCAACAGCAACAGCAGCAAGCCCTGAGGCGACAAAAGGAGCTGGAAGAAACTGCGGTGGGCCATGCGATGACGATTCTGCGGACGTTTTTAGGGATTGCACGAGAACAAGTTGTGGCCATGCCCAACTACCCGTTGTGTATTTTGTTATATGCAGTGATGACAGTGTGCGATTTTGCAGGACCCGATTTGGTTGCAGCCTCATTTCAAGTGGGAGGTCCGTCCCAGCAGCAGCAGTTTCAGCAGCATCAGCATCAGCATCAGAGTACGGGTTCAGCTGCGTTTGCACTTGTAGTGGAAATGTACTGGTACGTTTATCATTTGGGACTAAAACAACGGGATATTATCAATTCAATTGCAAGAATTATGAAGACACTGGTACACAATGCAACTAATAAGGCAATTGATTTGAATTCATCACAGTCACGAACAGGGTCTGAAGACGGATCAGTGGCTGTAGAGACGTGTGGAGATCATAATGTGGATGCTGGTGGAGTGATTGTAACTACAGAGGCTCAACAAGTGCAACAACAGCAATTGCAACAACAGTCATATCAGCAACAGCAACAGCAGCAGCAGATGTCGGTCAATGGGACAACTGTGGGAACAAATGACCCTGGAGGCGGGATCTATGGGTACGCCCCACCACCGGATGATTTTGAGCTGCCAGACATTGCGCAGTATGCGACTTTGGACGATTTCTTTGAAGGCATGTTTACCTATGTTGCCAGCTGTCAAAACATGATTTCAACATGAAATGATTGAAATTTTTTTTTTGTATATATATATATATATATATATATATCAAGTAACTTATAAACAATGGTGTTTTTTTTTTCTTTATAGGGATATATAGGAATATCACCCACGATTCATGGTATTACCTGAGCCTTTAGGATTAGCTTCTACAAATTCATCCCATTCACGGGCCTTGATTGTTTTAAGATCTGCAGCTTCCATTGCCCTATTTGTATCTTCCTCATCACTTTTCCCATCATCTTCCTTTTTCCGTGACGCTTCACCTCCACCAGATATAATTCCACCACGCTTCATTTCCTCATCTAAATATTCTTCAACCGTCATTGTTGGCAAATACTGACCTGTACCTTGGACCCGCTGCAATACAGCTTGTCGAGAAGAAGAAGTGCCTGAAGTAGCACCAGAAGATGATGGAAGAATAGTAAACGGCCGAAGAACCTTACCGGCAGGATTTAATAGTGGAGCTTGGGGTGCACGTGAAGCAGTGAGTATGTCTACACGTTCACGGGGGCCAGATAGGGTGTTTGAAGAAGATGAAGATGAAGATGAAGCAGTATTAGTAGGTGGTGGTTCAGGGAACCTACGCAACAAATCTTGTTCCATAGCCAGTCCATCAAGTGCACCAACTGCACGTAATGCCAGTAATTGGAGTCCTAAAATACTAGTTGCTCGAACTGCATCTTCATCATGTAAATCTGTGGAACGTTCTGCTGCAGCTGCTGCCGTTTCTAAAGCACGTTCACGTTTAAACCGAGCAATTTTTTCAGCACGTGTGGATTCTGCACTTGATGTAGGTCCAGCAGCAGATCTAGAAGCACGGAGAACTTCTTGGAGATCTAATTTACCTGCATGTGGGTTACTAAGAACAGTCACCAGATGGGGGGAAAGAATGGGGCCGTCTGAGGTAATACCAGCACCAGCGGCAGTGGCAGCGTCTTTGTCAAGTAGTCCGTAGCCTGCGATTGTGGCTAAGAATGCAAGGTATGTTTCGATTGCAGTTTGTACAACTATGGCACGTTGTTTCCCATTTAATTGCAATTTACGTTCCCAAGTTTGGGCCAAATGGTATTCTGTAGCCAAATATTTGATTTCTGAAGTTGCTAGATCATCTAGGGATTCATTGGGAGAGAAAAGTGCAAGTGTATGGATTTGAGATTGTACGCGTGACCAAAGATTGAGTGCTTGAGTGACATCTGCTTGGTAAGAGGGTGAATCTGGTCGACGTGGAGGAGAACCTGGCGGTGGTGAAAGGAGAGCAGTAGTTGCTGCGCGTGCATTTTGGAAAGCTTGTTTGAGTGAAGTTGGCTGGATATCTTCAGTTGCCATTATTATTTAGTATTATTATTTATAAGAGATGATTATATTAGAATATCAAAAGGGGGAATAAAAATAAAATGATTTTGATTTTGATTTTGATTTTGGAAGGGAAAAAAAAAAAAAAAAAAAAATTTAAAGCTTTAAATAAAAGAGATTATTTAAATATATATACGTTTAGAAATTAGCTTTCATAAAAATTAAAAAAAATTAAATAGAACGGGGTTTTTTTTTTTTATTAAATGAAACAAAAAAAAGGTGAACCGGGTCTGAACCGAAAAAAAAAAAAATGATTAATTGATTGATTATAATTAAAAATAAAATAGAACCCTATAAAAAAAAAAAATGCAAAAAGAAATCAAAAAAATAGAGAACGTCAATCCACGTGTAAATTTTTTCTTGTATTTTTTTTTTTATTTTAAAACAAAATCTGCTTGGTTGAAAGTCAGTGTGATGCCGTTATTTTTGGTTTGCCACCTGTAAATTTTTTTTTTTTTTTTTTTTTTTCTAAACGCAAAGCTTTTCAATCACCACCACTTACCACCACCATTTTAATTTTTTTTTTTATACATTTTACATCAATTAATAAACAAACAAACAAACTACACTTCTCAAATGACATCTTTACCACCACCTTACTATAACAACGACCCCAAGTCCTTTGCGTATCCTTCAGCTCACAAACGATGGCCTACAATCTTAACCCAGGCAATTGATGATCTCTCCCAGGCCATTGGTGTCTTGGTATCCAAAGGTTCTACAGAATCTGTGGTGGCCGAGGGCAAAAATCTAATCCAACAATTGTCTACTATTCTATACGATCTTGATCATGATCGCCCAATTGCTCCATTTACTGCTGAAGTCACAGCCAAAGTTAAGGACCTGGCATCTTATAATACAGGTATAGCTACATTGGAACCAGAACGTACCACGTGGCACACTGCACCTTGGCTCATTTCTGAGTGTGTACTATACCGTCGCATTGCTCTTGTTTTTGAGACTGCTGAGTCGCCTGAATGGCAAGCCTATGATGTATTTGGAGCATCCAAGCGTGCCGGATTATTATCATCACGAGTAGCCGTCACTGAACTTGCAGTTCGATATGCTCAGGTATCTTCTCAATGGCCTCAGAAACATGAGGTTGAGAAATTGCGTCAGTTGTTTTCTGAATTTGTGGATATTGCACTATGGGGGAATGCAACTGACTTGTCACTACTGATTGGTGCAGATGCATCTGACTTGGCAAAAGTTCAAGGCCATGCAGCACGCGCTCAACAGGAAGCCAATGTACTTGTGAATGACACCCAGGATGCTTGGGATGCCGTATATGGAGCACATGAGGCTGGTGGGGCTGCTGCACGTGTGGATTTTGTGTTGGATAATGCTGGGTTTGAATTATATTCAGATTTGATTTTTGCACTATTTTTATTAGACTCGAAGCTTGTTGACAATGTAGTGTTGCATCCCAAGTCTGTGCCTTGGTTTGTGTCTGATGTTGTGCCTGCAGATATTGTTGCGCTTGTACACCAGATTAAGGTGTTTGCCGAAGAGGCGGAAGAGGAGGAGGAGACTACTCAGAGCAAGACAAGCAAGACAAGCAAGGCTGCTCTTAACCTTATTGCCGACAAGCTTGCCTTTTACCTTGGAGAGGCTAGTGAGGCTAATGGAGTAAACTCTAAAGGACGTATTAGTGTTCGGACCAATGTTTTTTGGACAAGTTATTTGTCATATAGGGATGAGCTTCATCCTGGGGGGAAAGGAGGAGGAGCACAAGCATGGGAAGATTTGAAGGATTCTGGTCTTGTTATTTTTAAGGGTGATTTGAATCATCGTAAGCTTTTAGGGGATTTGGAATGGCCACGGAATACACCATTTTTGAGTGGAATTGGTAGTAAGTTGGCTGCATCTGGGGTTCGGTTGGTTACGTTACGGACTATAAAGGCGGATGTTGTTGTTGGGCTTAAGGAGGGTCAGGAGGAAGAGTTGAATGATGAATGGAAGAAGATAGGAAATAATAAAGGAGATGATGATGGACGTGGATGGGCTTATAGTGGGAAATGGGCTGTAATTGAATATTCAGATGGGAGTTTGTAGAAGTAAGTAGTAAGTAGAAGAAGTAGAACAATAATTGTAAGGTGATTATTTTAATTATAAGTTGATATATATTAAAAAAAAAAAATAAAACATGAAAAATGAAACATGAAAAGAAAAAAAATATTCAAGTTGAGGGCATTTTGTTGTTGTTGTTGTTGTTGTTGTTATTGATAATATAGTTGATATAGTCGTAAATAAAATAAAATAAAAAATTGACCCAAACGGGAGAAGAAGTTGATCTGCTATCACCGGGCAAAACCTATCAATATAGAGAGAGAGAGAGAGAGAAAGAGAAATACTAAATAAAAAAAAAAACTGAAAAATAAAAAATGATTTAATAAAAATATTTGTTTGTTTGTTTGTAGGAAATTTCCAAATTTTTATTTTTATTTTTTATTTTTCTTATCAGTTGATTTTAAGTGATGATGGTTGGCTGAGTTAAGTTAAGTTAAAAGTTTCTTTCTTTTTTTTTTTTTTGAAAAGGCCGGGGGAAAATCCGCCGCGGAATCGACTTTTTTTTTTTTTTTTTTTTTTTTTGTTGCTTTGCGATAATAGAATCGGAGAAGACCGAAAAAAGAAAAAAAAAAGCTTATCAATGACGACATTCCACTTTGGGTTGCTCAACACACAAACTAACAAACCACACAAATAAACCACAAACTAACAAACCACCACCACCACCACCACTAAAAGATAATTTGATATATATATATATATATTGTTTTTTTTATTTTCATTACAAACAACTCAAAATATAAAAGCCATCCTTTCTGCTCTTTCAATCAAAAATTTTTTTTTCTTTTCATTCAATAAATCAATCAAACAATCCATCAATCCATCAATCCATCAATCCATCAATCAAACAATCAAACAATCTCATTCAATTATATCAACAATCTAAATCTAAATCTAAATCTAAAAAAAATGTCCTCCTCTGCTTACCTCGCTTCAAACACTTACGGAAAAGATAACGTCCGTCTCCTCAAAGTCGCAAGAGACCCTGTCGACTCTTCTGTCCAACACGTCATTGAACTTACTGTTCAAGTTCTTCTTGAAGGTGAACTTGAAGTTGCCTATACTAAGGCTGACAATTCCCCCGTTGTCCCCACAGATACTGTCAAAAATACAATTTACATTTTGGCTAAACAAGCAAGCCCTTGGCCCATTGAACGTTTTGGTGCAACTCTTACTAACCATTTTGTAACCAAGTATCAACACATTTCAAAAGCTACTGCTTACATTAAACAACACCGTTGGACTCGTTATGCTGTTGATGGTAAACCCCATAACCACTCATTCATCCAAGATGGCCGTGAATTGCGTACAGCCAAGGTCCAAAAAACTAAAACTGGTGCATTTGTTATTGAATCTGGTATTAAGGATCTTACTGTTCTAAAGTCTACAGGATCCCAATTCTGGGGGTACAATAAGTGTGAATATACTACTTTGGAAGAAACATATGACCGTATCTTGTCAACTGATGTCGATGCTGTTTGGACATGGAATGGAACCCGTTTTGCTAATATTCGTGATGTTGATTATGTCGCTGATACCGGTGCTTTTGACTCTGTTTATGATGTCGCCCGTAATACTACCCTCCGCACTTTTGCTCTCGAAAATTCAGCTTCAGTCCAAGCTACAATGTACAACATTTCAGAGGAAATTATTAAAAAGGCTCCTCTTGTTGATCAAGTCTACTTTGCCTTGCCCAACAAGCATTATGTGGCTGCTAACCTTGAATGGTTCCAAGATACTAAGAATAAGGGTAAGGATGCTGAGGTCTTTGTTCCTCTTAGTGATCCTAATGGTCTCATCAAGTCTGTTGTTCGCAGACGTGCTTCCAAGTTGTAATCATTGATATATTTTTATTTGTTTTTATTTTATTTATATATATATATATATATTGTTCTTGTCGTTATCTGGCTGGATCAGATAAATAGCCGTTTATATAAGTTTCTTCTTTTGAAAAATTCAGTTCTACTCTAATCAACTCTTTTTCTTCTTCTTCTTCTTCTTCTTCATCATCATCATCTTTATTATCTTTTTAAATCTACTTGTTGTGTCTACTTTGGATCTACAAATTTTTTTCCATTTTTCCAAATTTTCCAAATTTTCCATTTTTCTATTTTTCTATTTTTCTATTTTTTTCTTTTCCCCACCCCCCCTGAGTTCTACATTCCACTCTCTCTTTCACCTACCACTTTAGTATATATATATATTATAAATATATATACCATAGTAATAGTAATACTTTGATGCAACAACTATAATAATAATAATAATAATAATATTAATCATCCTACATAATCTGCGCAAGAATCTCCTGCGACATGTTACCACCCACCGTCTTGCGCCGTTTGGCCGACCCACCCACGGCATCTCCTTCTACTTCTGCCCTTTTCGTCCTTGTTTCTCGCTGATCAAATGTACGCAACATCTCTTCTTTACCTTCTTTAACACCACCACTACCACTATTGGCTTCTCGTTTCTTCATGGCCTTAGCCATAGCAACACCATGTGCAAACAATCTATTTTCTTCATTTGCCATACCAATTTCCTTACGCAATTTTTCCACTCTTGCCTCCTTTTCAACCACCATTTGTTCTGCTAAATCATTCCACTTAAACTTATGCAAGTATCGTACTGCCATCACTGTATCATAAAATCGACCTCTTCGGTTTTTCCCTCCTATCGTACTCCCACGTCCATTTAGTACACTTGCACATAATTTCGCATCCTTTTTCCGCTCAAACTCAGCCCAACCCTCTATATACATGCGCTGCTTTGATCCTCCATGGGCCATCCGCTGCTCACGCACTGATGCTGGCTCAGGAACAAGATAAATGCGATCCACTGGCCCATATTTCGTCAAAATGTGTCGCATTCCTCCAGGCGTCAGAAACTCAGGAACACGTGAAATGTATACAAGCCCTGACTTTTTCGACCGCTTAGCTGCAGCTTCTGCTGACTTTTTACGGGCCTTTAATTTTGACTCTATAGAGGCTTTCTTAGACTCCTCTTCTTGATTTTCCTCGTCGTTTGGTAATAATGTCTTTTCTTCTTCTTCTTCTTCTTCCTCGTCTTCTTCTTCATCATCATCTGCAAAAACATCTCTCTTTAATTTGCTGGGTTTCTCTGATCCTTTGCTTATTTCTTCTTCTTCTTCATCATCATCATTATCATTATCATCATCTTGATTGTCTTCCTCTTCTTCTTCATCTTCATCTTGATCATCTTCTTCATCACTTTCAAACTTGCTAAAACTTAATGAATTCGATTTGCTTTCCTCTTCCTCTTCGTCTTCGTCTTGGTCTTCATCTTCATCCTCATCATCATCTTCATCGTCGCTATGCTTCACTCGCGCCAGAGGATCAAACTTTGCTGCAATTGCTGCTGATGCCGCACTCTTTTTAACACTACTTGTATTTCCCTTTTTTTTTTTTTGCTCAACTGAAGTCTTTGATTTGCTTGAGGAAAAGAAATCCACAGCCTTTTTGCGTGGATTCTTTGCTGTTATTGCTGCTGCCACCATTGTGAGTTGTAGATGATGATTTTCAATATTTCTGCTGGTGCTGCTGGTGCTATTGTTGATTCAAGTTTTTCTATTGTATTAAATAAATTTTTTTTTTTAAAAAATAAAAAATAAAAAAAAAAATTTGAAAGAAAAAAAAAAATTCAAAACCAAACGGCTGAACAAATCCGGGTAATTTTAACATAACCACAGTTATCTTAATCATTTAGTTAACTTCAGTTAGACAGTTTTCTTCCTCCTCCTCCCCCCCTGGCGCTTCTCCACACAAAACTCGTTTTGCTTCTCTCCCTGGCCTTTTAAAATTCCCACAAAAATCCACCCAAACAACTTTTGAATTAAAATCATCCAATTCTACCTCCCTCCCAAACCAAAACCAAATTATATACCTTTTCAAAACATATATATATAAGGTCTTCAAGTCCTTTTTTTTTTTTTTTAATCTAAAATGCTAATACAACTAATTACTTCTCATCGACAAATGCTCCGCTCACAGCCTCTCATCAATGGCCAAGTCTCGGCTTATCTCGCTTTACGCAGACATTTTGGCCACTCCAACTACTGCCAGGCCATTAAGAAACCTGATAACCCGGAAAACAACCCTTCTCAGGAATCATCTTCAAACCCTGAAAATACCCAATCTGAATCCTCCCAACTAGATAATGAAGATACTCCATACACAAAACCTTTACTCCAGGTTAAGGTCAAGCCGCGCGAACGAACAGGCGCCCCAGCTCGTCGTGTAGGTAGACCTCCTCGCAAGTCTGTCACCACTCCTTTACCTGATGATCCCGTCAAATCGCCCCATGCATCTTCCTCTTCTTCCAAATCCTCTAAATCCTCCAAATCTTCTTCTTCCTCTTCCTCTTCTTCCTCACACTCTTCAACTTCTTCCAACACATCTCTTTCTCCTTCATCCTTTTGGTCACTCGAAAACATACCCTCTCCTAAAGCCCTCAAAAAACACCTCGACCAGTACGCCATTGGCCAGGACAGAGCGAAAAAACATTTTTCCGTGGCCGTATACAACCACTACGTAAGACTAGCAGACCGTGCTGAAAAAACTGTCCTTGCAGAAGCCCGCCACTCGGAACTACGCCGCATTTTTGCTGAGCAAATGGGCCAGAGTTTCGAAGAAGATGACCAAGATGAAAACTCTTTCCAAAATCTAACCCCAGAGGAAATTGAAGAACAACAAGGATACGAACAGATGCTCAAGAAAAACTCCGATTGGTTCCAACCACCGCCTTGGATGAAAATGTCCCAGTCAATAGAGTCTAAAGTCGACGAATCTAATATCCAACGCGTCCTTAAGTCACAGCCAAACCTACGTGCTCATGTGTCACAAGTTTATAATGATGAGTCATTGGGCAACAATTTCAATAATTCCATGGAACCCTCCTTCCACCAGGATGTGGAAATGGACAAGGCAAACGTTTTGCTACTGGGCCCCACAGGCAGCGGCAAAACCATGCTGGCCCGCATTCTCGCCAAGGTACTGGACGTCCCCTTTGTCATCATGGACTGCACAAGCATGACCCAAGCTGGCTATGTGGGAGAAGACCCAGACGCATGTATTGCACGGTTGGCGCAGTCAGCCTACTGGGACGCAGACCGCACAGAAACCGGAATTGTAGTTTTTGACGAGTTTGACAAAATTGCATGTAAAGATACGAATGGTGGAGGCAAAGGTTCGAGCGGAGGGGCTGGCCTTGGAGGTGACGCCCGCCGTGACGTTGCTGGTGAAGGCGTGCAACAAGGCATGCTGAAACTTGTGGAGGGAACCAAACTGACTCTTGCTCTGCCGACATCCATGCAGAGTGGATATGGGCCCAATAAAACAGAAACCATTGCAGTAGACACGTCGAACGTGCTGTTTGTGTTTATGGGAGCGTTTGTAGGACTGGAGCAGATTGTGGCCAAACGGTTGCAAGATGAGGCCGAGGAAAGATTGGCTCGCCAAACTGCTGCTGAGGAAGAAGAACAAGTGCTACTACACAATGACAGGGTCATTCGACATAACGCGGAACGTCCAATGACGTTGCCAGACATATTCAAGAAGGAAGTCCAAGAAGTGCGCCGGTACCAGACCCAGCAGCAGCTACAGCAAGAATTGGAGTACCCAGTAGACCCCATTGCCCCTTCTCCAAAACCTACACAGGAATCCAAGCCGGGCCCCATTTCGTCATCGGTGCTTGCGCATGTGACGCACGCAGACCTTGTCAAGTATGGCATTTTGCCCGAGCTCGCTGGCCGGATCGCGGTGCTTGTGTCGACTACAGAGCTGACAGAGGAAGACTTGGTGCGAGTACTAATGGAGCCTCGCAACTCGGTGGTGCGGCAGTACGAGCGGCTGTTTTCGCGGTGGGGCGTGACGCTGGCGTTCACGACGCCGGCGCTTGTGGCAGTTGCACGGCGGTGTATGAAGCTGGGGATTGGCGCGCGAGGACTGCCAAGTGTGTTGACTAGCTTGTTGCTTGAATCCAACTTTGAGTCGCCGGAAAGCGGCACCAAGTACATTTTGGTGACCCGACAAGTGGTTGAGCAAATGGAACAAGCAGGAGCACCCAAGCCCATTTACTTTTCAAAGTTCCAAGCTAGCGAGTTTTTGGATGCTGTAGAGGAGGAAGATCCAGAGCTTGCGCAGAAACTCAATGCTCAGATTTTCCCGCACTTTACAGTATCTAGTAAGAAAAAGGCTACGGCTTGATTTGAGAAGTTTAGCTTTTTTTTTAAAAAGTTTTTATTTATATTGAATTATATATTTATTAAAGTATCATTGTTATATTACAAGACATATAAAAAGACCTATTGAAGTTAGTAATAGTTTTAAAAAAAAAGCTTGAAAAAAACTCAAGTTTTTAAATTTTGTCTTCATAAATCAGATAGCTATATAAGAGGTAAACGTGGATATATTCATCGAGGACAGAAACCCCTAGCATTAGAGATGCCAGAAACGTATCATATCATCATGTTGAAAAAAAAAAAAAAAAAAAAGAGTCTTAATAGTTTAAAGACTTACCATTTTGGTCCGTTGTTGTCTAAAGAAGAAAAGAAAGAAAGAAAAGAAAAAAATAAAAAAGTCAAAGAAAAAAAAAAGTTTCAATTTTTATAACAAAAATAGCTAGAAGTTACCCGCCTTTAAAATTTTAACCAACCCTAATAACTCTCTACACTACTTAAAATTTATATCTTAAACCTTAAGCTTTAAGCCTTTACAACTTGGCAACTGGCTTGTCACTCCAATCGGGGAACTTGAGATCAACCCCCCACTTCATCTTGACAACACGCTTCAAGCCGTACGTATTTGACAATCCGTCCAAAGTCTGGAGATCCTCCTTGGACAACTGGACCCACTCAGCGTTAGTTGAGATACGTTCAGGAGTCACGGACTTGGGAAGTACGACACGGCCCTCGTTGACGTGCCAGGAAATAAGAATAGTGGCCTCTGGAACCTTATATTTTGCAGCAAGCTCCTTGACTATAGGATTGGTCAGCAGAGGAGCGCCCGTGGAACCAAGAGGTGAGTAGGCTTCGACCACAATTCCGCGGGAAGCACACAGTGCAGTAATTTCAGGGCCTGGGAGAAACGGGTGGCTCTCAATCTGATTAACGGCAGGAATGACGGAGATGTTTTGAGACAAGAGCTCTGAGAGAACTGGAGCAGAAAAGTTGGAAACTCCAATAGCTCGGGTTTTACCCGAACGGTAAGCAGCCTCAAACTGGCGCCAAGTAGCAAGCAGATCAAAGGAAGGGTCCACGTCAAACTTGCGGTCGGCATTACGTGGAAGCAATGGGTGATTGCCTTTAGGATTAAGACCAACAGGCCAATGGACGAGAAGAAGATCGACGTAATCAAGGCCAAGGTTTTTGAGGGATTCATCGAGTGATTGTTGGACACGGTTATGGAAAGTCACAAAGACTTTTGTTGTAACAAAGATATCTTTGCGAGTAACTTTACCCGTTGCAATGGCATCACGAATACCCTGCCCGACCTCGTTTTCGTTCAGGTAGACGTAAGCGGCATCGATATGGCGCACAGGTGTCTCGGTGAGAGCATGAAATACGGCTGCACGGACTTGGCCCTTGGGAGATTGCCAGGTTCCGAGTCCGATAGCTGGGATAGTTGCTCCGGTGTTGAGAGTGATGGAAGGGATTGCGGAGGGCATGGGGAAAAGAAGAAGAAGAAGAAGAAGAAGATAGCGATAAGCTTAAATTAGGCTGATGGGGCTGATTTTGAATAAATAAGCAGACTTTTTTTTTTTTTTTTTTTTTTCGAAAAAGAAGGGCTAGTAGAAAGATGGGAATGAAAAATTTTATTGGAAAAGCTTTGAAGAAGACCAAAAAAAAAAAAAAAAAAAAAATTGGGGTTGTTTGAGTGTAGTATGTGGGGTTGGGTGGACCTAAAGATCTATCATGCCTAATCGCGTCATTTCAAGTGATATTGGTGATATTGGTGATATTGAAAGAAAGAAAAAGATGAAAGAAAGAAAGAAAAGATGAAAGTCCAGCCGGTTGATAAGTGTAGAAAAACATACACACAAACAAACAGTAGTAGCATATCTTGGGAGGAATAACAACGGTTTTAAGTAGAACAGAAGGCCAAATTTATTAATTTATTAATTTATTAATTTATTAATTTATTTATTTATTTATTTATTTATTCATTTATTCATTTACAAAAGAACTTTAATTTAATTTAGTTTGATGGTAAATTTATTTAAAAAAATAAAAAAAATAAAAAATTTTAAATCCAAATTAGGCATTTTTAAGCGACATTTTAAAGTTCAGTTACTTTATAGTGGTGATCCAGGGTTAGTATACAACAACTTTTCAAAGGTCTCTTGGCCCAGTTGGTTAAGGCATCGTGCTAATAAACAAGCAACTTCCTTGTGATACGCGAGGATCGGCGGTTCGATCCCGCCAGAGACCATTAATTTTTTAATAATTTTTTAAATTTATTTACTGATTTATATCTAGTATTTTATTTTTCTTTTCTTATTATCTTTTTTTTTTTTATTTTTGAAGAAAGAAAGAAAATTAAAGGGAGGAAGAAAAAAAAAAAACGTGCGATGGGACGGGAGAGAAAAGAAAAATGGAAATGTAGCAAAATCGGTAGTCGATTGAATGATAGAAACAACAAAAAGAAAAAATTCAATCTGTGAAATTTCCACTTTTCTTTTCTTTTTTTTTTCTTCTTTTGATAGATAAGCTTTTAACCGGTTATAATATATAGAGGATCTTTTTATGAGAAATTTCTGGGGGAAAAAAAGTTCTACTTATTTTGTGTGTTCTAAAAAAATAAAAAAAAAACATAACGTTGATCTTTAAAAAGGTTCTTTTTTTTTTAAAATAATGATAATGATAACAAATGATGGGTAATTATGAAAAAAAAAAATAGAAACTAAGGGAAAGGGATAATTTTCATTCATACATGAGGAAATATAAATCAACTTGTCAACCATACAAAATCATCTCATAGTGATTGTGATTGTAATCATAATAACATTTTAGGGCAGAATACCTAATTTGACAGATTTGTATTTACATAATTTAACAACCAAGATAAACCCAAAAAGGTTATATATATATATATAAATCTCAAACAATTGATGATTTTTTTTTAAAAAATCGTAAGATTGTTTGGGATTTAAAAAAAAATGCCTCTGTCAAATAAGATTTTTCAAAAAAAAAAAAAAAAATAGGCGAAGACCGAAACCATTGAATTCTTCACCTCCTCCCCCTTTTTTTTTTTTTCACAGCCTTTTTTTGTTTATTTTCTTTTAAATCAACTTTAAATCTCCATTTCTATTATGACATTGTTTTTTTTCTTCCTCATCAGCCTTTTAAAGGTAAAAACTACCGACACAACTTGGTTTTTTTTTTCTTCCTCAATAATAATAGTAGAACCACCAGATAAGCTTTATTTAATTCCTGAAAAATAAAAAAAAAACTGATGACATTATGATGTCAAGTATTAAGTAGGTAAGAGAAAAATAACAAAACTTTGAAATGTAGAATTCTTTATTTTTTTTTTTTTAACAAACAAACAAACAAGAAAAAGTCATGCGACTATTATACATTTAGATTTTCTTATATTTGTGAAACTTTTCATTTAATACTTTTTGCCACGCACCGGAAAAGTCCTATGGCTTATTATTACTGTTATTTGTTATTTGTTTTTTTTTTCTTCTTCTTCTTGCTGATTATATCCGTCGTATCAGCCCTTAAATGATCTATGCATATTTCATGAGGGATCCACTCTACCGATATCACCACCACCCATTGTGCATGCGATAAAGCACAGTTTGCTGTAATATTTTTTTACAGGCAATTGGCCTTTTTCCCTTATCCCCTTTTTAGTGTCTATCTATCTAATGTTTGTCTATATAAGAAATCAAAGAGAAACTAATGGCGGGGTTCTTATTTATCGGAAATCCCGAGGGTTGGAACGGCCAAAAAAAAAAAAAAAGTTTTGTGTTTGACAGGAATCCCTTCAACGATTTTATGCTAATGGACATAAATAAAAATAAAAATAAAATATATTATCACTGCCAAAACTATCTTAATGCACATTTCCAACATAAACTTATTGGGCTTTAGAAAAATAAAAATAAACAAAAACTAGTATATTTTTCAAACTGATTGTGCACTCAGGATCTACAGATTCTAAGGGTCCTTTAATTTTTTTTTTTTATATTACACCTACTGGTTAGTTTTTTTTAAAAATAAAAATAAAAAGATTATTGTTTATTTATTTTGAAAAACATTATATTTTATTCACACACATATACACCATAGCTTTACTGATGAAAAAAAAAAAAATAGACTTTTAACTTGTAAAAATAAAGAATTTAGTCTCTTTTTTTCAGCAACCAACAATAGCAAGACAAACAAAACTTTAAAGTTGCTCTTTTGCCTAGATCTTTAAAATAAATGATGACTTTCTGCGTCATTGATTGAATTTTTTTTTTAATTTAAGTCTAGAAAAAAAAAAGTAAAAATAAATAAAAAAAAAACTCATAGCAATGTTGAATATCTCCGAAATTAAAACACCAAAGAGCAATGTTACAATGCTCTTGATTCTTGCTTAGGCTCAGTAGCTTTTAAGTGACCATAAATTGGAAATTTCAAATAAGGTTAAAGAATGGGTATGACAGATCATGGCTTTATTTTATATTTGTTTAATTTGTTTAAGAATTGTACTTGCTCACAAAACGTCATGATTAGTGTCTACCAAAAAAAAAAAAAAAGAAAAAATCTAAAGCACTAAATTTGTTATAACAGCTAATTGATTATCATATTTTTCTTTTTCTAAATATTCATATTCTATGACTTTATACTTGTCAGTTTCCTATCAATCATCCAAAGACTTTTTTCTTTTTTTTAAAGGGCTAACAACCTCTATCATAGGTTTCGGTGGTTAATAATGCTTTAAAGCCGTGCTTAATATAACTGCCGTACAATTACCCTACTTTGGAGTTTTTGTACATCTTTACCTCACAACTCCCACAAAACCAGACTTGTTTAAAACCTAATCAACTCTTATTCTTCTTTTTATTCTTCTTTTTATTTTTTTTATTGACTATTCTCAAAATTCCCTTTTAATTGCCTTTTCAATTCTATATATTTATGATAAAATTTAGTCATTCTCTTATCATTTAATACCAAAGTTTTTGATTAAACTTAGAAGTTTTAAATGCCTTATTAATTACTTATTTTGGGCCACAAGCTCTTAGAGCTAAAAGATAGTGTAGACAAGAAAATAATTACTATTTTCTTGTCTACACTATCTTTTATCATTTTTTCTTTACAAAACGCCACTCATTCCCCCCTAAAAAAAAAAAATCTAAAATGTTTCTTTAAATCTATATTTTCTGTTTTCATACCACATGTCAAACAACAATGGGTTTGGTTAAGATTTCTCATAGAAGTAACCAGTATATACTTTTGATTGATCGTTATCCCAACAGAACAAATATAAACAGCTACTACACACAGAATCCTGATTCCAGAAAATTAGTTCAGTTTACCACTCACATTCTATTTCATAACCACGAAACTCATAAGCTTGTTATCTACACCCAGACATTAAACATACAACAATATCCTTGATTAATCTGTCTTTGACCCTTACCATGGTTTTGCAAAAACTCAACTAAAAATTAACAAATTTTAAAAAGTTCGATTTTAGTATATCAAAATTGGTTTCTTGAACTGTAAAATCAATCTGATTTTTTTCATTTAATTCAGCTATACTTTATCTTAAAGTTTATAATAAAATTCTTTGGTTGGAGATTTTTAAAAACAGTAGACTGACCCAAGGTTCTCAATGGATCACCTCTATTAATTCAATATTGACTGTTACAGAGCTTTACAAAAATCAAGCTATGCTGTTAATTGGTACATTTGTTAAAGAAGTTTCATCATAGAACTGATCTCCGACTACCTAAATTTTTAAACAGTGATTTCAAATGCATCAACTTTTGATTTTTATTCTAAATTTTAACTGACTCATGCTTTATTTCTATTGAAGAAATAATTTAACATCTGTTTTTAACTGTTATCAAAGCAACTTAGAACATTTGATTTTAAACTTACAACTCTCAATGCCAACCAGTTTTATCCTTTTTTTTTACCAGCTCACTGTCAGCCAGTTGATGAGTGTAATATACAACCAGTGATTAGCCAATACATAGACCATTACGAGACTTGCAACGGCACATAAACCGACTTTTAACGAGCCTTCGAAGTTTCTGAAGTCGCTTAATAATTCATCCATAAATCCTTTAGGCAGGATATCTCAACTTAAGCTTATTATATTTCTCAGCGTTTAATCATTTACTCATTGTTTTCACACATCAATGCTTCAAAAAGCTATTATGTTGAAACTTTCTAAAAATACTGACATTGTCTGTACACCTACACACACCACTTACTTTACAAACTTAACCATAAACTCTTGTCTTGACTTTGTTTGAAATTTTTTTTACCTCCTAATGCTCTTTGTTTCGTTGATTCTGAGCCATGTTGTGACCGTATGGTTATGACACTACTGCAATTTGCTAAAATAGCGCAACCATTTTTCATAATCTTTGTTGACTTCTTAAATTAGCCTTTTTTTTTCAGTAAAGAGAATATTTTCTCTGCATGTCCACTATCAGTTAAT